AGTATTTGCAATGGCAAGATCCATAATAAATAAGTGACTGTCAGCACCCTTAATATATACATGTTAATTTTATTTGTTACATTTTTCCGTACCAAACAAAAGATGATCATATTTTTGTTAAGAAATATATTCGTAATAATAATAACTAAAAAACGGTATGAAAAGACCTTGTGCCAAACAATTTTTTATTACGAAATATGTCCATAACAGAGTGTATAATATAAAATCGATGTCACTATGAAATATATTTTATTACAAAAAGTGTCCACAGTATAAAATAAGGTACAAATCCTTATAGTATTTGTTATGGACTCAACCACCTGACAAGCATAATTTTACCTTAATAAATCCAAAATCATAAACATACTGAAAGTAGTCACACAACCGTCAATAATACGTTAAAATATACCCAACTACGACGGTACACTTAACCAACTTAACAGCAAAATAATATATGATCCCCAAATTAAAAACGTTATACCTAAATAGATCAATCCATGACAATTGCGGTACAATCTTAAGGGCAGCTAAAAATAACTACTATGGATGACAAGTCGATTGCAGAATCACATAGGAAACAATCGGAAGCCCAATTACAAATAAGTTTTCAAGATATATAGGAATTTATTATTGCAAATGAAATTATTTAGATCCCAAAATTAAAAAACTAATATAAAAAATAATAATAATAAAAATACATACATCCTTTCATGTTTAGTCGATCGGATCTTCATTGAGTACGTCTGAAGGCAAGGGATCACTACTCCCACCTCATGCCCAGTTCCCCGGCCCCCTCTAATACACATTGTGTGTATATATGTGATAGTATATAATATATATCACTTTGTATGAAAAGCGTGAAGGAATGTGAAAGGTAGAGAGGCTGAGGATCTCGTCCTCTTCACAAAGGATTTTTACTTCGGCATTTGTTGGGTGTATAAGTGGGTTCTTTGAGACTGTATCATTTGCGACAAATATTTTAACAATGAATAGAATATCATCTATATATATATACGAAAAATTTATGCTAATTATGACAAATTTATAAATATATATGGATTGCAAACTTGTAAGTGATATACAAAATACATGACAAATGATTGTTTAATAAAATTTTATATATTCTCTCGATCCCATAATAAGATATCAATTTACTATTTATATTATTATACTTAATATTAAAAATATTTTTATATTTGTATATATATTTTTTTAAATGTCATTATATTAGTATTATAATACAAGTATTTTTTGTTATTTTTTTTTGTAATACGTTTTGATATAATAATTAATATTCAAATATCAACGCGTAAAAAGTAAATGAATACTTAATCAGAGGACGGTGGAAGCAAATATTATGGCTTTGTTCTTTCTAACTTTTTTTTTTCTGCTACGCTTTCCCAAAAATATTAATATACTACACACATTTCCTAATTTTATATTCTCTATACGATTTTAACACACCCTGTATAGTTTGTTTGATTGTGATTTGAAATTAAATTTAAAATTGAATATTAATTTATTTTTTTATATAAATGATATATTTTAATTGAGAATTGTATCATATAAATAGTGTTGATTTTAATTTAAAATATTTAAAAAATATACCTATAATATCAAATGCAAACATAATTATACCACAAATAATTTATTTGATAATAATATATTTAGAAAAATGATCGTTTATATATTGTTTTAATTATTACATATAACCGATAATGTTAATGTTATACTCCATCCGTCCCAAAAGAATGGTTTTGTTTTTTCATTTTCGTCCGTCTCAAAACAATTGTCTTGTTTATTTATTTAGTAAGAGTAGTCCCCACTTTACAACAAATTATTCATATTTTTTTACAAATACTCCTAATTATTACTCTAATATACTTTTTAAAACACTTAAAAAATAATTTTTTTTTTATTCTACTTTATTCTTACTTTCAATTAAATACTATTTTTTTATTAATTCATGTTCTTAACTCTCATTCATCTTTTATAAAACTGAGGGAGTATCACTGAAATAAACTTATTTATATTTAAAAACTAATTTGAATTTAATTTTTCTAATACAACTTCATAATATCTCAAGCATAGAAAATGCAAATTTTAACAATATCCTAATCCCTTGACAATTTCTCAATCCAAAATTATTGCAATTTTGTAATATAAATAATCACATACAAAACATAATCCAACAAATAAATCACCATAATAATGACAAAATCCAGAAATTACTTTCCGTTACCTCACAGTAACGGCGGCAAAAAAGGCCGTGAGTTTTCCTTCCCGTGCCCTATTTAACGGACCCACCGCGACGGTCGTTATTCATTCCGCAGAGAAGAAGAAAAATCGATGGCGTGCAAATATCTCCCCATCCTTGCCGTCTTTCTCTCCGTTCTGGTGGTTGCGCTTCCGTACGAAGCCGCCGCCGTTGCCGGAGGCTGGACTCCGATCACTGACCCGAAGGATCCAGTTGTGGTACGGGTCGGGGCATTTGCAATATCTGAGCACAACAAGCAGGCTAGCACTAATTTGACGTTCGTATCCGTCGTGAGCGGGGAGAGCCAAGTCGTCCGCGGAATCAAATACCGTCTGGTGATCTCCGCCGCCGACGGCAAAATTACTAACAAATATAAAGCTGTTGTTTGGGCCCAGCCATTGGGAACGGTGGCCTATAAGATTTTGTCGTTTGAAGCAGCTCGCTGATACGACGTCGTATTTGAAATTTAATTGTTAGTTCTAATAATTTACGCCGTTGATCTTGCGAGTTATGAGAAGTAATTCTCTTGTGCTGGTTTTTGTAGTGAAATGTTACTGTCGTAACTTTTAGATTCCTTTTATTATTTTGACGGTAATATAACTTTACAAATAATACTGCGTATATTCCTTTAATTACCCACTCAAGTAATAAAAAACTCGGGTTAGATTTAACGACGAGAGTATTTAATTATTATTATTATTATTATTATGTATTTATCACAATTTTATGTTAAAATATTATAAATTTTTTTGCAACCATCATAATTTTTTAACTTTATTTTTCTCTTATTAAAAAAACGTCAAGTAATAAACTCTGCGTCTTAAAATAAAATGGAATATATATATATAATTAGAATTCAAGTCAAATGGTTATTATATAGGTTAATTAATTAATAATTTATTTGATAGCTGAAATTTTAACTTTTTTAGATTAATGGTGGTAACTGGTAAGAGAAAATCAATATATTCCAATATAAATAATTTTGATTGATTAGACTTGTTATGTTGATTTACCTATGGATTAATTACATGAAAATTGGATTAAAATAAATGTAACGGGGTGAACTTCTCACCATGAAATCATGGTTGATGCCTCTAAATTCACTAATTTTAAATGATTCGTCTCCTATAATTTGAAACTAATAAAAATGGTCCACGAATGGCCTGCTAGTGTGAAGCTCAGATGTTAGAGGTATAAACCCAAAACACCACCTTCCAGTTTTGCCTCTAAACACAATACTGGACTTTTGTGCTAGTGTTGGGCTTGGACTTGAAGTTTATCTGGTTTGAGTTATAATTTTTTTCTTTTTTTTTTTTAAAAAAAATAATATTTAATATATTTTTATTTAAAATGCATTATTTTTTAAATAAGATATTATATTAAAGGATTTTTTTTTTATTTTGCCTTAATCATATTAATATATCTATTTTTTAAGGTATAATTTTAATTTTATAAAATTTATTTTATTTGTAAATACACAATTTTATTAATATTTATGCAAATATATAAATACTTTAATATATAAATGTATTTATCACATGAATTTTTATATTAAAAATAAATAAGATAAATATATAATTGTTTCTAATTATAAATATAGTAAAATAATAAATTAATTAATATTAAACCAAAAACCTAAAAATTTTAAAAATAAAATTTGTATATTATATTTGTATTTCAAACCCAAATCAATAATATTTAATCTGTACAATTTCTTTTTAAAAAATACAAAAAATAGTGTCGTAATATATGAAATAATAATATTTTAAATTGAATGTTAACTTTTTCTAAGATAATAATATATATATTTAGAATTGTATATAAAAAAAATTACTTATATAATATTATATAAAATACTATATAAACCAAAATTCAAATAAAAATAAATAAAAATAAAAAGTTTGTTTTTCATTGTTATTTTGTGTAACGATTAATATTAAGCAAATGTTTTACTAAATATTTTTATACAAACAACTGATAGAATCATCTATTCAAACCAATTGACTCATATAACAATTAACTAATTATCAAATACTCCTTATATATTAATTTTTTAAAAAAAATTAAATAGTAGTTTTTTTTGTAACGGTTTACAATAATCTGCATATATAAATATTTTAAAAATATTCTACACTATTCAGTATTATTTTTTTAAAAATTCACAAAAATCTATTTTTTCCTCGTAAAAATATTATATCACTTAATATTTAATATTTTTTATTATGGTGTGTTTGTTTGAAGGTTTGGATTTTAAGTTGGAGTTTGAATAATAAAAATTTTGAATTTGAATAATTGTACGATGTAATATAAATAAGTGTTGATGTAAAATTTTAAATGTAAAATTAGTTTATAGTATAATATAAAAACTAAAAAATAAATGTTTGATTTATGTTTTTTAGGGAAAAAATTGAATGAATAGTATATTTTATATTATTACTACATATTTTCAACATAAATATTAAGAATTTGTTCTCCCTACACAGATGGCAATGTACGTAATTCCGTGATCCATTTGATTTTCATTATATATTTGGTAGATATTATCCAAATATTTTGAATACTTCATAATATAATTTTAGAAATTTAAAATAATATTACAAAAATAAGATTAAATAAAGTTGGGTAAGTAATCTAATTATCCAGATACTGCCGACCTTATTGCTTATAGCAAAAGGCCGCGGGTCCACAAGTTTAAGTTTCCGCGTCGGGTGGGGCATCCATCGCCCACTATAAATACGGAAACCGCCACACGATCCCTCAGACCATTCGCACTAGCAGAAAATCCAAATCTAAATCCAATTCAAATCATGGCATCCAAATTTCTCCCCTTCCTATTCGTCGTCCTCTCGCTTCTGGCGGTAGCGCTGCCCTACGGAGCCGCTGCTCTCGCCGGCGGTTGGAAGCAGATTTCAAATCCCAAGGATCCGGAAATCGTGCGGATCGGACAATTTGCAGTGTCGGAGAACAACAAGGAGAAGAAATCTAATTTGCAGTTCGTAACCGTCGTCAGCGGGGAGACGCAGGTGGTCGCAGGAACGAACTACAAACTCGTGATATCAGCTAAGGATGCTTCCGGAAGCACCGGTAATTACCGCGCTGTAGTCTGGTCAAAGCCGTGGCAGAAATTCACCAAACTCATGTCGTTCGAGAAAGCTTAAGCGTGAGGTGAGGTGAGGTGTGGTGGTTGCTGCTTCGAAAACGTGTGTGAGTATATTGTGCCTGTGGTTATGCTTTACGCCGGATTTGTAGGAGCGCTGTCAATTTGTTTGGAAATCTGTATTTTTGTTTGGCTACTGAAGTAATGTTTCTTATGGAATAATAAACCTTATTGACAGACAAGCTTGAGAATAATTGAGAAATACATCGGATTTGCACTGTTTTTGCTATCAGATTTGCCTCACTGCAGACAAATTTGCGATTATATACGGAGCATCGTAAACTTGTTTTAGTTTAGAACCTTGAACTTGTTCTTGAACAGTGTGCTGTAGACTTGTAGCTGCATACCTGTGTGGTTTTACTCATTACTGTACCGACCATTTGGCAATCTATGAGCCGTCACCTATCTGCATCGATTTTAACATCCTTTGAGTAATTAATTCCAGCTGGTAGGATTGAATCTTGAGGATCTATCTAGAGAATTAGCAAAAATGAAGAATTAAATCTGTTAATTGTAAAGTATAGGAACGAAATTGTTGAAACGTACAAGTTTTACTAAATTGCTAAAATAGGTATTTGATTTTGTATTGGAGCTTTTTCTATGTAGATTTCCGACTTGTAGGATGAAGTTCGTGCAAAAAAAAGGTCCTATTTCTGAAAGTGATAATACTTCATAACTTGTAGTAATAATTTGTTATCCATATTGATTTACAAGTCACAGTCAATAAAATGAGTGTTACTGCCCATGTCGTCTGGGTATGGACCCGTATTGTATGGCGTCAATTGGCTGACATTGAGACAATATTTATTATTATTATTATTATTATTATTATTGTTGTTGTTATTAACATGAAAATTCGCACATGTTATTTTTTGGATGGGGGTAGGAATAAATAAGAAATATTTTGTTTTTAACCATCATAATTGTCCGGACGTTGCGGCCATCCGTGTATGCCGTGCCCACATGGGTTGTGGGGGTTAAGTGATAAATATACAAATTGCTGTGAAGTGGGGTAATAAGTTCAAACATCTGACGCTTCAAGTGTTTCAAGTCTTTTGTTACGTATGAATTGCCTACTATGACTTGTTTAGGGTTTAGGGTTTAACGTCTAATTTGTAAGGTATTAAATTCCACCGAAGATTTACCCAATGCTCATTTTCAGATAACGGATCATCTTATCATTTGTTCATTACAATGTACTAGAATATTTCAAATGCCTGTGTATATGCAATGCTAAAATGATTAGGTTTATTGCGATAAAAGATGACTTATTAGTGGGGTGGAAACTTTTAAATTGTGAAGTTTTTTGATGCTTTAAAATTTTGTCAGTTGCTCATAATTAGCTGTTTTTTTAGTTGGAATAACGACTTTCAATATTCTTTAATTTGAAATAAAATTATATTTAGTTTCGAAATTAAATCAACTCATTATTATTATTATTTTAAGTAAAAGCTCTAGTATAAATTTAAAAATTTACAAATTCTTATCGGACTTTCACCCATTTAAATAGTAATTTAATATAATATTATAAAAAAATATTATATTTTTATATATAAAAACATAATTGTATAAAAAAATTGGAGAAATTAAAACTGTAAAGAGAAGAAAGAAAACTTAAACTTAATTATAAAACTAAAGTTTATAGATATGTTCTTTTCCAACTTTGTTTTATATTTTTATTTTAATAATAATTTGATATTATAATTTTATAAAAACTTTGTTATATTTATATTATTATATAGTGAAAAAAAAAAAAAAAAAGCGAAGTTAGCAAAGCATATTTTGACATTAGACCATCTCCGACTCCTATTTATCCAGTTTTAACTCCAAATATGTAGTTATTACAGTAATTTTACTCCAACCATAACTCCATTTTTCACTATTATTTTTCAAATATTCAATTTTTCATATTATTTTAAACAACTTTTTATTTTTATAATTTAAAATAATTTTTTTAAAAAAAAATTATAATTTTAAAAATTAAAAAAAATTAAAAATATATATATATATATATATATAACAACGCCAATTTTTTGGTGTTAGATATGGCTCCAACCCAAGCCAAAAATGCCAACCCAGCGACCATTAAAGGCGCTTAGTTGGAGATAGGGATGTCAACAGGGCGGGTTCGGGACGGGTTCTGTAGGCTCCGAGACCCGCCCCACTAGGAAATATTAGGTTCCGAGACCCGCTCCGCTCCGCTTTCACCCGGCCCCAGGACCCGTCCCGCCCCGAACCCTCCGTGTTCAAGGCCAACCTGGCAAACCTGTTTTAATAATAAATATTTTTTTAAATCGAATATTAAAACAAATAGCATTAAAAGAAAAAAAAACTAAAAACAATCTAATATTGATCCATAAAAATAAGATAAATAAATAAATAATATATTTTTATTATATAAATATACATATAATAGGTATAATAATTTTAAAAAATTATTTGGAGCAGACGACTAATTGAATTTTATATTTAAAATTATTTAAGTAAATAAATAATATATTTTTATTATATAAATGTACATATATATTAGTTATAATAATTTTAAAAAATATCCGAGTTCGGATTCGGGTTCAAGTTTGGACGAACTTTTTGTAAAATTCGTAACCTGCCCCGAACCTGATCTGATTGAAAATTTTCAATCCACAATCCGCTCTAAAATATATTATTTAAACCCGAACCCGCCTCATTAAGAATGGGTTCGAGGCGGGTCCGGGACTAACCCGCTGCATTTGACATCTCTAGTTGGAGATGCCGCCCACCAAAAAAAAAAATAAATAAATAAATATTATCTTGATTGGATTAATGTTTATAGTTAAAATAAAAATAAAACAAATTTGTTTGTTTTGCAAAAAATAACATAAGGACTGTATGCTATTTGTTTATATTTTTAGAAGTATGTCACACATTTTAAATTATTTTATTGTATTTATATTATTATTAATCTAAATAATATGTTTTATGTAAAAAAATAATATTTTTTTTGATCGTGCAAATATATATTTATTTGATCGAGTAAAAATGTTAATAAAAATATATAATAATTATTTTTTTATAGTAAAAAATATAAAAATATTTTATTTTAAAAGAAGCATGTAATATTTCTTTATATATAAAAAAAGGATATAAATTTGAACGGTGGGGAAACTACTAATTATTATGATTTATAATGAGATAAAAAAAAAAAAATTTTCCCAAATAAAAACTTCATTATGGTGTTTTTGGTTCGCTTTCCGACACTATGCTTTTCATTTTTGCCAAAATATTAGATTATATGTGACTCACTTAATATCAATTCAAAATTTTAATTTTTATTATTTTTTTAATATATAAATATATTTATATACATTCGAAATTCTAAATTTATTTATAAATTAATTTATATTCATTATAAATAGATATTTATATCATTTATTTATATAAAATTTTATTTTTTTATAAAATTATATTTATTTTATATACTTCTCCGTTCAAAGTAATATTTTTACAGCAGAATGTCTCATTTCAAATCAAAGTATCTATTTTCTATTTTAAATAAAAATTAATTATACACTAATACAAAAAATAGCTAAAAGTTAAACAACAAAAATATCATAAATTTTTTATAATTTTCGTTAACTAATAAAATACTATTATTTCTTAATTTATTATAAAATCGAAAAACATCATTTTTCAAAATAAATTATCAAAATAATTAAACACATATTTTTAATATTATTATAAATATTATATCATAAATTAAATATTTATTAAATAAATCACTCTCAGTCTAATTTTTAACACAATAATACAACAATATTCAAATGCACTTAAAAGAGTTACTACAGTATTTGTAGTAAGGGTGTGTTTGTTTGAGGATTTGGATTTTGAGTTGATATTTGAGTAGTAAAAATTTTGAATTTGAATAGTTATATGATGTGCATATTGATGTGATATTTTGAATGTAAAATTAATTTTTAGTATAATATAAAAAATAAAAATAAATATTTAATTTGATATTTTTAGGAAAAAAAAATAGGATGAATAATGAAAATTTAATCCAATCACCCGCACAAACACACCCTAAATTTATCAAAGGTTTCAAAGCAGTATTAATATTATTATTTACTTGTAATAAAAATAAATATTATTTTTTTAATAAAATATCTTATTAAAATATTAACAATTCATTTCGAATATATAATTGAAACCACAGTCAGACAAACCCAAACTGATAATGTAATTGCTTACAGGCGATTAGGAGCAATAGTATTATGAATTCTTCTTCGATAATCCAAAGTCGGTCAGAATCAATAGTAGAGGATGCTGCAGATTCGATGATCTTTCTGTGTGGTGAGGATTCATTGGAGAAGACGGCTACGAAGGATTAATCAGCCAGTCACTCCCTCAGTGAAAAATTTGATGTCGTCATAAATGGAATTCGGATCATCTTGGTCAATACAAGGTGTTGTTTACCAGTAAATTAGGTCAATCACAATTTACTCGCCAAAAATTTGTTCGGTAGATAAACCAAAAAAAAAAAATCATACGGTTAAATCTACATCTAGAGCAGGAGGCGGAGGCCGGCAAGCAAAAGGTGTCAATTGACCTAATTCAAAGGTAAAAAAAAAGGAATTTTCAGTTTTAGTTTTAGTTTCTTCAGTGACTTCGGCTGCGATTTCGATTTCGGTAAGCCAAAGTATTGGCGGAGAAGTCTAAGCGGTTTTGGGGAGTTGGGAGTTTCCGATTGGTGATAATCAGAGGGATCCGTGAAGTAATCGAAAATAGGAGCTTGTCTTTCCAAGGGCAGCGAGCCGGCGGCGCAGCGGCCGTTGGCATCGCGGTCAATTGCCCGAAAGTTATCGCTGCCCGAAATCAACGATGCTGCTGGCGGCGGCGATAGCACCAAGGCTAAGGGGTTGTTCAAGGTTAAGCCTAGGACCCCGGCCGAGATGGTGCGGCAGACGCGAGATCTGCTGGTCTTCGTCGATCTCGGCGGCCAGGATAGCAAGGAAAGCAAACGTGATGAGAAGGTTTTTATGATTTGTTGATTTTGATTTTGTGAAGTTTAGCTTTTGTGATGGTTTTTGTTTGCAAACTTGATTATGGGTTGTTAAATATGTTTTAACTATAATAGTTGATGGAGTTGAGCAAACTTATGAGAGAGTTGAAGCAAGTTCTTTACGGAGACAGTGAGAATGAGCCGATGGCGGAAGCATGTGCTCAATTAACACAGGAGTTTTTCAGTGACAATACTCTGCGTTTGCTGATAGTTTGCCTTCCCAAATTAAGTTTGGAGGTAATATTTTCAAGAATTGTAATATGTCTTTCTTGTTTATGAAATATTATTATATTTGTTGGACTTGGAGTGGTTTTTCTTTTCTTAAATAACAAGACTATTTTGCAGACTCGCAAAGATGCTACTCAAGTTGTTGCAAATCTACAGAGGCAACAAGTTCAATCAAAGTTGATTGCATGTGACTATTTGGAAAAGAATATAGATCTTATGGACATCTTGATATTGGGGTAAGTCATCCAATTATGGTGATATATGAATGGTTGTGATGCAAACAATTTTATATGTAATATTTTACTTTAGAAATATAAATAAGTGATTTTTTTTTTTTTTCATTTGTTTTTATAATCTTCTCTTAGTTTTTATTTATATTTTTTGTTTGACACCAGTTATGAGAACGCCGATATGGCATTACACTATGGTGCGATGTTGAGGGAATGCATACGTCACCAAAGCATTGCAAGGTGATCGATACAAAATTAGATTTATTCTATTTGGATAACTATTGCATGAAACAAAATAGGACTTCACCCTAAGTATACTTCGTATTGAGCAAAAATAATTAGACAATAGATCTCAACGACACGTATTAGATAAATTTTTCTACAACACATATTTGGTTGTGTTCTTGAAGGGTTTATAGATTTTGTGGTATCTTTGTTGTTAGATCTTGGTAATTGTGAAAGTGTTTTTGATAAATTGTGATATTGTAAGTAGTGTATTTTTTATTGAAAAAATTGGGGTAATTTTTTGTTATTTATGGGAATCTGAAAAAAAAAAAAAAAGCCCTTTGCATGCAAGGAAAATAAAAAAAAAATGACTTAGATTGTTGTATAAGTGACCCTGCCTATATTTATACCAGTACAGTACATAAAACAACGGATATTGCTTCTCTTAATCAGCATTCTAGAATTTATTCATATTTGAAGAATACTTTGGAGTATTCTAGAAACTTTTAAAACTATTAATTTCTAGCTATTTTGGTTTAAAAAATTTGCTAAACTTCTACATATAAACCAGCTGTTTTATTGTAATACTCAATAATTAATTTATAAGGTATTATGAAATATTTAGATAATCAGTTTTATGTTCAAACACGAAGCGTGTGTTTACTTGTGATATTTGGGTTTTGGGTTTTGGTTTTGAATAATAAAATTTTGAATTGAAATAGTTGTTTGATATGATATAAATATGTATTTGATGTGATATTTTGAATGTAAAATTTAATTTTAGTATGATATAATAAATAAAAAATAGATGTTTGATTTGATGTTTTTTAGGAGAAAAAAATATTTGAATAGTAAGACATGAAATCAAATCACACAAGTAAACACACCCGGATATTTTTTCTATGTACTTGTATTAGTATAATGAAAATATAAAACTACTTTTATGAATTGAGTTTTTTTCAATATAAAAATTTTGAAACAACAAATTTGATAATAGGGGAAAATTGAGAAAGCATCTCCCACTTCAAAACTGTTCCATTGCGACCTATAGATATAAATATTTGAACATTACACACCTTATACTGGAAACTGATTGTCGTATGTTTTTACTCATCCATTATTGCATTCTTGAATTTGTAGTTGCAGATATTATTAGATCGTTATATCTAAATCTGCTTTGGTATGTAGATATGTTCTGGAATCAGAGCATATGAAGAAGTTTTTTGATTACATACAACTCCCAAATTTCGACATTGCTTCAGATGCTGCTGCTACTTTTAAGGTTGGTTATTCGTTCCTGAAGTTGTGAATAATATCTTTTCGTCTAGTTTGCATTTATTGCTATATTTAGATACTGAATCATTTGTGCTTAAATTGTTAGTATTCCTTGAGCTACTTTGTTGGCCATTTACTAAATTTTCTTTGGCTCGGTTTTGCAATATCTTTTACTTATTTGGTGTCAGTAATATTATATGAATAGGTGTCTGTAATACTATATGTTACATATATGAACATTACAGTTTTCCTGTATTTATTTTATTTTATTTTTCTTATGCTGATTAAGATCCATGAATATTCTGAAAGACACTTGTAGGGATATGGAACTGCAGTATAGTTTATGGCGATAAATTAGCTTTAATTTTTTCCTTCATGATGATAAATTTAGTGAAACCTTGAGGATGATATTTTTCTTATGGTGTCAAATGGAAAATGGGAAACACAATTTATTTTGTGTCAAAAATGAAAATAAGAAGGTTTAGTAATTCAAGCATCTATCCTTTTGCCTTTGGATGCTTTTGGTATCACAAACTGTACCATGGGAAGACATGAGCTCAAGGATATTGGTGCTTGCCCTAATATTTTCATTTTTCTTTCTTGATCTATAGCTAACAGGTTATTTTATCTTATTGCAGGAATTGTTGACAAGGCATAAGTCAACAGTAGCTGAATTTCTTTCTAAGAACTATGATTGGGTAAGTAAATAAAAATTTAATGACATCCCATATAACTATCCATGATGTCGTTTGTTTCTTCTAAATGGTTTCATAAAGTACTTTTTTTTTCTTTGTTTGTTTAGGCTATTGATCATAACCTATTACATCTCGAGCATTTCCTTTTATCTCTTGTGACTACCTGACCTTTTGAATCTTATGACGAAAGTATCTTATTTATTCATTGAGGAGCTTTTCATTTCAACTCTGAGTCAATATATTGTTGTATTTACAGTTCTTTGAAGAGTATAACTCAAAGTTGCTTGAATCTTCTAATTACATCACAAGAAGGCAGGCTATTAAGGTAACAAACTTGCTCGATTCTCATATTTTGGGTATTTGTGGGGTTTGAGACCATTTGGACAATAAACAAAAGCATCTTCGGTAGTTGAGATGCAAAGTAATGATGAAACATCTAAAAAAATGGATTTTAGCAGACCTATTTGTTATGTAGTTTTTGTTCCTTTGATTCTGAATTTAGATCTTGTGACTTATTTCTTTCAGCTTTTGGGAGACATCTTACTCGATCGTTCCAATTCAGCTGTAATGACCCAATATGTTTGCTCACTGGACAACTTGAGGATCCTCATGAATCTGCTTAGAGTATGATTGTTTCCCTGACCATATATATGTACTCCATTTCATTGTATGTTTTGCATCATCATAAGACATTAAGAGAAAATGAGAAAAAGTAGAATCAAAGTTAATAAATTGCACAAACTCAGAAGATAACCGATAAATCCAAGAAATATCAGAGGTAATAGAAAATAGTGTTCAATCTGAGGATCATGGATGTAAGTGTACCTGGAATTTTTTAATGAAAAGCATTGTAGAGATTAGAAGAGCAACGTATATGCAGAATCGTATTGATTGTAGTAGTTTGTATGTCCTGTACTCACTTTTGTACTTTTCTCCTTTCAGGAGTCGAGCAAGAACATTCAGATCGAAGCATTCCATGTTTTCAAGGTATGATTTGTTATCTCCGGCTGGTAAGAAAATTATATTGATCTTAATACTTCCTTGACTTGAGTTATTAATGTGTTTACAGTTATTCGTCGCTAACCAAAAGAAACCCCCGGAAATTGTTGGAGTCCTAATCACAAATAGGAGCAAGCTTCTTCGTCTCTTTTCTAATTTTAAACCCGACAAAGGTGAGTAGTGATTTGCAGAGACCCTGCTATATTTCTTCATTTTATACTTATTGCTGAGCATCGGTTACTTTTTGTTGCAGAGGATGAACAGTTTGAAGCGGACAAAGCACAAGTCGTCAAAGAGATCGCCTCTCTTGAGCACAAGTAACAACTGCGAATCAGTTTTTTGTTGTACGAATAAATCAGAGTTGGTACATATTTGTTAATTTGAATTATCTATGGGAAGAATTTGAACTCATTGAAGCTATTCCAACACTTCACCTCACAGTATTTATGAGCAAAGAATAAAGGCATGAATCGAGATGAATGCTACTGTATATACTTCTTGATACCATTGTTATCATCTTCGAAACTGTATTTATATGTTGAGACAATGTGATTCTTTTTCTCTGTAGTTTCATTCTGTGAGTAGAATGTATGATATATCGAAGAAATAATAAATAAATATCCAAGAGCTATGTTTATTACAACTACGAGTGTAACAACTTGTACTAGTGCCTAAATAATACATCACACTACTAGGAAAATTTATGTTCGCAGAAATATATATGTATATGTATATGAACAAGAGGTATATGAACAAGAGGGTCGGACAAAAAACATGGACCAAACCGAAAACCTTAATTCCTTCAAACTCTGTCCTGAGATCTGCCATTGTATCCATTTGTTCCATTAACTCCATCAGGCCTCTTGTGATGGTTTCCAGACTTCTTCCTCCTCAAGACCACGAACCATGTGTAAATTTCCGAGGTTGCGGCGACAGCCGCCAGGCCTATTAGGACGCCGATGTATGCTCTCTTCCATTTTTCCTGAGGATTTAGAATGTCGAACCCCTTGAAAATATTGATGATGCTGAGGACTATGACGGAGTATCCGATGAAATGGTGGTATATGTTCCAGTAGAATCTGTATTTGTGATCCTTTTTCGGCCTTAAGAGCAACGCCGACACCTGAGATTGTATGTAAACCTTAGTAAGATCGAAGGGATATTCTTGAACTAAAATTTGGAACAGCAAGAGTTAATTGGATTGCATTGATATGGATGTGTATTTATACCTGAAGGGTTCCGAGGCAGAAAACGACAATGCCGATGATTCTATGAGCTGTGTACTGAACGCCGGCGGACTGGCTCCCTAGCCGGATTCCGGTGGCCCATCCGGCAACTCCGACGATGTAGGCGGAGGTCTGGCAAGTTGCGTGAAGGTAGAACCATGCCGGATCGGCCGCCGGGAAGACTTTCAGGTACCTGGCGAGGATGGCGCCGATCGGGAGGAGGATCCCCCAACTGACGGCGTTAAGCACTCCGTGAATCTGTGAAAAATTGAAAATCAGTTGTGGATCACGACGGCGCGTGGGAATGAATTAATCGTTATTAATGTAACTTACATTCCGTTTCTTGGTCTTGGAATTGGCCGGCGACGTCGTCGCCGTCGTCGCTCCGGAGAGAAGATTCAAGCTCCCCATGGACCGGACATTGGGGCCGGAAGTGGGGTGCGTCGCCGGAGAGCCGCCGGAAACAGGGCCTTCCTGCCAGACGTGATTCACGGCGGAGGAGTCGAGCTTCAGCGTGGCGAAGATGGTGATTTCATTTCCGGCGTAAGTTGCAGTCAGATCGGAGACAGGGAAGCTCAAATTTCCCGGCTGCAGAAGCGTCTGGTAGCCGGAGATGGGCGACGTGTAAGCCCTCATCGTGCCGTCGGAGCCCTGGAAAGCGACGAGCGCCTGCGACCCGACCATGCCCTGCCCCGTCGGATTGACGGCCCACGCCACCCACCGCGACGGCGAAACTCCGGCGTGGCGGTAGGCGATTTTGGCGGTTTTGGAGGACTGGTCGTAGCTCCAGTGGAGAAAGGAATTCAGGTAGGGGAGATCGTTGCAGGATCTGAATAATTGGTTGCCGGAAAAGGTGTATCTCGCGCAGGACGACGACTGGCCATGGGAGGTCGAGCAGAGAGCTAGCACGACGAAGAAGATGATCAGAACATGTCCCAAAGTCGACATTACACTAGACTGAATTCAAAATCCCAAATTTTCAGGTGCCCGTCGGCCTTTTGTTTTTAAATTTTAATTTTAACTTTCTTTGGTAAGAAATGAAAGGTATGGTAAGAATAGGTGGAGCTGGAAGGATGAATAATGGAGATTGCTTTATAGTGAAATGAATGGTGCAATGGTGGGACATGAGTAGTTACAGTTTGGTGAAGGAAGGTTCTGTGTGTGTGTGTGTGCGCGTGAGAGAGGAAGAAGAAGAAGAAGAAGAAATTAAAATAATAATTAAATATAGAAACAGGAGGTTCTGCAGTGCACTTGGCAAACTGCCATAAATTACTTACTGATTTAGCTTTGCTCCATCTCTCTCAACGACTCTTTTTCTTACACCTATTTTGTGTGTATGTGTCTTTCTCTCTCTAACTTCAAGGCTTCAACTTTAAACTAAATATGTTCCTTCTCTCTCTCTCTCTCCACATATTCTGATCTTTCCAATTAGGGATTTTTATTTTTTATTTTTATTTTTCTAAAACATGAAATAAAAAATTTATCACTAATATATTGGAATCCGATTCTCTTCTCATAATTTTCAACCATGTGTCGATTGTCATCATTGATCATATCATTTAAGTTCATCCAAAGAACTCGTGTATCGATTCATATTATATAGTACAACTAATTTCTTCTTTTTCAAAGCCATTTATGTTTATTGTCAATCAATTAATATATACCTAACAAACCCAAACCCTAATGTAATAGTAAATTATTAAAATTGGCAAGAAAGTAACTTCTTCTTCCCCTCCATTGAGCTAGCTAGGCTTCATCACTGCAACAACTCAACTCCTCCATGACTTGCCCATCAAATTCCAACCAATAAAATAATATATTTACATATTGTTGGGCATATATATGATGCATGTCTTTTGCATTTAATTTGGCTTTTAGCATATAATTCGAGTGCTGTGCCAATCAAATTTGGTAACTATTGGTGCCTCTTTTCTGTAATCATTCATCTATATGCGTAGCACTAATTATTTATATATTTCTCTGGGATTTAGTGAATGTATGTATATCAGTTTATTTAATTAGGTCCACTGCATGCAACTATATAAGAACGACGACAAATTTCAATAATTGATGGATGTACCTTTCATTTAATTTGGGACATTACTCTACATCAATTCAAATCAACTCTACGGTGCTGGTAATAAATAAATAAATAAATAAATATTCGTAAATATTACATAAGCCTGACCAAGCATGATGCATACAAGTTTGAAATTCTTACATTTAATTACCTCCCCATACACGCACATACATATATGTATATATATATATATATATAGAGAGAGAGAGAGAGAGAGAGAGAGAGAAAGTCAATATCAACCAAGAATCAATATGGACATATAAAAACAAAAGCAAATCTTGGTTAGGGTGAGAAAGAAGATACACACAGAAATTTTCAATTTCAAGAAACTGATGGATGAAGTTTGGTAAGATTAGGACTTTAGTTTAACTACTTTATGCATAAAGGCAATCACCATGCAACTTTTTTCTTTTTTTTTTTTTTTCAAAAATAAAATTTGGAATTCGCATTAACTAGTCTTCAAGTATGTACAGAAGATAATATATTTTTTTGTTTTTTCGGAACATAATATCTTATATCATACAAATTAGATCAACAAAATAAGCATATTTCTTAGCCAACATAATATACTCTGCAAACTATGCTTGACAAAGCAAGTCACACTATACGAACCACATGTGACTGAATCTGGAACCATCGAAGTTTAAACTAATGACTCGACAAGTCACCGTTACAAATTCATTTTTCACACCATCTGATCATATTTTTTTACTTTACAAAAGTTGTCACTCCTTTGACAAGTGTAGGGTTGCCAAAGTGAAAAAACAAAAAAAGTGTCCCAACCCTCATAATTGATTTATTTTGAACCACAACCTTAATGTAATCATTAGTTAAATTCATGGTAATGTGTTAAATCATATATATTCTGGAAGGTCCTAATCACTAATTAATCACGAACTCAACCACTCTTTAATTTACATTTAAACTGATCTACCCACCAATTCTACTTTTCCCATCCCATCATTGCCTCTCTCTTTCACTACAATATTTGGAAGTTATCGTATGGGCCCGATTGTGGGATGGGCCTTGTCAAAAATAAAGTGGGTCGGGCCCGTCTTGTCGTATAATAATTACATTGGGCTGTTAAACTGAAATTTATAACAACAAGGTAGTAGTAATTGGATCGTGTAGTGTAATTAAATTCATGTGCGGTTATTATTACTGCCCCTGTCATCAAATTGTGTGCTCATTTGACCGGACACAGGTTTTAAAGAAAAATATGTAAGAATATAAATTTTTACTTTTTTTTCTGTAAAAAAAAAGTGATATTTTTTTACTAAAAAGAGAAACGAAAATAAATTTAGATGACAAACAAAAAAATGAAAGTGATAATAGATTTGAATGACAATGGAGTATTATTATTCTCATCATTTTTCTATATGTTAATAAGTACAATTCTAAAATTATACTACTAGTATTTAATTATAATTAGATATACAAATTATTATTATTATTTTTGTTTCGTAACAATGTACATATATATTTTATTTTGTTTGTCTCGTAACAATTATTATTATATTTAGCTTTTTTTTTTGCATTTCTTATAAAAAAATCATAATTATTGCATAATAAAAAAAGAAAAAAAATATATCAAACTTTAAAATACATTTTTTTACAAGTTTTTGTCCATGTTTTCAATATGAATTATATGTGTATATGTATATCTTCATAAAATACATTACATATTCTATCTTGAAAATATTATTATTTCATGATATAGAAAGACACTGTATTTTGAAATATTATATTTAATATTTAAAAATAAATAAATTGCAAACATTAATAAACATTTCTATAGTGAAATATGTATATGCATGGCCAATATATAAAAGTTGAATTGGTCTAATTAAAAAAGAGATTAAAGTGCATGTAATAATAATTATTATAATAATAATTGGTGGTGGAATAAAGTAGATGGAGTTGGAAAAACAGATTAATTACTAATATTAGGTCAACCACTTGAATCCAATATGGTCTAACCACCTTAGTTAATTTTGACCTGCTATTTCTGGTTCTAAACCACCTTAGTCAATTTAAATGAGACCTCATGAATTAAATAAATAAAAGTCAATAGGTGAAAATAGAGAGTAGGATCACAAAGTGAAATTAATTTTCATATAATTTGTTGCACACTTTTGGAATTTTTAATATGATTTATTAATATTAAATACTCCATTCGTTCTAAAAATATAGTTTTTTATTGTATTGAACACGAGATTTAATGAATATTGATATTATATTTGTAGTTGGTAAAAAATAAGGATAAATGAATTTTTTGTCCTTGTGGGTATATTAGTGTAAAAAGTAGAGGCAATTGTGTAATAATAATGAAAAAGTAGGAATAATTTTATGTTCATATGGTTATTTATATAAATGAGACTATTGTTTTGAGACGGACAAAATGATAAACAAGATTGTTATATTGGGACGGAAGGAATATCTTATTTAAATATTTAATTGTTTTTGCTATTTTTAAAAATTTTCAAATTTCAAAATTTCTAAAACTCGTCGCCTAAACAAAGCCTATGATTGCTTTCCATAAAATTAGAAATATGACTAGTATCTGTTGGGTTTGGTTTGCAAGGTATTAGGTTCGGCCGAGATTTATCCAGTGCGCATTTTCGAGTAGCGGCTGCGGATTCTCACGTCATTAAAAAAAAAAAAAAAGACTAGTAGGATTAAAATAAATCAAGTATATAATATAAATTGGTTTTAATACTCCCACCGTCTCAGAACTAAATATCTATTTGCTTTTTGCACGTAGTTTTAGAAATATTAGTATTATATTGGGATATAGTAGGAATAAAGTAGAAATGACTAAAATAACTTTATTAGTATGTGTGATATAAAGGTAATGACATTTGTGTAATATATTGTAAGTTGTAAGGGTATTTGTAATGTTAAATAGACAGTACAATTATTTGAAAAAGAAAATAAATATTTTGTTATGAGATGGATTAAAATGAAAAAATGAATACTTTTGTTATGGAACGGAGGGAGTAATATAAATAAAAAATAAAAATCTAAGATGCAAGACGGCGACTATACAAATAAAATTGCAAAAAACATCAAATATACGAATTTCTTGATACTCAATTAAAATAAATAATAAAAATAATACAACTGTCCTGTCCACATACAAATACTAAAAATATAATACTACTAAATTTCGCACGTAACTATCTTATCTTATCTTAGCATTCATTAATTAATTTATGGAAAGAAATCCGATGGCACGTACAAAAACAAAAATCATGTAGGGAAACAGCTAAGAATGCAGTGTTAGAAAACAACATGGCCACATATTTAATTATCAAATAAAAATTAATTGATGAATAATTTGATATTTACATATATATATATATATATAAATAGTACTCCCTCAATCCCAGATATTATGTCCATATTGTCGTTTCTATCCGTCTCACATACCATATGTCATTTTCTAAAAATGATTACAGACTTTAATCTCATTTTAAATTTTTTAATTTTTTTTAATTTTAATTAAACTAATTAATTATCTTAATTTTAATTTATAATTATTTATATTATATGATAATTATTTTCACTAATACATTTTTAATTATTTACTGACACGGTATCTGGACGGAGAGAGTATTTATTTAATGAAGTATAACGTAAGGTATGTGGTGCCAAACGGCAGCGTATCGGAAGTACTAGAATATGTTGAATTAAATATTAATTATTGGTGTCGTGTTTGTTGGTTTTATTGCTAACTATTCCAAGCCCTGTCCGGTACTGTACACTGCCTTAAACCATGCATGTATGTATTATTATTTAATTAAATTAAATAACTGGCCAATCAGACATCAATTCAGAAAAGTGCATTTCTTAATTTATGAATGATTATTTTATTTCTATTGTTATTATTTAATTAATGTCACCATACAACTACCTGTAAAATTCCAATCAAATTAATCATTCAGACAAACCAGTCAAGAATTATATTATTATTATTATTATTATTATTATTATTATTATTATTATTAAATATATGTTTTTATTTATGTAGAATTCAAATTGTAAAAGAAAATGAATAAATTAAAACATAAAACAATTTTGTTACTTCCTATTGTGATCTAAACTTCTATTTGAATCAAGTAATTAATTCAAGGTTTGTTCACGCATGTGTGCATTATTTAATTATTTATTTATTTTCAATATTATTCAATTTGTTATTTATTTATTTTTCTTTATTTCATAACACAACATACATATTTATATATGTTTTATTTACAATATAACATTCACTAATTGATTTTACATAAAAAAAAAAAATCTATTATTAAACATACCCCAAAGAAAATTGTTTATTATTTTCAGACAGTTTTATTTTTATTTTTATTTTTATAAAAGTATAAACACATATATATATACTTTTTCCATTAAAAAAAAAAGATAAATATCCAAAATGAATAATAATAATAAAAAAGATAAATATCCAAAATGAATAAACATATATATAACCATATTCTAATTAAAAAATTAACATAATATCATACTTGATAGATAAAAGGTAATGTGTAACTACTAAAATATTATTTTATTTCCTTTTTTAATTATCTGTCTGATTTTTGTCTAATTTATTTATAGTAAAAAAAATATTTGTCCATAATTTTATTATTTATATTTTAAGAAATAATTATTTACTACTTTTCTATTTATCTAATAATTTTTATGAATTATTTAATAAATATTCTGTATTACTTTTACTTTATTTTTTTTTTACCTAATCTAATTTTATATTTAAATATTACTCCTTCCGTCCCAAAATATTTGTTTTGTTTTTCCATTTTCATTCGTTCCAAAACAATTGTCTTGTTTCCTTATTTAGTAGCCGTGATCTCCACTTTATAACAAAAATATTCATACTTTTCCATACTACCCCTAATTATTACTCTAACATACTGTTTAAAATCTTTCAAAAAAGTAATGGCATTTTAGTCATTTACATTCTACTTTATACCCACTTTTAATTAAATATTAATTATTTCTTAAATCTCGTGTCAACTCTCGATAAGACACTTCTTTTGGGACCGAGGAGTATTATTTTTAAAATTTTCGTATACAAATAAGATAACATAATTATTCCAAACACATGAATATTCAATAAGAAATATATATTGAAGGAATAATACCATAATTTTATATAAAAAATATTTTATTAATATTTTGAATCTACTTGTACATAATAAGAGAATATGTATAATAGATACTCTAAGGGTGTGTTTGTTTGAGGGATTAGATTTTTTTTTTTACTATTCATTCAATTTTTTTCCCCCAAAAAATCAAATCAAACACTTATTTTTCATTTTTTATATTATACTAAAAATCAATTTTACATTCAAAACATCACATCAACATCTATTTATATCACATCACACAACTATTCAAATTCAAAATATTTTACTATTCAAATCCCAACTTAAAATTCAAACCTCCACCCAAACACACCCTAAATTGCAAAAATTTGTGTGAAACTACCGTTAATAATTTTTGTTCATGGAGTATTCAGGTTTGCCGTTTGCACTGCATTAATGTTTGGGCCGACATGTAAGTACAAGTTACAGCCTTGCAGCACGTGCGCAGATTTTCTTAAAATTCGTGATCGTGATCGTAAATATTTTTGATATTTTTTAATATAAATATATTTTTTTTTCTTAAAAACATATTATTAAATATTATTTTAGTATAAATTCAAACTAAATTTTTTCAAATTCAATCAAACGAGTTATGTCATAAAAAATATTTATTTATAGGACCTAGTTTGAAATGTAAAAATATTTCACTCATCGTTTACTCTTCGACGAAGACAGAGAGAGTGATCCCTTGAAAGTAATCCATATCCAAAACGCTGTCGTTTAGGCTTCGCCGACAGACGACTACAATGGCTGGTTGCTACCGTCACGGGGCCCACAATTTCTGTGACCCCAGAGGCCTTTACGGACCGTCCGATCCACGTCGGGAGGATCGAGAATAGCTCCAAAATTACTAAGTAGGACCCATTTTCAACAGCTGTGAGGTTAGCACCGACCCGAACCCGTATGCGAGGCCCACCCGCTAGACTAACCAAATCCACACCCTCACAATCACCTGATCCGTCAACCAATGAATTATTTATTTCCATTATTATTTTTTAAAGTCAATAAAAAAACAGCAAAAGTAAATAAATAAATAAATATTTTATGGCGACGATAATATCTCCTCTCTCATCTTCTTCTTCTTCTATAAAAGTAATTCAGGCCTTTTAGCCATTACCCGTCGCCGCTGTCCGCCATGGAAATTTCCTGAACCTCCAGCAGCAAATACGATATATATATATTCTCACTACTTGAGTACAATACTGAGCTTTTGCTGTTTGTTAGAATTCCTCATCATGGTCTCAGTGGAGGATTCTCGCTCTCACTCGCACTCAAACCCTAATATTACTGCTGCCTACACGCAAACGCGGCCCTACTACTACTACACTCCGCCGCCGTCTTCCGCCAGGACAAGCCGCTCCATGGGGAGGTCCATGCGTACAATCCGATCCACAATTTTCACTCCCGATCAGCGCTCAGGTTCGGTTCACGAGAAATCGCCCAACGTGTCGGAGAATCTCACCGATTCGGTCATCGACCTCCGCCTCGGAGAGCTCGCTAGCAAGTCGTTGAGCAATTCGAAAGGCCAGAGTTCCTCGGAAATCGACGATGCCTTGGACGTTTCCCGAGCTTTCAGCGATTTCTCCGCGTACTCCAGCGACATCTCTGGGGAGCTCCAGCGTCTCGCTAATCTACCTGATCCGTACTCGAATGAGAACCATAGTTCGGGGCCGGAGATTGAACCTTGTTCCGGATTTTTGCAGAGAGAAACTTTTTCGACTGAGATTATTGAGAGCATCTCGCCCGAAGATCTCCAGCCTACGGTGAAACTCTGCATCGATGGGTTGCAATCGTCGTCAATTGCAGTGAGAAGATCGGCAGCGGCCAAATTGCGGTTGCTGGCTAAGAATCGAGCCGATAATCGGGCTTTGATTGGTGAATCTGGTGCAGTGCCGGCTCTGATTCCTCTTCTTCGTTGCTCCGACCCTATGACGCAGGAACACGCAGTGACGGCGTTGCTTAATCTTTCCCTCCATGAAGGCAACAAGTGCGTGATCACAAACGCCGGCGCTATAAAATCCCTAATCTATGTCTTGAAAACAGGAACGGAGACTTCCAAGCAAAACGCTGCCTGTGCGTTACTCAGCTTGGCTTTGGTCGACGAGTATAAACTGCCGATTGGGGCAAGTGGTGCCATACCTCCATTGACTGCATTGCTGATAGATGGGTCGAATCGAGGCAAAAAGGACGCGCTTACAACGCTCTACAAGTTATGCTCAGTTGGTTTGAACAAGGAGAGAGCAGTAAGCGCGGGTGCAGTGAGGCCGCTGGTGGAGCTAGTGGCGGAGCAATGCACCGGATTGGCTGAGAAGGCATTGGTTGTGTTGAGCGGCTTGGCTGGGATTGAGACTGGACGAGAGGCAATCATCGAGGAAGGTGGGATTGCAGCGCTGGTGGAGACCATTGAAGATGGGAGTAACAAAGGGAAGGAGTTTGCAGTTTTGACTCTGCTTCAATTGTGCACAGACAGTGTTAGAAACAGAGGATTACTTGTCAGAGAAGGGGGCATTCCACCACTGGTGGCGTTGTCACAGACTGGGACGGCAAAAGCTAAGCATAAGGTTAGTTCTACATCACAATTAGTATTCAATTCATATTCGAACAAATTATTTCCAATTAACTAGATCCATTGTCATCTTTGTTGTGTTCTGATGATTAAGAGCTGTGATTCCGATCACGCCATTTGAGTGGTGTTGATTTAATGAGCAATGAATGCTCCCTTTTTCTCAGGCTGAAACGCTTCTTGGATACTTGAGAGAACCAAGGCAGGAAGCTTCCTCTTCTAGTCCCTAAAGAGTGAAGAAGGTATGAGACTACAGGGTGTTCTTCATTATCTGGCATAATGCCTTTGTGATGGTTTGTTGCTAGCTGTGCATAGTATGTTAATAAACTTGTACAAAGTGGTTGAGTAGTTTGCAGTATGATTTGGCGCGAAAGTGCATAGATAGTTAGAATTTAGTAGCAAGTGAGAAAGAATCTGACTTTTAGTAGTATTTTGCTTGACTGAGTCTTTTCTGTGGAAACCTCCATCTTCCATTTTGCTGACGGCAGCAAGCATGGTTGCCATTGTTGAGAGGATTAAAGTTGTCATTAGCTTTTGTTCAGGCTTATTATTCATTCATTCATCCCTTGTTTTGTTTGGGATACCCAAATTCTTGGACAGGTTTTGGGTAATGATGATAGGCCAAATAAGACTTGCAGTGTTGTTGAAGCTTGGCTTGTAGTATTATTATTTTTGTTATACTATAATGTTTACTTCTACTGTCAGTGATTCTTTAAAGCAAAATAGGTATGAATTTGAGGGCTCCTCTGTCATACCATTTTCACACTTTATTTAAATAACAGATGCCTTAGCTGTCCAACTTGTAGTATTTATGACCACAAATAGCCTCACCTGAATAGGTCTGCTCATCCTTTGACCTGCTGCACATCATGTTCTTATTCTGGCTGCTTAATTATTTATTCAACCTTATACTTCAATCCAAATCTACTGGCTTCACACCAAATCAGGACCCCTTTTTCTTTTAAAATAAATAAATTGTGGTTGTGTAAGTAAGCAATCTAATTCTATCTTGAGGTTGAGGATAACAATGGGGCCCTGAGCTCAGTTTATTTGGTGTAAAGTTGAGAATGGCCTACCAAACTTGCCCAGCCAACCACACACACACCCTCTCCACCAAACCAACAGCAAATTACGTAGTTTGGTTGTATGAATCTTTCTTCCTTTTTTATCTTCTCATGCCTTTGTCTTTTATTTATTTTTATTATTATTGCATTAGCTGGCAGGGCAGGTGGGTTTTGTCCTCTGTTGCTTGAATGCACCAGGCAGCAGGCAGCAGCACCAATTTTGTATTCTCCATTTTTAAAATCATTTTCTTGATATTTGGTGAAGACACTAAGTGTCGGTGGATTTACAACTACCGCAGTATGTGCATTTGTTTGTGTTTTAAATTTGACACGGTAAAAATTGTCATCATTTTCTAATGTCATGAGAAAAGTGATCACCGTACAGTTCTATTGTTAGCAAGAGGAGACTATGCATACTTTGTTGAAACACTACAGTTAGAAAAAAGAAGGATTACAATCAATGTGTCATCTATATTTATCAAGTTTTAAAAAACTGATAGTTTTTATTAAAAAGAGAAACAAAAATAGAGATAAATTTGAATGATTGAAGGAGGGTAGTATTTTTAATTAATTTATATAGCAGTATTGTTTCTTCTTTTTTTTTTTTTTTTTTTTTTTTTGGATGGGTAGTAACAGAGAGTAGTGAGTACTAATGAATAACGGGCTTGGGTTGTGAAGTGGAATATCTCTCTATATATATAAAGGCCCAAACAAAGCACGTGGGTGAGCGATTGAGTAAAAGTAGCGACGCTAGCTATATAGCTAGCTAGGTGTCCCCCTTCGCCCCAACTGTTAAAAGTATTCCACATTGAATATAAAGGAGTGAATGATTCTTTTCGTTTACAATCAATTGGTTTTAAGTCGAAATTTCGGATCCTCATCTTAAAATTATCTTAAAATTATGATGTTCGTGTTGAATATTGATTTTATTTGAATTTTGGAGATAATCATCTCGAAGAGATATTGGGTATCCCACATTGGATATAACGTTATAATTCCTCTACTTTATAAAGGGTGGAGAACTACTCCACTTAAAACAAATACAAAAAATCATATTTGTATATGTATATCCCAATTAATAGTATAAGGCGCATGCAATGCAATGCAATCAATCCTCATTGTCATTTATATTGAATATGTTGATATTGGAGGACCACCTTTTAGTATTCAAGCGAAGTGTTTTACCCTATCCTACCCTACCCTTGCGATTCAGGCTAAGGCTAGGTAGCTAGCACCTAGTAGCATCATCCATCAATTCAAATAAAGTCAACAATCAATCCATGCAGGTTTAGGGAGATACATAGAGAGAGAGGACCACCATTTTATTCAATTCAGTCCCCATTTTTATAATTATCAAAATTCATTATTTCCACACGCCATGTGCATTTCATTATTAAACCAATCGATCGATGGATAATCGTTCTTAATATCTAATTAATTACATTTTACATCTACACGAAACACAAAATTAATAAATTAGGTATTTATTACTCTAACATATATATATATATATAGCAAATATAACATATACACTTCCCACCACAATTAGTATTATTAGCATTACCCGGTGCACGTACGTACGTAACGTACCCTTAATTTCATTCATCTGCACTGCCCCCACATGTCCCCCTCTTTCCCATACCCCAATCCTTTCCTACCCTATCCACCGAATCTCTCCTTCATATATATATATATATATAATTCATTCATTGAAATTGCAATGGATCTCCATGTGCATCTTCTTCAATTTTGTAACCCATATATATCCCATCTATCTGAGTGAGTGATTGATTCATTGTAGAAAAAGAGCCCGTCACTGCTCACCTATCTATCTCACTTTTTTCAAATTATTGCACAGACACAGATACAGAGAGAGATATGAAAGGTATATATATATATACATATATATATATCTAACATACAGCAGCAGCCACTGATTCTTGTACTTCCATCTAATCAATAACCTCCTCGACAGTATTCAGTCAGTCAGTCAGTCAGTCAGTACTCTTCATCATAACTAGCTTGTGTGTGCTGTGGGTCATATTCATTTTTGGGTTTATATTGCAGTCTTGATTTGCTCTCTGCCATTACCAAATCCAAATGCCCATCTATCTTAGTTGCTTAATTCATTCATTAATTACAGTGTATCTATGTAATTGGGCCTCGGAGCCTCTTGGGCCGGGAAGCATTGGCCCAGAAATGAGCTTCTGCTCTGGTGCGGGAACGATATTCATTGATTGCGCCATTTACTCCGACTGTGCCGAAGACGATTGACCTGCCTGCGTGGGTTTCCTTTTTCTACTTTCTTTCCCTATTGCATCTCTCCGCTTCTTCCTCTCGTCAAATCTTGACAGCTAACCCTGCTATCTGCAACTTTGTAAATGATGGGATTTATTTGATCCCGAGTTTTTGGTCCGATGCTTCTGGAGTTTTTTTTTTTTTTTTGATTTAATAGTTTTGTGTGTTGTTTGATCTGCGTCTGAAGCGTTTCGGATTTGATCGTGGGAGTTTGGAGGGACAATGATGTAAAAGAGAAGGATGCATCTGCTGTTTGAAGAAGTGGTATGTCGCAGTTGTTATACTTGCTCTGCATTTCTCCTTTCTTTCTTATGGCTTACTTGAAATTGGGAAGTTATAATGCCTTGCTGGAAAGTGATAAACTGTAATTTGACTGTTTCGTGCGTTGTTGCTTGTTTTTTTTATGCTTTTAAATATGTTTTATTCTGATGGAGAAGGGTAAGATGATTGCATTCTACCTTTTTTGTTTTTTTTTGGGTGCGTGTTATAGGAAATCAGCACCGAGAGTTGTTCTTTTCAGTCGATGTCAGTTCAGGATTTGATTTTCTTTGTCCTTTCTTTCCATTTGATAGTTAAAGAATTGATCCATGTCACATTTTCCCGATTAGCATTGTTATGGCCATACGGCTGTAGAGTTTGAGGGGATGGATTGAATTTACATACATTGTGAGCTTGGAGAATGTCCAAAAATTAGAGATTGTTGGGCAATATCTATGTTCAGTTATGAGTGATTGTTTGAAACATGAATATAAGTATTTATGTAACTTCTACCAGCTGGTTTTAAATGTTTTACTTCATTTTAGGTCAACAAGCAACCATAGTCAATCAAATTCTCCTCGGGTCAGCTATGTTTACTTTGTTGGAATTAATAGCAGTAAGATCAAAGAGTAGGAGTAGACAGTTCTTTATTCAGATTCAGATTGAAGTATTTCTAATTTGAAATTCAAGCCTTCAATGATATGGTACCAACACTAGATGCATAACAACACAGAGTTTGAAGACTATCACTCTTGATCTATGCTAAAGTTTGCTTTATGGAACATTATTTGTGCAATTTGCAATTATGCAACGTTTGTATTTGATCCTAAATGAACTGGAGCTGACAGGAGTTTTACATTTTAAATATAGAAAATGTTATGCTTGCGCGGGTCCATCTTGCATTTTATAGCTTAATTAAACCCCGAACTAATGCTAGTCACACACATACTTGTACTTTGTATAGTATAACATAAACAGGGAGATGCCTATCTCTTTTTTTTGATGTACTGTGGTGGATTGTTCTTTGCAGGGAGAGTTATTAGGGGTATATTTGCTTGTGTTGTCACACATTTTGCACTATTTATTCTACAATAAAAGTATATTTTCTCCCCTAAAAGCACATAACATCCAGCACTAAATTTTCATTTAAACATCCCAACTGAAACCTATTTTCTATTAAAACATCGTGATTGACACCAATTTTCCATAAATATGTAACACCCAAACTCTATTTTCCATTAAAAAGTTTCAAATCCAAAACACCTTAAAACTCACCAACACCCTTAAACAGAAGCAAACATTTTTAACAGTCATGCATTGGCACGGGAGATTAGTATGTCCGTGCTTGGTAATCTGACAATTCTTTTGATTGATGATCTGGTATATAGTTGGATTAAAAAGTTGCTACCATGCTTCTGCCAATTTTGTTAATGTTGAGTTTATTATAATGGTTAATGTCCAATATCTTTTATTTGTCTCTACATGTTTGAGTTTAAAGGAAGAGGAGGGATGCAGAGGGAAAAACTTAGTATGAGGGCATTTTCTGAAGTCAATGCACTAGGCATAGTATATGGAAGAATCTGCTGAACAAATTGCACATCTGTAAATTCATGTCAAACGTACCTTATAGATAAGAATTATTGAAGATGTTTGGACCTAATTTTTTAATGTTTGCTCGATAATGCAGGTGCCTTTGACCTTTATAGTTTCCAAAGGGATAAACTGCAGGTTTGAAGGAAAGATTTTTCCTGTGGCAGTGACTAGCAGGAAACCTGCACGTCTTTCTGTTTAGTGTGCACAATCTCAATTGTGGGCTCCCCTCTATCCTTCATATCTCTGATTTGACCTTCAATACTTTCTCGAAGGCCATTTATGCTCAGGCTATCCAAGCTTTAGTTATATGTAAGTCGATGTGTTTAACGTTAAGCAACAATACAGGGAGCCTGATTTCCTTAATCGTCTAGTCTAATTCAGTACTTATGGTTTTGTAGCTGGAACTAGAGGGTGAAAGATGGACTTACATACAGAAGAAAAAACGGAGGATTACCTCTTCAAGATTGTTATGGTTGGCGATTCAGCTGTTGGGAAATCAAACTTGCTTGCTAGATTTGCAAGAAATGAATTTTATCCCAATTCAAAGTCCACCATTGGGGTTGAATTTCAAACTCAGAAGATGGAAATTAATGGGAAGGAAGTTAAGGCTCAGATCTGGGACACTGCCGGCCAGGAGCGGTTTCGAGCTGTCACTTCTGCGTATTACAGGGGTGCAGTCGGAGCGCTTCTTGTCTACGACATCACCCGGCATCAGACCTTCGAAAGCATAGGCAGATGGCTTAACGAGCTTCACAGTAAGCAATATGACATTCTCATCTCTATATGAGGTCTTAAGTGATATCTATGATGTTTTAATGTTTTATGATTCAATCTGAACAGCTCACTCGGACATGAACGTGGTCGCGATACTGGTGGGCAACAAATCCGATCTCAAAGATGCTCGAGAGGTGACGACTGCAGAGGGCAAAGCCTTGGCGAAGGCACAGGGCATGTTCTTCATCGAAACTTCAGCTCTGGATTCCTCCAACGTTGCGATCGCCTTCGAGACAGTTGTGAGAGAGATCTTCAGCATATTGAGTAGGAAAGTGATGCAGTCGCAAGAAATGAAATCGGGGTGGATTGCAAATGGGAAAACTGTGGTTTTGGAAGCTGATGGAAACGAGCAAGGTGCAGATGAACAATATAAAAAAGGTGTGTGCTGCTCATCATGAATGGGGATATGGATCTCACCCTTTTCTCACGTTTTCTTTTTTTTTTTTTGGGTTTCATATGTTGATTAGTTGCAATTTTTGTCTACGATTATTATTATTATTGTTGTTATTATTATAGCTACGATGATTTACTTTGAAGATGCAAATGGAAGGAATTGTAGAATTTGAATGAATGAATCATCTGCTGGTAACACACTGTAAATGACTGTTGGATCAAGTGCAGTATATCCTCTTTCTTTCTTAGTCCTGGTGAATCAGTTTTATTTCTTTTGGATTGAATTCGTCTATTATCCAAATATTATGTAAGAAACAAAAATAATATTCGGTGAATGAAGCTGTGACAGTGAGATCATGCTAAAAATCGGGACATTTTTAGGTCCCATCTGTCTCGTATAATTCGCCTATCTAATGGGGCTTACTTTGCAGGGTATTAGCCAATGAATAATTAGCCAATGAATAAGGCAGGCAGCTCTATGTTATAAAAATAATAACAATAATAATAATTAACTATATTTTATTTAGTTAAATCTTCATCATCCGACTACAAAATTAAATATAATTAACTAATGTAATTTACAATGAGATAAAAAAAGATAAAAAATTATAAAATAACAAATTTTATCATAATACGATGAAATTCAAACAAATGGAAATAGAGTAGGTCCCACTTAAGAGTTGAGAGTGGTTTCTTCCTCCTCGACGGGACTATATAAACCTCAACCGACCGATAAACCCTAACCCCTAAAAGGTAAAGTGATCCATTTTCGCCTCCCCACTCCAACCAACTCATACAGACAGCTATCGGTCTTCAAATGATTGTAATTTGGTACTATATCCTCTCATAATCTGTGTTCTGAGAAGAACCTCACTTCACATTTATTGGATTGGATTGGATGTTCAAGTTTTCAAGAATGAAATCGCTTCTCACTCTCAGTCCAGCTCTCTCCAATCCCGCCGCTGGAGCTCCTCGTTCTCTCTATTTCACCTCCCAACGCTGCATTCTTCTCCACACGCCTTGCAATATTAAACCCCTTCGGAACCCTAGGTTTCCTTCCACTAAATCAGTAGTCAATTCTATCAGCTGCAATACAAAACCGTCTCATTCCAGTCGAATTCAAGAGTTTTGCACCCAAAATGAGAAATCGGGCGAGATTCACGTGATTGTGGGGCCAATGTTCGCCGGAAAAACCACTACCCTTCTTAAGCGAATGAAGTCGGAGAGCAGTAACGGCAGGTTGGATAAATATTCTCTTGTCCGTCCATTTAGTGTCTGTTCGATGATGTTGCTTAGCTAATTAGCTTAACCATTTTGAGAAGTTTATGCATTTCCTTTCGTTGGTATATAATCTTTGATTATCGTCGTTCCACAATGATAATAGCTTTTGAAAACGTTTGGTTATGAGACTAGTTACATTAAATTATCCATGGCCTTCAAAACTTAATCAGCTATTCATAGCTTGAATTCCTACGGTGTGAAGTTAAAAGGTTAGACTGGAAGCTGATTTGAGTTTCATCATTGAATTAAATTGTCACCGTTGAGTCGTTCCCAGATTTCAGGCGAATGACACCGTAAAGAACACCTACCATTTGGATAGAACATTAAAGGATCTCTGTATTACTGGGAGAATTAAGGAAGCTGTTGGAATATTGTGCAGTACAGGAGTGCAAGTGATTTCGGAGACCTATTCTCTTCTCTTGCAAGAATGCATTTTCAGGAAAGAATATAAGAAGGGCAGACGAATTCATTGGCAAATGGTGGCGGTTGGATTTATGCCCGATGAATATCTGAAGATCAAGCTTTTGATTTTCTATGCTAAATTGGGAGATTTGGATACCGCGTACCTTATTTTTGATCGATTGGTGATGAAAACTTTGATATCGTGGAATGCAGTAATTGCAGGGTATGTGCAAAAGGGGATGGAAGAGGTGGGGTTGAGTCTCTACCACACAATGAGACTATGTGGTCTGATACCGGATCAGTATACATTTGCGTCGGTCTTTAGGGCCTGTTCTTCTCTAGCCATTCTGGAACAGGGCAAGCAAGCTCACGCCGTATTGATTAAGACTCTAGTTAGTGGAAACGTTGTAGTTCACAGTGCACTCATGGACATGTACTTCAAATGCAGTAGCCCCTGTGATGGATTTCGTGTATTTGATCAATCTTTGGACCGGAATGTTATAACCTGGACTGCTTTGATATCTGGATATGGACTGCACGGGAGGGTTAATGAGGTTTTGAGTTCTTTCCATCAGATGATCAGTGAAGGCTTCAAGCCTAACCAGATCACATTTCTTGCAGTACTAAGTGCGTGCAGCCATGGAGGTTTGGTGGATGAAGGGCGGGCATATTTTTCATCGATGATGAGAGACTTTGGTGTTCAGCCCAGAGGAAAACATTACGCAGTTATGGTTGATCTTTTGGGACGAGCTGGAAAACTTGACGAGGCTTATGAGTTTGTCCGAGCTTCACCTTGTAAGGATCATCCAGCAGTGTGGGGTGCTTTGCTTGGTGCCTGTAGAATTCATGGAAATGTGGATATGGTAAAGGTTGCAGCAAAGAATTTTTTCGAGTTAGAACCAGAAAATGCTGGGAAGTATGTAGTGCTGTCTAATGCTTTTGCGACGTTCGGTCTATGGAAAAATGTCGCAGAAGTTAGGTGTGTGATGAAGGAATCGGGAATAAAAAAGGTGCCAGGTTATAGCATGATAGAGGTACAAATGGAGGTTCATTTCTTCTGTATGGGGCATAATACTCATAAGAAAACTCCGCAAATACTTGAGTTGATTACTGACCTGACCTGTATATTGAAAGATTCTAGTGATTTTCCTGACTTGAGCATCGAACTCGGAGCATTTAGTTTTCCATAGCTGTTAAGAATCTACCGGCCCTTATTATATTTAGAAGCCATTTTTCTTCTTCGAACTATTCAGTACTAATTCTTGTATTGCAACTCCGGAAAAAACCGAGCACGTCATGTTTATGCTCGCAACCATAAAAGATGATGCGTAGTGCAGATCGACAAAAATTTGAAAGGGAAATGTTGTAGGTAAGAAGATAGCTTAGAGTGACACATTAAAGGTGTTAATCTTTTTAGCCTTGTAATATATGATCCTTAAATTTATTTCACTTTTACAAGCATTATTATTGTTTTTGACATCTAATTTATGCTTGTCTCTTGAGGTTTGAAGCTATCATCCCTTCCATTTCTGGCTGTCTTCTTATATAACTCTTATTTTTGTCTTGTGGTTTGCAGAAATGTAGCTGTAATAAAATCAAGTAAAGACGTTAGGTATGGGGTCGACTATATTGTGACGCACGATGGAGAGAAGTTGCCATGCTTGCCTTTATCAGATCTGTCGGAGTTCCGAGAGAAGCTGGGCGATGAAGCCTATGATAAAGTATTTCTTCCGCCCATGACCAATATAGTTCTGAATAGAATTTTCTTGTATCGAATGCCTCTTCGACTCTTATCGACTTGAAAATTCTCATTAGAGTTCAATCAGTTAATGCAGTCTTGTAAATTTGAGAAATCAATTTATGGTTTGTCTGATTCATTCTTACTTCTATTTCCTGTGTTCTATACAGCTCGATGTTATCGGCATTGATGAAGCCCAGTTCTTCGGAGACCTATACGACTTCTGCAGCAATGTTGCCGATCATGATGGAAAAACTGTGATAGTCGCCGGTTTGGATGGCGACTATTTGAGGTATGGCTTCGTCCTTACATCCATCCTGGATTTCAACTCATATTCTGTGTGCTTAATCTTGAATTTGACACATATTACATCATATTTTTTCGCGCATTGGCAGAAGGAGCTTCGGTTCAGTGCTCGATATTATCCCCATTGCAGATTCAGTGACAAAGCTCACGGCGCGATGCGAGGTATGTGGTAAGAAAGCATTCTTTACATTGAGAAAAACCAATGAGGTCCAAACCGAACTCATTGCTGGCGCCGATGTATACATGCCGGTGTGCCGCAAGCACTATGTAAGCGGACAAGTAGTTAAAGAGGCTGCGAAAGCTGTCCTCGAGTCTCGAAATCGAGAGATCACCCCGGCTGTATAAGCTTTTAAGGCTATTATTTGTAGAACATAACACAGCATCACTTCTGAATTACTAGGAAATCTAAATCTATGTGCCTGTAGCAATTTAATGACAGAATATCTTGTTTTCTTGCTGTCCAAACTTAAACCTTTGTCTGTGGAAATTCTGTAAAATAGCTGATTGAAGAACAATTCAAAGTTTTCCCAAGTCTTAACCCCAAATAGATAAGATGGACACGATGTTCCTAGTCAGAATGAACCTAAGTCAGGACAGAGATTGAGCACGAAATTACATGTGAGAATTCGATGATGTCTTCCAAGATATGCTGTAGTTTGTTTTTGGCTCTATCTCCATGCGGAACATGTTACTAAAGCTCTGTTCTTCCATCCGAGATACAAAGCGCCGTTGGCCGAGGCTAATCTATAGTTCGGGCTGTGTTCCGAGAGCATAGCTGTTATGGTACTTCCGACGGAGGGACTCAATTGGACTGGAGAGAATCCGGCCATAAGCAGTCTCGACCTCCACTTGCCGAAAAGCTCGTGTCTCTCAACGCGTTCAGGCCCCTCGCAAGCTATTATGTTGACAACATCCCTTGCGACGCAGTGCTCCTCTGCGCTGATTCTTTGTCTGTCGTCTCTTGGTCGGGCAGCATCGATGGACTCGAACATTGCTGTGTAGTAATCCAGAGTTTCGCAGAATCGGTGGTAGAATGTGGCGGTGTTAGTGTTGGATTCTTGTTCGAGAAGCGTCACAACCTTGGGGGACAGTCCCTTGACGAGCCTAAGGAGGCGATCGCGATGGTTCATAGTGTTGACACTCTCGTCGGGCATGTGGTGCAGGACGTAGGGAAAGTTTACTGCTAGGGCTGCTCCGTGGCGAATCTGTAGGTTTTCGAGCTGGACCTCACAGCCCGACATGGCTGCGCTGTGAAACTCAAACGGTACTCCACATGACTCGGCTACTTTTGCTAACCTCCGACCAACTATCTCGAGCCCTCCATTCCGGGCATGAGCTGATTGGGAATCATCAACGCCTGTTATTCGAACATACGGAGGCCTTCCAGGCCGGCAAGAGAGATCCTGAATGAAGGAAACCCACTGACTACCCTGAGCGATCTGAAAATCGATGACATGGATGTTGTTTTCACCTTCCATGGCTTCCCCGATGATAACATTCGCCGACTGATAAGCAAACTTGTAGTATGGGCAGATCTGGTAGATGACGTGCATATACGACATCAGTTCGGAGCTTGTTGGTTCGCTGCACTTCAGTTTCTTGTAAATTATGCTTCCGGAGGATAACAACCTTGCCCTGAGTCCTTCCAGCATGTATGCACCCAATCTTTGCAAAGGGTCGCCGGAAACAGAAACCCACTTTTCGATTATTTCCATCAGAGCTTCTGCAGCGGATATCGCGACCTGTCTGTCGGGGAATGGGATAGCATCAGCCTCCGAGACTATTTGCCCACAGGCAATGAGCAATTGCTTTAGGTCCATATGGGGAGCCATGTCCAGGACTTTGTTGTACTTCGAGAAGGGAGAAGGTTGTGTGACTATACCGTTGAAGAAGCCACTGTCATCGGTTTCGGATTCAGGCCCGAGCAGATCATTCTTTAGTACCCAAAGTGCCCGCATCAATTTGTTTTCATCTTCGACCCCAGAAGACCCACTCAGAGGTGAACCATAGGTGTTCTCGGATGAATGATGATGGTCGGATGCATAAGAATGAGAACCCTGAGATGAAAAGGGACTTCGATTGGAAGATGCACTTACAGCGGAAGGGGAACTGTATGTAGCATAGTCCATTGCCGGAGTAGATTCCAGAGTAAAGAATTGCTCGGAGCATCCCTGGAACGAAACTTCATTCCCCTGGTTTCTGTGACCATTTGAGTCATTGTTCACAACTTGAAATTTTGAAAAGCCGTATGGATCAATCTGCTGCATTGGCTGGTTGAGGAAGCTGTTGAAACCAGTGGTTGCTTCCGATCCGCGGGATTGTTGCATCTCATGAAAGGGTGTGTTCAAGTTCATCTAAGTTCAGGAGATGGAGGAATGCCACTGACTTCTCAGATCTATTGATTTGTATCTTGCTTTCACCAATGAAATGCACTATAAGGGAAACCCTTTATAACGGCAGTAAGCCTATAGGTTTGGGTACTAGGAATGGCAAGAACACTGTTCGAAACACTGCAAATTGTGAAGCTTATATCAGTTAATGTCCAATAGCCTTGCAACCTTTATAGCTAAATATGAAGATCAGGAAGTATCTGCCAACAGGGAGAGAACAGAAAGTATTAATGCATATCATTAGGAGATGTCATCGTGGAACTTAGTCCGTAGATGTTGAATGTTGTTGACAAATCCAGGAAGTTAAGTAAGAAAACATAAAAAGATATATATATATATATATATATAAAATTAACGATGAAATCAGAAGCTAGCATATAGAAAACACAATATGGACTAACATGTTTACGAAGCTAGAACAAATTGGGTTAGTCAAGTGAGATCTCCAGACTTGATAACAAAACACAGATTTAATGGCAGAAGTTCCTTCAAAATTGAGAAATCTAAGACTAAATGAAAGAAATAAGGAATATGGCAAGGAAAAAAAATATCCAACCAACCAAACTAACAACAGAGTCGAGAACTTTAAGAAATGGTAAGCTCTTTCCCACTAGTTTACGTTTTCCTTATGTTGTTTTTTAGGCGGATGTCACAAGCTTGGGTATGTTTCTTCTATTGGATCACAAATATAAAGCAACCTAGCAAAACAAGATCTTGTTCTTAATCCTGTATAGGCAAAATTATTTGTTATAAAACCTTGTAAGGAAATTATAGCTACAATGATTTATGCCAACAGCAACTAATAAACGCCGCAGAGCTTGAATTAGTAAGTATAGAGATATGGAAAAATTCTGAGGATTGGAAAATCTATTCACCAGCAGTTCTGTATTGATACTAAAAACAAAATACCAGTCCGGTAAGGGAAAAATCATAAACTGAATGTTAATAGAGCAGTATGCTCAATCGCTGAGGAGGTTATTGCTAAATCTAATCGGAATAAATAACACAACTCAATGAAAACCACAGAATAAATTTTCTGCATCTAAGAAAGATCTCGTGTTCACTCTCAGAATCGAAACTCATTTAAGAACAAGAAATCAACAGCACTATCAGACAAATGTTTCAGCAGCTCATAACAGACCTAAAAAGCAACACAAGCACGCACACATGTAAAAGCTAACAGAAATCTATGCAATCGTACAAAATTAAACAAAACAGCCATCTAAATCATACCACTACGCAATTAATAACAACGCAAGTCACAAAATCAGAGGCGAAGTGGTTGAAGAAATCCTAGGCACACACGATACGCACCTGGACGGCTATTAAATGCTGTAGAAGGAAGAACTCTCTCGGTCTGCGCTGAAACAGAGCGATAATGTTGAGTCCGTTAGCTCCGGTGATATTTTATTCAGCTGGACGACTCCTTGCATAAACTAATACCCCTAATCGACAAGTATACTACATAAATGCCCCTTGGAAGCGTGTAGACCCTCACCTCTCCTTCAGTCAATTCGCTGGCAACCATACGTCATCGTAGACGGTGAAAACCTCCGAAAGCGACTGCAACTTCCGTACCAACACAGCCGTGTTGAACTTGAGTCTCGCCTCCTCCACCATGGATTGGCGGACGGGAAGCAGGAGACAAGGCGAGATTAAAAAAATAAAAACCTTTCTGCAGCAAACCATTTATCAGAATTATAAGAAGACATGTTAATTAGTCAATTAATTAATTAATTACGTAATTAATTGTTTTCATTGTACACACTGCAACGAAATTAGGGGAGGATTCATTGTTAATCCTTAGTTTATTTATTGACTCAATTTAAAGACAATTGTATTAATCACAGTTGGTTTTCATTGTATTTTTTACAAGCACAATTTTTTATTAATATTAATTTTAAAAAATTATAATATATATATACACATTAACATAATATGTAAAATATTAATTTTTATACTATTACTTCATATAATTGACAGTACCTAACATAAAAAAAAATAAATTCATTTAGAAAATAATGTGAACAAACTGATTATTTCTGTCCACAATTATTTTTGTTTTTGTTATGGTTGGATAAAAAAATAAAAATAATATTTTTTCGTTCCAAAAGTATAGTGTTATTGGACACGTGATATAAAAATAAAAAGTAAGGATAAATAATTTGTTTTGTTGCCTTGTGAGTGTATTAATTGTATAATAATAAAAAAAAATAAAAAAATTTTATGATAATATGATTATTTATAACACGGATAAAAATAGTAAATAAAACGTAATATTTTTAATATATAAAATAAAATAGATAAAATCAAATATTATTATAAAAAATGTATTAAATAATTCAGTTAAGGATGATGAGATATATAACTAAAAAATAAAAATATAATAATAATTATTTATTAAAATATAATTTAATATAACAGTAAAAAATAATATAATAAATCTAGTGGATAATAGATTATTAAATAAATAAAACTATTAAAATAAAAAAAAAAAAAAAAAAATTGCAAATTGAAGGTTAGAAGACCGCTGGCGGCCGTACACGGCGCCGTCAAGTGGCTAAATTGTAAATAAGTTGGAAAATAAGGGCCTTTATTGAAGGGGAGGTTGTGATGTGGGTTCGAAGAAACAGCGTCAAACTGTCAACATCCTCAATAAATAATAATAATAATAATAAATAATAAATGTGTATTTATTTTAGTGTGATTTATAGTTACACAAAACTTTTACTATTTATTTTACAAACCTTGCTTTTTATTTTTTTTCTTTTTTTTTTGAATAAAGTGCACGAAACTTCTATTTGTCACAATATTCTACAAAGAAAGAAAGAAAGAATATTTGCACGTAGCTGAATATTAGATAAAGTAGTTATTATAAAAAGGGAAAACCGGCTTTATTTAGGATGAGATAATAATATTCGCAGAGAATTAATATTTTAATTTAAGTTGGAGATTTGATCAAATTAAAGCAAATTATGGTCAAAAACTTTCGGCTGTAGAACGTCCCATCGTCCGTGTATCATCATCGGTTCCAAATTTAAATGATTAATTAAATGAAACTATTAATTGTATTTTATTCTATGCCACAAATTATTGTAGAGAAAATTGTAAAAGAAATAATTATTAGAAATAATTAAATACTCTCTCCGTCTCGGTGTCTGCTACACTGTAGATGTATACGGTATTTTAGGAGGGTGTAACTAGTAAATAATTAAGAATATATTAGTGAAAATAATTATCCTATAATATAAATAATTATAAATTAAGATTAAGATAACTAATTAGTTTAATTAAAATTAAAAAAAAAATTAAAATGAGATTAAAGTGTGTAATCATTTTTCGAAAAAAAAAAATAACATAGTATGTGAGATGGACAGAAACGGCAACATGAATATGGTATTTGAGACGGAGGGAGTATATTATAGTACGATGTGGATGTGATTAAATAGTAGAAAGCGAAGCGTGGAGGAACATAATGGGGGTGGGTGCGTCATGTCTTTTATTAATTAGTGACAAAAAATAAGGACTTCATTTGAACTTTGGCCCTACCATTTTAAATAATTTATTAAATTAAATGTGATCTAATAATGTATGTCAATCTTATCATCTAATTTAAAGTAAGACTTAGAAAGAGTGTCTTTGGTTTAGTTAGGTTTTTCTATCGGAAAAAAATTTGTTTGATATGATATTTGTAGGTGGAAATTATTTATTTTATTGGAAATGGTGAATATTTTAAACAAACTAAACATACTACTAATTTGACATTTTAAGTTTATATTTAAAAACTTTGTATATATATGAATTTGAAGTAGAACAAATCACACCCTTAATTTTTATTTTTATTTTTAATGATGTGATAACCCACAGCCGCTGCCTGAAAATGCGCATTGAGCTATTGAGTAAACTTCCGGTCGAACCTAATAACCCTGCGAACTAGGCCAGACGAAAAAGTCACACTAGGCGAACCATGTGTAGCAGGTGAACTTGAGGCGTCGGGGGTTTGAACCGATGCTTGTGGATGATGTTTTTTTCTTATTATTATTTTTTTAAAAAAAAAAAAAGTTTAGAGATTCTTTTATTAAATTTTTTATAAAAGAAAAACAAATATATTTTTGTTAAAAGTTTTAGGAAAAAAAAAAAGAAAAAAGCTAGTGTATTTGTTTTGTATTTTAGTTTGAAAGAAAAAAATTGTATAGATAATATAAAAATAACGAGAATGTATAATTACGTAGTATTGTAACAAACTTGACTTAAGAAAAAAAAAATGCTTAAGAAATTAAATATTTAAATATCAGCTTGAGTTTTAGGTATGAAATAGACCAATGCTGTATTTCGGGCCATAAAAATGGGCCGTCTGGGATTTAAGTAGAAAAAGGATTATGTGAATTTTTTAAATATATAAAAGAAATATTGTATATATTCCTTAAAAAATTATTTGATCACAAATTACAAAGTAAAAATCAATAAAGAAAAAAATGCATAAAATCACTGTCTTGTATATTCATATAAATAACAATCAGTGAATGTTTAATTAGGAGGAGTATTTTTTTTTTATTTAACAATAGTTTGAATATGTTGGTTTAAAAAATACTTAATTATATATAATTGTATTTATAAAGAATTACCTTTAACCAAGAAAATGACCATGTGAATAGGTCAATAAAAATCCATATTATAATATTTCTAAGTAATATATTATGGAGTTAATTTTAATTTTGTATTCCAATCATTTGTCTTGAATGCTTCTTTTTATTTAGATATGTAAAATTGTATGGTTAATATAAAGAAATAATATATAGTATTGAATTATTATTTTTTTGAGTGAATAAAAAAATATATGTATATAATTTATATTTTTGCAGATAGTATTTGTGATGAATTGTGCCACGATAAAAAGACAATGTAAACAAACACAAAACAATGTTTTAATTATTAAATATATTGTGAATGACAATAAGAAACATAAGGTTTTATTTGTTTTTCTTTTAAATTTTAGGTTAAATTGCGCAGAATTCACCGTGAAGTTCGATGAAATTGCACTAAATTCTCTATACTTTTAAAATTGTAAAGTTTATAAAACCACGAATGGGAGTACGTGATTTGGTGCAATTTCATAAAACTTGTGCAATTTAACCTAAATTTTATTTGTGTATAATTATTTATATATATTTTTACTCCATCAACAAGAAGAGTTATATTCAGTTTTTGTTATTATATTTATCAGTACAAAATAATTACAAATTTATTCTCACATACCAGATCATCACTTATTTAAGTTACCTATATTCTATTTTATAAGAATTGAAATATTTTTATTATTTATTCTTAATTACTATATTTTGTATAATAATTAATATTTAAATTTTTTTTATAGATCAAAATATTAATTAAATAAATTATTTTTAATTAAAAACCCAATCCGTAACAAAAACGCAACCTAATAATTTTATTTTTGCTGAGGTTGCAGAGCGGACTCGAGTCATTTTAATTAATATACAGTTGATGAGTAACTGAAGCAGGAAGAGCAGGGGAAGCCATCCCCATAGCCATGGCCAATTTTGAGCTGATCCTGCTGAGTAGGATCAAACTGCGTCTGAGGTCATTTCTTAAGTCTTTATTATATTTCCTGGAACCTTCCTTCACTTGCGATTAGGAAGGCAAAAACTAGTGAGCAACGTTACCATGGAGGAAAACTGCATGAACCCATCGCCAATTACTTGGGAAGAGTTGGGAAGGGAAGCAAGCAAGATGACACACTCACACTGACTGTGCAGTTGAGTTGAAAATTGGTTGGTTCCATCAGTAAAATCCAACTGATCTGGTGAATCTCCATGCGCTATTTAGCGTGCATTGACTGGTGATACCGGTCCGACGCGTTATTGAATCAGTTACTGACGTCTGTAAATCGGAGGCAGGAAGTTTCTCCCGAGCTTCCTGGAAACCTGTGTTTGTTCGATTCCATTTTTCAATCTCCTTTGAACGCTTGTGATGAATTGTGTTTATAAATTGTTTCGTGTAGGACTCAGTTTTTTATATCCTTGTCTGTACCTTTCGATCCTTTGTTGTGTTGTTATCTGCGATGGATTCGGCGGAGAATGAGGTTTTCGATATGGAAGCTCAGCTGAAATCCTTTTTGGATCCTCAATTGGCCGAAGAAGTTGCTGGGACGACGACGACCACCACCACGACCGACATCAATGCTGCTGCGAGAAAGATGTTTTTCAGAATCATTTTGCTTAATCGTTCTGCTACACGTTTCAAACTTGCAGCTGCCGATGTTCACTCTGACTATGGCGTCATAGGAAGCTCCGATCACCAGCAACTGTTGATTCAGGTAAATTGTCCATATGTTTTCGTGTGAAAATGATCAGATTATGCGACAATAGCCTTCATTCTGTAGAGCATCCTATTGTCTGATCAATTAGGGTTCCGGCGATGCGGCGCCGGCTGCGGAGGTTCCGATGGAGATATTCAGTGCTCCGTCGGCCTCCGCCGACGAGTGCGAGCAGAATAGCCGACTCCAGTTGAAAAACATCAACGAAATCGTGAGGGGAAAGAAGCTCGACGACCTCCACAGGTATGGTGGAGTGAGCGGAATTGCAGAAGCATTGAACACCGATCTCCTGAACGGAATTTCCATTGACGAAGCAGAGATCATCGCACAATCCGTGGGAGCAGCTGGTCAGATAATTGAAGCCACGGCCATGTTTCTCCACTCCCTCCTTGCCGCTTGCAAGAATTTAACCTTCTTCCTTCTCTCCATTGCTGCTATTTTCTCCTTCATATCCGGCGTCATAGAAGACGGCTTAGCCCAAGGCTGGTATGACGGTGCAGTCATATTTTTAATCGCCATTGCCATCGTTGTTTTTCCGGCTACGCTCAATTATTGGGGGGAAAGGATGTCGCGCAACAAATTGGAGAATCTTTGGGAGATGGCAAAGGTGCGAGTAGTCAGAAATGGTTGCCCTGTCTTCGTGCTGGCAGATGCTCTTCGAATTGGCGACATAGTAGTACTAAGAAAGGGTGATCAGGTCCCGGCGGATGGTATATTTGTCGATGGTGAATCCCTCGAGGTAGTCGGGGAATATCATCAATCCACCATTAATGGCCTCAATCCCTTCATACTGTATCCTTCGAGAGTGATAAATGGAGATGCTAAGATGATCGTGACAGCAATCGGCATAGACACCGGGTGGGGAGAGATGCTCAATAATGCTGTTAAATCCGATAACAAGTTCAAGTTAGAGGATTGCCTCCATAAGGTGAACACCTGCATACACTATACTGGGCTGCTTATAGCCATCCTGATCATCGTTGTTTTGTTTCTTCGGTTTAAGGCAGGAAAGTTAGATGATGGGAATGGATCATACATGCCAGATCCAAAGGGAGAACCTACAAGAGTAAAGACCATACTAGAGGAGATCAAAAGGATCTTTACCAAGTCGAAAGGGACCGCAAGAATTCTTACAACACTATTAGGTGTTTCACTTCTTGGAATAATGGAAAGCCTGCCCTTTGTCATCTGTATCGCCATCATGATCTTGAACCGTAAAGCGTTAGCCTACAAAGCTTCGATGAGAGAATACCTAGCCTGTGTGAAGATGGCGTCGGTTACGACAGTTTGCTCGGATAAACACGGTGGGCTAACAGAGCATGAATTTGCTGTTGACAAGTTCTTTGTTGGGGGAGAATTAGTGAGCGAAAGCTCTGTTGTGGCGTCTGATGTGCTTGAAGGCTTATGCGACGGCATTCGCACTCTGTTTTTGATCCGTCGAAGAGGTGGTTGTTGCGACCCAAAATTGGATCAGCTAATCTCTTGGGCAGAGACAACTTGGGGGATGAAAGAAGAATCGTCTTTTGGGGAGCAATGCAGCATTATAAGCGGCGAATGCTGCGATCCTTTCCAGCAATGCTGTCAGATTGTCGTGACAAAAGAGGAAGAGCAGAGCAGGTACTGCTTTTATTTAGGACCTCCACAGCACATCTTGTGCTTGTGTTCTCACTACTACGACATTGGAGGGGAAAGTAAGGAACTGGATGGTGACAAGAGGAGGGTGCTTGATCAGGCCATTGATGGCATGCTAATCGACGGAGAAGAAATGATCGCATATGCCAGAGAACGTTTAAACGGATGCGACACATGGCCAATCCAATCGAACGGCATAAGTTACATGGGAATGGCGAGCTTGAAGGATACAGAGAGGGCGGCGACAAGAACAGCAATGTCGAAACTGAGATCAGCTGGGATTAGAACTGTAATTGTCTCGGGGGATGATGTCGAAGTATTGAAAAATGGTGGGGTTCTTGATCCTGATGATCCCGGCAGCCTGATGCTCACTGCGAAGGAGTTCAGTGACTGGACAGAGGAGGAGAAGATGGACAGGGTAGAAAGGATATGCATATTGGGGAACTGTCTACCGTCCGACAAGATCGGTCTGATCAAATGCTTGCAAGGGAAAGGCCAAGTGGTGGCATTCATGGCGCAGCAAACTGTCGACGCTCCGGCGCTGGCGCAAGCCGATATAGGGATCACGTTTGGAGCATGGAGCTCGGAGATTGCCCGCGAATTCGGAGACATAAACATCCTCGACAGCTGCTACTTAGGCGTGGTGGCGAGCGCCGTCGAGGCCGGGAGATGCTTCCTAGAGAATGTCCGGAAGTACATCCAGCTGCAGCTGATCTTCGCCATTTCCAGCTCCTCAATTAACTTCATTGCAACAGTTGCTCTCGGGGACGCCCCCATAACTGCCCTCCAGCTCTTCTGGCTGAATCTCGTGGTCGCATTCCTCGGTGGATTGGCCCTGCTGACGGGGCCGCCGCCGGCGCCGGAGACAGATGAGGTGACGAGTGCTTTATCCCAGAAGCTGATAACGAAGGGAATGTGGAGGAATATTGCGATCCAGGCATCTTACCAGACGACCGTTTTTGTGGCCCTTCAGCATAGAGGAGAAGTGATGATGGGGATAGATGGGGATCGTGTGAAGTCCATGATATACAATGGATTCTTCCTCTGCCAGGCGTTTAATAAATTTATAGCTAGAGAGCCTGAGAAGAAGAACATCTTAAGTGGGCTGAGTCATGCACGGCGGCACCGCTGGTTTTGGGCGGCGCTGGTTCTTACCGTGGTGGCTCAGGCGGGATTTGCGGCGGCGGAAAGGGCGGGGCTGAAATGGAAGGTATGGGGCGTGTGCTTGCTCGTCGGCCTTATTTCGTGCCTTTTGGATTGGCTGGGAAAGATTGTCAGCAAATGCATACGGGATGTTGTCTCCAGCTGACAGGGGAAGTAGAGAGTTTAATTTGTTAAAAATTAGTGTATATCAGGATGATATGATATGATATGTCGGGCACTGTGCAGCTAATTAAAAAAATATTACTATGTAATGTAATGTAGATATGTAAGGCTTTGGACTAGCTCGGAATAGTCCAAAGTTGGAAATCCCCAGTAATAATAAAACAGATTGGTTGGGTTGGGTCCATGCATAAAAAATGAAAAAGAAGCATATGGTATTATATATATATATATATATATATATTTATATGTGTCCCAACATCAGCAGCTTTCATTGCAGCATGCCATTCACTTCCAACAGCACAAAGACAAGAGCATCCGGCCAGACACATATGTATATAATCTCGAGGGGGAGCTGAGAACGAGAGAGAATGTTTTGTTGTTTTACAAGATGGAGGAGAATGTTAGACAATTTGAATCTCTGTCATTAAAAAATTATATATATATATAAAGATGTCGATCCATCCATGAATCCATCACAGTGCTGCCCATTATCGCAATTAACAGTATATATTCTTGAATGACAAAACACACAACACACACACACACACATATATATATATATAATAACTTTCTCTCTCTCCTCTCCTCTCAATCCTACAAAAAGGAAGACTGCATCATGAGCACAGATTCAGACAACACTTTAGCACTAGCAAAAGAAGAGTGGGAAAAAAAGGGGATTTATCAAAGCAAAACAAATTATGAGTGGGGGGACTTTTGCTTTAATTTAGGGCATGGAGAGGAGGGTAGGACAAGGTAGGTAGCTAGCTAGGTAGGCTAACATATATTCCTCCAAACACATCCTTCCATGTGCTAGTTCTGGGTTTTAACCTCGCCTCTCTTGGATTTTCTTGTTAATTCTTATTATTATTGTTGTATATCTTCATCTTCATCTTCATATTCAATAATTGGTATTATATTGGGGTCTCCCCCCACTAAGATTGGCCTCCTATCCTCTTCTTCTTGTATTTTCTGCATCACCATCCGATTCTCTCTTCTTTTCTTGGAATCCCCGAAATAAGGACGACATCTATACACCCCCCCCCCTCCCCCACCCCAACCCCTTTTTATTTGTTCTCACACACACGCGTGTATCTATATAAATTCATCTTATTCAATCATACCATGCATGATCTTGATATCACCTACCAAGAATTGATTTGCTTATTAAGTAGTTTGTCTGTCTGTCTTAAATTAAAAATGGTCATGGAGAGTACTAGTGCTGCTGATCATCGTCATCATGGTTACAGTGCAGCAGGTGGGGGGGTGGTTCTGTCGTCGTCCTCCATTGCTTTACTGCAAGAGAGGTTCAGGCAGCTCCAGAAAATGAAGGAATTGAGGCAGGAGAAGGAACTTCTCAAAATGATGTTATTGTCCGAATCTGATCAGATCAGATCTCCCACTCCTCCTTCTCCTTCATCATCGCTACACAATCATTATATTCTAGGACCTGCTGCAGCCGCAGAATTAGGGTTTCGTCCACCTAAGACGATGACACAGAATTGCCAGCTGTCCCTGTCCCTGTGGCCTGAACCTGATCATCCTCCTGCACAAAACTACTTCAGCCAAGCGGGTTCCCTGGAGACGATAACGAGGGCCCCACCCCCATCATTGAATCTTATTTCCAGGTCGTCGTTCTGGTTCGATGGCGAACCATTGCCACTGCCACTGCCACTGCTTCCTACTTCTTCGCCTTCTCCAATCAAGATTGGAACCTCCGGCGGCTCTGATGTCGATACCTCTCTTCGCCTGTGAAATCACCAGCTGTGTTTTTGTTCTTTGCCTCTCTCTCTCTCTAGATATAAATCTGTGAAATTGATTGATCATATGGGATCCGGACAGTGTCAGTTTGTTCCCATTATATATCATCATGAAGACATAACTTTTGTGATGAAATCATTGTCTGTGCTTACAATCAAAACAAACAAATCCACTTTGGGTGTGTATTACAATTATGAACAATTTTAATATAACTTTGATCCGACTAATATATGTATAGTAGTTGTATTAATCGTGTAAATTCAGTTTTGCAATGTTTACTACGAAGCCATCTGTATAATCAATTCACTATGATAAATCTTATTATCCTATGAACTTTTGAAAGACTTACGATATTTTGTAAATTTGATACTATTTCAAAAATATATATATTATCTTCTTTTTTTATATATAAAATAATTAAACAAAGATTAATTCTTTTACAAATCATCCAATCTCTTCCCAAATAACGTTTTCAAGAATCAAGACAATAGAAAGTCTTTTTGACTCGACAAATCTTCTAAAAAGGAAATTGAGCATGGGAATGGGAAGAAATAGAGAGGCCCATATTGGCCCAATATAGCAACCCAAATAGTCCTTCAAATTTCAATATCCAGCTTAATAATACCCACAAAATTATTATTATTATTATAAGTAAATAATTTGTAGCTTTTAAATAACGAAGCAAAATAGAGAGAGGAAATGGGGAGAGAGGAAAAAGTCAACACGCAAAAATGAGAACGTTGCATTCGGTGGGGCCGCCTTTGATCCGACTACCTTCAACCCGCCGTCCCGGTCGCAATATTCGTACCACTTTACTGTTTTTTTTCTCGTCCTCGAACGGCCCAAACAAGTAAACCCGAAGACTTGCGGGCTGATCGAATTTGCTATAGGGCTTGCGGGGTGAATGTCGGATCAGGTTGCGTGATTCAGTTTGAATTCCTTCAGATGAGCCTCCCTTTCAGGTGAATCCCTGTATAATTTTTGTTTGCATTCTTTCGTGTTTCTTGGTGCGTATTTCAATCTAAGTAGTTTAGATCTTCTCTGTGATTGCGTTGTTTGTTTCTCTGCTTCTTATTGTTTGAAAGTTTTTTGTATGTTCATTTAGTAGGATTTTGTTCTGAGCTTTGAAAAGCTTTGTTGCTTATCTTGCCTCTATTTTGATGTGCATCCCATCATTTGCTGGTCATTAATCTATGTTTCCGTTGCCAATTCCAACTTTTTTTTTTTTCCGTATTATGTCGTCTGTTCTATATATTGCTCAGCAAATTTGAGCTTAGTTTTCAAAATCCTTGACTTTTCCTTTAAGGTGGATTGCTTGAGTGGTATCTCTTTGTAGTTTGTGTATCTGATATTGTTTTTCGACTCTTGTTTGTCTGTGGCTCCTTTTGTGGTGATTGCTATCTCAAAGCATCTTATTGAGTTACATGAGAAAAATTTACTGCAACCTGCAAAGCTTACCACAAATTGAAATAGGAGGGCAATGCAAACTTTAAATGAATTGAGCATTTCTTTGACTAGAAGCTTGGTTTTTTTCATCTAAATGCACATTTTCCAATCTGTAGAGACTTTACTAAAAGTAGAAGATTGAGGTTTAAAACTGCATACTTACATACTCATATAACCAATTGATTGTGGTTCTTTTACTCCTCCAGAGACTAGATTGTCAAGTGTACTCTGTATGGGAACATCTTCAGGATCTTGTTTCAATAACCAATCCTCAATGCTGCCTCCTCGTCAACAGCCAAGGCCTGGAGGAGGGGGACTTCAAACCTCTCTTTCATTAATTTCCCCAGATGCTAGCAGGTCTGCGAATCTTCTTGAGCTTGGCGCTGATCAGGCCCGTGAAGCCCCATCGGAAAGTGCCAGTTCACGAGAAACCTGGCCCACTGCAGATGCCTTGGTAGCAAAAAAAATAGAGAAGGATAAAGAAGCTGAGGATGGTATTGCTGAGCACTCTGTTATTCGGAATATTTCCAGATCAGACAATTTGTCTCTGCAAGATATAGCCAGAGAAAGAGTGGATGTTATAGCCGAAACAATGCAAAATCTCCCAGATGAGTATTTGAACAAGTTTAAACATGAGCTTCGGGCCTTACTTGAGGGGTTAGGTGGTTCTCACCAAAGAGAAGAGTTCCTTTCTCTGCAAAAGATGGTCCAAAGTAGGGTTGATTTGTCGGAGAAAACACTGACTGTAGCACACAGAATCCAGCTCGAGATTCTAGTGGCTATGAAAACTGGAATTCAGGCATTTTTACTTCCAAATGTCAGCCTCTCTCAAGCTTCCCTTATTGATATTTTCTTATACAAGAGATGTAAAAACCTAGCATGTGAGAGTGTTTTACCTGCAGACGACTGTTCCTGTGAGTTGTGCTCAAAGAAAAATGGTTTCTGCAGTCATTGCATGTGTGTGATTTGCACTAAATTTGATTTTGAGGTCAACACATGCCGTTGGATTGGATGTGATTTGTGTTCTCACTGGACTCACACCGACTGTGCTATTAGAAAAGGGCAGGTTGGCATGGCTCCTTGGGCTAAAAATGGGGTATACTCGGCCGAGATGATTTTTATGTGCCGTGCTTGCTGTAGGACATCTGAGTTGTTAGGGTGGGTAAAAGATGTTTTCCAGCATTGTGCTCCGTCCTGGGATAGGGATGCTTCAATTAGAGAACTTGACTATGTAAGAAGAATTTTCTGCCGGAGTGAGGATCCTAGGGGCAAGGAACTTTTGCGAAAAAGTGAAGAGCTTATTGAAAAATTGAAAAGTGGGGTATCAGAACCTATTCCTTGTAAAGCTATCTTAACATTCTTTCAGGGTAAGCTTATATTGTAGGTATATATTTCATTGTGTTTGTTGGTTCTATATATTCAATTACACCTCTTCCGCATTCCATTGTCCAATGTTTTCTTAGTGTATATATTTCTGTTCATGTTTAGAGATGTCGATAAAAAGTATTCTCTCTAAGCTAGAGATCTTATTTTTCTGTTATCTTCTGCAGAGCTTGAGCGTGATTCCTCAAAACAACGAGAAACTACAGAAGGTGGGAGGATGATATCCCCACAAGAAGCGTTTAACAATATAGCTGATGTAGTACAGGAAGCTGTGAAAAAGATGGAAGCCGTTGCAGATGAGAAGATGAGGATGGTCAAAAAGGCCCGCCTAGCTGTAGAGTCATGTGAGCAAGAGCTGAAGGATAAGGCTAGGGAAGTTGCCGATCTTAAGATGGAAAGGCAGAAAAAGAAGATACAAATTGATGAACTTGAAAGCATTGTGAGGCTTAAACAGGCTGAGGCTGATATGTTTGAACTCAAGGCCAATGAGGCCCTGCGGGAAGCTGAGAGGCTCCAGAGAATTGCACTTGCCAAGACTGAGAAAGAAGACGACTATGAAAGTAGATATCTCAAGCAGCGGCTGCAAGAGGCTGAAACTGAGAAGCAATATTTGTTCGAGACGATAAAACTTCAGGAAAGTTCGAGGACATCACATCAAAATGCAGGAGGGAGTGACCATTTGCAGATGTATAATAAAATCCAGGACCTACTCAAGAACATGTGCAACACATCTTCAAAGGCAGAGGCTCAATCAACTGATCTTCATTCTCTGGGTGGATTTCCTTAATTCTGTACGTAAAATGTTTAAATCTTTTAACTTGATATGACACTGTAACTTTAACTGTGTGTTGTCTCTATCCAATCTGCTTGTTCTCCTCCTTTCTTAAAGATTAGGAAACAAGTTGATCAACTTGTGTGGATGCAAATGTAGCTCTATCTTTTATTGCCATTCTATGTTTCCTGATTGTGCTTGCTTCTAAAATCAATGAGCTTGTTATTGAATATAAAAATTTCATATTCTGTTTGATGCATATTCTGCTTGTCCTCTGATAGGATATCAGGTTCTCTGGTGATTTTTTTTTTTACTGAGAGACAAGTGTCTGATATAAAATTTCCTAGTAGTTTGTCTGAGTGAATGAATTGGTAAGTGCTGTAATGATGACATTTTGCTTTTGTGACCACATACCTACTACCTTAATTCCACTATTGCTTTGGAATGGGCAGTTTTGGATTGAAATTTAAAAGAATTAAGTTCATTACAAAGTAAGATAAGCCATCATTTTCTTATCTTTAATTAGCATGCCACTTCTTTCACAATCTGATTAATTAATGGCACAGAGATTACTTCAGAATTCCAGACGTATTATTCTCATTAAAGTTTGATTATTAGTAGTTGGTTGGTCGGTATGTGAATTATGGAACACAACAATTATGGTCACTTTAGTCATTATTAGAACAATGTAACCAAACTTCAGCCTTTTGGCATCTTTTGTCCTTTAGTCCAACATGTGTTCATATGGAAGTGAATCTCTCTCTCTCTCTCTTGAATAAACAAGCAAGAATGGGCAATGGGTCATCATGAATCCCAGTGCTGCACTACCTTGAATTAGGTAAGAGATGTATAATCAAGGTGAAAATACACCTGTCCCACTTAAATATAATTACTCCCTTAATCTCTGTCTTTCTGTAGAGCTTGATGAATTGCCCCTTTGCCAGAGAACAGTCCTGAATCTTAGGTCTTTGTTCATAAATGTTGTCCTATATATGTGAGTAACTAACCCTCATTCAATGTTTCATTAGCCTCTACTCAATGCTTCCATCAATTTATGAAACAGTGTCCTCTCTTTAGATTTTTGCCATGCTGATTATAAATTTGAAATCCCATTTTATCAAAAATAGATATATTGATTCCTTTATGTCAATTCTGGTGTTACCTATAGCTTGTGAACTTGGGCACTCGTTCAATAATTTAGATAACTCCATCACTAAAGAATAGTGGTTGAATGTTTCTCTATTTTTAGTTTTTTTTTAAAAATTATTTTTTTAAAGATAATAGAAAAGGAAATTCATAAAAGTACATCCATGAGGTGTCTCTCCTTAACTGTTGGAATACAGGTAGGTAAAAACATTTAGTTCAAGTAGAGCTACTCTCTTCCTACTGCTTGCCTTTTTTTCTCAGCTTGTCTGAAAAAACATCACTTTTGAAAAATATAGAGGTCTGTTTATGGTGTGGGAAGATGAGCTATCTTGGTGTGGGTGTGAGTCCAGGCCACGTTCCTGTATATCACCATGTGAGCAATCTGAAGGTGATTGACAGGAGAGTGAAGCTTGCAGAGTTGGTTCTGAGATGTGTCATCTGTGTTTTAGCCATTCTTGCAGCTGTTCTCATAGGAACCGACACTCAGGTGAGGGAGTTCTTCACAATAAAGAAGAAGGCCAAGTTCACAGACATGAAAGCCCTTGTGTAAGATCCCTCTGCTCTCTCCTTACTAGTGCTACAATAATGGTGGACCATCTGAGGAAGTTTGACATTTCTTGCAGTTTCTTGGTGGTAGCCAATGGAATAGCAGCTGCATACTCACTTCTCCAGCTTTTGAGGTGTGTTGTGAGTATGGTTAGAGGGAGTGTGCTGTTCAACAAGCCCCTGGGTTGGGCCATTTTCTCTGGAGATCAGGTCTTCTAGAAATTGAATATACCTTTTCCTGTTTTATCTGCTGTCTGCATTTGGGAATTTTAAGGTTAAAAGAAAATCCCCCCCTGGTTTCTTGATTTTACTTCTCCTGAAAGACCCTTTTAGTCAAGAACCATTTTTGTTGTTGCCTGCTGAAAAACTAAAGCTTTTCAAAACATACTAAATTTGAGTTCCTGAAAATTGTTGTTGATTCCTACAGGTGATGGCCTACTTGACAATGGCAGCGGTGGCAGCTTCTGTGCAATCGGCGGTGTTTGCGAAGTTTGGACAAACTGAGCTGCAGTGGATGAAGACGTGCAGTTTCTATGGGAAATTCTGCAACCAGGTCGGGGAGGGCGTGGCCAGCGCGGTGGTGGTGAGCCTCTCCATGGTAATACTGTCGGGGTTATCGGCATTCAGCTTGTTTCGGCTCTATGGAGATGATGACAATGAGAAGAGCAGTGGGGATTGGTAAACTATGCATGAAATGAAATCAATCACACAATGAGAAGATCTGTTTTGTATTGTAATGTATTATCTCTAACATGGATTAGTTAAGGATGGATGATGAGTATGTGGTGTGCATAACAGTCCTGTCTTTTGTAATTGTGTCCGCTGCTGCTGTCTGAATAATAATGTTTAAACAAGAAAAGCGTTGTTCTGAAATCACGTTTGCAGATTATTAGTCTAATAAATTGCTTCAACTGAACTGAATTTTTCGGTTAATACTTAATTGAGGGAATCGGGATTATTTACATTATTATATTTAATTTTCAATCTTAGTAGTTATATTATACTATAAATTAAGTATTTACATATATTAATTATTTTTAAAATATTTGTTAATATTTTTAGTTAATTGAAATTTTGGTTATTGATCAAATGTATATCTATTTATTTAAAATTTGTTTCATCTCCACTTATTTGCAAGTATTTATTTTGACTAACTGAATTGTTTGGTTTAAATCTAATTTATGATTTTGAATATTTGTTTGATTGGATTTGAATGCTACTAACGGCTACAGATATATTTGATATTGGGCTTCTTAGTGGATCAGATTCGTGCTTACAAATATGGGTTATTTTAGTGGATCAAATTTGGGCTTTTAAATGGATGATATTTGTGTTTCTTTATTTGGACTGCAAAGTTTGGCACTATGAGAATATTCCCCAATACTGGGTGTCTACCTTTTATTTTTAATGAATATACTACCTTTTATTTGTTTTTTCACGTAAATTTTTGAATATTAGTATTATATTATATTGTAGTAAAAAAGACAAAAATACCCTATTAGTACGGTGTAATATAAAAATAATAGCATTTATGTAATATATTGTAAGTTGAAAGGGTATTTACTAAATTAGAAAATGGTAACCTTGTTTTGGAATGGACGGAAATAGAAAATTGTAACCTTTCAATGGGACGAAGGGAGTATATTTTTTATATTAGTTACAAGAAATTATATCCTTAAAATATAAGATAATATTTTTATTGAATTTTTAATTTTTTTTTATAGATAAATAGAATATATATTATATATTGTTTTAATATGTATATAGTTTTACTATATTAAATAGTTTATTCAATCCCCAAATTAAAAGGGTTTGGTCATTTAATTTACAACTAATTCATTTCAAATAAAATAATGACATATGTTGGATGCTATATATAAAAATATCAATGGCAATCGTTAAATGATATGTTTCACAAATCACATATATAAATAGTTACATTTCTATTATATTTAATTTAGAATGTATTTAAGTTGGTAGATTAAAACTATTTTATTATTATAAAAAATATTTTCCGGATTACAAAATATGTTTACATGGTTGATTATAGATTTTTAATTATATATATATATATAAAACATGTATAGAACATGTGGAAATTAATACTTTTTCGACAATATATCGACAAAAAATTGTCTACCTCATTGAATACGTTAGACAATACGATGTATAGTTTACATGCGTCAACAACACTTTTTCGTAATAGACAAAAAAAATAGGTATAAATCGGTTAAAGTCAAATATTCAATATTTCAATCGACGTCATTTCGTTACAAAAAAAAAAAAAAGTAAGACTAAATTATTTAAATGAATATTTCATTGTTTCAATCAACATAAACTTCAAGAATTCAATAAATATGGCCTAAGCTAGTTGAATCAAAGAGAGACCCTAATTTAGATTTAAGTTTTAGTTATATTTTGTGAGAAATAACACTATATTTATCATTTAAATGAAAATTATAGTTAGTTTTTGTCATCATTTTTATACTACTAAATAAGTATTTGAATGTAAAATTTAATTAAAAAAGATAATAATAAACAATACATTTTTAAAAAAATGACATAATAAACACAATTGATATAATATTTTTGTAACTATATAAAAATTAAATAAGTAATAATATACGCATAATATGAAATGAAAATTACAAAAATTAAAAGGAGAGTTGAGAAAATCTAAAAATATAGTATAATATAAGTAAATAAATTAATAAAATAAAATAGATGATTCTAGTGGGCCCATAGTATAGTAGTAGTAATGTATTGTATGTAATAAAAGAGGCGTGTTTGGTGGCAGTTATTTAAATTGAAAACGAGAAAAAGGGCCTTCTCCTAGGTTTAGGTTTATTTCTCTGTGACGAAGAACACAAGTCCTACTTGGGTCTTCTCTTCTCCTCTCCTCTCTTCTCTTCTCCTCTCCTCTCTTCTGACACCAATAGCTATAGCTGCTGCTGCTATCATTACCTCCCAACAAAACCATGGTAATTCTTCTATTCTAACCATGTCCGAAATCTGTCTTTCGACCATCTCCTTTCGTTAGATCAGTTTAATTTCCTTTGCGATAATTCTTTGGTTTTTGGTAGCCATGGATTTAATTGTGTTTCTGGCAATATAATTCATCCGAATTCGACGGCTGTGTTCTTCTGTCTTCATTACATTAAAACTTAACTAAATCGACATTTTTTTTTTTTTTTCTCCCCCTTTTTCACCAAAAAATTAGTCGCTGTTTTCAATTTTACGTTTCCGATGTCGATCTCACCTTCTGCCTGCTGCTTGTCTGTTTTCCGAAGAAATTACTTTAAATCTTAAGATCTTGTCTTTGAGTTTGTCGATGTTCGAAGATAAAGAAGTTTAATTCGGGTGTTGTAAGATTATATATATATTGTGCGTCGATATATATTATTGAAATGGCGATTATGTTTGTGTCGTCAATTAGGGTTTTACACATTCAAAATTCGATTCATTTGTTTCCCCAATCTTCTGTGCCCTTTGGTGTTTTTGTTTAACTTCATTTCTATATATCCCACCCCCAAATTCTTAATATTCTCAGAATCGGTAAAAACAAATCTTTAATTAATAATTTGTGGATTAATCGATCGAAAACTAATCTAAACTAATTGCAGACTGTGTCGAAAAGGGTCGCGTCGAAGAAGGTGGCAAAGTTCGAGAAGAACATCTCGAGGAGAGGATCCGCCGCCACATCTGTCTCGAAAAAGGGTTTCGAACCAGCCCACGTTGTCCTCATTCTCTTCACTGTCTTGGTGGTCGCCTCCTGTAAGTAATATATATATATATTCAGATATTATACATTATTACTCATCCCTTTTTAATTTCTATCGAGCATGTTCATCCATTAATCATTCAGATCATCAGATATATCAAAAGGGCTTGAAAATTAAACAAAACCTTATTGATTAACAGCAAGCAGCATTATTGTTTATAGAAAAATGGCAATTGTCCCAACCACCCACCCCCTAACTACTTGCTGTTTTGCAACCTGTAATTAGGAATTTTATTGAACTGAATACTGTGTATTGTATGTATCTATACATATATATGCTAGAATTGATGCAGTTTTTGTCGTATGAACGAACTTTGAGCCTGATTTGGACAGACAACTAATATAATGTCTTTTTCTTACAACTGGTACGGTGAGGGTTTTGCAGTCATCTTCCAGGTGGTGAGAATGGCACTGAATGATGGTGGGAGTGACGATCTGCTCAAGGATAATGAACTTGATTCCTGAAAAGGGTGTCCAGATTTTTCTGACACCATTTATATATATATATATATAATCATGTGTAAGCATATTTTGCTGCAAACTATTAAGTCAGTATTCTTGGCTTGGGTTTGTTGAGACATTTTCTGGGTGTTTTGGTAGTTTTAATATAATAATATTTGAATTTAAAATAAAATTATACTCCCTCCTTCCATTTTCTAATGTTTTGCATTTTTAGGTAATTAGGATTTTTGTTATAAAATGACAAATTTGTCATTAATCTTGTGTATAGAAAAGGAAATAGTGAATAAAGTAAGGATAAAATAGTAAATTTTGTCTATAAAAATAGAAAGAGGACCATAATTATTGGACATTCCAAATAAAAAAGTATTAGGCAAAGGGGATTTGCTTGATATATAAGTTTGGATGTATTTTTGGAGAATGTAAATTTTGAATTGAAATTTGTTGGAGGTCACATATGTATATTTTGATCAATTAAATTTTATAGTTAATATATCAAATAAAAAATGCACTCCATCCGCCACACTTAAGTATTTTTCTTGAACATTTATATAAGATTAAAAAATAATATAGTTTAATTAGTTACGAAGAGTGTGTAAGATAATTTTAATAATTTTAATTTGTTATTTTATGTATAAATTAATTATATGTTTGTAATTTATGTAAAAATTTAAAATATATTGATATTAATGTGTGATATTTTTATAGTAATAGGAAAGTAGTATTTTGATTGAATATATGAAAATAGTAAAAATGATAATTTTAGTATGATATACTATTATATTTAGAAAAATAAATAACTTATTGTATTGTGAAATTTGAGGTTAAGGAATACCACCAAGCAAATTTTTTTATGTGTGTGTTTTTTTTTTTTAGAGTTTGATTTTATTAATTTATTTTGATTTGTTTCTTTTTATATTGATTTGAAGTTAATATTTATACAAAAATAATAGTATCTCTGTCTCGGTGCAAGGTTGTCATTTGATTTTTATGTCATTGTACTTGATATTAAAAATATATTTATATTTGTAATATAAGAGACTAATAAATATATTTTTTTTTGTTACTTTATTTTATTTTGTACTAAGTATTAATATAATAATTAATATTCAAATATCAACGTGTAAAAGTGAATGACAACTTTCTTGCGAGACATAAGGTGTAATATATTTTGTTAAAATATTACATTAGTTGATCAAATGTCAAATAGACAACCTTAAAGTTGAAATAAATTTAAGTTAATAATGTACATATATTTTTTTTTTCCCGAGAGTTTTTTCTTAAATACCAATATAAGAAATTCAAAGAAATATGAAAGTTTGTTCTTTCAACAATTTTAATCAAAATCTTATATTATTATTTTTACATTTATAGAAAATCGTAAATATTATGTAGAAAAAAACATCTAAACAATTCTCAAAATAAAATAAACAAAGCATTTTATCTTTCTTCTCGGAGGGTATTTCATTCCCTCACATTCACATTCAAGATAAGCACAAAATGCAACATTGACAAGGCATAGATGTTATACTTTCTCCATCCCAAAAAAATAAAAAAAATAATAAAAAAAAAATTGTCATATATTTTTTACTATTAATATTATATTAATAGGTAGTAAAAACAAAAAAAAAAAACAAAAAGACCCAAAATATTTCTATTAATATTATGTATTATAAAAATAATAGCATTTATATAATAAATTGTAAATTTAGTATAAAAATATTCATTATATTAGATATGTAGTACAATTATTAAATTAAAAAATAATATTTTTATTTTAAAATAAATAAAAATGTAAAATGATACTCTTCGTTTTGAAAACAAAAATATATATTATATATCGATATTTATTTTTTAAAGACGTAAAAATTCGTACTCGTGTGGCGGGCAAGCCCAAAGATTTTGAACTTATGACAGTAGAGGATTTTTAGATGGACTCTTGATGTCCAGTACTATAACTTCAATGGCCCATTAAGGTTTCACCTCAGCCCAATCCATAAATCCGGTCCAATCATATCACTGTTGTTCGGATAAGGCAAGAGCAGCTCTGCCATCCATCCACCCAATATCGAGCCCCCCCACTCTCACCCATCATTCAATTCCATCTTAATTCTGATTGCAGAATTTCCGGCCACCAACGATGAACAATCTATTCAGGCTTCAGCTCCACTGCTGCAACCACTCATATCTCAAAATTAATCCATTACCATCAATCCCAATAAAATCCCCAATTCCCTGTGCTGCTGCCGCGAAATCCACCAGACGCCTCAAATCCGATGCGATTTCAGCCGGAGAATCATCGCCGTCGCCGGTAAATTGGTCGAGACGAATGGTAATGTTTGGGGCTGCGTCGTTGGTGTTCTTAATCGGCGTCGACGACGACCACAGTAGTAAGGCATTGGCTTTGGGCCCCGAAGGTCCTCTAATGGAGGAATTCTGGGACAACATGAGGAGATACGCACTCTATGTGTTAACAGTCAGCACCGGCGCTCTCTACACTCTTCTTCAGCCCATTGTCGAGCTCCTCAAAAACCCCATCACTGCTCTTCTCATCCTCGCCATTTTCGGCGGGGGTTTCTACCTCGTCTCCCAAGTGGTAACTGCCATGGTCGGCTTGTCCGATTTTTCTTACGACTATAATTAGTAGAACTGTAGAAGAGAGATATATGTCTGTGTCTGTCCTTGTTGTTTAATTGGATTGAATTAAGCAGTTATTACAGAACTTAATTATTATTCACGACGAACCACTGATGATGATACATTCATACATAGACTGGATAAGATCATAAACGTGAGTAGATTCAGACATGATAAATTAAGACAGAGTTCAGCAGGAGACGGTGGAGACAGTCATGGGGTACTTGAAGGTGTTGGCGTACTGGAAGAAAACGGTTTCTCCGGGGTTGATGGCCTGGCCGCCGTTGAGAAGGCAGTCATTGTAGGCGATCCTGTGGAAGACGGCGGGGTTGATGAGCCTGGCGGTGCTGAACCAGCCGCAGCTGATATGGATGTTGGAGATAGGGATGCAGTTGCCATCGACGCAGGGGTTGGAGAATTCGACCGTGTAGGTCGGAATTCCGCTGGGGAGTGGAGTCGATGCGTTTTGGTATACGACAATGTCTTCCGGCGAACAGGTCGGGTTGCCCTCTCCTATCCTGTTAGAAGATCCGTCTCCGTCGCCGCCACTGTCATCGCTGTCGTCCCCAACGATGTTGTCTTGCCAAATTGTTTTAATGAGGTAGTGAAATTAAAGGATTAATTATCAAGGGTAGGGCTTTGATTTGCATATGAATTTTACCATTAGCAGTGGCTGCTGAGTTAGAGGCTGCATTTTTTCTGGAGAAGGAGTGTCCATGAATACCGGCCACTGCTTCAAATTAGATAATTTTATGTCCGTGCAAGAACATTATAGTTATGGATATAGATATAGATATAGACACGGATATATGCACGCACCAGCAGAAAGTACGATAAGAAGGATTAAAAAAGCCCGAAGTATTTTCTGACCATAGTAGCTTCCACCTATCGGAGTTCTCATCATAGCAATCAAACCTCAGGATCTGCACAAAGAAGAAAGATGAGAAATTTTGAGAATGGATAAGTAAGAGAAGGAATTGAAGAAGTTATATATATTAATTAAACCTGGAAATAAAACAATTAAGTGAATAGTCTAGTCTAATGTGGATTCTCGGAGAAGGAGATGATCAATACATCTCGGACGTTGTTCAATTTATAGTTGTGCTGCATCGTAAATTATGCAGAGAATCTTAAAATACACTTATACCATTAAATACATATTTTTATATTATTATAAATATTATTGCAGCATGCATGCATGCAGTATCTACGTGTTGATCGATCTCTGACGGCAGCTGAGCAGTGGGGAGACGGACTACCATAATTAATCGTCTAACATAATATATATATATATATATACTGCATAGAATTGTTGTCGCTGGAAATTGCTCTCACATATGTATGTATATATATATATATGTATAAGTATAATGTGTGTAGGTATACTGAATTGTATTTATTAGAAAAGCGTCGCAGGTAAGCAAATTGGTGCAGTCGATTGCCTTTAATGATGGTTAAAAAAACATGACTTTCTGCGCCATTTTACAGTTTTCTATTAATACGAGGTCTACCTAGCTAGAGGCAGATAGCTAGGGCTATCAATTTTGAAATTTAATTTATATATATATATATATATGAGATCTTGTATCAAAATAAATATCGTCTGTCACGCAGTTTTCATTTAAAAAGAATGATAGGAATAAACAAAGAGAAAAGCAAATGATGTTACAACTTATTGCATTTTTCTGAGGTTTGTTGTGTTAGATTTATTATCTTAGTAATCAATCGCCTATACAAAGCTTCCTCTCTCCGTCTACGAAACCTATATTCATTTCTACATTCATATCCTCCCAACACAAAATTTATTTTTTAAAATAAATATTAATCTATTATTAATTAAAATATTTTCAAACTTACACTCTTCATTAAATAGTAACGGATACATATATATATACATTCAATATAAATATATATTTGATGGTGCCCCAATTGTGTGACAGGTCGTATCTGTATGTCACAGAAACATTCCCAGCTAGCCCCTGTCAGTATAAATTAAACGCTAATAAGGCTGCCCGCATTTAATTTATGTATGAGTGCAGGAATGGAATGGATAGGGATAGGGACTGTAGGCACATATAGGCGGGTCCAGGGAGTCCAGGCCTACAGACTCCATTACAACACTCTGGTGGAGGTCCCCATGCATGCACGCATTCGCATATACAAATCTTTTTTGCTGTATAACATCTATGGCGTTTGGGCTTTGAATCCTCAGCCCAAAGACAAAAATTCATCAGCCATGGGGAAGAGAACAGCCCACAAAATTTTGCAGATGAACTATCTTATTGTGTGCATTTTACAGCAACTACTAGAACCTTCAGAATCGACTTTTCCATATTCTATGCTTTTCTATTAGTATATTATGATATCCAACAGCATTCAATTCATCGTTCAAACATAACTTCCTCTCTGCATTTGCATTTGCATTGCTTGCCTTAATTTAGCTCCATAGAATGCAAAACAATACTGACAATTCTTCACCTCAAGGATCATCTGAAACAACAAATCGAAAGTGCGATCGCTTTGCAAAAAAGTCGTTTTGGTTTCTCGTTGTACTTTTCTTCTTCTCTTTTCCTTATTCCTATCTCTCCCATTTCCCCTGCTTCTTCTACTATAAGCTTCAGCTTTCCACTTTGATCTTCCCCTTGTTTGCTCAGATTCTCGACAGGAAGTACATGTTCCTTATCTGCAACGGAATCCTCGCATTCCTTGCCAAGAATGTCAAGTTTAGCAACAGCAGCAGTGAAGATGGTGTGGCGAAAATGGCTCAACTGTCTAATGAAGAAACTGCAGCATCGTCCATGGAGAATTCCGGCGATCCACTCGGTCTAGCTGCTGAAGAAGAACCACATATGGAGGAGCAACTGCAAGAAGATGGCGGAGATTTTCGTGAAGGTAACACAGCAACAGGTTTTGTTCTAGAAACAGCAGATAGGGAATTCGACAATGGCGAGGAGGAGGACGAGGACGAGGACGATGAAGTAGAGGGCGATAGTGTAGCTTCAGAAGCAGTAGAAATGGTGAGTGATGCAAGAGTCAGCACAGAAGAGTTGAACAAGAAGTTCGAAGAATTCATCAGGAAGATGAAGGAAGAAATCAGAGTTGAAGCTCAGCAACCCCTCATTACAGTGTGAAACTTTCTTTTTCCAATAAAAATAAAAAAACTTTCTTGTCTTCTTGATTAATCTTTACACTGTAATGGTTTTACGTTCCATTTTGTCAGGTCCAAGAAAAAGCCTACAAATGATCATAAAGGGATTAGTTACAAACCAACAATAGAAATAATGACACAATAAAGGGTCTCAAAAGCTTAGGAAATCTTTCCTAATGATAGCTTTCTTTTTCATACACTGATACACAGGACATCATCCTCAAAGTTAGGGTTTTTAAAAATATTAAAAAGTTCAAATTGGTTTCAATCATTAATCCCAGATTTCATTCTGGCAATAAAGTTGTGATCCATCACCTAATTCAATAAGTGCATCAAGAATAGGATCCACACACAGATTTTAACCCTTGATTTCATTACAGTGCCATTAGGTTACAACAAATATCTGTTCTATCTGTCATTTCCATTACCACATTGATAGTGCATCTATGTCCTCTCATGTTTTGGCAGCCCATACTGTAAGACGATTCAAAGCAAAAGCACCTTATTTTGATTGATTTCAAATGGCCACTTGTCACAATTTTCCTTCACAAGAATCCCACTAAAGTAAAAAAAAAAAAAAGGGTAGGGCCAAAACAGAAATCAAGCAGATAAACAGGAGGAAAGCATGTGTCTGTCTGTCTTTCCCATACCAATTTGATTGAACCAACAAATGTTTAAGATGATCATCACATTTCCACAGAAATGAACACAACATAATTAATAAGTAAGTTCTTACATTTCCCAAGGTGGGTTCTACTTTAGTTAATGATGTCTCCCACTAGTTTGAATTGTGTAATATGTGGTATGGTATCATCAGTTCATCATCCTCCTTGGCCCTAGTTGGTAAAGATATTCAAAATAGATGACCCTTTAGCTACTGCTTGCACACCACTAGTCAACACATGGAAATTAAAGAAATCCAGAAGGTACTCATCTCAATCAGACCCCTCCATTTCAGTGTTGCTGAAAATGGAGAGGGCAAGTAATCGTGAGGTTATTAGTTCAAATTTCAACGTTGTGCTTACTATACATAGTGACTTGTCCTTGCCAGCCTAATTTGAAAGTTTTAAAAATGTATCGAAAACTGCTGTACAAATTCTTATGTCATAAAAAAAAAATATTTCATCTTTTCGCCTCTAATGGTCACATTCACTTTTTGCGTTCTATTAGCATTAAAAATATCCTTATAGTATAAATTTTTTACAAGTATTATAAAATACTAATAGAAATATTTTTATAATACTTGTAAAAAATTTTTATAAATTTTTATAAATTTTCTATTAGTATTTTATAATACTTGTAAAAAATTTATACTATATTTTGATATAATAATTAATATTTAAAAATCAATAAGAAAAAAATAAATGGGAGCCAGACAGGAGTATATAAGTAGCTCTCTGGGGGCTTTGGGCACAGAATGAATTCATGGAAGGATATAAGAAAAATTATATTCTAACACATATATAGAAAATATACTATAGTAGTATTCAATATTGTTAACATATATTTAGAAATAATATATTATATTTATGGTAGTTATTTTATTTAAGAGATTCGTAGGATTCTTGTCTTATTTAAATAGTTTATATATGCCTATAAATATGTACTTAATCTTATGATTGAATAGAGAATTTCAGTTTCATATTCTAACAAATATCATGTACTATTTGTGCTACAATGTCTTGAAGTATATTGTATTGTTGTTTGACAGTTATCTGTTTTATATTAAACCAAAATATGAAATTGATTTCACTGTCAATAGCTGTTTTGTGAAGGAAATTAATTTGCAATTTTTACATGAGATGAATTTTTTTCTTTTTTTTGAATTTTGGATTATATTGCCATGGTCGTAACTTGTAACTACATTTTAGTGGTTGACCCCCCTAACTTTTTGACCATGGAAGAAATTTCAAGGCAAGTTGGATTGGTCCAACACCAACTTGAGGCACAGCGTTTTGGAAGTATAATAATATTAATATTAATTTATACTATTTAATTTTACTTACAATAATTTTTAATGAAGTTACTATTGTTTAAAGTTTTACTTTATTTTAGACTATAGTAATACATAATAAATATATGATTATAATAGATAAAATAATTTTTATACATCATAATTATTATTCAATATGAACACTATAATTATCCATCTCAATCATAATGTAAACACACACTTAAATATATAAGTAAAATAGTTAATCTCATCTACTTTTTTGTTCAACATTCTGCATCCTGTTTAAGAAAATATTTTTGAAAATTTTGACATTATTTAGTTATAGTAAGTTTTTAATGCATATTCTCTTATAAAATATTATTTTTACTTATTATTTTGTCTAAACGAAGCTTTAGCATTGTTGTTCGACAGTAATCTTTTTTTATATTGAACTAAATTTTGAAATTGATTTCACTTCCAATAGCTGTTTCGTGTAGATAATTAATTTGCAATTTGTGCATGAGATGAATTTTGGATGATATTGCCATGGTCGTAACTACATTAATGCTTAAACCCCTAACTTTGACCATCGAAGAAATTTCAAAGCAAGTTGGAGTCACAGCGTTTTGGAAGAACAACGTTCATTTTTGCTGACCACTCTCATCCACGAAACAGATATCTTCAATCTTTAAAATAAAAAATAAAAATAATAAAAATAAAAAAAACCGAAAAAATCGATCTTGTCAGCGATTGCCACTCAGTCTCCACGAAAACCCCACGCCATGCACATGGAATTTTCTTGCCTGCCGCGTCCGACTATTTCTTCCCATTTTTCCTCCATTCTTAGTTTGATCCATCCTTATATATAAGTTTTTGAAGATACGATTTTAGCATTCATCTGGGCTTTCCAAATTCAAGTAGATCCCAATAATTTGTTTCATAATTTGATCTAATACTGATTTGTAATTGTAATTACGCCGTCATGGCCACTAAGCACGTTCGCCTCCTCAAATCCATACTCCTTCTCGCCATCATTTGTCTCCTCCTCACCTCCACCGTCGTCGCTAGAGGCGGCGGCGGCGGCAGAGGGGGCGGCTCCAGAAGCAGCGGTAGAAGCGGCAATTGGAACAGAGGCGTCATTGTTGGTGCCGGCACCGGCGCCGTCGCCGGAAGAAGTGGTAATAATGAAGGCTGTAACTCCGGCCACGGTGGCGGCTGTAATAAAACAGGTGCGCCGCCGCATCGGAGCAGTGCCCCATCTCCATCGCCGCCATTGTCATTTTCCGTCGCAGTCTTGTTCGTGGCGACGATGATGTTCACCTGAAGCTTCTGTGCAATTATTATTATTTATGATTCTTTTCAATTGTGATTAGTGATTTGTAATTATTATTATGTCAAGTGTAAACGCTATCCATCAATAATAAGATTATTTACTTAACTTCCCTGTCAAACATTTGGTTCAAATTTCGAAATCAATGCTAATTAAAAACAGGGCAGCCCTGGACGCGTATCCCCGGCGCCGTCGGGCAATTCGCCAGCGGGCAGTGATCGGAAACTTCCAGCCCCCACCATTCCGGCCCCCCGATGCCGTTAAACTGCAGCGTGAAATAACACAATGTGGCCATGAATGCAACTCCGGCGTCCAGGCCGGCCGACAGGATGTAATTGTGTCGTGCCCACCAGGCCTTAAATCTCCTATACACATACAAGTTGAAGAACAGCCCGACGGCGAACCAACACACGTAATTCACAGCTTTCGCCACCGGCATCGCTCCGGTGCCCGATATCAGGATCGGGACATTGATCAGCCTGATCCATTTCTTCTCCGGGTACTTCCTCGCAAAGAACCAGACTGGCACCGGCGCCAGGAGCCCAAAAAGGAAGTAGTAGTTCACCGCCGGGTACAATCCAAGTTTCCCGAACATACGGAGAGGCCCAACTACGCCCCATATTATGGAAGCGTTGTAGAACACGTCGTCGCCAGGGCAGGTCCAGGGGCTCCCGTCGGGGAGTTTTGCCGTATCGCAGATGTTCTCGACTGTGGTGAGGAGCCACCAGGCTGTGCCGAAGTAGACCAGGGAGCTTACGACGGTTCCTACCAGCTTCATTTAATTAAAATCGAGTTAATTTCTATCTGTTAATGAATTTGTAGATTCAAGCTAACTGAGAATGTATGAGACAGGGTGTACCTGAACCAGGAACATCGATTTTGGGGGGATTTTCATGTAATGTCCGAGCTTGAAATCGGAAAGGAATAGAATGGCTTGGGACATGCTTATCGTGCCGTAGGTTTTGAACGTTGTGTTGGCGAGAGGCTTTCCCGGATACATGTAGCCGATGATCATCTCTGATATGACATTCAATCCTGCTTGCTGAAGAAATTAAAGTTTGATTCGCCATCAAAGTAATGTCGTCAGACATGGAAGTGTAAATCAAGGTAAGAAGATTACCTGGTTGGTGGTGGCGGTAATGACGCCGACAGGAAGCGTGAAGACAAAGGCGAGAGCCATCGACAAAATGACACCCCAGTAAGGAAGCTGCAGCTGCCGTCCGAAGCCTTCGCAGGCGAACATAGACATCGCAACGACTAAAATCAGGAGGCTATGGAACCACCATTGAGGAACAGGGTCGTAGTTCTTCCTCATCAATCTCGTGTGCACGTCTCCGAACTTGTCCTGAAACGATGATTTCGTCTGCTGCCAAATCGTCCTGCAACAACAAAATGCGACAGAATCAGGAGGCTGTCTGTCTGAATAACACAAAACATTTGTATTGCCTACCGGCCGTAGAAGAGCGCAACATGCGACACAGTAGCAGCCAAGTTCGCGAAGCTCAAGCCGTAAGTTAGGACAAAGAAAATGCTGAGATTCACTTTGCTGTAATCATCGTAGCCCTGTCGATTAAACTCGAAGCTTTTCTCTATAAGGATAGCCGAGATGTTGTACGGCGCGCCGTGAGAATCGAACACGTGAGGGGAAATGATCGGGAATCGCTTCGCGTTGTAGAAGTTGCTCCAATAGGCAATCGGCATTACTACATAGAGAATTATTACAAAACCAACCAACATGTTGACAATAGCAAATCCAGGGGTTGCCAGGGGACTGCCAAGAAAGCCGGCGACTGTTGCCCAATCGAGCGCGAAGGAGCCGACGCCTAAGCCGTGGAGGCCGGAGCCGATCTGCTGCGCCGTGACGGAGTCTTTCCATATCCAACAGGCGACGGAGAGGGCCGTAATCGATGGGAAGAGATAATTGGGGATCAGGTAATAAGAGAAGCTGAGAACGAGGACGATGATGAAGAATTGCAGCCTTGTCAGGCCTCCTTTCTTCCTGATTTCGACATCGTGCAATGCTCTGAAGAGAGAAACCTGGACAAGATTGGAGGGCCACCACATGTAGGGGGAATCTACTAGATACTTCCGGAATATTCCGGCCCAGCCGTACCCGAGAAGCTGCAATGAATTCCCTCACAGCTTAGGATTAGGACAGTTAAGGTTTATATATATATCTGTTAGTTACCTGAGTGCTGTGTGTAAGAATCATGGCGGCCACAGGGTTAAGCCGGCGATGGTAAAAAGCCTTGACAATGGTGACGGTGCCGATGGCGTAGACACCTGTCGTACCTGCGTTGGCGAATATGGTGATGAGACAATGCTCCTTCAAATTGAACGGCCCTGGATTCATGGAAAATGACCATTTTGTCCCTGGAATGGCGATGGCCTTCGTCGGCAGGGACGCCGCCATGAGCTTCCCCAGCGGGAGGACCAAAATCTGAGCCGACACCGAGGTTATCGACAGCGCATTCTGACGATACCCGAAGAATTGATTCAAGAACGACAACATTGCACACGACACTATCCCTAAAATCCATGTCCGAAACGTCAAACACGGCAGCGTCGGGTCGTCCGTCGTCGGCACCGTCAGCCGGACTTCCTCGATCGGAGAGTCGTTTATTTCATCTGAACCATAAAAAAATAATAATAATAATAATAATTACACAAACCTGAAAATTAATTAATTACTCGTTTATTTCATCTTATATATACTCACTGATCTCCGACGGGTCCATCGGTGCCGGAATTCAATACGCCGGCGGAGGACTGCCCACAAATTTATATTCAGCGAGTGAATGAATAAAGTTAGGCAATGTAAGAAATTCCCATAGGCTTTCTTTCTTTTGTCCTTTTTTTTTTTTTGGTTAAAGCTTATCGACGGGTGAACTTCAAATTCAGTTTATTTCTTACAGTAGTATGGGTTAGGCAGTGATGTGTCTGATTTTATGTCCTAACAATGGAACAGAAAGTGAATCTTGAATGAGGTTTAGCAGTGAGGTGATCTTGAGATGATAAGACTAAGAGCCCTTTAATTATGCAAGATTTTTGGATCACTCAGAGTCGCACCTACCAGTTACCAAACAAACTATGATTCCTTAAATTCTTTCTTGTCTGATTAAGAGAATTCGTAAATTTAAAATTTTCTGGTTTTGGCACTGCCCCATTAATTTGTTTAGAGTTCTTGTTTTCTCCCTTGATAAATAATAAATAATCATTTCGTCCTGAATATTAGTGTGGATTTTTCTGAATAAAGAATGGATTTTTGGACAGGATGATGGCCACTGCACGAAGGTATTTGTTTGGAAATTTGTTTTGAAATACTACGTAACAATACACATGATGGATCATGGAATGAATAATAGTAATTAATTACTGAACAATCATAATGATATTATTATTTGATGGAGTGCTTATTTAATTTGGGAAAAAGTGACAACCTCGAAATAGAAGGTGACGATAGAGACTTGTTGCCAAGTTGCCCAGACGACGTATTATGTGATAAATGTTGACTCAGTTTTGCGGTCCAATTATGTAACAGGACCATTTTTATTTATTTATTATTGTTGTTAATGAATAAGGTATGGAGAATTTTTTTAAATGTGACCTTACATTACCATACCAACAAAATTGTTGTGCCTTTCATTCTCAAGCAATTTCAAAATCCCAATGATTTCATTATCTTCTTCATTCATTCCTATCATATTTTTGTCCGCTTCTAAGGTCTCATTTACTTTTTGGATGCTTATACTTGAATATTAACTATTATATCAAAAATATAGTACGAATTAAAAAAAAAAAAAATTATCAAAATACTTCATAGTGTCTTATAATATTAATAAAAGAATAATTAGACAAAAAAAATTATACAAATATAAAAATATTTTTAATATTAAGTATAATGACGCAAGAGATAAATGTGAAAAAAAAAAAAAAAAACATTCTTAATTTAGATGATCATTCTGTGAGATATAATTTCCAGTTTCTCTAATATGTTTATATTGAATCAAAGACTATTTAAAAATATATAATGTATAATACTTTTAAAATTATATAATAAAATTAAAATAAAGTAAAATTACCAACCGCTAACATATTTTAATATTTGAGGTATTTAAATTAATCTTTTTAAATATTTGAATTGAATATTTGTAATAATAATATAGGCATACCTATAAGTTAAATTTTTTTAAAAAATAATTAAATCAAATGCTACATAATAAAGATAGCCAACTAAAATAATTAGAGGATAACCCAACACTCTTGAACCCCTTATTGACACCACCACTTATTTGAAGTATGAAAATTATTGAAATGTTTTTTTAACAATATATAGTTTAAGGGATATATTTGAATAGAAAGCAAGAAGAATTAGTATACATATATTAAAATTAAATACTATACTCTAATGCTATTGGCTTTGATAAATAAATTATTGATGATTTTAAATGAATGTAATTACTAGATCCTATATATTAAACACAAAAAACCTATGTATAGATTCTAGTTCTTTTATTTTTGATCAATAAATTATTGATAAATTTAAATAATTGTACAAACTAGATTGTACTTATTAAATACTAAAATTCCATGTTTTTAAGTCTCATCAGGAAAGACATGGTGGTGTAGGAGGTTAAACTTGTGACCATGAGATCATGAGTTTGCAGAGTATTGAGTTCGACTGGGGATGGAATCATGAATCGTCCCCAAATGTAAATCATTCTAATTGAAATATGTTAATAATTTTTTGTCTTCTTATGTGTTTTCTCAATATTTTTTATTTTCTAATTTTTTTTAGTATATTTTATTGTAACCTTTATAATATTAAAGTGAGATAAGTAAAAAGTAAAATAAATTATTATAAAAAAAATTATTGAAAAATTGATTAAAAAAATAATAATAAATTGTGATAAGTAAAAAAATTTGTATTTTATTGATTAATAACAATATATAAGAAAATTTTGATATTTTTGTCATTTACACTATATTTATATATTAATTATACATATAATAGTTAGTTTGTAATTTATAAAAAAAAAAAAATAAATAAAAATATTTTTATATTAATATCTCATTAGTTCTACTATAATAAAATACACTTCAATGAGATTAAATAAACACTAAAAAAAGTTACATTAAAGAGGGAGCACTAGTTCTCCAAAAATCAGTGTTTGACATTTTATTCATGAGGCAGATCCATATTATTTAATTTGATCAAATCAGTGTATATAATAATAATAATAATGATAATAATAATAATAATAAACATATATTACATACAATAAAATATATTTATTGCACATAATTTTTTCATACATAACTATCCTAACATTATCTTTTTAAATGATTTACAAATTCGAGTGAAAATAAACCCAAATATGTTAATGGGCCATGCCTAATTACGTCTAGGGCCCAAATATGTCTAAAGAAAACATAGGTTTGCTTGAAGATGACTATTTCTTAAAATAAAATAATCATAAGTCTAAATAAAATATATATATATATATATTTTCATTAAATATTATAAAATTATATAATATAAATATTTTTTTTAAAAAAATAAAAAAATAAAAAATAAAAAAAAAACGGGAGAAAAGAACTTACGATAACATCATATGTACATCATTGTTCAACGAATCTATTTTATATGATGTGTTTTTTCTTTATTCCCATCAAATTGTGTAGCCTCCAATTTGAGTTCGTTGGTACGTATTATTTTCTTCAATATTGTATGGCATATAAATTATAATTTTAATTCTAAATATTATATTAAATAATAATAATTTATCATAATTATTTTAATTTGAGATTTTTATCATTTATTAGTAAAAGTTTATTGGTGTGACATTTTACAAAAAAAAATACGTTTAATATAATATTTCAAAAAAATTATCTAAATAAATAGTACTTTCTTTGTCACACGTTAACATATATAATTACCATTTTATAAAATTTTTAAAAAATAATAATATTTTAATTATAATAAATAATTAAAATTGTTGTATAGATACTTTTATCTTTATTTTTAACATAAAAATAATAATATAATAATATATATGTAATAAAATAACGTATTTATATTGAATAGTGGAGTGTATAATTATAAAAAAATATATATATTACATTAATGCGCATATTAACCTAGGAAGGAGTATAAAAAATTCAAAAAATATTCATTTAAAAATAAAACTTATTAAAATAATAATAATATTAATAATAATTTATTATTCATAATATAAAAATTATTATATAACATTATTTATATATTAAATACTGTTTTAATATAGAGTATATTTTTTGTGTAATATTTGTAATATAAATTATATTGACAACCTTTTTGATAAATAATAGAATTAAAATAATTTTAAAACATTGATAAATAAAATATATATATATATATATATATGTACGATATCCAGCTGTTGATGATTTTCTAGTTTATATTATTATTAAATTGATTTCTTTATCGTGTCTCAGGTTTCAGCTCTGAATCTGTGAAGCAACTATCTCTGTCTTCTTCATCCACCCAACACTTGAATCTGTCTGTCCTTCATTAATTTATGGCCAGAATACTATGGAAGAGCCCTAAGCCCATGGCCGGCCGGAAATTTGCCCTTTTAATATTATTAGCAGCCATAGCCGTGACGGCGGTAGCGAAGCGCGGCGGCGGCGGCGGCGGCCATGGAGGTGGCAGGGGGTTCGGAGGGAGCGGAGGTGCCAAAGGATACGGCCGTCACAATTCCGCCGCCGCTTCTTCGGTCGGTATCCACCCCCAAAATCTCCTCTTCTTTATCTTTGTTCAATTTCTTGTTTCGATTAACTGTTAGTAATCTCTCCCACACACACACACACATATATATATATATATATATATTAACTCCACAGCTTGTACTTTGACATTGAAATACACTTTGATGATTTAGAGAGAAATATTTGAATTTGAATTTGAATATAGATTTAAAATATTTTAGAATTTGAATTATTAGGGGTTGCTTGCTTGCTTTGTATTTTAATACATTTGTATTTAAATAACAATCAAATATAATGTTATATGGAAAAAATATTTTTATATAGAGCCTCACTATCATCTTCTATAATAATTGTGTAAGGTATATTTATATTTTTCTATAAATCACAACTGACGCATATAAGCTTCAGATTTTCAAATAATAATAATAATAATAATAATGAATTTATATAAAAAAGAAAAAATAGAATCAGAATCAGAATCAGAATCAAATTATTTATTTTAGCATAAGAGTTGAGGAAGGCTTCTCCGGTGGCATTCGATTTTGTAATTAAATTAATTTGTAGTAAATGAATTTTCCAATATTGTTATATATAGTTAATTAGTCGATTCGAATAAACAGCAAAGATTCTGGTTCTTTTCTTTATTTGTTTGAGATGGATTTTAATTACCAATCTTTTATGCTAAGTTTTAAAATTCCATTGATTTCAATGTTATGGGTTTCTCCTTGTCTTTCACTAGTTTGAATATTATATATATTTGATAAGTTTTTTATGTGATATTTTATATAAAAAAGAATTGCTATATTGATGTGATATATTTTAGAGAATTTTTTAATTAAAATTGTCATAAACAAGTTTGAAAATAATAAAAATTTGAATAGAAATATATTTGATGTCATTAATAAGTGATTAAAATGATTGAATACAAAATGAGTTTTTTATTTAATACTCATTCCATCACAAAATGATACATTTTTCATTTGTTTCTGTTCAAAAAAAAATAATTTAGTTTTTTAATTTAATAATAGTATTACTTACTTAATATAATAAACACTTTTATAATTTATAATATATTATATAAATACTATTATTTTTATATTAAAATATTTATATAAAAAAAATAAACAATATTAATGAAAAACATGTTTTGAATGTAATGATTTTCAGAAGGGGATTTTTTTTTTTTATAAAAAATGAGAAAATATGTTTGAACATATAGGAAATAGAGAAAAGATATGTTTGATTGTAAGTCTGAGATGATGTTAAAAATTTGATTGTTGTATAATGACCATGTATAATAAAAAGATGTTCACCAAGTTAAATCAATACAATAGTGATCGATCCAATTAACATATATAATAAAAAGATATTAATTATGTTTATAGTGCTAATATATTGTATATATAAAATTATACTCTCTTCGTTCTAATACAATAGTCTTATTTACCATTTTTGTCCGTTTTAAAACAATAGTCTCATTTTCATAAATAACCATATCACCATAAAATTATTCATATTATTTTTTTATTATTGTACAATTGTCACTACTTTTTATACTAATATACTCACAAAGACAAAAAAGTTACTTATACTTATTTTTTACCAACTATCAATATTTCTTAAATTCAGTGCCCAACATAATAAGACTGTACTTTTGGGACGAAGAGAATATTATATTCTTTCAGGATATATGTTGTTGTTAGGACATGCCTTGTCTATCTTTATTATAGATAGATTTGATTAAAAGTAAATCTAAAACACTCCATCTCAAATATTGTGATGAGATAAAATATAGTGTAAGGATTAAATATCTTTAATTATTTTTTATTTTAGAAAAATTGAAAAATATCAAAATGCAGGACAAAGGGAAGAGAGTATATTTTAATGTTTTGAAATCATTTGATTCTTTATTTGAAATCTATATTTCAAATAAAGAATCAAATTCTGTATAAAACTTCATTCTTTAAATAAATACTAGTATTACAAAAAAAAAATAATAATAAATAATAATAATAATAATTAAAATCTCCTTAAACAAGAGCATAGACAACACTCGTCGAAAAATATTTCCAGAAATGGGAAGTGCTTGTTGGTTAGAGCGGTTAACTATTCGAGTCGAGCCGAGCCGAGCCGAATCAAATTTTAAGTGTTTGTTAACGTTCGCGAACAAGGCTGAGGCTCGTTCGTCAAGTTTTCGAGCTCGTTCATAGTGTTCGAGCTCAGCTCGTTAAAAATTTTTGTTGTTTGAGCTCGTATTCGTGTTCGGCTCGTTTAGACTCGATTAAGTTCGTTCGAGTTCGTTTGTCTTAATTTTTTTAAATTTATATATAAATTATAAAAAAAAATTTTAATTATTTTATTATATATTTTAAATTAATATTTTATTTATTTATAAATTATAATTTTATATGTATATATAATATTTATAATAAATATATTATTTAAACGAATGTTCGCGAACAAAATTCGAACTCGTTTGTTAATCAAACGAGTCTGTTTATGTTGTTCGACTTGGCTCGGTTCGCAAACGAGCTTTAACTGAGTCGAATCCAATCGAACGGCTCGGTTCATTTAACCGTCGCAGCGTCGGCGTTGCTACGAAACTCCGACTTTTCTTTTATGAGAGGGAATTAGGTTAGGTTAGGTTAGGTTAGGCTAGGCACCTGTGATGATGTCATTAGAGCTTTTTACTGCTCACAGATATCATCATCATCATCTTGTGATCTTACGATTTTTGTACAAATCAACACGTAGAATTATTAATTCATTACTTTTTCTATTGCACAACAGTTACTTTTTCTTTTTCTTTTTTTTAATTTAATTTTATTTCTTATTAGATACATACATATATATATATATATATATAAACCACTTTGTTAATGGTGGCGGTGTCGTGTGTCAAAAGGCAACCTTTCTTGATGCTCTTAAAAGTTAAAACATTATATTAAAAAACAATTGAAACATTACGAAAGAAGTAAACATGATCATCCAAGGAGAATGCCAATTTTGTGTATATGGGCCTGATCATCAAGGCCCATTGGGTGAGTAAGATTCAAGTTATTTGGGCAGACCGAAAGAAATATAAACTGAAAGCCCAATCCATTTTAAGGGCCCACTTTGTCATCTCTGTCAAATATAATAATAATCCTCTTAACAGACAACCAATTAATTAAAGACCCGACGGAATCTAAACCTTTTCTTCAAAAAAAATTTCTTTCTGAATTACATAATAATAATAATACAAAGAGTCAGAAAAAGATTCAGAAATGGGATATAAAAAAGCAATGTTCCTAAAAACAATGAAAGCAGATAGAGATGGGACCATGTTTCACATGCATGGCATGTGATGTGTGACCATCATGTGCATGGCCCAAGAATTAGTTCATATCATAATCACAAATTAAATAATATATATATATATACACACCTTAATAAATTAAATTTGTTCAAAGATGAAACCCAAATTTCAATAATCTTGCTATCCATCTATCTATCTAATAAGTAAGTAAGTAAATGCATTCGATGGATAAGAATCAATCAAGATGCATTATTGCTCAAAAGATAGGCAAACATGGATGGCCCAGAATTGATCCCAGCACCAATGTCTTAATTGGTTTAGCTTTGTGGAAACAAACCAACACCTATACATACATATATATATATATATCTTTTCTTACATGACTTTATACAAATAATTCAATCAAAGTATGGGAATGAATGAATAGATGAAAGAATCTCTCATCAATAAACTACATCTAGCTAAAAAGGCTAATTAAATTAAAGTTAATTAAAGCATCATCGAAATTAATAATATATACATAATGATGAATGGGTGGGTGGGTGGGGTGGGGTGGGGTGAAGTGTCTGCAGGCATATTTTTTTTTGGCACAGTCAAACTGGCTATGAAGAACAATTAATTAAAGATTGGGTTTTTATTTATTAATTAGAATTGTTAATTTTATTGTTATCTAAAAGTGAGCAGACAGGTGAAGGCCAAAAGCGCCGGTAGGGAAAGCCGAAAAAAGGCCACCACAGCCTGCAACACCACTACACGACAACCCAAATTAACTAATCCACCATAAAGCACATCGCTGCTATGCTAATCAAGTCTAGATCTAAACCCACTTGATCGATCTTGATGATATATATATATTGATTTGACAGAGAGACAGATCAGATGGCAGTCGCAGATGGAGTGGTGGAGCAGGCCAGCCGGGACGATGGACATATATACATATATATATACACATTATACATGAATTTATTTCTTTACTTTCTTCTTCTTCTTCTTCTTCTCCACACGCCCCAAAAAGATAAATACATAAAAAGTGAAGTTAAAAACAAGAGCTGCATCAGCACAGCCCAGCCAGCAAAGCCAATGCTAGAAAGTACAATCGGGTGATTTTTGGTTATTCATTGGTTGGCGTTATCCATTGATTTGTCAGTTTGACCGCAGCAGGGCCCCCACCTTTGCCCCCGCCCGGTCCTGTCGCGCTCTGACCCACCCTACCCTCCCCCTCCCCTCCCATAATAAAATTGCAGAATTGGAGAATAATCTCCCCTCACCCTCACCCCCAATTTCGTTTTGATTATTCTCTTCTTGCTGCTGCTGCAGCACTTTCTGTTTCCACCACTTGTTGCCAGCAGCAAGAACGAACGAAGCAGTTTTCTTTATTGCTCGAGTGCCGCCCGCCGGCCCGCATCTTTTACCCGACGAATTTATCCAAATATTATAAAAAAATTCCGATTGTTGGAATTCCGGTGCGTTTCTGTGCCCTTTTCTTACAATTTTATAAGTTGGGATTTTTAAGTTCTTGATTAGGGTTGTTTCAAGAGTCTCTTTAGTTTGGATCTTGGCTGTTTCATTCATTGATTTTTTGAGGTGACTTCTGCGCATGGATCGCGTTTCTGATGAATTGTTTTGTGAATGTAAACAAACAACAATTGCACTTGAATTGATTCAGCAACTCACTACAATCTTTAATTATTGTTTTTTCTTGTAATGGTGGTCTTTGATTCCCTTTTTGAAATGCTCTTTTGAAGTAGTCTGGAAAGTGGATTTGATTTTTTAAGTGTTGGTAAAAGCCCTTTTATGGGGAGAACGAAAAGCATCTGCTTTTGGTGTCGTCCGAGATGGACTGACTGACTGGCTGGTATCATTCTCTAATTGTGTCATCCCTCTTTTCCTTCCCATTTGTTATCCAACTGATCTTTAATTTAATTACATGCATCTCTGCTTTCGAGCTTTTTTTTTGAGAATGTGAACTTGTCGATTTGGTACTTTCTATCGAGATTGGTGCTCTGATTTACCTCTGTGTGTATGCAACTTTGTCATCCCCAAATTGCCACAAATTCTTGTTTTAGTTTGATCGAGATCTACAGCAATTGCAACTCCATAATCACATCAAAGATCTTACCTACATTTACTGTTAAACTAAGCATTAGTTATTGCTGAAAATAAAGTCGAAGAACATTTCTATCTTTATCTGTTCTAAAGGTTTGTTGACATGGCGGCAATGGTGTCACAGGGGTTAAGTTTGAGGAGACAAATGCTTGGGTTTCACCATGTGCATTGGAGGTATTGTAGCAGTTTTACAGCATATTAGTTGGATCTGAGTTTCACGTTGAGTTTATTTTATTTGCCATGGCCTCGAAGATCGGCACGAGACCTCCCTTGGGAATTCAACAGAATGGTGTCTGTGCTTCGTATGTGATGAAGCCACATGATCTTAAATCTTTCCATTCTCAACTCTCCACCCTCAATCAGGAGCTTAATTCTGAAGTTACAGGTGAAGCTTCTGGTGGCTCAGTGGCCATGGGGACCCCTAAACCCAATGTCGAATCCAAAACATCTCAATCAGCTCCTAATGATTCGACAAATGTGCCTCCACCTGAAATTATCGAAGCTTCTGTTGACGAAGAAAAGGAATCATCGGAGCCGGACAGTGTCAAGAATGGTGACGAAAATAGTGGTAAAGTGAATGAAAGTGGCAAAGCAAGCGGCCAAGGCGATTTAGTCGAGAGTGGGAAGAGCAGCGTGTGCCGGGGAAGTACAGCTAGCGATGTTAGCGACGAGAGCGCTTGCAGCAGCTTTAGCAGCTGCACAAACAAACCTCACAAAGCGAACGATTCGCGATGGGAAGCCATTCAAGCAGTTTGTGGCAGAGACGGCGTCTTGGGATTGAATCATTTCCGGCTGCTCAAGCGATTAGGCTGTGGAGATATCGGAAGCGTTTATCTCGCTGAATTGAGCGGAACTAAGTGTTATTTCGCGATGAAAGTTATGGACAAGGCTTCTCTTGCGAGCCGTAAGAAGCTTCTCCGCGCGCAGACTGAACGGGAGATACTGCAGTCGCTCGACCATCCCTTCCTCCCGACTCTTTACACTCATTTTGAGACCGATAAATTTTCGTGTTTGGTGATGGAATTCTGCCCCGGAGGAGATCTACACACTCTTCGACAGAGACAGCCCGGAAAATACTTTTCCGAGCAAGCCGTGAAGTAAGATTTCTTCGTAAATTTGAAGTAAAAGCTCAAATGTATGTTTATGATCAAACTTTCTTCTTTGTTTCTTGATTCAGGTTTTATGTTTCACAAGTTCTGCTATCTCTGGAGTATCTACACATGCTCGGAATTGTTTATCGCGATCTCAAGCCGGAAAATGTTCTGGTCAGGGATGACGGCCATATAATGCTCTCTGACTTTGATCTTTCGCTTCGATGCGCTGTTAGCCCGACGCTCGTCAAGACTTCATCTTTCGGTTCGGATTCCCAGCAGCGAAAAAATCAAGTGTACTGCACCCAGCCGGCTCCCTGCATCGAACCTACAGCCTGCATTATTCAGCCGTCGTGCGTCGCTTCAACAACATGCTTCTCAACTCGCTTCTTCTCGAGTAAATCGAAAAAGGACAGAAAACCGAAGAATGAAATCGGCAATCAAGTTAGCCCGTTGCCTGAGCTGATCGCGGAGCCGAGCAATGCTCGCTCGATGTCGTTTGTCGGAACTCACGAATATCTCGCGCCCGAGATCATCAAAGGCGAAGGCCACGGAAGCGCCGTGGATTGGTGGACTTTCGGGATCTTTCTCTACGAGCTTATGTTCGGTAAGACGCCGTTTAAAGGATCCGGTAATCGAGCCACATTGTACAATGTGGTAGGACAGCCTCTCCGGTTTCCTGAATCGCCGGTCGTCAGCTTTGCCGCCAGGGACTTGATCCGAGGTTTGCTCGTCAAAGAACCGAAACAAAGATTAGCTTATAAGCGCGGCGCAACTGAGATAAAGCAGCACCCGTTCTTCGAAGGAGTTAACTGGGCATTGATACGTTGCGCCACTCCGCCGGAGATCCCAAAGCCTGTCGACTATGATCGAATCACTGCGCCAGCTGCTCCGGCCAACGGAAAGACTCCCAGCACCAATGCTGATCAGAAACCCGACAAATATCTCGAATTCGACTTCTTCTAAAGGCCAGTGTCATCTAAACATCCTTCTTATGTTACGGAGAAAAGACTATTCATTCAGGAAATGCTTCGAAGTTATGTTTTTCCATTGATTGGGAGAAGAAATTTTAAGGCATTGTATTGTAGAACCAATCAAAGTAGCTGTAATCTTATCCGCCATGATCTTGTTTGTGTTTTTATTTTTTTGGATACCTAAAAACTGCTCACAGAACTCTGTTGTTGTAAAGCTTTGTGCTCTCTCTTTTATGTCATTAAAGGTCTTTCTCCATCTTCTGTCAAAATTTTGATTATCAAAAAAATCCCGAAAATTAATTTATTAGGGTTCCCAAAAGATCCACGTTTCTTCTTGCAGATCCGACATAACATGTTAAAGATCAAAGCAAATTCAAAAGCGAACAACCCCTATTTCTTGGAATGTGATGATACAGTGGACTATGGGGCAGGTGTCGAAATCTCCATCTTCTAATTAGTTGCAGACCTACGTCGAACACCATTTTTTCTTCTTCATAGCTACCAAAAGTGCACTTTCGCACGTATTCGATCGATTGACACATTTATATACACTATTTTGTGGAACAAAAAAGGGGCTTGGAAGATTAAAGGAAGACATGAAAGGAAAAGTCTGTGGAGGGATGCTTTTTCTTGAATTTTGAACCCCAATAACTTCATCTTTTTCTTCTCCGTGTAATAAAAGTGCAATCTTTAACTCGTCTTTCTCTCTTTCCACTTTCACCTTTCCCATATGTAAAACAACCTTAATGGCTCCATAGCTTCATTCATATACGATCATCATTAAAAAAAATAAATTTACTGTTGTATTTTGCTCGAGGAAGAAGATCAGAAATGGCTGTGGTACCACAAGAATCAATCCAACAGTTCGAAGCATTGATTGAAGAAGGTTGTTCCTGTACTGTTTCTTGATTTTGTCCCATGGCCCCATCATTAATCATCCTGATTGTCTTCTCCAGGATTCTCTGCAGCCGATGAATCGATTAAAAGAACATTCCAGGTTTGTACTTGTCGATTCTCTTTCACTGTCTGTTTCTCGAAATTCTTCTTACACTGTTCAATTCAATGCAGAATATCCATCAGGGGTACCCTCAAGAAACTTTGATGCGCTTTCTCAGGGCAAGAGAAGGAAATGTCACGAAAGCCTACAATATGGTCAGGACTCAGGACATGTTTTTTCAATTTTCTGTGCAGCCATTTTTAACCTAAATTAAAAATACTAATGGACTGCTGAAAATTCCAGCTGATTGATTGTTTGAAGTGGAGAGTGCAAAACAACATCGACGACATGCTAGCAGTGAGTTATGCTTTAACTATGATCATCAATGGAGATCAATTTCTAATGCTAATCCTGAATTCCATTAATTTCTTCCTCTGCAGACTCCCATTGTCCCTCTAGAACTGTACCGAGATATTCGTGATTCGCAGCTCATAGGATTGTCGGGTTACTCGAATGAGGTGAACATCTGATGAATGAATATAAGCTCATCGGAAAAATAAAATAAAATAAAATGTTTCGCCGTTGTTACGAATAATATTGCCATTCTTTTGTAACAGGGCCTCCCTGTCTTCGCCGTTGGAGTTGGTCTGAGCAGCTTGGACAGAGCATCTGTACATATTGATAATAACATCTTATCCTATTTCTCATCTGATTCGGATTTTCGCAGAAGTTTATATTGATATTACATTTCTTGATGTTTGTTTTAGGTTCATTATTATGTACAATCACACATTCAGATAAATGAGTATCGCGATCGCGTGATTTTGGTAAGCAGTCTCATACTTCTTCTTAGCCTACTACACTTGCGCATTCAATTAATTCGTCGTGTTTATTGCAGCCGGCTGCGACCAAAAAGCACGGGAAGCATGTAAGTAAGTGTATAAAGGTTTTAGACATGACTGGTTTGAAACTTTCTGCCTTAAACCAGATAAAGGTAAAAATTTCAGTTCTCGGGTGTGATCATAAGTGTTGGTGGGTTTCATCGACTATTTTAATCGACTTTCACTTGTGCAGCTAGTCACGATCATCTGTTCTGTCGATGATCTGAATTATCCGGAGAAAACACTAAGTTATTACATTGTGAATGCGCCGTACATCTTTTCTGCTTGTTGGAAGGTTAGTCCCACAATGTCTTCATCGATCACTTAGTAAAACTATGAAGTCTACAGCTTATAAGTATCTTCGGTAAACGTCTGTTTTTCTTCAGGTTGTTAAGCCGCTTTTGCAGGAGAGGACAAGAAAGAAAATCGATGTATTGTCTGGCTGTGGACAGGATGATCTCTTAAAGGTTGTGTTTTTGTCCTAATCGTCATTAATGGTTATGTATACTAACTTTGACAGAATACTTAGTTTTCAGAACTTTGTCTTCGGCGCAGATCATGGATTACTCGGCCCTCCCTCATTTTTGCTGTAGGAGACATTCCAGCTCTTCTGATCGTCTAGAGAATTATTCGGACAATTGCTTTTCCTGGGACCATCCTTTTCACCAACAACTTTACGATTACATTAAGGAACAATCGATGGTTTGTCACACTGTCGAACCTGAAAAACATGGCTCAGTGTGCGAGACTTTGTGCGAAGATACCAACACAGAAGTCATTGCCAAAAGTTGTGGAATTTAAGAAGCCCGATTCTAACTCTTATAGTTGCGAATATATATATAGTTTTAGTTGATTTCTTACTAAAATGGCTGATGGTTTCATGGTATTGAAATAGGATGTGCTAGGGTACCATGTTAGCTAGATTATTGTATGTTCGAACAGCGGGCTGGTGGATTGCGCTAGATGTATGCGCAACAAGTTAGGATGTAAATTCTAGTAATGTTATTGTAGTCTGGCGCGTATGGCTCGGACAACATGGATTATATATATATATATAAATGACAGCAGGATATTCGATCTTTCGCGCTATTCTTACGAGCAAGGACTAAGCTCGAAATTACATATATATATATTACATTATAGTTTTATGGTTACATAGGAGGACTATATATATATATCATTCTTGATTCTTTAAGTGAAATGTATGTAAGAATATTTCATGGAAAAAAATGACATAGGAACAAGACATCTACCCCTTTTATGGCCTCTAGTTGCCTGTGGAGACTGATTCTGAATGCTATTCATTTTGTGTTCTTGAAGACATCCAAACCGCAGAACAGCATTTTGTGTGTTCTTTATCATCGTTGTATCAGCATCATTTTGATTTAGGACTATCGGATGATTCACCGGCTTCATTTTGTTCAGTACGCCATTTCTGGAGTTCAGTTTCGACTTCTCTTTTAGCTGCATCTGCCATCTCTATCCTCTTCAGAGTATCGTTGATTTCAGATTGTAAAGCTTCATTCTCTTTCAAAACCTCCTGCAGCTTCTGTGACGCTTCTTTCTTGCTCGTGTTTATGCTCTCTATCTGCGCCATTGCCGTAGCCACTTTGATCTCAGTCTGACTTCCGAAATCCTCAGTTTTCTTTTTCATGGACTCGAACTCCTCGACAGGCAGCCTGATTAGATTTTCCAAGCCATCAGCTTTACCGGCCAGAGCATGATTGTGCATTTGTTCTTCCGCAAGCTTCTGCGCAGCCTTGGCCTCTTCGGCCTCCTTTAGAGCGATGTTCAGGTTATTCTCGGCTTCTTTGGTTTGAGTTCTTGCTGCTTCGGCTTCTTGCTTCAGTAACTCGGCACTCTTCTTGTATTCTTGTGTTTCCTGTCTAGCCCTTTCGGCTTCGGCTGAAAGCTTTTTTAAGGAAGCAGAACCACATTTGGAGACAGCAGCTTCGAGTTCGATCTCTTTCTTCTCCAGCTCGGCCTGCAAGTCGCGAACAGCTGCTTCTGCTTTCAATGTTTTATGCTCTGATTCGGCGCGCTCCTTCTTCACCTCCTCCAGCTGCTGTTTGATTGACTCAACAGTACTTCGGATCGAAGTTTCTTCTGCAACGACTTCCTGCAGCTTCTTTTTAGCACTGTCGAGCTCTGAGGCCATGGTCTTGATGGAATTCAAATCCGAAGCCTGAATTTCATTGAGTTGATCCTGCAAAACTGTGACTGCCTCCATTGTTTCCGCTAGCTTCTGCTCGAGAACTTCTTTCGGCATGTCCTCTTCTCTCAATCGTTCTATTTCCTTCTCGGCTTCTGCCTTGGCTGATTTGCAAGCCAACAAGCAAGACTCCTTTTCTGAGACGATTCTGGAGTAGTCTTCTTCTGCCTGGAGGGAGCTCAGCTTCAACTGATCAAGCTCCTCTCGTAATGACATTAGTTCTTGCAATAGGAGGCTCTGCTTCTCCTGATTCAATTGAGCTGTGCGTTGGGCGTCCTCCATTTTCTGAACCACGTCCAGTTTTTCTTGCAATGCTGCTTCTGTAACCTGTCTGAGATTGGAGACCTCCTGTCTGACAGTAGCCAGCTCTCCTGTGCAGGCCTTGTATGCATCTCGTTCGATTTCTATGTCCTCTTTCCATGCGTCGCTACCCCTTTGAGCCCTGAGGGATCGCTGCTCTTCAAGTTCTTTAAGTCTGATCTTGGCAGCTTCTGTAGCTTCCATTGATGCCCGCTTAGATTCACTCAGAGTTTCCAGCTTGTTGGTCAGTTGCTGCAACGTCCTATTGGCCCTTTGAAGGTCCCGCTGAGCCTGAGCCCTTGCGGCTTCTGCATTTTTCAGCTGTTCTTTGTAGCACTCCAATTCCTTCAGAATCAGGCTGTGCTGTGTCTCCTTTTCGAGAACCCTCTGCAACAGAAATTTGTGTAATCAATTTAAGGAATGAATTAATTCACCATTAATGGAATTATTTATGCTCGTTGTTCATATGTACCTCTTCAGCTTTTGATTTCTTGGTCGCAGGAGCTGATGCTCTGGGAGAGACAGGGTCGCCAAATAAACTGACGGCAGCCTTGACAGATTGGAAAGGTGCACTGGTATCAATCTCACCAACAACATCTGCTCTATGAGAGCTTGATGCCTTGGGAGATTCAGGCATATTTTTTTGTGTTTTTACTGTCAAACCAGACATTTTTTTATTTTTTTAATTTTTTTTTCACAAGCTGGAAAAATACCTGCAAAATTCAATCACCAAGCAATCAATCGGTACGCAATGAATTTCATCCAGTATCAACCCTAAACAATCTCTATGTTATTTATAATTGAAATAATTGTGAAATCCCTAGGTCTATTGTGAATCTCATCATGAATTCATAAATTCCGAACACAGGAGCACAACCATACCCTAAATTGCGCAAATCAATGTTCACGACTAAAAGAAGAAGAAATTCAACGTCGAACAGAATTCAATCTGCGTACCCTTTACAACCAATTCGAGCTGAACGGATGTGAATCTGTGCTTATGTTGGTGTTGTTGTTGTCGGTTTTCTTCCTTATCCCCAAGAGCAGCAGAGGAATCAAAGGAAGAAAACTTGAGGCAACACTGTGAAAAATAAACATGCACGTATATGTTGGCATAGGAAATTGAATAATATGCCCGAATTTTGCTCCAGCAGGTCAGACCGCTGTCTTCCCTATTGCGGCAATCCATTTTTGGTGTGTGGAAATCCGATGATTCCGCCATCTCTTCACCTGTGATTCCCCTACTTTCTCCCTCGTCTCTCCCGCATACTATTTTCTGTCTATGGCGTCGTGTTGATCGGATTCATTACCTTTCCCTTTCTTCTAACTATTAATCTCAACCGTCCATTGAGCGCGGGGAGCATCTGTCTAATCAAAATCCCCATTCAACGGCTCAGATTTATTTTAAGTCTTCCCAAGTAAACATTGCTCCTCTTTTGTCCAATACAATAGGTAATAACCAATTGGTTAAATTATACTTATAACATTTCTTGTAAAAACGCACAGATAATAATTTGTCTTAAAAGAAGGATTATTTATTTAGTTTAGTAAAAAAATTATTTAAGATAAAACAAGAAGGATTATTTATTTATTTTATTACAAAAATTATTTAAGATAGTTTTATCTTTTTCATTGGTATAAAATTTGCATTATTAAAATAATATTTACAATTAAAGTTTGACGAAAAAAATGTCATATAAATTCTATATTAACATAAAAAGATTTTAAGCAATAAATAAAACATGTGTTTTATGTATTTTTACTTGAACAAAAAGTAATATAATTAAAATGTATAATTATATATATTTTTTTTTAAAAAAAAAGACAAATTATATTGGAAGAATGGTACTTCTTATTCATACTTTATGATCGCTCTTATAATGAAATAAAATGCAGTTGATAGATACAACGGTAAGTTTTAGGAAGCAGTGTCTATCTGCTTCAGAGCTGCCATGGTAGACGAGGCGATGCCGGCCAGCCGGCCGACGAAAGCTGTGGCGCATCGGAAAACAATATGCTGTCGATTTTAAAGCATGGAGCGTCCCACCATCCCCACGGGCCTGTAACACATCAAAGTTTGCCGTAATATCAAGAATTGCATCGACTGCCTGCCATGGTATCACTCAAGAAAGATTACCTGTTAATGAACTCCAGAACAACAGCAGATGCGCCCCCTCCACCATTGCAAACTGCCGCAACTCCAAACTTCTTGTTTCGGTGTTTCAGCGCCCCTAACAGTGTCACCATTATACGAGCTGCACTGCAGCCGAGCGGATGTCCCAAGGACACAGCACCGCCGTGCACATTTAATTTATCCTACAGACAACGCACAATGAATAGAGCAGAGAAGAGTATTCATCGAACGGATCATTATATATCAGGAAAATGTGTTCATTAAATTAGATGCAGAGAGTAAAAGACACTCACTGGATCAATGTTGAGCAGCTTCTGGTTAGCAATAGCAACGGCCTACGAGGATGATGCTTGGGGAATGAGTTTGCAGATTTGGAAAAAATAGAAAAATGAATGAATAAAATTCATATGGGCATTCTTACAGAGAAGGCTTCATTTATCTCGTATAAATCTATGTCGGATGCTTTAATGCCAGAGTTTGATAATGCTTTTGGTATGGCCACAGATGGAGCAGTCGTAAACCACTCTGGTGCCTGCAGAAAAGATGTAATCACCGAGCCAGTGATGGTGGTGTTGATTCATTGAGTCAGTAATGATCATGTAGATCTAACCTGCGCGGCATCAGCATACCCTCTGATTCTTGCAATGACTGTCAATCCGAGCTTAATTGCCATTTCACCACTCACTAGAACTAAAGCAGCAGCCCCATCACTGCAAGGAACACAGTTCTAGATCAGATTGCTAATTAAGTAATGTTCTGTCCATCTCCAAGGACAAAGAGATGTTTATCGACTTTTTAGTCAAACACAGAAGAAAGATATATTTCTTGAAACTTAGTTAACAGAACCTTATAATTGAAGCATTCCCAGCGGTAACAGAACCTCCCTTCTTGAAACTTGGTCTGAGTTCTTTTAACTTAGATGCGTCAAACTGACATCACACGTGAGCATATAAGAAATAGAAAAGAGCCTTAGATTTAAGTAGCCGAAATAAAGATATCACTGAAGGATATGCATATAATGACAAATCAAATTGAGAGAGGAGTGACAGAATGAGGAGTTTGGCAGATGCTAAAAGAGAAAAAGAAAAATTTGTAGGCAGAAAAGTTGTAGTCAATTCTGTGTCCTTAACCACACATGGTAGCATAAAACTGCTATAACAAATATGGTTCATCAACGTCAGAGAGTTGAAATAACGATACAAATCGTGCAAAACATTTAGCATTATAGTTCGTTGAATATGCTTGTTCATACCTTTCTTAGGCCTTCATCTTTGTCAACAACAGTCGACGGCTTCCCCCTCCCACCAGGAACTTCAACCTGGATAAATGAAAAACAGTGAGTTTAACAGTCCAATTATATGTCTATTATAAAGAAAATTTAGAATGAAACCCACAGGTGTAATCTCCCATGAAAATGCACCAGAGGATTCGGCAGCAAGGCCCCGCTCAAAACTTTTGATAGCATAAGAATCCTGGAAAAAAGCATAAAAGCTAAGCATTAAACTGAAAACAGTAATACATACTTTGATGCCGTGACAATTATCCGACGTATGAACAGAGTAGAAAACAAACAAATATGGAGACTTGGGACGATAAGCGACTTTATGGAAACTTACAAATAACATACTACATATTTTACACAGGGCTAGGAAACCAGGAACAGTAAGATATTTAGGACATCTCTCAATAAGGATTGTCTGTTGTCATACGAACACCCTAGAGGTGTCAAGAACATAATCCACAATGAAATCAACAACAACAATAAATAAGCAAAATAAAAACAGCATTCTACAATCTGTTACCTGTTGTTCTCTAGTAATGTTATGTCGATCAGCACACAACTCTGCACAAACGCCCATATGATAATCATTGTAGACGTCCCAAAGGCCATCTTTGATCATGCCATCAATAATCTTGTCGTGCCCTAGATGAGATCCAGTCCTGTTAACAAAGGCATGTCACAACAGTTGAGAAAGATAAGTCTAAAGCCACATTCCTCAACCTCCCCATAGAAAAGATACAAAGCTTTCAGTAAATTTTTGAGAAGGAAGTATGAGCTTCTCGTTAAATATTTGTCCGTGAGAATACATGTACCTTCCTGTAGAGATATATTTTGGTGCATTAGACATGCTTTCCATGCCGCCAGAAATTACTACGTCATTGGCACCCGATGCTATTGTTTGGGCAGCAATCATTGTAGCTGTGTTTACAAACGCAAGTCAGGACAAGTTCTTCTGAATGGGAAATTATTGCGATAACTTAATGCCGGCATACCTTTCATCCCCGATGCACATACTTTATGGATGGTGGTGCAGATAACTGAATTGGGTAAACCTGCACCTAGTGCAGCTTGCCTTGCTGGGGCTTGTCCTAAATTTGCACTAAGAACATTACCAAAGAAAACTTCTTGCACCATAGATGGAAGTATACTGGCCCTATTAAGAGCAGCTGCAGACATTAAACTGATATTTAGTAACAGAAATCCGATGCCATGAAACTGCCCGCAAGAAAACTAGATTAAAAAGGCAATTACACACACACACACATGTATCTTATATCTTACCTTCAATTGCAATAGAACCTAATTTTGTAGCAGGTAAAGATGAAAGAGAGCCAAGTAAACCACCCATGGGTGTTCTTGCAACACCAACAATGCAAACATCTGAGGGAAGGTATCATTTTCTTAGTCAATATCCATGATTAAATTTCTGTAATATGCACAAGGATGGCAGATACCATACACTGAAGTATTTTATTTACATAGAAGAAAGTAAAATAGATCAGCTTTAAGAAAAACAGAGTTGAAGGAAGAAATTTAGGGCAAGAATCCTAAAGTCCATTTTTCAATAGCATAGTTGAAAAGCGCCAAAATTCAAAAGGCAGTAGCAATTGACAAAGCACATCCAACTGAAAAAAGTTCAATTACCTCTAGGTTTGATAGAATCATCAGCTAAAGAAGCCATGGTTGTCTGCAAGAAACATACAAAACCAAAGGAGATCCTCAAAAACCAAAACGTCACGACAAGAAGAATCGAGAAAATCGCCAGAAACACAAAATTCGTAGAAGGTGAGAATTAGAAGGACGAGAAGGTGTTCACGATAGCGTTGAATCGATCAAGAAAACATTTTACCAAGAAATTGCACTGGCAACGAACTAGAACTCCGAGATCCAACAGAAGTCAGTTATCAAAAGTGAGTCCGATTCGAAGGGAGGCTACAGATATAGCTCGGGCTTGTTTCTTCCTGAAACAACAACAGGCCGCCGTGATGCTTCTTCCAGGCTAACTTAGACCAACGCTGGGCTTGCGATAGCGACTAGAGCTTTGACACGCATGTCGAGGCAGTGCGGCGATCCGACGTACCAAAATGGTTCTGTCTGCGCTTATCCGAATGTTTGGCTCGTTGGGTTTTCTAACCTTTTTTCTCTTTTTCCCTTTTAAATTATATATATATATATCTTTTTTATAATATATAATAAAATATTTTATATTTATTTTAATCAAATATAAATTCTCTCTGTCACCAAAATTGAGGAAAAAAAAAAATTGAGTAAAGAAAAAATTTAAAAAACTGGTAGAAAAATATAATAAACTTAGATGACATAATAAATTTGAATGAGATAGACGAATATTAATTGACACATTTCATCCTAACACATCCTTAGGTCATCTGGAACCGTTTGTCTGTTTTTTTGATAAATTTTTAAAAAAATTTAGTTTTAATTTAATACTAAAATAATATATGATTGAAATATATTTTGAATTTAAATATTAAAGAAACAAGTCCAAATGATACGAATATCCGGTATTAAAAATAGGAGGTTGTTAGTGCTGATGTTGTAATTCAACAATTAATCATGTTATTTATTTTAAGTCATGTTTTAACTATGATTATAGATTTGTTTGGTTATTAAAGAGTGCATGTAATATGTTGTAAAATAATATGTTTTTATACAAAAATCAAACAATATTAATTTGAATTTGAAACTCAAAGCAAACATACTTTAGGAAAGGATATCATTAGCATGGTTTAGTTTGAATGAAATATATGTGTTCAAAAATAATATACTAGTAAGAGTTTCTCGTTAATATTAAATTATATAAACTACTGTCTCTGTCCCACATTGGATTTCTTAGTCGAATAAATATAATTAGCAGATAATTAAGAATGTATTAGTAAAAATAGTTAACTTAATTTAATTAAAATTTAAAAAAAATTAAAATTTAAAATTTAAAATAAGATTAAGATGAATAATCATGTTTAAAAAAAAAAAAGTGACATGAAATAGCAATATCAACATAGCAAGTGAGAAGATGGGAGTATCTCATTAACAATTGAGCCAAAGTGCGCATTTCCATAGTATTTTTCACAATCCAATAAGAATTCCAATATCATAATAAATATATAAAATTATTTCTGACTTAAGAAAAAAACACATCAAAATAAAATATAAATGGAGTAATTATTTAAATATATATATATATATATATACAATTTTACATTACACCCTGCAATTCCATTTTTAGTCAGTCAAGCCTAGTATCAACATCGCAAGAGTGTTTCTTAAAAAAAAGAAAAATTTGGTAAAATACAAAAAGTATCTAATTGACTACATACAACATCACTATATTGAACAATTAAACCTAGTGTACATATAATGAATTAAATCTCTTGAATATTTATCAGTTATCTACAAAAAGAGATTCAGCTGTCCCACAAATCCACAACAAAATTCAAAATATGTTGAACCACAATATTTAGAGTTAGGATCGGTGCTTCTACCATGAAAAGATCAACAGCTTTCACTAGGCACCTCAGATCAAAATCAACTGGCATTCTATACATCTCATTGCTTAAAACAAAAACTTTCAGCACAACAAAAATGCTAAGATCATAAAATTCGCCTAAAGGTAAGGTTTATTCGTACTGACTCAACTTTTGCGCGTTTGGGAATTGAGTGGAGCCAATCTCTTTGGGTGTAGCCAGTCATTACCAGCAACGAGCCATGTTTAAGCAAGAACGAGTGCTGCTGATTGCCATTGCTTGTCTTTTTCGATCTCTTGTTTGGAGGCTCGCCCTCGTCTGACTTAGCTACATTCGCAAAACATTCTATGCATCAAGAATGCTACTTTGTAAAGATGAATGTGCACACATGCTCACACATTTGAATAGATTTGCTGTCAACAAGATGGCATCAGTCTGCCGGAACTCAAAACCATATGTTAGAAAACCAAATTAGGAGATTCTTAATGTTACCTTTAGCTCTTTTGCTTGGTTTCTTCTTCAAGACAAAATCCCGTTCACATCCAAACGAAACAGAAGCAATTTGAGGGGTTGGTCCATAAAGTTTCTCATCATCCGCGTGCCAACCAACATAGTCATTGCCTCCTTTGTATCTGTTTAAAAGTAAGCTATTGAAGCTGCTTCCTGGAATCGCTTTGTGGACCTAGAGTTGTGCAGCACCAACATCAATGTTGAATTTTATCTAAGAAAATCCCAAATAAAAATGATATGTTCAATGTTAATCTAGAATTCGAATAAAATAGCTTTACCTGTTCCAAAATATCCTTCAGTGGTGGAAAATCATCCCATGAGTGAGCAAGGGGCTGATGTCCACTATAAACAAGGTTGGGCAATCCTTCACTAGCAATATAAAAGGTGTCTCTGGGCTGTTGGGATTGAAATCATTGAATATGAATATAATGGAAAACAATCTAATCAATCTCAGTGGAAAATGCAGAGAACATTCGACAATGATAAGATACAAGCAAGCATCCAGGACACACAAGCAAAATTACACTATTTTCTCACAAATATCACTAACAGAGTGGCTGATTCTTAAATTTCCTTCAATAAGCAAACCTTTAGGGTTTAATCGAAGGTTCAAAACAAAGAGCGGCAGCACTATTTTGCACAAATGTAAACAAAATCAGGTCCAGATGTTTGTCCCGCGCTTAAAGTGGAGAGTAAATCGAACCTGGACATGCGATCGAGCGAAGACGCGGATGGTAGGTCGGGTCCAAGGGATGCTTTTATTAAGGTATTCGAAATATCCCCATGAATCTTCATACGAAATAAATCGTGGAATGTGTAGAACCTGGCTTCCGTTGCCCAAATCCACCACCACCATCTTCTTAGGCTTTTCATCCTTTGCGCTATCTGCGCCGGAGCTCCCATCCGCAATGACGTCGCTTGCTGCACCCAAACTCAGGCGACCGCTTGACATCGAGAGATTCGTGGAGAAAATCGACCGCCAAGACACAGAAAAACGAAGAGGTAGAGAACGCGAAACAGTCAGGGACTTGCCCAACCGGTTTCGAACTGGCGATTCCGGTTCAAATCGGAACCACCATCGAACCGAAGCGTTATTCTATGAACCGTAGACCGCCGGGTTTTATTGTTATTAGGGTGTGTTTGTTTGAACGATTTTAGTGGACTTTTACTATTCATTCTTTTTTTTCTCATCTTTCTCATTTTTCATTTTTTATATTATACTTAAAAATCAATTTTACATTAAACACCTATTTATATATCGCATCTTACAGCTATCCAAATACTAACTCAAAATCCAAGCCAAACAAACACACCCTTAAGTATCATTAAATATATATCTGCAATAATAGTGGAAACAATCGACGACGAAAAAGGCTACAAACGGCGTCGTATGATTGGGTGGCGCAGCTGCTCTTCTGTATCGTCGTTTCGACTGGTTTCTTGCAAAAACTCGAAATGCATACTACGACGTCGTATGCGTATGCCCTTGCACTTGCACCGCCGGGTGGAGTTCATTTCTCCGAAATTGGAGATTGCTGTGGTTTCCCTGCAAAATGACGGGAACGCCGCCGCCGTCTCCGCCCAAACAATGTCCAAAAACGCACAGAAACGGCTGCTAAAGCAGCAGAGGAACGAGGCGAAGAAAGCACAGAAGAAGGCGCAGGTGAAGGAGCATAAGAAAATAGAGGCCGAGCGGAGGCGGAAGGAATGGCAGGAGAAATTGGGGAGAGTGGGCGAGGAGGAGAGGGTAAAGATGATTGAACAGAGGAGAGATGTCCAGAAAGAGCACATGGAAAAGCTATTCGCGGAAAGGGGAAGAAAAATCGAAAGGCTGCAACAGGCGAGGATTCATGGCCAGAATTTGGTAATTGATCTCAAATTCTCTCATCTCATGAACACTACTGAGCTGCACAGCCTCGTTCAACAGGTTCCTCCTTTTTTCCCCTTTCTTCAAATTCATTAAATTCGAAGAATTGTTCTCTCTGAATATGAAATTTGTTATGGAGCATTGCAGGGATGCCTTTGGCCAATCAAAACTTTCTATTAGAATTTCTGGAAATCGAGGGCAATTGTTTACTGCTATTAATTAGTATATCTTGCAATCCGACACCAGTCACCATTGTAGTCCACAGTTAGGGTTTTGCAGTGCATTCACGGCTCGAACTTAATCAAAACCATAGCACATATGACATTTTCACAACAAATTATATGCAACCTTTTCAGATTATGTATTGCTATTCACTGAATGGAAGATGCGCCGTGCCAGCCCACATTTGGTTGACAGGATGCCATGGAGAAATGCAAGAACAGCTTAAGCAAATCCCAGGATATGATAAGTGGATAATGGAGAAGGAAGATCGATCATATGCAGAAGTTTTTCAAGAGGAGAAAGAAAACTTGGTGTATCTCACAGCAGATTCAGACAACATTCTGGAAGAGCTAGACCCGAAAGAAATATACATCGTTGGCGGCTTGGTGGATAGGAATCGCTTCAAAGGCCTCACGGCAATGAAAGCAAAAGAACAAGGGATTAGAACTGCAAGACTGCCGATTGAAACATACATCAAGATGTCGAGTTCTCAGGTGAGTTTTTTAAATTTAAGTTGAGAGCATTTGATCTAATGTATGTGTTATGATCAGTCTTGTTGAATTCTTGGATGCTCTGCTCTTTCAGGTCCTCACTGTAAATCAAGTTGTGGAAATACTGCTCAAGTTCTTGGGGACAAAGGACTGGAGAGATTCATTTGATCAGGTGATTCCTCAGAGGAAAAAGATTTGAAACTTGTTGAGGTTCATCCATGGTTAACAGTTTTCTAAAGTTGGAGCAAGCATGTTTTGGATTCGCTTTAAAAGTTCTGCAGTTGAATATTGAACCTGTTGGGAAAGTTGGAGCAAGCATGTTTTGGATTTAACTTTATGTATAATTTGAATAATAAAAAAAAATGTCGTTAAATTATTATATAAAATTATGACCTATTTTAATACTTTTATATTTAACAAGAATACAAAATACATTGACTTTACCATCCAACAATTTAACTTAGGATTTGAATTGCTACCTTGTGTAATAGGATTAGCTAGTGTATTTGTAAGTATATCTAGTGAAAAATAATAATAATAATCATAAACATCTTTAACTAATTTACACTAACTACTTTATATTAATTTCAACTATGAAGAAGGAATTAAATGTATATTTAGGAAAATCTAATTGTAAAATTAATTAAAATGGATATCATGACTACGACGCCAAGATTGTATATTGTCGATGAAAATTGTTACATTTGTACCCAATCAATTCTTTCCCACCAATCAATTCTTTCCCGCGAAAAACATCTTTTAAATTATTGTGCACGACCACATATAATGTGCAATATTGATATATATAAGAAAAAAAAAAAAAAAAGTGACATTGAAACAATTAGTGTTTACATGTAATTGATAATGTAGTAAGAATGTCTTCATCCCATTAACCAGCTAGTGGTATGATCATCATCACCAATCAAAAGTGCAAAATAATTTTAGGGTTTTGTCATAAAACTAATAAGAAACTGAAGAGCTGCAGCGGGAGCACGCAAACAACGAACTGAATATATAATCCTCCATAGATGATTGATTACACACACCTGACTTGAGTGATTGATTAGATTACATCCATGCATTGAGATTTATATATTATAATTAATTAAATTGTTCTTGAATGTTGTTGCAGTACTGCTACTACCAGACAAAGATGGCCATGAGGAGTGCATAGATCATAAGGGAAATGGGGAGAAGAGAGAAGAGGAGGGCAAGTGCCTCGGGAGGATCAGGTTTCAGGTAATGAGGAAAACTGAGCAAGCTTATCACTACCAGGACAGCCATGGCAAACATAGCACACCATTTGTTGCTCACCTTCATCCTTACCAATTAAGTATTAATTACCACCAGGTACCTCAATCTTCTGAGATCTTCTTCTTCTTCTTCTCCAATTCAATTCTTCGGCTTCAAATCCATTAAGTATCTGTATGGCTGCTGACAGTGACAATGGCTGGCAGATATATGGGAAGAGAAGAAGGAACTAGCCATTTAAGGGATTCAAATTTGTTACAGAAAATTAGATGGCAAATAAAATAATAATAATAATAATAATAAATGCATGAGTTTGTTCTACTTACGTAGGTACGTATGAATAATTATTATGATATGGTAATTATGGTGGACGACGTTGGGCAGAGAACCCCAACGGTGCCCAAACAACTAATCTTCCTTCTTCTCTTTCATTGAATTCCTTCTTTCTTGTAATCAATGCACAGAAACGACGTCGTCTGTGCTCTGCATCAAAGCTTCACACGACGATGTCTCTTTTGTTTATTAGTATTAAAATGTTGAGTATTAGATTATTTTTGTAGATGTTTCCTTATTACTTCATTCTGAAACACCTAATTACACTAAAATAGTAAGGTCATTATTTCTCTCTATATATATAGAGTTAACATGTACTATAATATAGTCTAAATACAAATTTTCTCTTTGAGATTTTTTTTTTTTCAAATTTCTTATTTTGAAATCTTCATAACTTTTTTTATAAAAATATATTGTATTATATATTTTTTTTATATGAAATATTATAAGTTTGTTTATTTAGTATGAGATACTTTTATATATATATATATGATATCCGATGAATTGTGTTGATAATATAAAAATAATATTTTGAATTGAATGTTTCTTTTTTTATGAGAAAATAATATATATATATATATTGTTCGTAAAAATGGATTGGTAGTGTGGCAGAGGCGGATGCAGTATTAGGCAAGGTGGGTCCAACCTACCAAAACAAATAATTAAAATAATACTAATTATCACTAAATTACAAATATATTCTTAAATATTAGTTTTATTTTTATTTCATGAATCAGTTTCGGTATTCAACAAGATCCACCAAAAGAATTATTGATATCTTGCTTTTTTTTTCCCTTCAATCAACTTTCTTCTTTTAATAAAAAAGAAATATTGCAGCTACTTGCATAATTATATTCTACAGAATTGTTAAAAGCAAAACGAATGATTTTTGAATTATTATTAGGTAATTTCATTATTGATGTTTAATGTGATGAAATATTTTTGGATTTGAAGAATTTAAATGAACTTGCTATGAAATTTGTTGAGACAAAGAAAAATAGCAACGACAAACGTAGAAAGATCATTTTCAACTATAACTATCATCAAGAAAAAATTACGGAATAGCACGAAAGAATAATTATTAAATGATTGTTTCGTGACTTTTCTAGAAAGAGATGTGTTTACGAAAGTTAGTATAGATGCTATTGTCAGCCGATACCAAAATATAAGTGATCTCGTCGTGAACACTTATAACTATTTTGATATTTAAGTGATTGTTAATTTGAAATTTCATATTTTTCTAATGTAAATTTTTGTCGATATATTTAATTATATTAATTTATCGACCCACCAAATTCAAAATTCTAAATCCGCCAATGGTGTTGGGTGAACTCGTTGATTTACTTAGAATGACTTGACTTGTCAGAAGTGTGATTTGGAGGAAATACCATACATTTAACCATTAATTAAATACAACATATATACAATCGCAAAGCAACATAAAATTATGAATAAGTATTAAGTAATTAAATACAACATGTATGTTGCCTTTGGTCATCTTCAATGAATGATATATAATTTGATTGAATGAATCTCATCCCATTTTAAGTAAATTTTTTACGACACAAAGGGTGATTTATTTTATTTATTTATTTATTTCTTTTACATTGCCATAAGAATAAAATATTTTCCTCATTAATCAAAGTTGTTGGTGTGTTGAATTTGGCCATAGCGACTACATATACTAGAGGCTTGTTCTTCTTTTTATTGTTAAGCTTTCCAATATTACATCGTTTTTAATAAAAATATATTATATTTTTTAAAAAATCAAACTACTATACACACCTTAATTAAGAGTTTCAATTTTATTTAATTGTTTTTTCAAATAATATTTTTGTACCCAATTATTGTTTGTTCAAAATATATATAAAAAAAAAAAAAAAAAAAAAAAAAAAAAAATCTAAAGAAGGGTGTGCCTAATCTTCAAGGCCAGTGCTGTTAATTTAGTTGGTCTACTGCAAGAAACTGCACTTAGTTGGTCTACCCCAATTCATACATCCAATTAACACTAATCAATTCTCAATCTAACTTCTCACTAATTTTAAATTATTTGTTCACCAAAATAAACGCTACCATATATATATATATATATATATCTACACGAATTCAATAATATATATATTTATACACATATAGTTGGGACAGGCACGACCATTACACTTTACCCAAAACATAACACACAAAAAAATATATAAACAAATAATAATAATAATAACAAGAGTCGTGGGGATGGGATTAGGCCAACTACCAAACCCACAACATAACATAACATAAACTACTCGATCACCATCAGTCAACCTAGCTCGCTCCCAAATTACGACAGTTCGTTGACGAAACCCTTTACCTCAACTTATAAATTAATTTATTATATATACCCATCCAAGTCGTGACGTTGACTAACCAATTCCCGACCTCGATCGATTAATACCATCGTCCTAGCTATATAAACACACTATCAGAAGAAGTTGGGCAGCCAAACATCATCGTATTTGGTAAAGGGCCATTTTGGTAATTTCCTCACCCATGCAAAGGGGTCGACGACGATCTTGCAAGAAATTATAAAGGTGGTGTGGTGTGTTGGTAGCTTAAACCTCATTGTCCCTTCATTCCCTAATTTGCGTCGCCATAAAGCAATTTCATTAATTAAGCTTATTTTTGGAATTTATATTTTATCAGCTCCAATTAAGATTGTGATCGATCGCGCCAGAGATGGATTTTCTTGAGGCCTTTTTCATCGTCGTTTTGCTGGCCGCCGGAAGCCCCGCGACGGCGACATTGGGTGGGTTTTCCGGCGGGAGGGAAGATTTGGTGAAGTGGGCTGGTTATGGAGACGAGAAGCTGTCCACCGTCGTCATCGGTGGGAAGCTTCTCTGCCATGGCAATGCTGCTGCTACTGCTCTTCATCCCTATCCTATCTCAGGTAATTCATATATTTTATTTTTTTATTAAAAAAAAAAATTATCGTGATTTATTAGGTTTTGTTGTGCAGAAGGACGATTTAAAATAAGTATATAAAAATGTAAATCAAATCATTTTTTAAAACTAATTTATGGAGTAATTAATAAAGTATTACATTAAATAAGACAGGTATAATTGGAACGGTTATCGACAGTTGTCTTGTCAAAAAATCGGTTATCGGCAAAACCTAATGCTGCAATATATTAATTAAATTCATTAACATGGAATTAATATACAATCTTCGTCTAATAAATTCAATTATCATAGAATCAAACTCTGGTACCTTCCGATTGCAATATAATTATTAATTAAATTGTCAACTTCAGAGCAAGGTGCAAAGTAGCCAAACTATGTCCCTTGCTATTGTTGTCCTAGCTAACTAATTGACATCCAATATTTTGTCTACTCTTATGCAAATTTAATCTTATTTTACTTCACCCAAATAATTTATTACACAAATATCATTTTTTCAGGCGCAACGGTGGCTGTAATGTGCGGAACAAAGGCAAAGGCGAAGAAATTGTGGTTGGGCCGAGCCCGGACGGATAGACATGGAGAATTCGCGATGGATATTCCGTCGCATCTCCACGCGATTCCGAATTTGGAGAAGATTTGTCGTGTTAAGGTTGTCAGTCTTCCCTGGAGGTCGGCTTGCCGGCATGCGTGCACGAGGAAGCTCAGGCGGATAGAATTGGCGGCGACGCGCGAAGGTATCCGCACGTACACCGCTCACGACATACACTTGATGCCTCGAAAGCTCACGTGAAAAGCATGTGCCTTCATCATCAATAAAATGTATTTGCACCTTAGTCTCGATGGCGCTTTAGTCACAGACTGACTAAGGGATTCTTGCATTCATATTCATAATGTTTTTTTTTTTTTTCTTTTTTTTTTTGTTTCGTGTCGTGTAAATTTGATTATACTGATGTGTATATATATAATATATATAAAACTTTGTGTGTTCTTGTTTGCTGAACAAGAAATAATAATTTCAACAAAAATATATATATATTATTTTAAATATAAATATTATTGTTGATTTTTCATTTATATATACAACATAACAGTCATTACGTCTAGTTAAATATTTATTTTATTTTATTTTTTCTTATCACTTTAAACATGTGATTAGTTTTCAAATTTATATTGGGTTCATCCTTAGATGATTGTATTGGAGGAATAATTTTATGCTAACTTTGTATATAACATCTTCAATAAAATCAGTGTACCATTCATATCTCATTATTGTGTAAGATATAAGTCTTTTTTATATAAATTACGACATCGCATTCAACTATTATTTAGATTAAAATTTGTTAGCCTTACAACTTTTTACACAACATCACATTTTTATATTATGTAATATAATTCCTATAATTATTTAATATCATGTGAGCGTCATATTAGATACTAGTACCTTTTATATTAGCCTCCAAGTTAAATAAGATAATTATTCCAACCTTATAATAGCCGAAAACAACAAATAAATCTACATATATCATCAACAATTTATTCTATACTAAACAATTCCCATGGAATAAACAACTTTAATAATACATTGTGATATATTATTATTATTCTTTCCCCAAAAAACAAAAAAGAATTATCGACCAATCAAAATTCAGTTGAGTGGTGAGATTAAAAATCAACGCCATCGCCATATCCATCAATCAATCGTTGCTTTCTCTTCTCTTCTCTTCACATTTGCAGTTTACAAGTCCTATGGTTGTGGACATTCCCAAGATTTCTATGTTAAAAGAAATATATATGATGACTATGATTACGAAATGAAATGAAAGAAAGAAAGATGCCCACTTTCATTTGCTATCGCGTAGTGGATAAGAACATCAACAACAAGAACAACAACATAAACAGACACGAGAATTTCAAAAGATTCTATTTCGACTGAAAACAGACAAGTGCAAGAAACTCAATTGTCGTCTTCAATGGTCCACCTGATATCCCAAATCCATTCCCATTCCCATTCCCATTCCCATTCCCACTCCCACAATGATTTTGAACAACCAATTTCTGAGAAATCAAATTATTCAAAAACCCTAAAGATTTTCCTCCTTTTCTTTTTTTTTTTTTCTCAATTCAATGCTCATCTAAAAACAGGGCAACCTTTGACGTCAATCCCCGGCGCCGTCGGACAAGACGCCAACGGGCAGTGGTCCGGCGCCGACCCCCACCACTTAACGTTCTTCCCTTCATTCTGCAACGCGAAGAACAGCAGAACTCCCATGAACGCCGTTCCGGCGTCCAATGCCGCCGACAAGACGTAATTGTATTTCTGCCACCATCTCTTCCTGTACTTGAACACGAAGTAGTTGAAGATCGTGCCGGTGATGATCCAGCTAGCGATGTTCGTCGGCGTCGCCGGCGGCATTCCGGCGAATCCGAACGAGATCACCGGAATGTTGATCAGAGGAATCCATTTCTTCTCCGGGTAGACCTTGCTAAGAACCCACACCGGCACCGGCAAGACGGCGCCGATCAGGAATAGCCACACAAGGTTCCGGTACATCCCTCCGGGCCCGAATAGCCTCTCCGGCCCGATTAGCCCCCAAATGACGGACGCGTCGAACGTCACTCGAAACTTAGGACACGTCCACGGACTCTCGGGATGTAAAGCCTCGACGTCGCAGATGTTTTCGATGCTTCCTAACATCCACCAACACACTCCGAGATTGACTATCCCGGAAACGAACGTGCCCACGAGCTGCAAAAGAATGCGCCGTTGAAGTTCATAAACAAAAACAAACTTAAACTTTTAGGTGAGATGATCATTTAATTCCAGACCTGCGCCGTGAACATGGATCGGGGTGGGATTTTCATGTAATGTCCGAGTTTAAGGTCGGCGAGAAACGAAAGAGCGTGAATCGTGCTGATCCTGCCGTATATTTTAAAAAGTAAATTGGCTATCGGCTTCCCAGGAAGAATATACCCGATGATGAACTGAGCAATTATGTCGTAGCCCGGTTGCTGCACGACAAAAAGACAATCGATACATAACACACGAGATTCATTTAACATAATTTGTGAAGGTGTGCGCGTATTAGTCGAATGTAGATTGCCTGATTCGTCGTGGCTTGAATGACGCCGATAGGCAGCGTGACGATCCAAGCTAAAGCGAAGGCGAAAAGCATCCCCCACCACGGAAGCTGGACGTCGTTCTTCCATACAAAGCACATCATCAACGAGAGCGCGATACTTCCGAATAGCAAAACAAGGAACCACCATTGCGGAACTTGCTTGTAATGCTTCATCAACCTCGAATGAACGTCTAATTTAGCGTTCTTCACAGCAGCCTTGCTCTGCTTCCAAATATCGCTTTTTCCGCGAAACAAATCGATCAATTGAGACTGTTTTCGACAAAATATCGACCATTTTCAGCAAAATTGAACTACTTGTTTATACCTGCCATTGAACAAGGCGACGTGTGTGAGGGTGGAGGTGAACCGGGCGAATCCTGAACCGATGGAGAGGGCGAAGAGGGGGCTGAGGTAGAGTTTGCTGTAATTTTCGTAAGCTGCGATGTTGAGATCATACTGTGGGGTTAAGATCTTGTTGGTGTCGTATTTATGTCCGGTGGAGGTGAATAACTGGTTGGAGAAGATGGGGAATTTGCGGGCGTCGAAGGTGTTGTACTTCCAGTAGCATAAGGGGACGATGATGTAGATGAACATGATGAATCCTGCCATGACGTTGAGAATGGCGGGAAAGGGGGAAATCAGGGGGCTGCCGTGGTAGGCGGAGATGCCGGCCCAGTCGAGGGTGAAGGCGCCGACGCCGAGGCCGTGGTAGCCGGAGCCGATCTGCTGGGCGGTGATGCTGCGTGGCCACACCCAGCAGACCCACGAGAAGAAGGTGAGGATCTGGAAGAGGTAGCCGGGGAATATGTAGTAGAGGAAGCTCGCCGCCATGAAAACCAGGAAGAATTTCATCCTGCTCATCCCTTTTGAGTTGGTCTCCTTCTCGTGAAGTGCTCTGTAAAATTAACCCATTATCGAATAATCGATTGTGGAGTGTTTATTGATTTTTGGTGTGTGAAATTAATCCTGACCTGAAGAGGGAGACCTGAGCTAGGTTCGATGGCCACCACATCTCAGCTGGATCTACCAAGTATTTTCGAAGCATTCCTGCCCATCCGTACCCTAGAATCTGCACTTATTCAAGAAAACAAAAATTGAAATTTCTGAGAAGGGTTTTTTTTTTTTTTTTTTTTTTGATTAATTGATTGATTGCCTGAGTGGTGAGGACAATGAGGAGAGCGCAGAGGAAATTGAGGCTCTGTTTGTAATAAGCTTTCATGACAGTAATGGCGCCTATGGAGTAGGCGTCTCCACCGCCAATGGAAACGCCACAATTGGCCATCACCGTGATAATCACGTGCTCTTTGATGTTGAACGGGCCAGGGTTGAGGGTGAACTTCCACCGCCCCAACGCCGTGAACTCCTTCTCCGGCAGCGTCGCCGCCATCAGCTGCCCTAGCGGCAGCACCGCTATCTGCATCAGAATGGCGGAGATGGTGAGCGGCTGCGTTCTGTAGATGAAGAAAGTGTTGAGGAAGATGAGGAGGGTGCAGGAGCCCAGGCCCAGGACCCATGCACGGAATGTCATCACCGGGAGGGAGGTGTCGTCGGTTTCCGGCACCACCAGCGCCACCTCCTCCACCGAGCATCTCTCTTCCTCCGCCGCCGCCTCGTCGCCGTTGGAGGCGGCCTTGTGGGCGGTGCTCGAATCGGACACCATTGGCGCTGTATGCGTGTGGCTCGGCTCGGCGCGGCGCGGCTCGGCTCGATCGATTTGTATCTGATGATAATAATTTCAGTGCAGTACACTCCTATGTCGTGACTTATATATAAAGGGAGGTGGCTGCGTGGGAGGTCCGGGAAGGGCAGAGGAAAAAGGATTCTTTAGCAGCTCCTTTCGTGTCACACCGTCGATCTTGTGTGCTCCTAATTGATCAACGGCATGACGCCTTCTGGATCACCGACTCCCGGGAGCTTTTGAGTGTATCTCTTAGCGACGTGTATGGAAACGGACAGTCAACAAGTAGAGCTACTTTATAGCCTGCTTAGGTGTCAGTAAAATTATTAATTAAATAGAATGATTAACGGTGTGTTAAGGATGTGTTTTTTTGTAGTGATTGTTGTATTATGAATTTTATTTTCAAATATATATATTTATATAATTTCGGTAAACAACGCGATGAACACCTCGAAGTTTTGTGATGATCTTTGGATGCTCTTCCTTGGTTTTGATAGATTCTTCAACGATTTTTGGAGCTTTGAAGCTTTGATTCTTGAAGAGGTGGATTTGGTACTCCATAATACTTTTGAGGGTGTGTCCCTTTGATTTTTGGATCGAAGAGGGCCTAGTTGATGCTTTGTTGAAGAATGCGAATGCGATGAACTTTTGGGGCATTCCCTTGGCTTTGACGAATTCCTCAACGGCTTTGAGAGCTTTGATCCTTCCTCCGGCTTGAACATACGATGAAGAATGTTAACTCCATCGATTAGACAACTAATATTGGATCATTTTTCCAAATCAGTGACTTTCAACGAAAAACGCTTCGAATGACACGAAGAACATGAAAAATAATAGAAAGTCTAGAGACTTACCCCTTTGTTTGAATCCTCGATGCAACTTTTAAATGAACTGACCATAACTCATATTTATAGGGGAGGGGTGTCATCGACTTCCTTTTTTAATGGTGCCATGTGGCGCGTTCTGATTGGCCAATAGGAAAATTTTATAATTTTTCCTTTTCCATCGGATGCTTTTTTTCATTTTTAACGGATTTGATTGTGTACCTTCCTTTCTCGCCAAGATCTTTATATTACAGTCTTTTTTCGGAAGATATTAATTTATATACTTCCTTTACTGACAAGATTAATTTATTTTGCTGTCAAATTTATTATGATTCTGCACGTAATATTTGTACGATATCTTCCATTTTAAGTAGATTTTTCATTAATGGTTGATATCTATTGTATAAAAATTAACATATGTGCATAATTAAATACCATATATTTATTTTATTGGAATTTTATTTTCTTCCCAAGTACATGATATTTATTTGATTTTATACATATATTTTTAGTGTTTATAATATACTATTTACTTTTTAATAGAAACAAATACTATATTTTAGAGAATAAATATTATTGTATTCATATTTATAATTATATTTCAACAGAAATTGTCTGTGATATTATATTTTAGAAACTGTTGAAAAATTGTATAAATTGCATACAAAGAAATATATAGAGAGAGACATGAGAAGGAGAGAGAGAGAGACGCACAAGTAAAAACAGATACAAACAAACCCCAAGAATCGTGTGCGAGGTCAGACAGAATAAATTAATTAAGAATCCTAAAAATTAATAATCAAAGAGCATTTTACAGTTCATTTTATGCCATATATATACACACACATGCACTTGTCTATCTGCATAATGCATTTCTTCTTACTACATAATTCCATATTATACATATAAACATTTATGGATCTATTCCAATTCCCAATGAAGTAAACACATAATCGACAGGCAATCATCACAAGACATCAAAATTCGACCTTATACATATCAAACTCGTCCAATAACTTTTATTTGAGCCATTCATTCCAATACACCATTAATTTAATTTAATTGCATGTGTCTGAATATATTGTGACCAATGTCCATATGGGTCACAATTTTTGAAAGAAAAATTATAAAGTGATGGAGATCTTGGACTTAATGCAGCCAATAAATTTGTGAGTACATACATGTATTTAGGAATTCTGGGATTAAAGTTGTGGTAAACATAAAATAGTTAGCATATATAGTTCTTAGTGGGTACACTTTTTTGGGCGTGTGAGTGCCACGTGATACGTCGTTTCGGACACACTTTTGTACGCTAGTGACATGAGTGCACACGTGGCGTCGCCACGTCGGACCGAATGTTCGTTGTCCCGTGACGGAAGTAACGGACCCTCTCGTTGCCGTTAAGACGTGGCTGCATCGAAATGGCGGAGATTACAAACGGAGCCGTTAAGTCACCACCCACGTAAGAGCAGGAAGCTCGTGCCTTCCGCGTGCATGATTTCAACCATTAATCTCAATCTCGGTGCTAATCCACGTGGCGGGAGAAACACCTTTCTCCAAAAGAATCTGGTCCGTCCAACGTCCCGTCCCGCGAAAACCGACGTTCGAGATTAACTGCCCGCGTATCTGGCCTACCTCTCGGGATCTCCTTTTATTACCAAAGGTTGAAATATTAAACTGAAAAAGTGCTAAAAATTCATTATTATAATTAAATTTATTGCGTAAGAGAATTTGTGAGTGGAAAAAAAAATATCTTTTAACCATTTCGTGCTTATGTTAACGTACTTTGGAAAAGTGCTTCATAAACCTAAAATATATATATATATATACCTATATAAATATAGGCACAATAACATCTTATAAACAATTTAATAAATTCGTACACAGTACAGTTCAATTTGTTTGGAGATTAAATTTTCAATTCACTATTCTATTTCATTTTTTTTTCAAAAATATTAAATTAAACATCTATTTTATTTTATTATTTATAGGATTATTATATTAAAAATCAATTTTACATTCAAAAAATATCACATCAATAACTATTTACATCACATCGTCGACTATTTAAATTTCAACTCAAAAAATAATGTAAAAATTTTAAACATCATTTAAATAAATAGAACCTGAAATTGGTTTGATATAGGCAGAAAGTGGTCAACAGGGAAATGATATCGTAGGAGGCGTTAAGGTCTAATTCCACAAAGAGAAGTAGAACGCAAAGCCACGTGTCTAGCTGATAAGAAGGACCTTATTTTCCAGAAACGGGTCCCCTGAATTTGACTTTAGTTGACTTTTTGAATGATATACTGGGCCCTACATTTCGATTTTTATTGGTTTGTTTGTACACTTTGAAAGTATTCTCTATACAATATATAAATATATACATATTAATATAATAAATATTTTTTGTTTATAAAAAATTAATTATTTAATATAAAATATTATTTTTTATATTGAATTTTACAGAGTTGGTGGCCCGTAGAAGCTGTCGACTGTAGTCTTTGCTCAAATTCAGTAGTGGGTTGGTTCTTGGCATCTTGCTACTCATACCATTGCATTTGTATATAGAATATAAAAAATAAAATGAAATAAAATAATAAAACTAAAAATAAATAACATAGGATATTATATAGTATAAAATATTTATTTCCTTATTTTTAAAGTATTTTAATTTTCAAGCTATAAATATCCTTTTAGTATTTTAACAATATATGAGAATTTCAAGTTACTAGTTGAGATCGGAAATGAAAGTTTAATTTTACAGTTTTAAATGATGTTTGGTCAATCATTATAATTACAATGTACCACATATATTTAATATATATTAAATTATTTTTTAAATTATATTTATTATAAATGTCATTTTATAGTAAATAAATGATGTACTTTACAAATAAATAAATCTTCAGTTAGTAATAATTTTACTATTGTTAATCTTCAAATATAATTACTCGTTTACCTTATCAATAAGCTTTAATTTCATTATACGTAATAAAGTAATAATTTTACTATTGTTATGGTCGAGTTGTGAAAATCTTGTTAAGTAATGAAGAAGGTAGGGAACATTTTTACAAGTAATTTTTTAAGACTATATTTACTTGAGGTGATTATATAACATTATTTATAGTAAAAATGTGGTTACGAGAATATAAGAACATATAATACATTTTAATGGTTAATTAGGACTTAAAGAAGAAAACTTAAAGGCTCAATTTAGAAGATGATCGACAAGAAGGGAAATCAGCATTTCTATATAAGTACATAAGCTCCAACATTAATTTGGGACTAATCTTCATCGTGTCTGTCGCATCTGATTTTATAGCTCCCGGTCGGTCGATGTGGTAATAATAACGGGTGCCCATAAACATACGCATGCACATTGTTTTTATTGCGATGATCACAAGCTTCATAATGAACTTTCGAATGTGGAATTGTGGGGACGAACAAGCTGCCAAATTTTGGGATCGATCGAGAAAGCGATGTGTGGATTTTGGGTTAATTGCGATACGATACGATACGATGAAGACAGAAGCAAGAATACGAATATGAGTTATAGATAGATAGATAGATGGAATTGTAAAAAGTTAGCAAGATTCTTTTATGCCATAGGTTCTATACAATGGATAGAATCAAAATTTGAAGTGTTCATTATGGCTACAGTGCACTACACAAATGGTGATTATGATTGTGACAAATCAATCCTGAAAAATAAACATTGAACGAAATTTATCTATATATATGTATGATTGTGTTGTTATGAAGCATTTTAATTATTTAGAGCACTAGAAATAATTAAATTCCAAAGAAATTCAATACCATCAATAGTGGAACTCAACAACAAAGATATAATTGCATTTATGTAATTTATTGACTACCATAAAATATATATATAATTATTTTACTTGACTATAGTTTGAGAGAGTAATTTTTTTCGATTAAATGAACAAATAGTTTATTCATAATTTGCAAACCATAATGCTTACACAAGATATACAGACAAATCAGGCTCGATCTAACCCTGAAAACAAGAAACTAAAAAACATGACAATTTACAGCTCAAGACCATTGCTACCCACTCAACAATCTTCACAAATCGAATCATTATTGTTTCTGTAACCTATCATCACTCGAATGGGCTGAAATTTTGGACAGTGAGTAAGTTTTCTCAGTGAGTTCTTGATATGTCTCCTCTTCAAGATGCATTGATGGACCTAACAAAAATCAACACAAGAACATGAATTACAGTATAAAATGTTTGATGCTAAGGAAGAACTAGGAGACGACAGCTGATGCAGATGGCTATGGGGAAGAAATCGCAAACCTTTTGAAAAAGTTTGCGCCTTTCGTCTTCTCATCCATCTTTACCAATGGAGAATCCTTCTCTCGTGTTGTTGCATCTCTCTTTGCTTTCTTCGACTCCACTTCTATTGCTCTAGCCAGTGTCTCGATCTTTTTCATAAGAATCTGCAATGGCATTATGTAGCTGGTTTTATTACTTGTCGACAAGAGAGAAAGTGTTGTTAATACTACCTTGATTTCTTCATCTTTAGAATTCAAAGCACTGTCCTTCGATTCGCAGGATTTCCTCAAATTCTTGACTTCTTTCTGAAGCCTGTCGTACAAAAAACCGGATACTACATCTTCACCATCAATGTCAGCTATCTCCGAATCTTTCATCTCTTTGTTGCCGCCATTTACACCATTACCGTTGTCCATTCCTCGGCCATCACCATCACTGCAAATGCCATTTTTGTTCATCTCTGCGTTCTCCTTCTCATTGTTGTCAACGACCTTACTTCGTGAAGCCCACCTCTTTTTCAACAAATTGTCTCCAGAAGAATTTCGCGACGCAAATTCTGTTTTTCCATCACTCAACTGCATTGAGCTTTTGGCGACGGCAGATGCTCTGGGCTGCGAAGTAGATCGCTTCTTTGTTCTCATATTGGTTGAAAGGATCCCAAAAAAGTTACTAGACTTTTCGTTCCTGGGGGATCCGTTCGAATTGATGGAGAAAGTAGGCACATGCTTTAAGCCTTCTTCAAGTGTCTTCAACCTTACCTTCAGCTTCTCCTGAACAGAAATGTTAAGCATTTTTAGTGCAAGAAATGACATAATTCAAAATTTCTAAGGCGCGTTTATATTATGACCTTGACTTGCGCCTCAGCTTTCGCAGCTCGCTCTGATATGGCCAATTTGTCCTTCAACTTCTGCATCTCTGCCTGCAAAGCAGAGGAATCACATTTCAGAGAAAAACCAAGAAACATGTCGATATTAATCTAAATCCGCCTTCTAACATCATTTTAGCATTATGCACTAGAGCTACTAGTCCGCGTTATTGTTTCACTGATGTACCTGAAATATCCTTCTCTCTTCTAGCCATTGTTTGACGGGCATAACTTTATCCTTCTCATCCTTCCACTCGTTGGCCACCACAGACGCTATCCGGTTTGCTGAAACCTTAACTCTCGCCAGCTCCCTTTCCAGTGTCCTCTTCTCATCCTATTCAGTAGCACGAAATTAAGTTGTACTGAGATTCAATGCATCAAGCATCAATTTTGGTCTAATTCGGCGTAAGTTCTTACATTAAGTTCTGAAATCTGTCGTTTATAATCACGAATCACGTTGGCTGCTGCACCTCCAGCAAGTATGGCCTCCTCGAGATCCTTGATTGTTTGGCTCAGCTTCTCAACCTCTAAAACCTTTTGCCTATTTGTCTTTTCAAGGATTTTGTTCTCCTCCTATCGGCAAAAACATCTTTGTTAATCTATGTTTCTGTTTTGACTTAGTTTATAGATCATTTCTATAGATGTCGAACTAAAACTCATACCTGGCATATCTCGATTTGCCTCCTTAGCTCCATGTTTTGATTCTGAACCTCTTCCACTATTAGTGCCCTTTCGAGGGCGCTTCTTAGTATTCGTTCTGCTTCAAGTAATGCAGCTTCTTTAGATTTTGTATGACGCTCCAATGCCTTCTTGTCCTCCTGCAACGCTGCAATCTAAATGCTCCAAACCAATGAGTTCCAAGAGCAAATTCACATTTCATTCCGTGAGCTTTAAATGGTTCGGACATTGGATTACCTCATTTTTGTGCATCTTAAGTTCTGCCTCCAGAGGAGCAATGATTAATTCAATAGGAACAGAGTCGTCATCTTTTTGATTGGCATAAACCCTTCTTAGAGTCGCTTCTGCTGCATACTGTGCAGCCATTGCTTCCTTCTTCTCATCAATGAGTTTCTTGATGTCAAGGTTCTGCATCCACCAGACACAACACACTCAAACATTCTGTTTACTGAGAAAAAAATGAAATTTGAGTAGTAGTATACGTGGCCTGCTCCACACCTTCTGTTCGAGGTGATTTTCCATGGATCTCAACTTCTCTTCCATGCTATTAGTTTCACTTTCAAGCTGGATACATAAATTGTGCATAAGCATCTCAAATTTTAAAGTAAGCCGGCTATCCAGCCATGTCATGAATCTTTTGTTTTTATAGAAGTACCTCTTCGACAGCCTTATCCTTTAGAGCTTCAGTTGCTCGCAGCGCCTTGATCTCACTTTGAGCCTTCAGTAATTCCCTTTCCTTCTCTGCCACAAAATTCAGATCTAAATTTGTTAACCATAGTGTTCTACATGATCGTCATCAATAGTTCGAAAAATCAATAGCCATTTTTGCAAAAACATGTTCTTAACAGAGCATACAGAGAGACTGTAGTCACAGAGGACTTTTACATTCGAAGGTACTAATCGACTAATCAAAACCTTAAGAAACAAGTGACATGAACCATGCCGACAGATGCAAGAAAACCAGCAAGATCATCATCATCATCATCATCATAATAATAAGCTATGTAGCAAAAACTATAAAAAAAGGAATACAAACTGAGAACAATAAAAGTCCTACCATTCAGCAATGATCCCAATTGCAAGTGTAATCATAATTATAAACCATAATTAGCCACTTCTAAAGGCTTCATATAATATATATGTAATAATCCCCCCTTCAAAAAGTTACAAGTAAATAACCATAAAAGGCAAAAAGATTATATCTTCAAAAGAATGTTTGCTTTGCAGCAAAAAAGTAATCCAAGATTGAGTAAGACAGCCACGACAGGAACACAAAAATGCAGCAACAACTTTGACAAGTTATGTTTCATCTAATTCTTTGTGGCCTGTCATCAGCCTCCAATGATTGAAACAAATGCATGTCCCCTCACAATAGCCATCAGATACCCCAAAAAACATCAGAGTATGCAGCCCATTTGAATACTTGAAATTGAAAACCAGCCCTAAAAATCTCAACTCCAACCAGCAGCTAACTAATAATGTCATGCTGAATTCAAACAGGATCAGAAATGACAAAACCTTTTAGCTGATTCTGCAGTCGATTGATCTCCAACACAACAGGGTCTGGATGAGAAAAAAAAGAAACATCTTCTCCATAAACCACTTCAACGCCAGGCATTTTCCAGGGGCTTCCACTGATTGCACGAATAGCAATGGTTGTACTGATTCAACACAAATATGCAAGGGGTTTTGGGGGGCAATTGATATATATATATACACACATATATGTAAGAGGGGAGTTGTTAAGGGTTTAGTATTCCTCAGAGAGAGAAGGAGAGAGACATATAACAATAATAATAACCTTAGCTTGTAGAGAGAGTCCAAGACTCTACGAAATTGACCGCAAGAGAGTCGATGCCGATAGGATTGGTTTTTCCCATATTCTGAAGCAATCTTGGAAAGCAACAATGGCGGGCAGGCAAGCCGGCCCAGCCGGCTGACCAACCTCCATTTTTCCCCCATTTTTCAAATGCTTCACCCTTTCATGTTTATCACGAAGAAAAAATCGAGTTTTGGTTCTTCTATTTTTCATTTTCATTCTCATTTTCGGGAAGCAGACGAGCCCTTTATCAGACCCCTGATGTTGCTGTGTTCCCCTAAATGGACTAACCTTTTCACAAATGAAAAATCCCTTTTTATTGAAGCTTCGAAAATTGTCTCCCTAATTATGATTGTTAATGGATAAGAATGAGAGATTAATATTCAGTCCACTAATGCTGCCTGTTTAGGACTAAATCCATTGCTTAAGCGGAAAACCCTCCTCAAATCTTGGCTAAAGTTGATAGTGGGAGGGAATTCATGGGATTTGAACCACAACTGAGAAAACGAAACATATGATTTGAATTCAGAAGGGTTTTCGATTGAAGTGGCTTGGAAGTCTAAGCAAATCCAAAGCTATCACTCATTCTTTATTTTACTGGGATTTAAAGCCAAAATTAAAATGATCTTTGCTTGGAAGTATATTACAACGCAGATTAAGCTGAAAACAACATCAACATCATCGAAGCCGAGAAGATCGACTGACGACAGCATCTGCCATATGTCAAATTATAACTCCAACAAAGATATACATATAGAAAAATATAAATTTAATAGTTTGTGAAGACGACAAAGGGAAGACTCCATTTCACATTTCCAGTCGGAATCACTAATCAGACAGAGATGGTGGAGTAGAATAAATTCAACTCTTCACATTAGGACCCGTATGAATCATTCTCTAAAAAGCTCCATTCTTTTTCCTTTCTTGAATGATTAGAAATGTAATGAATGAGGAACTGGAAAAAGGAGAGTTTCCCAGTGGATTGTGTGTTCTTGAAAACGACCTGAACAAATAAGCTATGATCGAAGTTGTAATTGGGAAGACACGTCTCAGTTGGTAATGTTCATAATTCAGGAGTGGTTACAGCGTGATGATGAAGATGGATAGGGTCCGATCGAGTGGGTAGAATCACTTTGTCAAAAACATAATTAATTAGCATCAATCAGTGTTTATCTTCACTAATCGATTTCAATAATCTTAGTACCAAATGTGTTAATCTATTAAATATCAAGAACCCTCTTTAAGGCCCCCCAAGAAACATCGAATCCACAAACACTGCAGGCTCAAGATGAAGTATTATCAACGCAAGTTTTTACATTGTTTTGTTGCAGCCATGGATGGTTTGACTTAGGTTGAAATCTTGTGATTAACGTTCGATAAGAGCTGAGTCATTAATGCAGGATTAGGAATTGACCAAAAAACGGAACTCAAGTGAAGTCAGTGGAACTTAAAGGTGTCACTACAGCTACCTACTTCGATCAAACAGTCGTGGAAGGAATAATTTACTAACTGGATTACAAGGGAGAATTGTCATCTTCCTCATAGAAAGGTTCACTATACAGCTTGTAACTTCTGCAAATTAGTTTCACCTAATAAAGGGATTTGGGAAGCAGCCAAGATTTGGTATTTATTTGTGTTAAAATAGAGTGTGCAAGGAATATACCACTAAATGGTAGTAATTGACAAGATAAAATATTTAGGGATTGGTTTTGGTAATTTAATATTATTATAACATTGTAATTCACCTTTTTGTTATTATTTCAGTAGTGAAAATTTCCGGAATTAAGCGTAATAGCCTTCAAACTACATCAGCAAGTAAGTTGAATTGGATAAATATTAAAGCAGCTATTCTCAAAGGATTTTTTAAAACAATAGTTTAAAAGTTACTATTTTTCAAAAAAATAAATAATTTTTTTGTTATAATAAAAATAATCAACGTACAAATACTAAAAATATATTTTAATTGTTACGTAAATTAAAAATATATAATTAATTTATATATAAATATAAAGAAAAAAAAATAGAAAAATTATTTTTCGTTATACGCCTAATGACTCAGGTTTCATTCCCGGAGTATGTGTGAAAAAATTTATAAATAAAAAATAAAAAATCTATATATTAACCTAAATGGACAAGATTGGTTGTATGCAATGTTGATTCATTAGCCCAAAAGAGACCAAAACAAATAGGCGTGCAATAATGCAATATTTGGGCCTTGTGAATATCCACTTACATCTAAAAATTACGATACAAGTACAAAGTGATCTAAAATTGAATGGTCTCTGATTAATTTATTTATTTTAATTATGTTTATATAATTTAATATTAGAATAACAAAAAGAATAAGAAACGTAATCGAGACAATGAAACCATCATCTCGTAAAACAATTTTGGCTCCATTTCGGTCATATTCTTTCTAAAAATAAAACAGTTGTGTCATTCAAAACGACATCACTATCAGATTATATCGATGAACAAGATAAGATCTAGTCGAGAAGATTTAAATGAGGAGATGATATTTTGTTTGTAAATGAATGAGGCATATATATATTAGTTGACAAGTCATGAGATTTAATGGCAATTAAGGTGAACATTAAAAAATGTCTAGTGATGAATTTGTACGAGATATTTTAGATATTTAATTATTTTAAATTTAATTTTATTTATTATATTAGATTGTTATTATTTGAATATATCGAATTTACATGTCATGTGTATTTATAGATTTTTATTTTTTATTATTGTTGATAGTAAAATTTAATAATAAAACCTCGGACTTTAAATCGTAAAGTGAAAAGGAAAATAAAAAAGATAACTGTAAAAGTAAAACTAAAATGATATCCAAGGAGATTTTCTTGAAATTTTGTCCGATTAAAGATGTCATTCCTCTATCACTGAGGTTTTTATATACGTATCAAATCAAACCGTCCATAATCATTTCTATCGCAGTTACCTTTGAACCGTCCAAAAAACTGTTTAAAACGTTGCTAACCGTCAAGAATAGCTTCTATGTCGGTTATAAACCGTCCAAAACTGCTTACTCGTCGGTTGCCGATTTGAACCGTTCGAAACCGCTTATTAGTCGATAACTTTTGTGACCAACCGACCAGTCGTCCCATCAAAACCGTTTTCACGTCGGTAATCTTTGTGATCAATCGTCCCAGGACCCACACTCAGATGAAAACTGTCCGTAGAAGCAACAATCCGATCGACCTGGCCCTAACAACCATCCGACCAAATGACTCTAGTCTCGATTGGATCGTCATTAGACCCATCCAGTTCTTGGGCACAAACTCTAACCTCTTTTTTTTTTTTTTTTGTCCAACAATTATAAATACAATGTAATTTTTACATTTTCGTAAAATAATTTAAATAATTTTACACTTTGACCTTGTTCATTGATGGTGTCATTCATCTAGCTAGGTTTGGTCGGATCCCTTGACCGATCAGAGTTTATTCACTAATATCCATGATTACAATCATTGACACTGGATTAGAGTTGTTGACAATCTGAGTCGAGTCGAGTTGAGCCAAATTTTAAGTGTTCGTTAATGTTCGCGAACAAGGTTCGTGTTTGTTTGTTAAGATTTCGAGCTCGGCTCGTTAAGAATTTTTGTTGTTTGAGTTCATGTAGCCGAGCCGAACAACATAAACAGGTTCGTTTGGTTAACGAACGAGTCCGAGCTTTAACCGATTCGAGTTCACGAAAGGCTTGGTTCGTTTAACAATTCTACACCGGATCAGATTCTGTGCCACCCGTGACATGAGCTGCAGATTGTGCTGAACTATCATGTACAAAATCAATTATTCTTTTTCTTAATTCAAATATATATATTTACATATTTTTTTTAGTTGTCATAAAAAAATATCATAATTTTTTTTTATAGTAAAAAAGTATGTAATTTTTTATACTTTTTTATTATAAAAATAAAAAATAATAATTATTATATACTTGGATCAAAACTTGTACTCAAATATTTGAACACATAATTAAAGGACATAATAAATATTATTTTAGATAAATCTCTATCGATTTAACAATGTGATATAATGGTGATCAAGGATATGTTCTTTTGCAATTTCATTTTAATTTTCTATTATACACTATCATATTATTATAACAAAAAGTAAAATAATAAAATCAAATCAAATTTTAAAAATAACACATCATATAGCACTAAAACCATAGTCTATAGTGGTCAGCTACCGGCGGCTCATTGAGCAGCCATTGGTCACCTTTTTATCACACGGCTGTCTAACCATTTTTTTCGCATCAAATTTTGATTTATAAGGAAAAATGTATTGTTTGTTCTTTCAATAATTTTTTTTTTTTACATGAAAAAGAATTAAGATGAAGTGAATATACTATTTTGTATTGAATTATTAGACTTTTATGAATTAATAAAATATAAGTATATAATATATTTTTTAATAATATTTATGAAAAAAAATTGTAATTGGAACAAATCCGTTATAATTATTGATAACTAAAGGAAAAGAAAAATAAAATTACGGCATTGGATTTAACTCCCTGTCAAATAAATTCACTTACAATTCAATCACTATTAAAAATATCACCATATATATATATATTTCGCATTAATATCCCAACTGCTGATTTAATACATACATATGTTCTTTCTAATACTACTATAATAGTAATATAATTATTACTCTTAACGTATTCATAATAAATTAACGTTTCATTGCCTTAAATGTAAAGATCAATACTTTATTTAGATATAGGGGTTTTGAAATTTTATTTGAGTTTTGAAAAAATAAAAATAGTAATATCTATTATAATAATTTGTAAAATATATATATATATATATACATATATATTTTTTAAAAAATTACTATTAATAAATAATAGCAAAATTTTCAAACTTATGCATATAAACAGAGCTCAGATTCATGTATATATATATTATTTAAATATCACATTATATATATATATATATACATATATTCTATGGCCGTCAGTCGTGTGTGGTTGTTGAATTGAATTTTGCACTTCCTAAGTCCCAATTTTTGACGAGGAATAATTTATACGGTTGTCACTTATCAGTCAATTAATTGCCCATACCTCAGGGGCCAAACAGCAAAAGAAAAGAAAATATATATAGTAATTTAAAAGAGCTGCTAAAATGGAATGAATTTTTTAAATTTATTTTGTGGCCACCACTTCTGACTGAGTATTGATAATGCATAAAAAAAAATAAAAACTATTGCAATGTGGAAGTGGAAAGTCATGCGCCACCTACTAACAGCAGTACAATAATATTTAACATTGAAAAAAATAAATTTAAAAAAATTAAATAAAACGTGACTGTCTGACCGATTTTGTCTAAGTATAATGTTTTGTTAACGGCAAACGTTCAAAACGGCGAGGTACCAAACAAGTAGGCGAATCTCACGAGATGTGGTAGCACCACCGATCCTGATTGACACGTGTCGGAATTCTATTGGGTGTTTCGATGAGAACGAGGATGTGTGGTTTCCAGATTTGCCCTCGGCTGAGTCTATAGAGCGGCGCCTCGGCTGCATGCCGAATCGGACCCAATTTCGGTAATCTAAATGGACATATCTGACCTCCTTCCGGAATAAACAACAAACAAACAAAAAAACAGGTGCATGTGAATTGTCAATGGTCGCACACTAGAGAGGTGATTCGGGAGTACTACAAAAGGCGAGGGTGGGGGGGGAGAGGGGAGAGGCCATTGCATATCTCTCATATCGCGTGCACTCCACAGCTGCTGTTGACACGGGGAGTTGTGAGTAGTTTTCTGTTGTTTTTCCTGATTTTTGGATCGCTGTTCGCTGCCTGCAGCTGAATCGATCGGTTGATTGGGTGGGAGAAATGTCGAATCTGAACGGGTCGACTGCGGATCTGAGGTCGGTGTTTCTCGGCGTGTACTCGTCGCTCAAATCCGAGCTGTTGAACGACCCAGCTTTTGAGTGGACCGAAGGTTCGCGCCAATGGGTCGAGCGGGTCAGTTTTTCCTGATCTAATGTGCTATTTTCTGTTTCCGCTTTGGAATGTGCCTTGCAATGTTGGTGTATGTGTCTTTGATTTTGCGAATCGAGGCGTGAAGGATGGGGATTACTGTAATTCTGTGTGGTGATCTTTGTTGTCTCTGTGTGTTGACCAAATGTTTGAATTAATTGCCCTGTTTTGAGGAATCGTGCTGTTAGATCGAGAGAATGGAGAGTTTCAAACGTTTGCGAAACATTTTTCTTTTTTTGAAAGATTAATCCTGCTATTGGGAGTGATCCGTGTGAGCAGTTAGTTTATTTCATCACAGTAATAGAAATAGCAAGTTTGTAGAATATACTTTTGTGTGAAGGTGCTTTGCTTTGTCGGTTCCATAAAGCGAGCATAATATCCTTCTGCTTGGATGTGGAATGCTGATCTTTTGAGTAGCATGCTTTGTCTGTATAAAGTTGTAGCAATCACATCCAACTAATTTTGATGGCACTGAGTTGTAAAAGTTTATGCTAATCCCTTTTCATAATCAAATCCTGGAATTCCCTAGGGCTAAAAGCATTTTGGGCCCAAATTTGGTAATTGAGCATTTATATAACCTACCTGCTTCATGATTCCCTCAAAAAGGATAAATTTGTGTTTCCCACTTGTTCTTTTCCTTTTAATTTCCTGTGTTATTGATCATCTTTATGAAAATCTTCAGGATTTCTTAAAATGGAATTTGCATTTGTTCAATTTTACCTAATCGGATTCCTGCCTATTCAATTCATGCCCATAACCATCCTTTAAAGGGTTGTTTGGTAGATATTTTGGTAATCTTTTGTGTAATAATATGGATACAGATGGTTACAATTTTAATAATTCTGTTTCTGTCCTTTATGGTGATAATCTCAATCTGATGATTGGTATTAGTAAATGCAGGTAGGTTGTTAAAAAAGAATATGTTTTCTTCATTATATTTTTTTAAATTACAGTACGAACTTTTGGATACTAAACAAAATATAGGTTCTGAAATTTGACATTTCTTGATACCTTGTAGTGTTTATGATCATGCTATTACAGAATATGGATGATTAAAGTCTTGACCATGTTCATAAAGTAAAATCAGTTAAAGCAGCTTCTCAGTAGCTCATAATTTGCTTTCTTTTGTATGTACAGATGCTGGATTACAATGTGCCCGGAGGTTAGATATGTTCTATTTATGAGATTTATAAATTGCAAATGTTGTGAAACACAACTTGAGCATGTCACGTTATTTCTTGCAGGGAAGTTAAACAGAGGTCTGTCAGTTATTGATAGCTATAATTTACTGAAAGATAGAAAAGGCCTCACTGAAGAAGAGGTGTTTCTGGCAAGTGCTTTGGGCTGGTGTATTGAATGGGTAAGTTTGGTTCTCATTTCCTTTGCAAGAACACTTTTTGCACATGATCTGATTCATACACATTGAAACTGCAGCTTCAGGCATATTTTCTTGTCCTTGATGATATCATGGATAATTCTCACACACGGCGTGGTCAACCATGTTGGTTTAGAGTCCCCAAGGTCTGTGCTCATTGTGGAATGTGATAAGATAATTCTTCCGTCATCACAAGGCTCTTGTTACTTACAAATCCACCTTGATGCACTTTTTTCCAGGTTGGCATGATTGCTGTAAATGATGGGATCTTGCTTAGGAATCACATCCCTAGAATACTAAAGAAACACTTCAGGGAAAAGCCATACTATGTGGACCTACTGGATTTGTTCAATGAGGTGATGTGATTGTCTGGCCGCAAGAATGTAATTTGCTTTCCACTGCTGACTCACAGAAACTCCAACATGTCATTTTCAGGTGGAGTTTCAAACAGCTTCTGGACAGATGATAGACCTAATTACCACTATTGAAGGAGAAAAGGATTTGACCAAATATTCGTTGCCTCTGTGAGTACAGCATTGTCATAATCATGCCATTAAAAGAACCTAGAATAAATTGTTATCGTGCTTAGTCTCTAAATTGGCAATTTGTATTTGATCCTGAAATTGTTTCTGATGGCTGCTATAACCAATGCATTTTCCTACAATTAAAACAGCTAATTTAAGATTTTTGTTTGATTCTTTGCAGTCACCGTCGCATTGTTCAGTATAAGACTGCCTACTACTCTTTTTACCTTCCAGTAAGTAATTTCAATGTCTTTAAGCTTAGTGCTCACATTTACAGACCAAATTCAGCTGTGATCTTAATATTTCTGCCACTCACCCCACAGGTTGCATGTGCATTGCTCATGGCGGGTGAGAACCTCGACAAGCATGTACCTGTGAAAGATGTTCTTATCGATATGGGAATCTACTTTCAAGTTCAGGTGAGATCTATAGGCAACATCACCATCAATTATAACTCTAATCTATATCTATCTTGTAACACTCTCTGTATACTTTGTTCTTTTACAGGACGATTACTTAGATTGTTTCGGTGAGCCTGAAAAGATTGGGAAGGTGAGGCCCCAAACTTGATGTCAAGAAAATCCCTGTTTTATCAATGGCTGTTTTGTTAATTCATTTCTGCTGCTCCTCCATCAGATTGGGACAGATATCGAAGATTTTAAGTGTTCTTGGCTGGTTGTAAAAGCCCTGGAGCTGTGCAATGAAGAACAAAAGAAAATTCTTCACGTAAGCAAAATCTAAACAATAACATCCGCTGCTCTTTTTTTCCCGGTTACACACCCTGCCCTGACATCTGATCTTTATAATAACCAGGAACATTATGGAAAAGATGATCCGGCTCATGTTGCGAAGGTTAAAGCCGTGTACAATGAGCTGAATCTCCAAGGTGTGTTTGCCGAATACGAAAGCCAGAGCTACGAGAGGCTGACGAACGCCATTGAAGCTCATCCGAGCAAAGCTGTGCAAGCAGTGCTCAAGTCGTTCTTGGGGAAGATATACAAGAGGCAGAAATAAGATGGGAGAAAATTCCGCGGACATGGTGCACGTTTGTATTAGTTAGCCTCTCGATGTGGCTTCATGATTTTCTTCGATTGTCTTTATCTTCTCATCTTGTTTGCAGTTAATGTTGCCATAAATGGTTTATGTAGAAATTATTACCAGTTGTGGAATTGAATGAATCTTGTTCGCAAATTGCATTAGATGATGATGATGGCCTTTGTTTTCTAGACCTCGTCCCTCATAGTGAATCGTCATAATTGACGTTGGAACAGTTGTAGCATTGTTGACCTGAAAACGACGTCGTTTCTGTCCCTTTTTCTGATTTCAATAATATTAATAATAGTCAGTGATCATAAAAGCTTTGATTGGATTCATTTGACTTGATTCCATTCTATTTTGGTCCATTATTGAATCTCGAGTCTGGCGGTGTGATGTCTCAGTTGAATCACTGTTACATTATATTTATCCAGAAGCGGCTGGTATCGGATTGATATATTAATATAATCAACAGTGCTGATTTTATTATTATTATTATTATTATTATTATTTTTTATCGATTAATTTTGATCCTACAGCTGATATTAATCGAGGACAGCTTAAATAATTAAAATTTTGATTATATAATATTTAATTAGCATTAATTAGTTATATTATTTTTGAAAATATTAATCTATTCAAACTATAAATATACTAATAATTAATTACTTTCTAATTATTTATATATACATTATTAATAAATACTACATTAGTCGGTATTAAGGTTTCATTTACTGGTTAATGTTTTATAATACTATTATAACAATATTTTTGCTAAAGTTAACAAATAAAATATAATATTCTAAAAACATTTTCTTTTTAATTTTAATTTTTATTGTTTAAGACTACGGAGTAGTATAGTAGATAATAGCGGCAAGGATTAATTTATTTAGTCTATGTAAACACAAATATTACAGGACGATGATGGACATTTTTTATAGTATTAAATTTTAATAAGACGCAATAAAGTGCAGGCGGCTAATGATACAATAAATGAAGATAATGAATGACAGTCAGGAATTGAATACAATACTGGTACGTAGCGTTTCCTTAGAATTTTTTTTTTTTTTTTTACTAATTTATTATTTAAAAACTGCCAAATTAAATATTGATTTTTATTAACAAATAAAATAAAAATAACACGCATTTAATTTATTTTGCTTAGCTTATTTTAGAAAAGTCGATCAGTCCAAGAACGCATGCGCAGTCGCTATTGAAAAAAAAAAAAGAAAAAAAAAAGGAAATGGGGAACGGAAAACGGGAAAACTCTTCCAAAACGCCCCTCCCTCACGATCATGAGGGTACATTTGATTCTTGACGTCAAAAAAGATTGGGGATTCAATTTCATGGGGTTTTAATACTCAATTCAATAATTAAAATTATATGTGTATACGTGTATGTATTGTATGTATATGTGTGTATACCTTCTCGGATTTCAGTTTGTTGCTTTCTTGATTACAAGACATCTACCCATCTGCAATTTCCCATTGTTTTTCTGAAATTTTAGTCGGCTTCGTCCAGACCCAATTCGTCCCAAGAATCGGAGTTTTCTCGTTTTTGTCTTACTCCAGGATTCTTATATTCATCATTCTCTCATTTTCAAGCTTCCAGTTAACGTTTTTTATTCATGATTGTACGTCCCTTTTATAATCTCGCAATGCAGTAAGCGTTTTTAGGTTTGTAGGCAATTAATTAGGACCCCTACTTTCCTCCTCAATCATTCTTGATTGATATTGTTCATCTGATCTTTGTGGGATTTCCTTTGGTGAGCTGAAGGAGAAAGTTCTTGATATTTTTGGGAATATGAAGCTTTTGGTTCGTGTGATTGAAGCTAGAAATTTACCTCCTCTGGATGCCAATGGACTCTGTGATCCATACGTAAAGTTACAGTTAGGAAAGCAGAAGTTCAAGAGCAAAGTTATCAAAAAGTGTTTGTATCCATCATGGTGCGAGGAGTTCACTTTCAAAGTCGAGGATTTGAAAGAAGAGCTTATTGTGACTGTTTTGGATGAAGATAAGTACTTCAATGATGACTTTGTTGGGCAGATCAAGCTGCCCGTCGGTCAAGTTTTCGAAGCCAGAGACAGCTCTCTTGGCACTTCTTGGTACACCTTGCAGCCCAAAAATAAGAAGGCCAAGAACAAGGACTGTGGTATTGTCTTTTTACATCATCTTCACTTTTGGAGATTTTATACTTTTCATTGCTTCTTTGTATCTAATTTATATCTAATTTGAACATTTTTTGTTTGGGGAGACTAATTTAACAATTGGTTAGTTTTACTTGTGAACTATGGTTAAAATGTGTGTTCATTGTGTGTTGAATGGCTTGTTTATTTATCTTTTATTTTGTTGGATTTTGGGACTTGTGATCCATGATTTGGTAGAAGTTATAGTTCTTGTGAATTCAAAAAGTCTTGACAAATGCATTATGTGAATATATAGGTGAAATTCTTCTAACTATATGTTTCACTCAAACTAACGCATTGTTGGATCTGCCCTCCGCTGGTGATCCTGTATCATTTCCACAAAGGCATGGTGATACAGCATCAGAGGTATCTTCAAGGGCTTCTCCTACAAGATCAGAGGAAGCTGCTACTTCTAAGGAGGAAAAATTGAATGCACATACTTTAGCTAGTCGAATTGCTAAAATTTTTAATAAGAATGCGGATTCACCATCTTCAAGTTCAGCTGAAGCTCCTGATGAACAGGATTCGCAGGAAGGTGTGGATTCGGTAGTTCCACATCATAATTCTCAAGAGCAGGAAGCTTCATCAGTTGATTTCGAAGAATTGGTGAAAAATATGGAGATGAGAGATCAAGGTGGTGATGCTCCAAGTAGTTTATCTGGTGGCGTAGTACTCGATCAACTGTATGCTATAACGCCGCAGGAATTGAACTCAATGCTCTTCTCTTCTGATTCAAACTTTGCGAAGTCTTTGTCAGACATGCAGGGCTCGACAGATTTACAAATAGGACCCTGGAGAAGTGAAAATAATGGCGAAAGCTTGAAAAGAATGATTTCTTATACCAAAGCTGCAAGTAAATTAGTTAAAGCTTTGAAAGCAATGGAGGAGCAAATATATTTGAAAGCCGATGGCAAGAACTTTGCTGTATTATCCAGTGTGAGCACTCCGGATGCTCCGTATGGGAAAACTTTTAAGTCGGAAGTGCTTTACTGCATTACTCCAGGCCCCGAGCAGCCATCAGGAGAGCTGTCTTCCCGACTAGAAGTTTCCTGGCGAATTAACTTTCTGCAGAGTACTATGATGAAGGGTATGATTGAAGGTGGAGCAAGACAGGGTATAAAGGAAAGCTTCGAGCATTATGAAAAGTTACTTTCTCAGAAGGTGAAGCCACTTGATCTTAAAGACGCCGGTTCTGAGAGAGATCATCTTTTAGCCTCTCTTCACGGCGAGCAACAATCTGATTGGAGATTGGCTGTTCAGTATTTAGCTAATTGTACAGTAGTTTCTACCATCTTAATGGCATTATACGTACTCATCCACATATGGCTTTCCACGCCTAGTAAAATTCAGGGTCTTGAGTTTAATGGTTTGGATTTGCCTGATTCGATTGGTGAATTGATTGTCTCGGGGGTGTTGGCGCTGCAAGGGAAACGCGCTCTGGAGATTGTATCTCGATTTATGCAGGCAAGAGGGCAGAAAGGTATCCTCACTATATCCTGCTACTTTATGAATCATCTTAAGTACATTAGTAGATATCACTTATCAGTTGTTTACATATCGATTGTGTTTGAACATATCCACGTGCAATTTATCATTCTCGATATCTATACATTAGTACTTCATTTCTGCTATGCTAATTATAGGCACTGATCATGGAATCAAAGCAAGAGGGGATGGCTGGTTGCTCACAGTTGCCTTGATCGAAGGAAGTAGTTTGGCAGCTGTCGATCCGAGCGGTTTCTCTGATCCTTATGTGGTGTTCACTTGCAATGGGCAAACTAGAGCAAGTTCTATCAAGTTTCAGAATTCTGATCCTCGTTGGAATGGTACATTTACTATCATTTTTCTGTTCTTCGATAGATATTAGTTTTCGGTTTGTTCTGGCGAAACAGAGCTGATTGCCTAGATTTTTGTAGAACATAGTACTGAATTTCTTCTTCAATAAGATCAGTGGCTGCTTCTTGCAGAAATTTTTGAATTTGATGCAATGGACGAACCTCCATCTGTGCTGGATGTGGAAGTCTTCGATTTTGAAGGTCCTTTTGATGAAGCCACATCTCTTGGCCGTGCTGAAATAAATTTCTTAAAATCTAATATTTCGAACCTGTCGGATGTTTGGATTCCTCTACAAGGAAAGCTGGCTCAGGCATGCCAATCTAAGTTACATTTGAGAATTTTCTTGAACAATAATAAAGGTTGCAATGTCGTTAAAGACTACATAACTAAGATGGAGAAGGAGGTTGGGAAGAAGGTAAATGCCCTCTTTTCGATCTTACATACACACAAACACATACGCATATACAGATTTTCATATTACACAACTCTCTTCATATATTAAACTTCTTTTTGGCTGTCTAAAATGGTTCAAAAAATGTTAGCAGATAAAGATGCGATCTCCTCAAACAAACTCGACTTTCCAGAAGCTTTTTGGGCTGCCCCCGGAGGAGTTTCTCATCAATGACTTTGCTTGTCACTTGAAAAGGAAGATGCCTCTCCAGGTAATTAATCAATTTTTTGAGCACTATCAAAGTCCTGTTTTTCGCTTTGAACACTTATTCCTGTGACTGATGCATGTCTCTTTCCAGGGGCGCATGTTCCTCTCGGCAAGAATACTTGGATTTCATGCAGATTTATTTGGGCACAAAACAAAGTTTTTCTTTCTCTGGGAAGACGTAGAAGACATTCGAGTCATACCTCCTACTCTATCATCAATGGGCAGTCCAATCATCATCATCACACTATGGCCAGGAAGAGGATTAGATGCTCGCCATGGAGCGAAGAGGCAGGACGAACAAGGCCGTCTGAAGTATAATTTTCAATCGTTCGTGTCTTTTAACAAGGCATACAAGTAAGAAAGTATAGAAACTATTATTAAGCATTGAGACGATGATGAATTTTGGTCGAATTTGAATGCTTTCGCTTAGTTGTGTATGATCTTCGACGAACATGAGAACATGTAGCCACATTGCATTTCTTGTTATGGTCGAAACTCCTGTGTTTTAGGATTTTATTCGCTCCTTTACGCCTGAAATAATCATGTATGCACGTGTGTATCTTTACAGAACGATAATGGCTCTGTGGAAGGCGAGAGCCTTGACTCCCGAGCAAAAGGTACAAATGATCGAGGAAGAATCTGAGGCCACCGGGGATCCAGTTTCAGAGGAGGATCTCGTGGCTAAGACTAGCAACAGACACGAATATGAGTCTGAAGCCAAAAGCTCCGAGGAAGGTGCCTCATTCCTCGAACTCGAAGATGTTAACATGTCTGTTGTTTACGCCTCTATCCTCTCTGTTCCAGTGAGTTGTATCCTTGTAATTCCGATTTTTAAGTAGTTTCCAGCTCAATCAGGAAAAAAAAAAATAAATAAGAAATCGACTTTTGATTTCGCAGACGAGTTTCTTCATGGAGTTGTTCCGAGGGAGTGAAATAGACCGTAGGGTTATGGAGCGTGCCGGATGCCTCGACTACTCCCATAGCCCCTGGGAAGAATCCGAAAAGCCGGAAGTATATCAGAGGCAACTTTATTACAAGTTCGACAAGAGCATCTCGCGCTATGCAGGAGAAGTGACCAGCACTCAGCAGAAGTCGCGTCTCCCGGGCAGAAATGGTTGGCTCGTAGAAGAGGTCATGACTCTCCATGGGATCCCTCTCGGCGAATATTTCACGGTACTTGTCATGCATTTGTTTGTTCATCCGTCTGTCGATTAATCTCGGGTTTCTTCATTTGTCGTTGTTAGTAATGGATCATTATCGAATGCATGGCTGCTGCAGCTTCATTTAAGATATCAAGCTGAGGATCTTCCGGCAAGATCGGTCGGGTGCAGCATTCAAGTGTTGTTCGGGATTTCATGGTTAAAGAACTCGCGGCAACGCAAGCGGATCGGGAAGAACATCGTGAAGAACCTGCAGGCGCGCCTCAAAGTAATGTGCGGCGTTTTGGAGAAGGAATACGTTTCAGGGGCGTAGCAGCGTAGGCTGCTGCTGTTATTGTCGTTGTGCTTGTTTTTTTGTACAAATCTCTTACCTCCATTGATCTTCCTTCTTGTATGATTGCTGTTGTGTGTACCTCTCTACTCTTGTAGTACTACTACTACTGTAAAACATTCTTTTATTGCAAAAATTTTGACATCAATTGACCAAGAAGGCCTTCTGGAAATGAATTGATTGTAGTTTAGATTATAAAATATTAACTTAATTAAGTACTTCTATATATTTTTATTTTTAAATAATTAATTATACTATAAGAATTAAAAAGAAAAGTGATAAAAGTGAAAAAGGGGCGAGCTTTGAGTTGGGAATGACTTAAATTCTTGCAGGAAGCGCACTTTCGCGAGCCCTTCTCAACTCCAAAATTCGTCTTCGTTGCTGCAGTGCCCTACAAGCTACCGACTGCATCAGCTTCCGGCGCCAGGATCGGCGGTAAGAATCTGCGTTTGCGGGGGAATATTCTCGGTTTTTATCTTTTTTTTTTTTTTTTACCGAAACTAGGAGGGGTTTTGAATTTTGCCTACTGTTCTTCGTATCCACATTCCATACTTAGTCACTTTTGTATTGATACTCTGAGTAACTCGCATTCGGCCTGCATATCCGAAAACCTGTTTGGTTCGCGTGTTTTAGGCTATTGAAGGAAGACGACATGGGGGAGAAAGGGCATTATTCGGACAAAGTTGGAAAATCTTCACTAAAATCGTCGAGTAATTTATCTTTTGCTCAGTTATTTCATTTTTTAGCCGAACACTCTACTTAAATTGCGTGTTTTTCTCAGTGTTATGTGCCTGGTGTGTTCGGTGAAATTATTAGCGTATTTCTCTTTGCCATTCTTACTTTGCTGCAATTTGGACATGGTGGGTACATCTGGTAATGCATGGTGTCTGAGGTTTAGTTATTTTCTTTCATTTTTAAGTTTTACTTTTTGGCTGGGGGTGGGGGAGTTCATATTAAAGCTATGTGAAAAATGGGATGTTTTAGATTCATGATTTATGTTTCTCTAGAGTTACTTGGGGTTCTTAGGATTGTCTGAATTTGAACCATAATTTGGAAGATATGTTAGGTAAAATCTATATCTTATTAGTAAGTTTGTCTCTCATATGAATTTGAATTTTACACTGACAAAATATATTCCTGCTACCCTGGATATTCTTCTTTGTGATCTTAATGTGTAATTGCGTATCCGTTGGATGAATACGGCAGTACATTAGAGGTATTAAAGTGGTAACTTCATCGAATATTGGTTATGGAACAGTGATAGCATACCATTTACCTGCTACTCTTTTACATGTAGCCATTGATCTCCTAGTTTGAACTCATTGCATTTAGTGCAACGAGTGTCATCTGTGTCTGGATGCTACCCTTCTGCTTTTGGAAAAAAACAAGACGTCTGAAATATATGTTTCTGTATATCCCTGTTTTCTTACTAGTTCTTTTGTGTGACATCAGCTGAGAATGGAGACGGCTCATCAAAATCAAAAAAAGGGAAAAAAGTTCAGTTTGATTCTGATGGTTAAGTATTCCCAACCATCTCATTCATTTGTGCATTATTATTCATTTTATCTTATTATTATTATTATTGTTATTATATGAATTTACTCATTCCCTGTGCTTATCACCTTGTGACTCTGATTGTTTTAGATTCTGATAACAATATTCCGAAATATAATGGGAAGGGCGATAAGCCAACTGCGAAAGGTTGACCCACATTTCTAATCTTTTAGTCATATGAGAACCATGGTAGCTTGGGAAATTGGATTTTGATATTATTTGTTTTTTGAACTCCTTTGTGGTATCAAACTTGCTAAATGGGATACAGGTGATAAAACTGCAAATGGCTCTAAGAAAGTCGCTGGAAAAGATCTTCGACTTCATCAAGGTCAGTCTGTTGTGATATTTCAAGTTATCCCTTTTCCACCATTTGAAACAGAAAGCAATTATGTGCAGAACTTCCTCCGAATTCTGAGTGTTTGATGGACTGTGAAGCTGCTGAACTCTTACAATGCATCCAAGATCATATGGTTGTGTTATCTCAAGATCCAGATATAAAACTCCCAGTGTGAGTGTCAAATAAAAATAAACAATGTTATATTTATTCTCTCAGGTCATTTCATGTGTATTAGTGATTGTCATTGCCATTTTATTAGGTCATTCGATTTGGGATTGGCGTATGCTAAGAGAGGGGTGCACTATGCCAAACCACAAACATTGAAGAGAATTTTTGAGTATCCTTATTCATCCTGATGAATATATTTTTACTTGTGAATATTTAAAAAATCATGAGATGAGATATTTTTTACGTTCTCCTATTTCATTTCTAGATTTGTTTCCTCTTAACTCAGATTAGACCTCTTCGGAAGCTTGGTGTATCTGAATGTGAGGTACCTGGTCAATATATTCATTTTCACAATCATACATGTTATGTGATAATGAGGAGATGACAAAAAATTTATGGTTGCAGATTTGCCTGATTGCTAACATTTCCCCTGAATCAGTTGATGAAGTTTTTGCTCTGATCCCAGCCCTCAAGGTATCACGTACAATGATTTTTTGTTAAGGAAACTGAAAATTGTTGGTCACCTATTTCTTAGATATTGTGTGATTATTTTAAGTGTGGGAAGTGCTTATGGTTATTTTTGTACTTCTGACAGCAAGTGATTAGAGAGATGCTTTTATATTATATTAACTCGTAGTCCCTTCTCCATAATAGACATAACTTGGGAATTTAATGTATTCATCTACTGGCAGGGGCTTTCAAGTGTGTGTTTGTGTGTATCTAAATGCCCTAAAGTGGGAACTATGAAATTTTCTCGTATCAAATAATGGCAAAGATCGAATGTATACTGTTTTAACAGACTTATATGTAGCGTCAGGACATACATTCTGTATAGGCATTGGCTTTTATATTATTAATGAAAAACAGATGTATATAGATAATGTTATGGCAATTCGTGGGAGTCAAATTTCATTCTGTTTTGGTTTCCATGAAAAGATTGGAACCTCCTTAGCTTAAGTGCTATGGATGGTTGAATTATTGCCGCTTTACCATGTTTATTGGAGTCTGTGACAGAACTCTGTCGACATTTGTTTCTAGGTCAAGATGAACCGGTTGAAAGACCCCCTCCGAATTGCATTGGATGAGCTAACAGCCCTGAAAGCAGCATTGGCCAACCTGAAAGATTTGGCATAGGCAGTCGGTAGAAGGGCTAAGGTGAGAATTATTTTTGGACAATTAACTCTCATCTTTTGTTTAGATTTGATTTACATTCCGGTAGAGAGCAGGATTTTTTATTTCCAAATTTGACTTTGGCTGCTCCAAATGTTTGATATGCAGACTAGATTTGGATCTCTGTTGATGAATTTGAACAGTTTCTTTTGTTGTCCAAGGTCAGGTTTGGTTACATGCATCATTCTGTGGTAAATGAGCGGCGAGCAATTAGGACTTTGTTGTATCCATAACCTCGACTATCCTAACTCATGGGTATTATAATACCGGGCTGACTTTTCTGCTTTTGAAAATGCTATTTGGTGTTGCCCTTATACTAATATTTTGGATGCTAGTGTGTTATGAAACCATAGCAATTTTTGGGAGCTGTAGGATGTGAACTCTCGTACAAATTAATGTCTTTCTCGCTGTGCAAGATTGCCTGTGCATCGAAATGTTGGCACCAATATACTATCCGATCAATCCATGAAAGATGTGACCTATTGAATTTCACTATCCGAACATATCATTGATTCTGGATTGATGCTAAAGGGATACGGCTAGGACATATATACAAGTACTAGTCTTTAACTAGGATGGTAACGGGTGGATTTGAGATCTGCTTACAACCTGTCCAGGAGGCTCGTATCAATCGATATATATTTTAACTAGGATGGGTTCAGAATGAATTTTTTCTTGGATTCTTATTTTCTTAGGACATAAATTTTAAATCCGAATCCGCACACCATACATTTTTAATACTCAATTGAGGTGTATCACTTGTCTTCATTGCCCCCACTTGCCACTTTGGAACACGATATTTGTCAAGAAAACAAACTCGCCCATCTGTCTTAAATGAAGTCTCTGTACCTTCCCTATAAACAATTGTATTGGGTTGCTAGGGACAAACCTCGGATATCCAAAAATGCTGCCTGTCTGGTCGAGTGGCACTTCAATTCCATGATTCGATTGACCTCTGTGTAATTTGAGTGGTGGACTTGCGAGTGTGTTGCAGCTAGTCAAAAATGGCAGCCTGCAACCAACCAATGTCCACACCACCTCAGATTATCCCTAAAAGAGATTGCTCTTCGATCTTGCCTATAAATATGTTTGCAAGAAGAGAAAGAGAACTCATCTCACACTTACATTGAACTCCAAAATGTCGAGCAACAAGGCTTTGGTGAGGCCCTTGATGTGGCTGCTGCTGGTGGCATACCTTGTCACTTGCTCGGGTCGAGAGGCCGTATACGCCGCGAAGCCAGCCACCACGAAGGTGAAGGCGAGGTCGACTGATCCCGTATACTATCCCCAAGGTGAGTACATTCTTCTGGCTTTGATCATATTAGTTTGTTTAAACAACGACGATTAAAAATAATTGACGGGGTTGTGTTTCGATTCTTCAGGGTGTCGTTGCTGCCAGTTCAGCTTCACCAGGCCGATCACTTGCGTCAGTGTCTGCTGCGGTCGGACCGGGGAGAATTGCTGCGTTTAATCTGCTCAACACATGTTTCGAGCATCGATGATGCATTTCTTTTCTTTTGTGTTTGTCTTTGAATAAGTTACTACAAGCCAAGTTCATTTCTGTCACAAGATGTGTAGTAAGGTTTGCTGATTACCCGTATCCGTTTATCGTAACATTATAAAGTCGAGCAAGCGTCGATAGCGCAGTTCGAAACAGATATTAGCCAACAACTGAACCTAAACAGTTCCTAAGTGTCTGTTTTATCTGGAAAATTTCAGAAGAGGGAACCATGAAAACCCCACTTCAAGAACATCTAAATCATCTCAACAACAGATGAAAGCACAAAAGAGAAATGATCAATGAGAACATGAACCTTCTGCCATGTAAACTGACGCCAGATGAGTCGTCGTTCTCGGTGACCCCAACAAGAAATCTGCAGTCTCCGACGGAAGGATTCGATGAAGTGACCATCCCAAGGCCATCGAAGTCGCAGCTCTTCGGATTCTGTTTCTGCAACTGATAGTAGCTATTGAAAGCATACGAAATATTTCCCTTCTCACCAATGTCATTGCAAGAACCTCCATAGTTAAGCGTCGTGCAATCAGCGTAAGAACAAGCGAGCCTGAAATGGTTCGCCACAGCAGAAAGATCCCGGTAAGGATTCGCCACGCACCATCTGGAAGGAAGATACTTGACCTGTTTCGCATTCTTCAATCGACCATTTCCAAGATTCAACGGATATTTAGCCTGCCCGTCGAAAGTGAATATTCCCCAATGCCTCTCGAAATTCCCAGGGAGAATACTCTTCGCCCCTTCGTCGAGAAGGCTGAAAAGATAGATATCCGCAGGGGATACACCCGGCCGTAGAGGAGTTCCCTTGTTGCTTACAACATGATTCACAAGTCCTTGATTGAAGGCCTTAGCAGCATTCAGATTGGCGCTTACAGCCCCGTCTGTTGGCCATCCAATCTCTCCGATAACAATTGGCATCTGACCGAATCCAAGCTTGCTTAGAGCTGCAATTAGAGTGTCGAGGTTTCCATCGAATGCATTGTAGTAAATATTCGATCCATCCACCACAGGGTGCGACGTACCCCCGAAGAATGCGTAGTCTTGAGGGAAATCGGAGCTCGAATACAGGCTTAAAAATGGATAAATGTTTACAACAAAAGGGGCGCCGGTAGAGTTTAGAAATGAAACCAGCTGAGCCATAATTTGGGTCAGATCAGATCGGAATGTTCCCTGAGAAGGTAAGGACGATTCATAGGCATCTGCATTGCAAGGAACAACTATTTTTACAGTGCCTGCAAGATTTGCTTTGGCCAAAGACTGCTGTAAGTTCATTACAGCAGGCACAACGTAAGGCTGAAATTGGCCTGAATAGCTAGTTAGAAATGGTTCGTTTCCTACAGCAACGTATCTGCAATTTAGCACAATTTGAAAACAGAATCAGCTCTAAGCCATTTTAAATGGTCGAAACGAATAATCCCAATTTGTAGATGAATAAAATTATGTAAGCTGGAAAAGGAGCATACTTTATATCGACGCCGCCTTTACCGACAAATTTGGACACATTCTGAGCAACCCACGAATCAGTGGCGGATGCCGAGGTGCTGAACGCCGACAGCATTTCATTAGGGATTCCGACCATTACTTCAATTCCACTGCCCGCCAACGCACTCAGCACGGCGGGGTCCGCATCGAAGAGCTTTACTTTCGTGATTTTGTTGTCCTTCAAGAGATCCACCACAACCTCCGGCGAGAGGCGGTGGAGCGCCACCGTGCCCCAGTTTACCCCGATGCTGGATTCCGCCACCGCCGCCGCCGCCAAAACCCACAGCAACAGCAGCAGGATTTTGGTCGGAAAATGCGCTCCTCCTCCCATCTCCACCAGCTAGAAATCGCCCGGAAAACCGTGCGCTCATTGATCGATCGCAAAAATGCCTGCCGGAGAGGCGGTGAGGTTTGAACGAAAGGCGGAGGTGAAGAAGCTTTTAAATACTGAACACAGTAGACGCGGTAAAGCTTTTAATTGACGAAACTACCCACGGAGGACATGCTGTTTCGGCCCCTTTTTCTAAAAGGAATAAGGGTTTGTTTGGTCTTTTAGATAAATCTTTATAAATATATATATATATATTTAAATAAGTGTCATAAATAAGGCGATATTTTTATATTCAGAGTTTATCCTAAAGAAATCATAACTATAAATTGTGGGTAATAGGTAAAAATAAATAAATGAATAAATTAGATGTGCGACGCTTTCATTTTCGTCTGCTTCCAAATATTAGTTGACGTATTGAAATTGAAAATTGGATATGATGATAGAAACCGACATTTCACACGGAAAATGACACGTCACATATTTTGTAACACTAACACCATCTTAATCATGAAAACACTTCCTTTACATAATGGATTTATCATGTTTCAAATAAATAAATAAGTCTATAAGATTAATTGATTAATATCAATAAAATAGAGTGGATTACAGTGTCGACTTGTAAAGTGAGATTTAATATTCATCAATAATAATCAATGGAGGTATCATTGAGACGTCGATTTGTAATATGTCGCCTAATAATAGGTTACCACAAAACTAAGGATATGTTATCTTTGCTTTTACTATTTCGATTCTGTATTTTTAAAAAGATAATACATTTTTCTTTTAATAAAAATATCTCATCATATATTATTTTAACATTAAATTCAAACTAATTTTTTCTAAATCCATTTAAAAAAACATACACTAAATTATAAATAAACAGTGGCTCTGTTGGAACATATCTGGCCAATGGAGTGAGGACACGTGTTCGAGAAATAATATGCCACATGTCTCTCCCACTGAAATGGTTGAATCTACATTAAAAATCCTAAATCAATGTCCAACTCATATCCTTTCTCCCGTTAATATACCCTATCTTCCTATCTCTACACACGTATTAATAATAATAATAATAATAATAATAATACATGTGTATTTATTATTGGGATAGAGTATCCCATGGGGACCATGTGGGATCACATGGTCGAAAATTTTGTGGCCTTAATTGGCTTGTGTGAGTTAGGTTGTGGTGTGGTTGATTTGTATTGATCTATTTTTTTTGTGTATATGTCCGAAATATTTTACATAAAGAATTGTTACAATTATATAATAACTAATCTAAAACTTATTGAAGCTTTGATGTTACGTATGTACGTTTTGCAAATGTATATTGAAACTTTGAATTGAACTAGATGTTTTTATATAATTTTAAATTTAATATTTTTAATAAAATATAGCTATATATATTTAATTTAATGGTTTTTTATTTTTGATTTTTAAATAAGGACAAACAATCCCATCTTTTTTGCAAGAATTCCATTTGTGTTGTGGTAATATATATACTACAAAAAAAAAAAAATTAAAATTTAGTTAAAAAAAATTGGTAGCAAAAGGTAATGAATTAATGGCACTAAAGTTTTTACGATGAAACTCATTTTCTCTGCTATACTATGTTAGTGAAGATTTTTGTCGACAAATATAATTTTCATAACGTAAAATAAGTTTTTTATAATGAAAGTTAAAAAAATAAATATAGCTATGAAAATATGATTTCGTAGCTAAAACTCTTTTGCTATAAAAATTAAATTCATGACAAAAGAATTTTAGCAACAAAATATACATGAGTTTTTTAGCCAAACGATTTTATATATGAAAAATAATTTTATAGCTATAACCATTTTACTGTGAAAATATAATTTCTAGCAAAAAAAAAATTTAGCTAACAAATTATTTTTATAGTACATAATTTATTTGTAGCGATGGAATTAATTTTTGTTGCTAAATAAAATATTTTAACTACAAAAATAGTTCTTAACTAAAAATATTGTAACTAAGTAAATACTCCATTCGTCCGGTTCCAAAGTTTCATTTACTTTTTACGTCATTATACTTAACATTAAAAATATACACTAGTATGATATTGTCCGCTTTGGGCTGAGCCCGCACAGATTTATTTTTGGATATTCTCTAAAATGCGAGTTCACTTGAGACTTAGGTGTGGAATGATTAGTCAGTTCCTATTCGGAATGTAGTAATTTCTTAACAGCCGCAGTTTCGACTCCTACTAATAGTTTAGTGCATTCTTTGTTGTTACTATGGGTCCTGAAGCCCCAGGAGATTTTTAGTAATAAAAACTATTGAAACGCAAATATAATTAAATGCATACTAAAAAAAATAATTAGCGCATATTGAGATACTCAATATATATACTAAGATAATAAAAATATATCTAATGATATTTTATTTACTTTCCAAATAAATTAAAATTAAATGCAGTAATTAAATTACCTATTAATCACAATCATTTTTGTTACCTACAGACCAATATTATGCATAATCAAATGTAATTATAATCTATACTATATATAATTAGAACCTATCAATATATACAAGTAAGTATATATAATCAAGTAGCATTGGCCAATTAAATCTTATAACATTAATTACTTACTATAGAACCCATTTAATCTTTTTCAATTTGAAGTAAATATTTACAAATTTATTCTAAATTAGACACATCATTACATGCAAGGTGTGCACGCTCGATTCGCAGATTGGTCTGATTTGAAATTTACTTTTGAACCCAAATTTTAATTTTAAATTTTATAATATAAATGGCTTTTACAATGTTTCTCCTAAGATAAAATTTGTTTAAAATAATAATGTCAAATATGGGAAATTATATCACATACCTATAATTAAATTTTGCAATAATTTGCTATTGTGCAGCAGTTAATTAGAGAAACAAAAAACCCTGACTCCTACAATTTAGCTGTTTGTTCCAATTGGAATGAAGCTGCATTAATGGCTGCCACGAATGTCAAGTAATGATGTGTCAACACAGTAACATATCTTCTTCGATGGTCTTCTCAATGATTTCATCTTCTTATAAATAGCTGCGCAGTGTTTCGGACATTCTCCAATACACATCATAGAGATGTCAACAATGTTTCCGGCAGCATTGTTTTTTGTCATTTTGGCTGTGTTCCAAGAACCAGCCATTGCCGTAAAAAAGGTGAGCATTGTTGCAGGGTCATCTGCAGACTGCAATATTAATGTTCTTATGGTTTTAATGGAAATCTAGTTTTGGTTGAACTGATCCTATGTTCTGGATTTACGTATGATTGTATTAATTTCCTGCAGTCTTATGTTGTGTATTTGGGAGAGCAATCTCACGCCTCGGGGTTGACGACGACGGACGCTGATCTTGACTTGGTGACGCAATCTCACTCTGAGTTGCTCTCCTCAGTCGTGGGAAGGTTAGGGTTTCGATATGATTTCTTGCTGTCGCCATGGATGCTGCTTTAATTTATTAATCAGTGCATGTTTGCTGATCGATGGAGATGCTGGTTTTCCCTGTTTTGCAGGGAAGGATCTTTGATTTACTCATACAGGAAGAACATCAATGGCTTCGTCGCCATTCTAGATGATGATGAAGCTGCACGAATGAGAGGTAATACATATATATATATATATATAGATATACCCAGATTTTACACACACACACACATATACCTTTTCTGATGGTGGTTGTGTTTTTTTTTTAAAATTGATTCTGTGATCACAGAAAGTCCTGGTGTGGTGTCTGTTTTCGAAGATAAAGGCAAGATTTTGCACACGTCACGTTCGTGGGAGTTTATGAGGCTTGAAAAGAATGGTGTCATTCATCCTTTGTCCTTATGGAAAAGGGCCAATCTTGGAGAAGACATCATCATAGCTAATCTCGACACTGGTAAAAACTAATTTCCATGTTTAATTTTTCCACTGTTTGATCGATCAACGGTTTTTTGCTGCTGCTTTGACAGGGGTATGGCCTGAATCGAAAAGTTTCGACGACAAAGGTTTTGGTCCCATTCCATCGAAGTGGAGAGGAACTTGCGATTTCGGAGGAAACAATTCAAGATCCCTTTGCAATAAGTACTAAATTCTTTCAAAAAGTCTCCTCAATTTCGGATCCAATCATCATCGTTTTGATCGATGCCATTGCAGGAAGCTTATCGGAGCCAGGTACTTCAACAAAGGCTTTATGTCGAACGCCGGTGCTCTCAAGTTTAATTCGACGTATAATACAGCTCGGGACACCGAAGGACACGGCACGCACACTCTCTCCACCGCCGGCGGCAATTTCGTCGCCGGAGCGAGCATCTTCGGCACCGCCAATGGAACAATAAAGGGCGGGTCACCAATGGCCCGAGTTGCATCCTACAAAGTCTGCTGGCCGCCGACCAAGACAACTGCCCCATGTTATGAATCAGACATCATGAAAGGCTTCGACACCGCCATTTCTGACGGCGTCGACGTCTTGTCGGTGTCTTTAGGCGGAGAGGGCCCCGCCGAGTACCTCGACGACGCCATCGCCATCGGCGCCTTCCACGCTGTGATGAAAGGTATTCCGGTGGTCGCCTCCGCCGGAAATACTGGTACAGATTCATCCGTCACGAACGTCGCGCCGTGGATTATTACCGTCGCCGCAAGCTCTATTGATCGGGAATTCGAGGCCAGTGTTAAGCTCGGCGATGGAACTGTTCTAAAGGTAGGTTTTCTAATCATCTGTTAAACCCTAATTTTTTCCCCAAAATTTATCCTCAATGTTTCCAGGGATCGAGCCTCTCCAAACCATTGCCGGACACTAGAATGTATCCTCTCATCACTGGTGGTCAGGCCAAAGCTGCCAATGTGTCTGCTAGGGTTGCGTACGAACTTCCACCTGGACTTCCATTGTCGTCTTCTTCCTTCTCTGGATAACTTAATTAATTGCTAATTCACAGGATGCTCTGTGGGGAAAACTCGTTGGATCCTGAGAAGGCTAAGGGGAAGATCGTGATTTGCCTGAGGGGCATTTCTTCGAGAGTGGATAAAGGGGTTGAAGCAGGCCGCGCAGGTGCTGTCGGGTTTGTTCTTTGTAATGATGCTGCCAATGGCGACGACATCAGTGCTGATACCCATTTACTTCCTGCAACTCATTTAAGTTACAAAAATGGCGTTTCCCTCTTTTCTTATATCAATGCGACCAAGTATGTACCTCAATTTCTGTACCATTTTCTTTTCTTTTTATTATTATTTTTTTTTGGGTATCGAATTTTTCAAGTCTTCTTTTACAGGAAGCCAGTAGGGCTGATTACTCCTCCCACACCATTGTTGAACACAAAGCCTGCTCCACGTTTGGCTTTGTTCTCGTCCAGGGGCCCCAATCTAATCACGCCTGCAATTAATAAGGTTTTCAGATTGTCGAATGTAAATGTACACGGTAATGGTAGTTTATCTAATGGTGTATTGATTTGCAATTTGCAGCCCGACATTACTGCTCCTGGGGTCGACATCATCGCTTCTTACACTGAAGCTCAAAGCCCGACCGAATCCCTCTTCGACAAGCGTAGAACTCCTTACCTTGAATTGTCCGGGACGTCCATGTCCTGCCCTCACGTCGCCGGCGTGGTGGGATTGATCAGGCGCCTCCATCCTGACTGGAGCCCTGCTGCGATCCGATCGGCAATCATGACGACAGGTTGTCATTGATTTCAGAAACCCTAAATTTCAATTTTGTTCAATTTGATTCTTCATTCGCTTGCTAATAAATCTCCGGCGATTACCAGCGAGAACGAGGGACAACACAGTGCGGCCGTTGGTAGACGCCGGCGGCAGGAAGGCGACGCCATTCGGGTACGGGTCGGGTCATATCCGCCCTAACCGGGTCTCCGACCCGGGACTGGTCTACGACCTAACAGTCAATGACTACCTCGACTTTCTCTGCGCCGCAAAGTACGATGAAGACGTAATTCGGAGATTTTCCGGCTCCAAACACGCGTGTCCCGCCAATTTCAGCGTCATGGATTTCAACAATCCGGCGATCACCGTCCCGTCCCTCGCCGGCGGCCAGGTTACAGTGAGAAGATCCGTGAAGCTTGTGGGCAGCCCTGCAAAGTACTACGCCCGGGTTCGGAGCCCGTACGGGTATTCGGTTTCTGTGGAGCCGGGTAACCTTAATTTCGAGAAAACTGGTGAAGTGAAGGTGTTTAAGGTGACGATAAAAGCGTTGAAGCCTGTAAGTTCGTACAGATTTGGGGATCTGACGTGGACGGACGGCCGGCATTACGTGAGGACGCCGATATTGGTTGCCTCCGCCGTGCCGGAATAGTTGGACCGGGTTCGGTAATGATGTCTTTCTTGAAGGTGTGATCTTTGATTGTGTTATTAGAAGCTGAGAGACTACAGGGTTGTATTTTGTTTCCTGATTATTATTCCTTCCATTCTCATTTTAATAATTGCCAAGGATTTGTCTTATTGATACATATATTTTTGTCTAAAATTTTTACGTATTTAATTTTTATATTTTATTGAAAAAATAATTAATTTTGATATAATAATTTAAATAAATATATTATTAATATAATTTTTGAAAAAAAAATATTTATGTAATAAAAACGGTTTAAGAGATACAGATAAATAAATGAGCTAGCATTGCGAAACCCAACTCATATCCGCATTTCAATGAAATGATTAAAAAAAAATTATCATATTGGAGCTTCCATCTTCTTGCACCTTCCTACTTTGAGTGTAGCCGGAAAATTTCATCTGGTTGGGTTAAAAACTCAAACTTTTTGTCCTTGAATTCCAGCTATGTTTGATTTCAGTTCGTTTTAGACCTTTTGATTGTGGGGTGTCTTTCAACTCTTAGCAAATCAATTTCTTTGCTGTGATTGCGCTTGTTTTGGCAGCTTATTAACTCTAATTCGCTCGATTTTCAGAGGGTTCTCCAATCCTCATTATTCACTCATCTATTCGAGTTGGGTTTTCATTGTTGTAAGTTTCACAAACTACTTTCCTTTTCTGAATTTCTCAATCTATATCGTCTGGGCTTGAGTCCCTCACTGGATTTGCCCTTATTCATGTGTCTAAGGGTAAAAAATTCCGGCTCATTCTCATAGCTGAAGCGTTAGGGTTTGATTGTGGGATGTTCGGAGGTCGAGGCTGAAGCATAAACGATGAAGATGAAACTCAGGAAATCAGTGCTTTTCTTGCTGTTGGTGACGGTTCTTGCGCCAATTGTTCTGTACACAGATACTCTTGGATCGTATTTCACATCATCTTCTTGTAACATTCGTTGTTCCTATTTCAATCTTTATTAAAAGAGTTAACTGGTTCCTGTCTAATTGATTTGTGTTTTTCCTTTGTGTTTTTATAGCTCGGGATGCATTTGTAGAAGATATTTCAAACGTAGTAAGTTTTGCCCACTTTGCTTTTATATACTTTAATAATTTTTGGTGAAGACTGAAGAGGGAAAGTTTACTTCTTGGATGTTCTGTTTGTAGATGTATGCTGGTGAAATCAGGCCATTAAATGTGCTACTCACTGCAGGTGTTTGTTACTTCTTGTTTATTTCTCGAATACACAGTATGGAATCTTTAAACTGATGAAAGTTATGCAACTTGATTAACAGAGGATGGGTTTTCGACTTTATCCTCTTTGAGAAGTAGCGGCGTTGACAACCATTCTTTGGATGATCATCCCTTGAGACAGGTGACACTGGTGGCTGCAAGGGAGGATAATTCGATGAAAAATGAACCAACTGGGGATGTAAGAGGTGGGGTTAATTCAAATGATCAGCAGCATTACAAAGGCTCATCTGATAATGAGTCGGGGAAAATGGTAAGGGTATGTGCTAGCACTCCTGCAGGTTAATTATGTCTCATATGTTTGTGGTATTAAGCATAGTTAGGAAACTAGTTATCGGTATTGTATTGTTATATTAATGTTGTTGAAAGCTGCTGAGGTGTTCAATGTTATATGGAAAGATTTTTTAGTTAGGTGATTCAACTGTAAATATTTGTTTGTTCGATTACCTATGTAAGATTTCGGAGATTTTTTTGTTGGGAGATTTAAGAAGACTTTATGCTGTCTACTATTTTTGCACTACTTTCCAAATTTTTTATTTGTTTATTGTAGGAAGTGAAGCATCTACTACAGTCTTCCGATATATCTAGTAAAGATACTTCAAGAGAACAAACGAGGGCTATGAGTGAGAAACTGAGAGAAGAAACAGCACTGCCGGATGTTCGCATACGTCAGCTTAAGGACCAGCTGGTTCGAGCCAGAGTTTATCTGTCGCTTTCAGGGACTCGAAACAATGCTCACTTTATAAGGGAGCTTCGTGTGCGTATTAAGGATATTCAGCGAACACTTGGAGATGCCACCAAGGATTCTGAGCTGCCCAAAAAGTGAGTTGTATTTTACACACGTGTTTCATCAAATAACTTTTACATGTGAAAGCTTGTCGCAAATGGAAGATTTGTGTTGATATTTTTCTTTATCAGTTTTGGTTTTGACCGAGTAGTTTTAGCTTCCCAATAATCGGATTTTTGGTTGAATGTAGTTCTTTAGAGAAGTTGAAAGCGATGGAGCAAACATTGTTAAAAGGCAAAGGCATACAGGATGATTGTACCGCCATGGTAAAGAAACTTCGTGCGATGATTCATCTGTCTGAGGAACAGCTCCGAGTCAACAAGAAGCAGACTTTGTTCTTGACACACCTAACAGCAAAGACAACTCCTAAAGGGCTTCACTGTCTTCCTCTGCGACTTTCAACTGAATATTTCATGCTGAGTTCGTCTCAACAAGATTTCGCCAACAAGGAAAAACTAGGCGATCCTAACCTGTACCACTACGCCTTGTTTTCAGACAATGTCTTGGCTGCGGCAGTTGTTGTGAACTCAACAATAACCAATGCAAAGGTGCAATAGTTATTGAATCTAAAGATTTTCATTTATTGATCTGTCTTGGAAGCCTATTACAGTTCAATTTGATACTGATTTTTTGGTGTTTTCTACCGAGCAGGATCCTTCAAAACACGTCTTCCATGTTGTCACTGATAGACTTAACTATGCTGCCATGAAAATGTGGTTTTTGGCGAATCCTCCAGGCAAGGCCACGATACAGGTTCAGAATGTTGAAGAGTTCACTTGGTTAAATTCAAGTTACAGTCCTGTTCTTAGGCAGTTGGGGTCTCCCTCCATGATTGATTATTACTTCAAAAGTCGTCGCGGTGCTGCATCAGATTCAAACCTGAAATACAGAAACCCCAAGTACCTCTCCATCATGAATCACCTTCGGTTTTACCTACCTGAGATCTTCCCAAACCTGGGCAAGGTTTTGTTCTTAGACGATGATATTGTGGTCCAAAAGGACCTCACCAACCTCTGGTCTCTTGACCTGAGGGGTAAAGTTATTGGAGTGGTAGAGACATGTGGAGAGAACTTTCATCGGTTTGACCGTTACCTCAATTTTTCGAATCCTCTGATTTCTGAAAGGTTCAGTCCCCGTGCCTGTGGTTGGGCTTTTGGGATGAATATCTTTGATCTGGACAAGTGGAGGAATCAAAATATTACTGAAGTTTACCACAACTGGCAGAACTTGGTAAGTTACATTTATTTTCAGCGGTCGACTCAATTGCATGGAAATAAATGCATATGCAATTATACCTGTCTAAGTATGCCGAATGAGATCTGAATGAAGTTGAGGCATTTTAGATTGAGTTGTGATGAAAATTTCTTGCATTATATCCCCCTGTGAATTTTTACTGAGCAAGAAACATCATATCTGACATTGAATATGTTTTTATGCTCAGAATCGGGACAGGCTGCTTTGGAAACTCGGGACTTTGCCGCCCGGTTTGATAACCTTCTGGAACCACACTTTTGCCCTTGATAAATCTTGGCATGCCCTTGGACTGGGGTATAATCCAAATGTATCACAGAAGGAGATCGAGCGGGCTGCTGTTATACATTATAACGGCAACTTGAAACCTTGGCTTGAGATAAGCATACCCAAGTTCAGAAACTACTGGGCAAAATTCATCGATTATGATAATCAATATCTGCGGGAATGCAACATTTCTCCATGAGCGACTTGTACCAGCGATTCACCCTCAGCTACGTTTGTGATGGCAAAGTTATTTAATGACGATTCTCCCTCAGCTATGTGAGTGATGGTGAAGCTATTTAAATTGCAACTACATGCCCTTCCTATTTTAATGTGTGAATAGGATGCTGCTAAGCTATTTAGTTATGTTTTCTTTAGTGGCGTATTTGTTGTTGGAAGCTGCTGCTGCAAGCTGTATGTTGTTGTACATGATCTGAGAGTGCAGTTGATATTCTTTTGTAGCTTGAATTCGACATTGTGCAGTTGCTGCTTTGTTCTCTGGATAAATTTTATATCAAAGCCTACATGTTCTACTGCTGAAGAACTAAGCCCAATGCCGACTCGATAAATCTGCGTCTACAGGTAGGGGCCCTAACAAATCTTGTAGGCTATGGGAACACTTGGATTACTCTGATTATGCTTCTTGACTTAGATTCCTCCTTGTGTAACAATGATGTGCTCTTTGTGCTTGTTACATCGAAAGAAAGATGCTGTGGTCGTCTTCAGTCACAAATTCATTATCAGGATCTTTGGACAGCCAAGTATCCCTGAGAAGTTCTTATTTCTGCTACTTTGGTATAACATTAACAGGAGAAGAAAGTTCATGGTGAGTCATTTACACTTAAAAGGCAACATCCAAGTAAATAAACCGTCGTTTTATTCAGCGTCCCCTTTCAGTATAAGATGTTTTTTTGTTCTCTAAAAGAGAAGAGGAATGGGAAGTTTTTGTAAAAGAGAAGCTGCATTGGTAGAACCTGCTTAGCAATTTGTTGTATGAGTTCAAATAACTGTTCCACTAGGAATCAGGGCATCCTTGACTACAGTAACAATGCCACTCTTGATGAAGTAGCCATCAGTCTCTCTAGCTGCTTCTTGCACGTCGTCGCTGTTAATGATCTGTTGGGATAAGTTAAAACAGGGCATCAAGAGCTGGCACATTGGGAAAACATAGGCTTCTGGTCTGCAGGAAATAGAATTTCTATGGAAGGGAAGAAGGTATTGAGGATCTAACCTTTACATTTTCTCCAATACGTGCATTTTTGTCGATAATTGCCCGTTTGATGTGCGAATTCTTGCCAATGCCAATGGGAACCCCTCCTTTGGCTGCCAGCAGCCTTCTATCTGCATCCGTCTGTCCAAATGGCATTTACAAGATTAAATCTGGAACATTGAAGCAAGTAAACTTTTGTTGCGAAAGAAAGGGTTGGCTGTGGCATTTACCTCATAATAGTCGGCTCCCATCAACAGGGTGTCTTCTATGATTGCACCCTCTGATATGCATGATCGAAGACCGATTACAGAATGATGTATTGTACAGTTCTGTGAATCGAAAAGTGAGCATTTTAAATTAGCAAACTGCTGTTGCTATCAGCATCCCGTTCTTCATATCCTATTCAACAATGCTGTATGGAAAACTCTTTAAATCAAGAAATTTACCTTTATGACACAGCCCTCACCGATGACACTGTCAGTAACATCTGCATTGAGCATTTTGGAAGGCGGCAAGTACCGTGGTTGTGTATAAATTGGGGCAGAACGGTCATAGAAACTGCATCGAACGAACCAAGTAATGTATATGTTTGCAGCCATAGTGAATGAAAAGAAGAGATGGGGAGAGATCAGCAGCACATGTTTCGACCCTGGTAAGAAACTATTAGCTTACCTGAAATCTGGCACTGGCTTTTTTGTTATCCCCAAATTGGCATTGTAGAATGCTTCAATTGTCCCAATGTCCTCCCAGTAGCCATCATACAGATATGCCTGAACCTGATCCATGAACAGCACATTTACTCGGATACACAAAGAAGAGCCAATCATTAGCTATGGTAAACACTCCATCTGTTAGTAAAAAAGATTAGATCCCTTCAGTCTTTCTTGTAAACAGTCACTTTTAATGTCTAACTGGGAAGAGAAACAATCTTTCCAAGTGATATCTGTGACTACATCCAACAAACAGTAATTCCACAAGCAAGACTTACCCTCATGCCGATTGAAGTAGCACCGGGAATGACTTCACTTCCGAAATCATTTGCGGCCGGAAAATTATCTTGCAGTAGCTTCATCATTACATTCTTACTGAAAACATAGATGCCCATGCTAGCAATGTATGGCATTTCCTTTGCTCTAACGTCGTCTAGACCTAAAATTGTTGTGTCAACCTTCCATAAAACAGACCAGAATTAAAAGATATCAGTAGATAGAATTCCAAAAGCACAGTGTTAAAGCCAATAAATGCATGGCGGAAGGTTGTACCTTCATGGCTTTCAGTTGATCTCCCTTTGGTTTCTCTGCAAATTCTATAATTCTTCCCTCCTCATCGATCTTCATTAAGCCGAATGCAGTGGCACGTTTTTCATCCATTGGTAGTGCTGCAACTGTTATATCAGCATCAGTTTCTCGGTGCGCTTGGATGAATTTTTCATAATCCATCCGATACAAGTGATCTCCAGCAAGAACCAGAAATTCAAGAACTTCATGTTCTTCAAAGAGCCACAAGTACTGCCTTACAGCATCTGCTGTACCCTAAAAGATGCCACAATATAGATTAGACAAAATAATAGGTACTGTTGTGAACACAAAATAAAATTGAAGTTTCCCCGAAAGCAATCAACACAACAAAGAAATATATTCACTTTGTTCCCAGTTTAGCCACACTATGCAGCTGCATTTTGAGGGTATCAGATTTAGCTAGCAAGTGATAACTTCGCCTATTCCAGAATTAGCTTATAGTTTTCCCTGGTTGCTATTTTCTAAAAAAGCCCGTATTTTGAAGCTAAAACTTCAATTTCCCCGGATGTGGTGCAGCAGCTGATGAAATGCTCACCCACCCCACCAAAACAAGGAGAGAAAAACATAAAGCAATAGGCGAAATAAGAGGTGCAAGCCCTGAATGTCTTACCTGGAACCAGTTTGGATTTTCTGGGCTTTGCTGGGCAGCAAGAACCTCAACAAATCCTTCATTCTTATAGCCACCCATGTTACTTGCATAGGCTCGTGACAAATGGCGATTAAGGGATGCAGAATTGAACTGAGTCAGTACATAGATCTTGGATATGTTGCTGTTCAAACAATTACTAACAGGGATGTCAATCAACCGATAATTTGCACCCAATGGAACAGCAGGCTTTGCCCTCTTCTTTGTAAGAGGATAAAGCCTTGTCCCAGCTCCACCTCCAAGAATGATGCCCAGTACACTCTGCATGAACAAGAAAAAAGAACTTGTATCAATTCACAAAAGGAATATTGGCTTAGAAGTTAGACATTGATCAAAAAAATGTGTTCTTGAATGCAAGAGTAGCCGCCAAATAGATTTAGCAATTACTATATATAAGCTAGCACCAATGGATAGATCAGAACTAAACATTTTCAGATGATTTAGGCAGAAGTTTCATATATTTACAGGAAATTCATGGCCACATTATGTTTTCGCATAGATCAGATAACATCATTCATTCCAAACGGTGGCATTATTTCAATAGATGCAAACCACGAGTAATGCTGATCAGATTGCAGTGAAAGACAGAGTGTAACATTAGCAAGAATTCAGACTGACATCTCCAATCAAATAATCGTACACACAGACAAGAATGGAAGAGATAATATACAGTGCTGGCGTCTGGGTCGAGACAGGTCTGAGAAGAACTGGAATCAGAGACAGCTTTCGGAGAAACAACGTGAGAAGGAAGCAATCCGAGCTTTCTGCTTAAACCATTGTTCCTTTCCAGATTCACACGTAAGGCACCTCCAAATATCTCCGATTTGGAGGAACAAACACTGTATTTACAATGCAATCTGGTCTGCCCACTGATTCCCGAAGAGGAAGACAAAGAGCGCTTCCCAAATACCACAGGAGATGACGATGCCACCGCCGCCATCTGCATTCCTTCCAAACCTCCAACACCTCAACGCTATTACCACGTACACTCAGATACAGGATTATTTCCGATATTGTAATAGATATCCAAATCGAGATCCTGCACTGGATACACACTGCTGAGAAATGAAGGAATCAGGATTGATTGGAGTTTAGATTGCGAATCAAATCGACAGAAAATCAGAGATATTGGCGTCCAGAAGTGTGCTTGGAAGTGTGTGTCGAGGAATGATCGAGATAATATCTTTTTGATAACAGACTCTTACACCTCGGGCCAATACACGCCACTGGTTTTAATTTTTTTATTATAATTTATTGTCCAAATATTCAAATCAACAACCATTCCTCTACAGATTTCGTCGTGTATTTAAAAAAATAATTATTATAATTAAGAACTATTTAACGTGCTATGTGACCCACAAATTAATCTTAAAAAAACAATAATTAGCTAGTCCCTTTCAAGAAAATGAGTTGTGCAATCAACCGTCATTATTTTAAGATTCCTTAAAAAAAAAATTAAATTCAATTGTAATTGATTAGTGCCAATAAATATTAAAGATTATTCACGCTAATTGGCATCACAAAACTTCTGATTTGAAATAGCCTAATAAACGGCACGCGCCGTGCACGTGGATGTGCCGTTACATTGTTGGATTTGATATTATACTGAAAGTGAAAATATTTGTAAGGATTTTATTTTTTTCAAAAAATAGAAAATTTAAATATCTGTAGTATATACGTCGATGTGTAATTAATGTGGTGAGCCACGTAGGTATGGCGTCTTGCGTATTCAGTAACTGCACACAACCGTACCAATATATAAGCAGTGCAGGGGCGGTTCACGTTCTCCGTCCCTTTTTAAATTGAATCTTCTCTGATTATCAATGGCCGCAGTTCGATCTGCTTCGCTGACAGTCGCAGTCGCGACCTGGTTTATCCTGCTCTGTCCAGCGCTCATTTCCTCTGCAGAGGAAGCCAAGGAATTAGCCTCGCAAGTGTGCAGGAACACGACGGATTTCTCCTTCTGCCAGGACGCAATCTACGCTGATCCCCGCGCTCCAGGCGCCAACCGCGTCGTCCTGGCCTACATCGCTTTCGGAAAGGCGTACGCTAACGGAACAGATACTAGAGCATACATTGCCTCGAGGTTAACATCCGGCGGTGCTAATGAATCTGAAGGTGTGTTGACTGGTATGAAGAACTGCTTGACGAAGTATGACGAGGCGGTGCAGACGCTGGCGCAGATACTAGGCGACTTGGATTCGGAAACGTATTATGAATTGGATAAACGGTCGCTGGAAGTCGGAAGATTTCCGGCGGCGTGCGAGGAGGGTTTCAAGGTCGGTGCATCTCCGGTAAGCCAGAGGAACAGTAACTTGATCAAGCTTATGAATATCTGTTACGTTGTTTCGAAGCTTTTCTTATACAATTGAATTTTCATTTTATACCTCTTTACTTTCACTTAAATAATTGTGCATTCTGACTATTTGTTGATAAAATATCAAATGAGAATTGTATTCAATTTGGATGATGTTCGAATTATTCGAATATGTTTGCTTTCAATTTATCGCCATTCCCAACGCGTTTCCAAATTCAATAAGGCTTCTCCGGTTACTTAGTTTGCTTAGCTTTCGTGACTTGTCTTATTGAATTTAATTTGCTAACAATAACAAAAAACTATTATTCAAAAAGAAATTAAACTACTTGTACAGTGGACAGAACGATTCAGGAAAGGTTAAAAATAGGAGTAAAGATATAGTCTAAATCTGTAGCATCCAAAAGAATTTTGCACCTGACAGACAACCTCCGACATCCTACAATCAATTCCATCCTCCAACTCTAGTTGCAATCCATCAGTTCCATGCAATGCAGGCTTTGTTTTCGGCACTTAGGTCAGTTCATTATGCGCTATATATATATACATAATACATATATATTAGAACTGGTGAAATTGTTATGGCTGTTGGCATTGGCAACGAAGGAGATGGACGCAGCACGTCCGTAGCTGCAGTCCCCAACTCCCGATCAGTGACGGAAGGATCAACAGTGGCGAAGAAGGCTCGGATTGGCTATAGATTGGTTAGAACATATTCTACCAGTTAATAATGTATCAGTTAAAATTAACCCATAAAGTCTTGTTTTTGCCCTATGAATTTGACTAATTCTGCTCTTCGTGTTCTGCACCTATAGCTCGCCTTGCAACCGATTTATATATGAAACATTGTTACCAAATCCAATAAAATAGTAATTTATTTCAGTAAAATAAGCAGAATAGTAATGGAGTGATGCGACGGGGTACGCCCTCCAGACGGGGGCGATTATTCCCGAGAATATTCCGTGGCCGTGCCCCGCCCGGTCGCTGTCGTCGTCTACGTCAGTTTCCACATAATTTGTCTGTCTTCAGCATGAATGTTTTTGTACTTATCATTAGCCCTAATTAATATCTTCTGGAATAGCGGCGGTGATATTTGCATGGTTGAGGAGAATCGAGCGTCCATGGAAGCCAATCTCGGCTGTGAATCGTTGGTCTAGGCCCTGCGAGTGGTCCCGCTTATTTATGATAATGTGTTTGATTGAGCCGGCGAAGACACCTCCGACTCTGCGCTGCCCCTCTAAGTAAGTGCTTTGTTAAATAAATTCGTGCTATGCATATATTGCCATTACATGGATCTCAAATGAAGAAGAAGAAGACGATGATTATTAACGAAGGTTTGAGTTAGGGTTCCAACAATTGTGATTATAAAGCGTGATGCAGTATTCATTAGCATACCTACTTACTTACCTACCTACCGCCTGTGCTTCATTTTCACGTGTGGCTTTTTTACTTGTGTAGGAAACTCAAAATCAGTGCCATTTGAACGCCACATTCTCTTCACTGCTAATTAGGTCTGGTCCATTCTGCGTCGTCATCCGGTGAATTGATGTTCAGATATTTGCAGCTGAGAAGTGTATAGATCTGGTTGGTATGGCTTTTTTCTTTTCTTTTCTTTTTTTCCTTCTTCCCTTTTTTTTTTTTTTTTTTTTTCTGGATTTAAGACTGACATTTCTGAAATTAGTAACTGCTTTTTCGCTCGGTAGCTTGAAGTTTGCTCAACTCCTGTTCCTTCATACACATCTTTGCATTTCTAAAGTTTAGCATATTTTGTAAATGGTATAATTGATAGTGGAAATTTCCTTTTATCTTCTGGAAGAAAAGAAAATTTTATGTGCTACAACAGTTATGCTTTGGTTTCAGGGCTGAATTATATCTTGACATCCAGGTCAATAGGCTAATTCAAATGCTTCCATAGTTTAGGTTCCTCCCGCGATGATAAGTTGGAAGGGGGGTTTAAATATCCCCAATGTCATGTTTTTATTACACATTATTGAATCAGATTACTAAAATCATCATGATGTTGTTTTAGCTCTTTTAATTTGATGATGATAGATTTGTGTTTTTCCATTATTTTATGGTTCATTTCATTTCTTTGGATGATATCAAGGTTAAATGAGTTTGGTATACTCTCTCTGTGCTTTATTAACTTATCGAGAACTGAAAATATAAATGGGTTAGCACATGGTTAGAGTTCTGATGACTACACACTTCTTTTCTTTAATACTATTCCATAATGATTTTCTTCCCCAAGTAAGATCATCTAAAATACTTTCTTGACTTCTGCATTACCACGTCTTATGAATTCTAATTGTTTATTTATTTTTGATACCATAGATGTTCAAAAAATGCACAAGCTTGCGCAACTGTGGTTTTCAGCAATAGAGCCTTTTGAAACAAACCATTAGACTGTGATACACAGCGTGATGGATCAGGCTGGTAGTAATAATGTGCAAAACAATGCGAATTTGTTCTCTAAGCAGCGGCTTCGATGGACGAACGAGCTTCATGAACAATTTGTTGGTGCTGTGGCACAACTCGGCGGACCAGACAGTGAGTTGTTTCACTTTTGGTTGCAATACCTTGGCCCTGCATCTCTATTGGAATAAAAGAATATGATGATACTAGACATGAACTCGCAAGTATATAAGATAACGTTAATTTTTTGTTATCAGGAGCTACACCTAAAGGTGTCCTCAGAGTTATGGGAGTCCAAGGCTTAACTATCTACCATGTCAAAAGCCATTTGCAGGTATATATATCTTGAAACTTCACCTTACTTACATGGTCGCCCATTTGTAATTTGCACTAATATTCATTGTCCCATCCAGAAGTACAGGCTTGCCAAGTATGCTCCCGACTCTTCATCCGATGGTAGGTTGTTATGCTATACTATCTTCATAATTTATGGTGGAGCAATTTACCATACTTATGTAGCCATAAATTTACTTAAAATTGTGGTCATCGGACTCATTCTTGTTTCACTTTTTCTGATGTATAAGGTACAGTGGGTGTGAAAAAAGAATTTGAAGGCCTACTTGCTAACTTGGATGGTTCACCGTAAGTTGAATCTTCTTTCATTGTATTCATTCAGGCCATCTATTGATGTATACAATCATTAGCTCCGTTTCGTTTCTTTATGTATATTATTCTGGTCGTGCTATAACATTACTCTTTTTGCTTAAAGTGGGATGTGCATAACTGAGGCCCTCAAGTTGCAGATGGAGGTTCAAAAGCGACTGCAAGAGCAACTCGAGGTATACTCTGCTTTCATTTCTTCATTCAATGGTTTATGCATAAAATGATCAAATTATTTGGGAGATTGTTAAGGAAGTTGCATCAAAGAAGGTGCATCCTATAACTTGTTCATATTTATCATCTATGGTTCATACGACGAATTTTTAATTTAGCCAGGAGCTGAATATGGTTAATTTTGCACTTCACTTTTGAGAGGCACGCACGTATTAGTCACTAAAATGTTGCCCTTGAGAGCCTAAAAAGCTCAGTGATGAGGAATGTATGAATTTCTTGAAAGTGCTTTGTTCATGTGAAATTACGCATTCCATTGAACTTCCGATGGATCTTACAGGTGCAGAGGCAACTGCAGCTCCGGATAGAGGCCCAGGGGAAATACTTGCAAAAGATGATCGAAGAGCAACAGCGCCTGAATGGAGTTCTTTCAGAACCACCAGGACCGGGAATCTCTGCTGCTGTCGCCGAGGGAACTAATCCAGAATCCGGTAATAAACCTGAACCACCCACCCCTGCCCCAGCTTCGGAAGCACCCTTTCTAAACACACCAGCCAAAGAACATCCTTCTGCTAAGAGTGCTTCCGTAGAGGAATCTTTCACGTCCCATCATGAGCCACCAACCCCTGATTCTAGTTGGCATCTAACTTCATCAGTCGATTGTGCAACTGGTGGGAGTTCCAAACGAAGTTTAGCAGTTGTAACTCAGAGGTAGGTAGTAGCTGATCAGTTGTTGTTCGAGCCCAGGGAGTCGAGCTCAAGTCCCTCCCTGGACTCAACAACGACAACCTCTTCAGTTTCCTTGACTAGGATGGTAGTTTGGCTGTGCACAACTATTTGTTAGTTACTACAGCTACAGGTTTAGTGACAAGCGTAGAACACTGCTTGTGTGTTTGTAGGTTGTCACAGTGCATTTACCTTGAATAACTTCAAATGTATTTGGCCGTTTACAGAATGGTTTCAATATATTGCATTTTAACAATAAAACACACACTAGTTTGAAGAAATCACACTGCTGAAATGACTACAATCAATGAAATTCCACTCTTGTTTCTTTCTATTGCATTGTTAACAGAAATGCAATTGTTGACCAATACAACCACAACTGGATTAAGCCCAGACCGAACCGGCTAGGCCTAAAATACATCAACTAGGATTTCCTTCACAACACAACTGAAAAATAAAGAAAACCTGCATATTAGAGGATACAATAAACTAAGAAAAAGCACAAGTGAGAATGGAAAATGAGATTAGGGAATATGGAATTCTACTCTATGATACAAATTGAATGATGGTAGCAGTCAGTCAGGAGGAGCGATGTCTCCTATGATTAACTCTCTTGAGAATGCAAAGACGGATACGCTGGCTAAGAGCCTCCAGCTTTTCGAATTTCTCACGCTTGGACTTCTTTGCACTCGAGGAAGCTTTCTTCTTTTTCTTGCTGTTTTCCTTGGAAGAGTTTAATGCACTTGCTTCTGAATTCCGAAGGGGTGTTGCAAGCACCTTTATAGCTGTCTGGAAGTGTACAATGTAATCTTTAAGTAAATCATAATTGGATGAGAAAAGGAGGGTATGGTAATAGCTGTTTCGATTTTCCTATTGGAATACATAAGGGGGAAAATAGGCATTGAGAGAAACCTGATCATGATTGCTGGTACTAGTACAATTTATAGATGCATCATCACTCCCCAGAGATGAGCACCTTCCCCAACTTTCTCGATTCGAGCTTCTGGGAGAGCAACACTCTTCATTTTGACCACATTGCTCGTCCTAAAGAATTTGAAGTTTGTGAAATTTAATGAATAACAACAAAGAAATTTCTGTGATGATTCAAACTAGAAGCCACAGATGTCAAACCTGTGGAGCTGATGTGCTGTTGCCATTAAATTCGGGATCTTCACCCAAAGAATCCTGCAAAACAGAAGAAAAAAAAAAGTTACTTTCTTCAAATGCAAGCTAGTTAATTCGGCAACAACAGGACTATATTTTCTAATATGAAAGCAATGTAGTAGTACATAAAAACTGTTACTGCAATAATGAGTTTTAAAATTTTCAATATGGAGAAGGTTTAGTAAATTTACATTACAAACAGGTGCAATGTCAGAGAGGAGCTCCCCCACAGACTTTGTTGTCGAAATACTGCGTGGTGCAGAAGAAGAACTTGCTGCATCAACACTGACATTTCGAAGCCCAGCAATTATCTCATATAATATACTCTGGGGAAAAGAAGAAACACCATCATCAAAAATATGCGTTGCAGAAAACTGTAAGAAAATAAATAAAAATGGTAAATTACAAGGGGTCAATGTTAACTGGAAATGTGTTGTTCCAAATATCTGGTATAGAGTATAGATTAATATCATATGACATTAGTAATGCCAAATAAACTACTTATAATAGAATGAATTCCACAAAAGATACTTAGTACAGATCATTATCAAAGAAACTGCATCTTGTGGTGCGTGGAATAATAAATGTAATATAAACCTGCAGCTTCAGTGCATCTTTTAGGTGGAACACCTAAAGCACTTCAAACTTGGTATAGAGTTGAATGACCCAAGTAAATAAATTAAGACGCATGAGTGGATAAGATTTTTTTTTAAACACTAGAGTTTAGTCATGCATACGACAAAGTGTAATGTGAAGAATAATTTACCTCTTGCATATCAGCACCAACCTTGATATCCCCCAGATCATAATATTTTTCAATCTTTGCTGAATATGGAGACCGAAGTCGAGGAGGGCGAAGAACATTGTAGAAGAAAATTGACACGGAATCATAATAAAATTGAGGCCGAGATGAGTTGTGGTCACCATCAAACTTGATGATATTTTTGTCACCCTGCATAAAGAATAGACATAGAATCATAATAGTTAACTGTAGCCCGAGAAATTATCATTTGATGCAGTGAGGGTTCATAATGAGAGAGAGAATATTTTCACACCACATATGACTTGAAGATAGCATCGCAATGGTGAGGATTAATAAATTTGTCGTCTTTGGCATGTCCAAATAAAGCAGGAATAAATGTCTTGGGTGCAACCTGCCAGTTAAAAAGTTGAAATGTATTATAATATAAAAAGGTTAGAGTCTCTAAATTTGGCAGATAAAACTTCAAAAGTAGTGTGCACATGAAGGTGAAGGACCAAAATAAAAATCACCAAAATCCCATTAGTATGTAAAGACCTGTATGCAGTCAAGTCGCATGATATCAAATTTGGCCTTCTTCTGGATTACTCGGCGCATGTACTGGAGGGCCATCTTAACCTGTAACACAAAGTGATTGTGTTGGTATTATATTCTTAAGAACATTTAAAAGTATAGATGTTAGAGTTATTATAACTTATAAGCAACTTGAGGAAGATAATCCCGCTTACAGTAAATTTGGGGAGTCGGATTTTATAGACTTCTGCAAGTTCCAGCATGAGATTGAATAAATTAGAAAAGGCACTGTCCAAAACCATTCCAGCAATAGAAGGGTCTTCTGCTCCATAAAGAAGGCTGTGACAGATACAGATAGGTTAAAGGGTAGAGTGGCAGGTTTTGTAATCTGGTAAATTTGGGAAGATGTATGTGATATAGCAATATTTTAACAAAATTAAATTTGTCAAAGAGGGTCACCAACCTTGTCACCGCACCCATAGATCTCCCCCACAGACCAATACGAGATACTTTCTCATTGCTTCTCAAATATGATATCACAACCTTGAGGTCATTTTTCTGTAATTGGAAACGAAAATTTGTCAGTTGATAATTGTACAGCTCAAGAAGAGGCAAAGTTTAGAATAAAATAAAATAAAAGGTGAGAGAAAAAGCACACCTCGTGCCAACCCAGACTAACATAATCTCCATCAGACAACCCAGAACCTGAAAAATCAAGAGTGAATACTGTGATATTTGAAGGCAGAAGAACCACAGCTGCCTCATTTGCATCCGCTCGACATCCACTGCATGATAAGAAACTAGACACATAAGTTTCTGGACCTCAAAACCAGCAGTAAGCAATCAACTATTCTTACAAATATATCCACATCTAATATAACTGCTATATGCATATAATGCATGTGAATACTTCAACAGAAGGTCGGCTTCATCTGGATGGAGCTTCAACCTTGGTACCAAATAAGGGATTTCATGCCTTTTCATATCAGAACAAAAATTAGAACCTGTTATACATTCAAACTCAAAGCCCAAATCCAACATGGAGATCAATAATACCAAAACACATGATTTCACAATAGGACAACAGGACCAAGTAGGGTCTTTTCTTTATTTTTTTTTTATCAAAATTTAAGTAGTGTTCTATAGGTAAAGTTGTATCAAATGCCCAGTGCCCAACATTTTCATAGAACACTTGCAACTTGCATCTGCTAGAAGATAATCTCCGAGCTTTACCCACATTTACTAAAGGAACACTGTTTTCAAAATAGCATCCAACAGCAAAAGTACATTAGAGTAATCTAGTGACTTGTGAAAGAATTTGCATATTCATGACTTCCATGCTTTCTTAATGGCCATACCTCAAGTTCTTACAAGTATATGAATTCTTGCAGGTTCTCAAGGCTAAATCAGACCTAACTCTTTTAACAGATAATTCTTTAAAGCCACAAAAAATAAATAAATAAATAAATAAAATTAAGGTTACTCTAGGAATTTGTCTGTTTGGAGATTCAAATCAGTCTCAAACTATTCACCATACTTTTCCTCTCATAACCATCAAATTAAACATTTGTTTTTCATTTATAAGATTACATCGAAAACCTATTTTCCATTCAAAACATCACATCAAACACTTATTTATATCCTATTAAAGACAATTTCAATTCAAATTTTTACAATTCTCAAACCACCATCCGAAAAAAGCCCTAATGTTATCAGTTTCATCATTATTCAACCAGTAAATCAAATCACAAACAGCCCCATATAGGCTCCAGAGGACCAATAAATGGAAACTAGTAATGTGAGAGTAGAGGAGATGACATAGCTAGATGTTATGGAACTCTGTAAACGGATTAACATATTGGATAGACAACTATCTGGTATACTACTGATTGCAGGCTATGCAGATATAGTAATGTAGTTACATAATCTACTTTGTGAACGACAAGAGCATACCTATTCCCATGACAATATATAACACAAGGTAGAGGAGAATCATCTGGGAACTCTGAAGGAACATAGTGGCTACATCTCAAGGTATGTCCCCGTTCATTTTCAAGCTGTAAAATATTGAGCAGACTATATACTTTCAAATTCTTAAAACAATCAGATAAGGAACCATTAAATATAATGCAAGAAAGAAGTGTTGGTAACTGATGCCCATACTTGCCTCAATGTCTTCTCTTTTGTATTTTCTACCTCCAAGAGAAAAATCCTTTTCCCATAGATACTGATCTGGGTTATAGTCAGCCCTGTTTCACAGCAAAGGGAAAAAACTATAGAACTTAAGAATGTAGCTGACATACTAGGGAGTAGGTAGTTGTACTTTATGCAAACACTACGAATGAATAAAAATTTGCTAACAATAAAGGAAAAGCACAGCAAGAGAACAAACAACTATACACTACTGGAGCAGGATACAGATTACAGTCTCTTAAAGTTAGGCCCATCCCATTGAATCATATTCCACACAAGAAAAGTATACAATCCATGAAGGGCCATGTTCATAGTCACTAAGATAAATCAACAAGTACAAAGAAGTCACTAAGATAAGCCAACAAGTACAAAGATATGCATTCTTCCTTATATTTAAGGAGATACAAAGAAATCAAAGAAAAGATAGCAGTAAATGCTATCTATGCCGTTGAAAGTTCAAATCAAAATGATCTTTTCTAAAGTCAATATGTGGCGGATTCCCAACTACCTAAACCAGGCCCAAAGTTCATGCATATAAGGCCTTAATTTTTCGACGAGTTAAAAATGCATCCACTAAACAAATAGACAATAACTCCTCAACCAGGGAACTTTTGTGTAGTTGTTATCTTGTTTGATCTACTGAAGAACTTGTTAAAGATGAGTCCTCTTCAGTCCCTCTGTCCAGTTGGGGGAGGTATGACCAAATAGTTCAACAAACTAAGTATGGAAAATATGAAACTCCATAATTTGACTACTTCACAGACTCAAATTGTAAACATACACACATATAGCATTTTTTGTATTTTCTGTTTTCAGAAGGAAATTACTGAGATATAAACAAGGCAACTGGAAATACGAAAAAACAGCTAAATTATCAATCATCTACTCGCAGTTGAGAGAACACCACTAAACAGGAAATAAAATTCTAGCATTTAACTAAAACTAATACAGAATTACTGTGTGGGGAAAAAATAAAGAATGAGTAAAGTACAGCGAAAAGAAAGCTGAATGAAGAATCATACCTTGGCGGCCTAATGACAAAATTGATAAATTGATCAATCATCTTGGTAACTCAGGCAGCCACTTGACGTGATACATCTACCCCACATTGCAAAAACATGATGCCCTGCTTCTGTTATCTTATATTTAGATAGGTTTATCGAATTAAGTCTCGAAACCCTAAATCGTCAAACTTCTCCTCATATCATACAAAGGTATTTCGCGCAAGCAGCTGCACCACCACCAGCGCCACAGCTATCTAAAGGCTAAAATGCGAAAACCCTATATCCTGAGCTAAAACACGAATTGATAGCTAATTGCTGGCAATTCTAATGACCTAAAGATCCAACTGCTTTGATGCCTTACAGAAATCTTATATGTTCTATATGAAATTTACAAGAAAGAATAGCCGTAACGTCTGCCAATCAAACCGACAAAAAAAAAAAAAAAAACGAATTTAGCTTGACATAAACAGATCTCGAAACCTAAACTCCCAAAAAGAAAAACTACAAGCTTTTTTCACTTAAAACGGAAGAAACCCTAAGCAACAAATCCAAAAACGAGCGAAAAAATCAACACCACGATCTAAAGAACGGAAATTCTAAACCACACGAAATCACGACAAAATACAACGAACCATTATCAGCCGAGCACAGAATGCTAAAAGCTAAAAGAAAAAAGCGGAATAGAAAAAGACCCAACTTTTCAATTTTTCCTACACTTAAACGAAAAAAAAGAAAAAAAAAAGACCTATCCGTCCGCAATTTCGCAATTCAAAAACGAAGATTCAAAGAAAGAAGCAGACGCATTCAGGGAATCTCCAGCCAGCCAACAACGACGACGACGACAAATGCAGACCTACTGACCACTGAAGAATAGAGCTTAGCTAGAACGTCGGCGACGGTGGCGGAAATGGGCAGGGCAGGCAGCTAGCGAAACTGCTCCTGCTTCTTCTACTCGTGACATGTGATGTGTGTGGTGCTGGCCGGAAAGGAAATAACTGCGTTACATGGAGGACGGACCACGCTTTCTCATAAGACACCTTAATGGCTCATGATTTGAAATTTGTCGTTTTGCACGCATACATTACTTGCTGCCTGCTTCTTTCTTATGACAACCTTAAATTCCAATTACACGCTATTTCCTATTTTCCCGTTACATATTTATAGTGTTTTGAATAAGATATTGATACATGCATAATATTTATTTATTTAAATAATAGATACTAGTGTATATGTTATTGTAATTTGAAGCAAGTATAATGAAAAATACCATTGTTTAGCTGCGGATTACCATGTCATAAAATAAAATATATTTTAGATTTTTAGGTGTATGTATGTTTCATAAATTACGATTACATAATAATTATTTATTTATTAATTAATTAATATAAAGTAATACTAGTATATTATATAATCTCTGAATAGCTAATGCCATTAGCGCTAATACCGAGTGAAGTAAACAAACAAACAAATAAACCACCACTTCAGTTCAATCATTGTTACACAAATTAATTGGCATTGGTTTTGCCCTTTCTTCCTTAACCCCAACCCAACCAAATCCCTTTGCTTTAAAACAAATTGTATAATAATATATTTATAAATCAAAGGGAATCTTAACACACATGCACCCACTGCTACTAATTCTTATCCCATTGATAATTAATTAAATTAAAGATTAACAATCATAATAATAATAATAATAATAATAATGGGATGCCATGCCAAAGTGAATGAGGCCAAACAAAAGGGTGCATGTGCATGTGAATGTGATGGATGCTCTCTGATAAATTAACTCTACCAAAACTTATATATGTATATGTATACGTCAGTGAAGTGATCAGTGCAATTCCCTTCACGCAAAGCAATTTTCGTTTGTGTTTGTATTGGTGGCTGCTTCAGCTTCGGCTTCAGTTTCGTCATTGTCTTCATCATCATCTTCTTCGTGAGATCGTTTTTCGGCATTCATTGTTGTAATGTGTGTGTATCCAGAGGTGGCAAAAGTTGGTAAAATATGACAGTCAGATACGAATTTGATATGGAATAATTGAATTTTGATTCAATTATGTATACAAACTCGACGCGATAATAAATAAGTCGGGTTAGAATTAATGTCTTTAATTCGAACCCAACACAATATGAATATTAATTAATATATTTCTTATATATGTAAAATAATTTTAATTTAATAATATGTGAAAAAATTATTAATTTAATTGAATATAATCTAAATATATTATTTTTAATAGTTTTTTACTATTTATTATGTATGGAAATACGACTATTTTATATTGACTTAATGACCATTAGTTTTTCTAGGGATTGATTATATTTTGATTTGTAAAATTTAAATGTTATCATTTTTTTTTTAAATAGGTAAACGAATAGATTCATGTTAATCGGGTTGGATTTGGATCATCTCATTTGCTTAAAAAATTATTAAACAAGGTTAACTGATAAGGTTTGGATTGAACTTGACCCGTTTTAAAACTCAGTCCGAACTTGTTTGCTTGCACTCACCATCCCACAAATCACTTTCAACTATGTTTGTATTTATTTATTCATGTACTTTGCGGCATCAACTTTAATTAATTATTATTATTATTTTTTTTTTATAATGTAGGAATTCGCAGTCGGTCAAATGCATTTTTAGTAAATTCCGACTGAATTTAATATCTTCCAAATTAGGCTCGATAAAACAAATCACATTAGGCAAATCATGTATGACAGATATCAACTTTAATTTTCTTAACAATATAAAGGGTTGATTAGTTTCTATTTGAAACAAAAAATTACTATTATTCGATGCATATAACTTCATCTCACAAAATATCATGTTAAAATACTATTTAAATTAAAATTCAAACCAAATATTCAATTTCAAGCCAAATTTAAACAATCCCCTTAAGATAATGGGTGTATTTACTATATTTTAAATATATTGTTGAAGTTGACCCGTAAGGAATAATCTAGTATGTGGGAGTTGTGCCAATCTACTTAGTATGTAATTTGAATTTAATTTTGATTAAAGAGAAATATTATCAAGGTAGAGCCACTAGTGAAACAGTTTAAGGAATAATTCATTAAACACAAGTGATTGTCTATTGGATCTAATAAATGTCTCGTGACAATGACATTTCTTTTAAATAATGTTCTTAGTTGTGAGATCTAAAGTCACGATGTAACTCCCTGGAAGTCTAGTACCAATCGAATATGATTTAAATGAATAAATATGATCACACAGTTTACATCTATTCATTTCAGTTATATATATGTTCGATTATTTTATTATCATCATTCCGTTCGTTACATTCAGAAAAATCTATTCATTTAGGAACACAAAGTATCATACATAAACACATCACCTATTCCCATTTAAAAAAATAATAATAAAAATATATATATTATCGCTCACAGTTTATTTTGCTCACAAACGTAGCTCCGTCTCATCATCACTATACATATATATGCTCCGGTCACCTCGGTCACTTTCACTTCATTTTACCCTCACTCTGCTTCACTCATACACTTTCCGCTCCACTCACATTTGACCATCAAGTCTTGGTTTTGAGCATTGCGTCTAAATATATCCATATAGGGTACACCGCAGAGAGATGATTTGTAAGTTTTCGTAAGGTGTGTTTGTTTGGAGGATTGGATTTTGGAATTGGATTTTTGAGGATTTTAAAGTATGAATTTGTAAGTTGTGTTTGTTTGGGGAATGAATTTTGTAATGATTATGTTGGAAGAAATTATTATTTTATTGAGAGAGATGATATGTTGATGTGATAATTTGAATTAAATGGTATTTAGATGTAATTGAAAAATAATTTTGAAATAGTTGAAATGAAAGTTTGATGTGATATTTAAAATAATATAAATATTTTATATTATTAAAGTTGTATATATATTACCTCACGTACCACCTACCAGTCTGTATCTTCAATCACGTGAATCGTTGCTAGCGAATGGACTTAGATGAATTGCAGAGAATCTCAACAGGCTATTTTAGCCTACCCTATAGGTTAGTAGGGTTTGAATTTTAATTTTTAAATTTATACAATAATTGTACAGTAGACATTAAGTCGAGTCCGCCAATTGAACAGACCTGCATTTGACCTTCTGCCAATGGTCTTTAACACAAATTTGGTCTATGTTAGGGGGAGCAAAATCGATTTCAACACATATGTGGATGAATCAACCACGCACAATGTTTACCATGCTCATGTCGACCTAGATCGGTTTGCCCACAATTGAGGTTAGACATGCCAAATTTAATTTTAGAAATTTAATCCAAACATTTGTCTTATCTATAGTGACATTCAATAAAAAGAAAAATCAAAACTCCATCACTGGATAACTATATAGTGATCGTATAACATCCATAGACTCCTATGTAATGTCTTTTGACGATCTTCACCCTAATCAAATTTTACCGTATAAAAACCATTATTTATGCCCATAAGTTTAAAAAGTTTCATCGATTTCTATAATCTTTAGAGCCCATCTCATACTTAGATAGGAAATAAGCTTACTAAGGAGTTTGATCACCACGCAATCCTCCCGTGGCTACTTGAGAGTCGTTAGATATATATAATGAATGTCGAACGTCTGTCATTGTTGGTGCAAGAAATTTTAAGATTTATTCTTCTATTAAATCCCTTCAATTAGGGGGTTTGTTTAATTTGTGTTTTTATTTGAAAGAATTTTTTTTTACAGCATAAGAAATTTTGTAGAAAGAATGAATTTGTTTGTATTATATCTTGATGAAAAATTCTTTTACGTGAAGCATATAAAATTGGATAGATAATATAAAATAAAATAAAAATGTATAATATATTAACTTTTTTAAAAATATATATATTGGATTATTTTTTTTAAAAAAAGAAAACAACTCAAGATTTTTTTTAGTGGATCCGACGATTTTCGAGGGTCTGTTATCGCCTTGAAGACAAAATTAATTCAAAGAGTACTTGTAAGGTGTGTTCGGTTGTAGGTTAAAATCCCACTATTCATCCAATTTTTTTCCCCCCAAAAATATCAAATCATAACACTTATTTTTCAATTTTTTATATTATACTAAAAATCAATTTTACATTCAAAACATCACGTCAACACCTATTTATATTACATCATACAACTATTCAAATTCAAAATTTTTCTTATTCAAATCCCAACTCAAAATCCAAACCCCCAAACAAACAACCGTAGTGTAAAATTAAATATTTTTTAAAATATTAAATATAATATTAAAAATAAATATACAAATATGAATATAATATTAACAAAATATTTTATCTAGATAGCGTAAAAAGCGAGGTTAAAATTGCAATAAGCAGTACACCTCACCCGCAGACCGCAGTATTTCTTTCCAACACATCTGCAGATCACAACCGTACACGTGTCACTGTAGACTAATCTTGGTCTTATCTATTGTCGGCCGGCGAGATAGAAGCACGCAAATCAACCATTACAAGGACCAGATCCTCCCACCCCAACTACCCGCCACCACATTTTCCCCTCTCACGATTACCCTAACCTAACCTAGCCCAGTTTCCCAATTGCGGCTCGAGCTCGAGGAACCATTTAGGGAATCAATCGCGGTCCTACTTTTCGCTTATTTTCGATTTTCACTGTATCATCATCGAAACCCCAGAGTGGGAATCGCACCTCACGATTTGAGTACTTCTGGGAATTGAGAAATCGAGGTCACCTTTGTTGAATTTGGTCTAATCATCCTCGATCGGAGTCACTTGTATTTGTTCTTTTTTAATTACGCCCATCTTTTGTTGCGCTTGGCAGGGCAATCGGCTTCTCCTGTAAATAAATCGGTTTAAGAGCGTAGAGAGGTGATATTTGCTGTTTAATGAAGTTGACGTTAGCTGTTCTTCCAGCTGCCTTGATTATTTGCTTAAAAGAGATGTATAAGTGAATTTCGTCTTCGTGGTGCTTAGGGCTCGGTGCTGACTCCAGATTAGTGTTATATGGTGCTGGTGCACTCCAAAATAAATGTCTCAGGAAGCAGAAATCGAAAATGACTACGAGATGGGCGAGCTGGAAGATGATGCCTATTTTACCGGTGAAGCAAATGACGACACAGAATCTGAGGAGGAGGATGAAGATGAATATGATCATTTGGTATGTGCAATCTGTAACAAAAATTCTGTGTGAATTATTTGATGTCATAATCAGTTTAGACATTTTTTGTTTTGGCGGCATTGGTTAACTTGAATGTGGGGTTAGGACGATAAGATAACGGATACTTCTGCTGCTGAGGCACGGCAAGGGAAAGATATCCAAGCAATACCGTGGAAGCGGCTAAGGATTTCGAGGGAGAAGTACAGACAAACTAGAATAGAACAGTATAAGAATTATGAGAATGTACCCGAATCTGGAAAGAATTCGCAGAAGGTAGCTTGTTTTTCTGATCATGTCAAAACCAGTTTGAGGTTGTTTCCTGTAACTTTATGTTGACACATTTTGTTGTGTACAATTTTCTTCCGGAATGCTAGGAGTGCAAAGTAACAAGGAAAGGCGCTGTGCATTATGAGTTCTGGCAGAATTCTAGATCAGTGAAATCAACCATTCTTCATTTTCAGGTAGGGGTTTCTGACAATTTCTACTCTCTGCTTGTGAGCAATGTTAAGTTTGATATTTGTTTATGAGTAGCACAAAGGCTTCTAAATACCTTTGCCTACCAAATACTAATGCAATTTTCTATTATTTTAGAGTTTAGATTCAGCAAATATGCCTATACTGAGCAGTGGATTATGCTTAAATACGTAGCAATTTCACTGTGGAATATTGCCTTATAAAGTTGCTTTTTATCTCCAGTTGAGGAATTTGGTTTGGTCAACCTCAAAGCATGATGTTTACCTCATGTCACATTACTCGATCATTCATTGGTCTTCTTTGAGTTCTAAGAGGACTGAAGTTCTTAATGTTTCTGGTCATGTGGCTCCACGTGAGGTGCGACTATGTAATTCATAAACTCTCCGTGCTATGGGTTTCATGTTCTTCTTGTGGAATGAAACAATGTATTATGGACTAAGATATGTCGTTTTCAGAAACACCCTGGAAGCTTATGTGAAGGATTCACTCAAACCCAAGTAAGCACACTAGCTGTCCGTGACAATTTGTTGATTGCCGGGGGATTCCAGGGAGAGCTCATTTGCAAGGTAATTAATTCTGCTAGTGAAAGCTTCAGATGGACTATGTATTTTTTTTTGTCTCATATTACAAGATATATATAGTTTATCACCAGGAATCTTCTTGGATATTCTTTTGGTGTCTTTGGAGTTTGGACATTTGACATAATCCTCATCTTTGTTGCCATGTTGGTGTCTTGAGATATATAATTTTCACATGAATGCTAATGATAGTTCAGTACCGATTAACTGTTGCTGGGATGTCATAATACATATAGAATAGGAAAGTCTATGCTTGGAACTTCTCATCCCTTGTTGATAGCTGAATGAAGAATTCTTTCTTTGATGCAGCATCTTGATCAAGTTGGTGTTAGGTTTTGCACAAGGGTAACTTATCATGATAATGCCATCACAAATGCGATCGAGATATATGATGGTCCAAGGTGAATCTTTCTCTCACCTTCCCAAACTCCACTGCTACTGATCTCTAAAGCGAATCTTATGCAGAATCATAGCTGGCTCTCTTTAGAAATAATCTATACTAATTTCTTTTGAACCATCAGCGGCGCTACACATTTCACAGCTGCAAATAATGATTGTGGAGTACGAGATTTTGACTTGGAGAGATTTCAGCTTCTCAAGCATTTTACTTTTCCCTGGCCTGTAAATGTAAGTATTCTGTCATAGCTTGTGAAGTTGCTCGTGTATTTGACATATTATGGATACTTTGTATCCTATTTGTATATGAGTCCTATCTTTGTTATTGTGAATAGAACAAAAACTATGAGTGTATTACTGTCATCTGTTGGAAGTGTCTATACCTAATTAGTCATAAACTTTTTTATGAAATTGCAATTTTAATCAATGAAATAAAAGCTTCCAGGAGATCATAACTGGAACACTGTGAAAGTTTAAGTTGAGCATATTCACACACCATGCTGCAACACACATCATGAAAGTTTGAGTGGCTATCTGTTGAAGAAGTTAGTAGGGGAAATGGGGAATATTAAATAACTTTGGGGCTTTCTGTTCATTAATATTATTATATTATTGCTACAATAATATGAACGTATATAGATCAGCATCCAGATTTTGAAATTATATCATTTCATACCTTTTCAATTCTAGTATGTTCTGGGAGACATGTTTTACGCCTGATAAACTGTCAATTTGGTGGTGTTAATGCCTTATGTTTTGTTTCAGTATGTTCTTGGGCTGTTGCTTGTGTTGCTGGCTTTATGTAGGGTAGTTGAAATATTAGAACTTTGTAAGGCAATTGAGTTGTGCAAGTTGATTGAAGCTACCAGTGTATCAATTTTTTTGTATGCGCGCCCTTCTTTTCTCTAGTTTATATTATAGAGAGGTTAAACTTTGTTGGTTTGTTTACAGCATTCTTCACTCAGTCCAGATGGCAAGGTGGCTGTTATTGTTGGGGATAATCCTGATGGGATGCTTGTGGATTCTCAAACGGGGAAGGTATCTGTTATATATATATTCATGTAATGATGTAATCAGGATAAGAATTCAACTGTGGAAGGATGCAGAATTCATGGCTGAATTTCATTCGTGAGGAATGTAATTTTGAATGCTGTGGTAACTTTTTTTTTTTCTTCGTGCAGATGATTGCATCTCTTCGCGGACACTTGGATTATTCTTTTGCTTCTGCATGGCATCCAAATGGTCACATATTTACCACTGGTAACCAGGACAAGACATGCCGGATATGGGATTCCCGGAACCTATCAAAGTCAGTCGATGTACTCAAAGGAAGTATGGGTGCCATTCGATCTATTCGTTTCACATCAGATGGGCAGTTTATGGCAATGTCTGAGCCAGCAGATTTTGTTCACGTGTATGATGTGAGAAACAATTTCGACAAAGAGCAAGAGATTGACTTTTTTGGTGAGATATCCGGCATCTCCTTCAGCCCTGATACCGAATCCCTCTTTATTGGGGTGTGGGATCGCACTTATGGTAGCCTCCTTCAGTACAACCGATGCAGACACAACTCATATCTGGACTCTCTTATCTGAATCTCTCCATTCACTCTGAGTCCCTATATCTGATGTCGGAGAAGACCACAAGAGCCAATCTGTTGGCTGATGAAACCACCGAAGCCTGCATCATCTGGCCTGTCCTTTATCCTCCTCAAATAATGCTGACAACCACCTGAGAACCAAATGTTTATTACTCGGATCGCATTCTGTGTAGGTTGTTCAAACTGAAATTTCAATCCTATCTCCAGGCTGGTATGTTCTTTTTTCCCAGAAAATGTCACTTGATGTTCCTAATACTGCTTAAACTTGATGATAGTATTGGAGCTGTTGAATTTTCTGCATCAAAATAAGTCTTTGCTTCTTCTTTTTTCACAATCACTGTTCATATGGGCTGGCCATCCATCACCATCTCCACCTGGTATGCATGAGTTGTGCACATTCTTAATGGCTGCCTGTCTGTGTGTCTGCCTCTCTGTTTACATTTGATAGGGAAGCTTTCTCTGTTTGCACATGTAATTAAAAAGCCCTTTTTATCGTCAATGAATGCATGTCAACATTCAATTATATCAATAATTTGTGTTTGATGTGCCATTCCACCATCCAAGTGAGTGTTGTCAGTTCCCTCCACTCACCAATTTTGTCTACTAGGGTTTGTTCCATGTTACAATGAGATGACTCCCCATGCCCATCTTACATAAAGGGGTTTCAGTCCATTATTACTTAGACAATGAGATGACCATTATTATGGTCATGGATTGCCCAATTATTTAGACCTGTCAGTCATGATTGTGATTAATTAAGATTAGGTTTTTGCTTTTGGTAGTGCAATGTTTGAAAGTTCGGTGCAGCTTACAAGAGCAGATATGCATTCAAGTGATAAGGGTTGATTTTGGTGAATTTTACCATTTTTGAATATACATCTAATGTGGTAAGAGTCCCACCAACCAAAATTTCCTTTAGATTTGCTCAGCACAGAATGATTTGTTCTTTATTCTTGAAAAAACAGTTAAAAAGAAAATCAAAGCAATCATATTATCAACATTCTGACTCGAAACTTGCAAACTGTAATCATACAGAAACTATAATTCAAGATTCGAATTTGCTCAATGGCATTTAGATCTTTACAAATCCACAGTGGTTCCTCAACCCCACCTTAGCAAGGCTCTCCTCGCCTAAAACACAATTCCAACATATGTAATATTTATATATACACATAAATCAGGTGTAGGTGTGTACATATAGATGTATCTCTACAGTTGAGGCATCAAATTTATTTATCTTCTGATCAATAACCCTCCATCCAAGTTTAATCATAGTTCAGAACCACCGTTGAGAGACGCCAAGCAGACCTTAGCTACAGCCTCTGGGGGAGAACCCGATTTTCGAATTGGTAATGTCGTAGATAATCTCAAACGTCTGCTGCTGCTGGTTGCCGATAATGGCGTTCTCCCTCGTGGTAGCTGCGAAGGACAGGCATGTTGTCCCCTTGACGACTTCTATGATCACATTCTCCGGCGCCAGGGTGAGTTCTGCTCCTCCCTGAAAGATGAGATTAACTGGTGGCACTGCAGTGGCTATCTGTCCAGCGCCACCTTTGAAACAGGCGTCGAGGATGGAGAAGGCTTCGGCTACCTGAAACTTGGAGGATATGATCCTGACAAGCTCTTTTCTCAGAGCGTCGTAAACTGGCGCTGCCAGGCGCGATATTGTGGTGCCCGAGTCTATGATGGTAGGGACACTGTACGCCGATGCTGCCAGAGGCAACGGCCTGCCCGACACTGATATGGCTGTTAGCTTCAGGAAGTATAAAGTGGGATCGCGAGGGTCGGACAACATCGGAGTGGATCTTGCGCCTGAATTTACGCTCCCAATTGATAGGAAGCCTCCGCTGCCTGGTTTCCCTAATGGCGCCGAAGATGGGAGACAGTAAGAGAAGGCTTTGCCGTACCTGGCAGAGAGCTGGGACACCATGGAAAGTTCATTCTTAGCCAGGCCGATTAGTCCGGCTGATCTTCCAAACAGGCCCATGTTGTCTTGTCCGCAGCCAAACACAAAATCTGGAAGTGACTCAGATCCGAAGGTCAGAGAGTCTTTGCTTAGGTATCCGACAGAGAAGGATTGATCCCCGTAGGATGCTGTGTATATGCACACATTCGAAACTGTGCACATGGGACTGTTGAGTGTGGCTACCTTGAGCGATGAGCACTGGCTGGTTCTACAGGGCAGTCGCCGGTAAGTGTTGGAGGCTGAGGGGTTGAAATGGCTGCCAACCTGTGGGTGGCAGTAGACCCTACAGGGCTCGCACTGAATCCAGGGGAAGGAGCTGCCGGTGTCCACAACCACCAGATGGTAAGTTGGGGGAGTCCCCAGGCCTATTTTGGTATAGTAATTAGCTATACCAATAGACTGTCCTGGATTCAACGGGACCTTCACAGACTTTCCATTGATCAGGCCACTGGATCCTGCCAGGCTTGTGACGGTGCCATTAAGCCTGGAATGCAGAAACTTAACTCGGGCGATATCGAGGGCAAGGGCTTCTGAGAAAGGCAAGGGAGTCTCCTCAGGCTGAGCAGAATCAGGGCCCTGGCCATGGATATGATACAGAGGCAGGCGAAAAGCTTGTTGCTTAGACCGTTCAGCTTCTGCAACAACCAAGAATCAAGAATGAGTTCAAATATAAGTTGTGCCTGTTGTATATGTGCATATTGTGAGTGGATTGAGGAAACATGCCTGGATTTAATCTAACTGAAGAAGACCCTGCAAGAAAGAGAGCAAACAACAGAAATAAGAGCGGCTCCATATCAGTGATGAGAGTGTTTTGGCACAGAAGTTGTGGGTTTTAAAAGCAAAATATATATTGGCTGTTATTTAGGTAGAAGATTGAAGTGGGCATTTCAACAGATCTGTGAGGTTCTGATTGCAGCCTCAAGTAAACATGGCATGATGGGGTCTTAATTTTGGGACCCATTTCTTGCCTAATCAAAGACAATTCATTGATTGAATGATATACTTCATATTTCTTTCACACTAAACCTTGATTGTCATTGCCCTGTAATCTACATAATTTGTGAAAAGGAAAGGGGTAGCTGCTTAGTCACATATACAGATCACATTAATTGCAATAAGCTCATGAATGAGACCTTTTTACCTGCCTTTTTAGCTGAATCTTGAAACTACTAATACAACGATGCTCAACATGGGATTAACGCTGTCTTTGAAATGAGAAGAAACTGGAAGCCAGATGATTCGTGATCCTGTAACTGTAAGAATGAATAAAGGAAAAAAAGAAGTGGTTACAAAATCAGTGAATCAATCTGTTATACAAGGATCAGGGCAGAAATTGACTGCTTTATTGTCACACTCACCTTTCCATTCATAAATTTTTCGAGGGGTAGGGGCTAAACATTGCTGGCTATTGTTATCTCAACACCTGTGAACTGTCAACCAGAAAGTTCCTTTCCAACTCGATTAAAGATGGAGCCCGGTGAAAAAGAGCAATCTTTATTTATTCAATATTCAATCAAACACTGAACAGTAGCACCAAAAAGCAATACCAGGAATACAGAAATGTTGACTTATGGGTAGATATGATAAGAAGACAAATTCTGGTTTCTGTAGTAAAATTATCAGCGCCGGAAAGCATTGGTATCAGAGGCAGAACTTCCCTGTGAGTAGTGAGTTCGACGGCGAATACTCTCCTCAATGGTTGAACTTCCTCCTTTCTCAGCACCGAAGACACTTTTTTGAGCAGCATCGAGGAAGTTTCTTCCAGAAGATGTCTTGTCATGAATAGCATCCTCTGCATCCTTGTCTGCTGCCTTCTTCAGCCGTTTCCATCTTTGCTCCTCGTGCAGCTCAGCATCCATTTGCATCTCCCTCAACCTTGCGGCTCTCTCTTCCTCAGAAAGTTTAACAGCACTTTGATGCCTGTTGCTTGGTTCATTCCTGGATGATTTATCAGAAGAATTGACATGGCTTTGCTTATCATGATGAGATTCAAATTTCCGTTCAAAATAATGTTTTTTATATTGAGAATCATAATCATTCTTCCTACTATTCCCACGGTCATCACTTCTGCCATATTTGGAATTGGAAGCACCACTACCCCTGTGGAGTCCATGTTCCTTATCGGGGTGAGATTCAACATCTTTGCGTCGAGAGTTGTAATCAATCTTCTTACTAGTCTCACGATAATCACTTTTGTCATACTTGGAGTTGGAACCCCTGTGGACTCCATGCTCCTCATCATGCTGAGATTCAATATGCCGCTCATAGGAAGTTTCTTTGTGTCGCGAATCATATCCATGCTCCTCATCATGCCGAGATTCAATATGCCGCTCATAGGAAGTTTCTTTGTGTCGCGAATCATAATCATTCTTCTTAGTGTTCTCACGGTCATCACGTTTGCCATACTTGGAGTTAGAAGGGCCACTATACTTGGTGTGGACTGCCTTATCAGATTTGGAATGCTTGTTATAGCTCTCTCTTCGATTATCCACAGCCAAAGAAGTATCCTCAGAAGCTGAGTCATTTTCTGACAATGAATGCTTCTGATGCTTAGACCTCTTTCTATGATGTTTTTTTCTCTGCTTCTTCTCATCCTTGCTCTTGTCCTTCTTTGATACTACCTGGAAATTGACAATTGGCCATATTAGTTACCCAACTCAAAGAACTAGAGTAGCAATGAATAGCATAATATTACACATTAGAACTCAAACAAGAAGAAAAACCACCTAAATAACTTCTAAATTCTTTAGGGTAGCATATATTTTAATCACATATATGAAGTCTGGGTAACACGAGCAAGACAAATTTTTCTGTCTCTAGTGAGGCCACACAATAAAAATAATGTGCATGGTTACAGCACAATCTGATATGAAAGATAAAATACCTTAAATTCCCAAATGTCAAACTACTGCCAAGTACCCAAGGAAGAGAGGGAATTTCGATACAGGGTTTCAGTTAATGTATTCCGCAATTTATACACCACTAGAATGGATAGAGGAAATAAAATTCATAATTCCTGATAATACAATCCATACTAACAGGGGAAACATGACTACATCAATGTTAGAAAGAAAATACTTTTCCCTATCAAGATACACAAACAAAAGCTTGATACTTCCATTGATTTTAATCTAATACATGCATGAAGACTTATTCAAATGGACATGGATAGTCTACAGACCATAATCCTACAGGACGGTTTGGACTTACAGATTTGCGAATCATGGCCATCTGAACGGGGTTGTTCTTGATCCGAGCTAGAGCCTCCTGTTCTCTTTGACGAATCATAAGCAAAGGATCTGAATGAAGTTTCCTCCACGCATCATTGGCTGACTGTGGTTTGTCCTCAAACAAAGCTCCCGGCACAGCTGACTGCTGCTGCAACAAATACCAACAATCCCCAAATTGATCAGCATTCCAACAAAACATTAAATTTGAAGAGAATATGTATAACAATTTTTTTCAATTAAAAAAGAAATACATTTGCAGTAGAAGATGAAGCTACAGGAGCCTCGGGTTCAGCCTTCGGCAAAGATTCAAGCGCCTTGAATCCAGAATCCTTTTTGCCCACTGCTAATCCGGAATCGTACAGGAAATCCAAACGCTCTTGCTTCCTGAAAAAACCAAAACAGATTGAATCTGAAAATTTCACAAACTTGCCACAGAAACCCTAATCCCAATTCTAAACCCTAAAACACACAAAGTTAAGGGATGGGGAAGGTGAAACTTACGGGATAAGACCAGCTTGCTCTTGAAGCTGCCGAAATTCAGCACGCTCGCGTTCCTCATGGATCTGCTTGCGGAGCTCGTCGAGCTTTTTCTGTTCCGCTTCGTGCTTTTGCTCGGCTTTCCAAACATTTTCGATGTTGCGGAGGCTGCCCGTGTGCCATCCCTTCTTGTTGAGAAACTTCAACGCCATCAATAAACGATTTTTCTCCGATTAAAGGGCCGGGGCTCGATGAAGTTGTGTAACCTGCCTGGATTCCGATTTCGGAGTTACAACGGGATCGGGTGGAAATCAAGAGACCTATATCTATGTTTGTTTGTTTGGAGAAAGGAGTCGGGTGTTGGATATACTACTTGGTTCGTCCGCGTTTTTATTTCAATTTATCCTTAATACTTATTTTGTATATTTTAGTCCGTAATTCAAATTTATTTTTATTTTTATTATTTTAATTTATTCTAATTTTTTTAATAAAATATATTACTATTTTTTTAAAAACAAATTATTCTTTATTAATTCAGTCAAATAAACACATAATTATAAGATGAAGAGAGTAGTTTATTATTAAAAAACAAAAAAAAAAACCTTAAATATTGAAAAATAAATAAATAAAATATTTCCGGTGTCTCATTTGACTGTAGATACAACCAATTAGAAAGAATATAGATACGCTAGATACGCTAATTTAGGAAGAATATATATACAATAATTTAGAAGAAATATAATTAATAAATAATTATAAATAAAATAATTATTATATAATAATAATAATCTATTTAAAAATTTAAAATAAAACTAAAATATATAATTATTTTTAAAACAAATAAAAATAATATAATAGAAACCAACTCTGTTCGGCCCGCGAAGAATATTGCGAAAAAATAAGAATTATGATTTTTTTTAATTTTTAAATAATTATTTTAATTCAAAATTATAATATTCAACTCAAAATCCAAAACTAAAATCTTAGACTAAACACACCTACTGAATTTTATAGAATTACATGTCAATGAGTTCTTTATTTTGATTTTTCAATGGAAGATTTATAATTTGTTTGATCCCAGTTTGAAATTAATTTAAATTAAATAATATTTTGATATAATTTTTATAAAATAAATAAAATACTATATTTTTATCCATGTGATAATTGATGAACTATTAATGGTTATATATATAGAGAATAGCTCTTCAAGAATATGTACCTATAATGACAATTCAAGAAGGTAAGGAGCTGTTTTCCTGTCTGTATGTCTTGTCTGTCCACCACAAGAACAAGAACTGCATAAGGGGGGAGGGGTGGGGGTGCGGTAGTATTTCATACATCCTCATCATCATCATCATGTACAGCAGGAATTGTCTGAATACTGTCGCTGTTAGCACTTAGCAAGCCTATCTCCAAATATCTACTTGCCGGTTTTGTCGAGCATCGTATATTTGCTTGAAAAGAATATATAATAACTGGAAGGGATGAGTAGAAGTTCTCCATACCATCTATCTGTGGTGCAAGATGAGAAAAACCATCCAACCAATGTAGTGATGTTTGGCCATGTCAATGGTAACCTCCCCTCCGTGAATCACCAAAAAGCTCAGCTGCCATGAATCCAACAAAAAGCTCAGTTAATACAAGGTCGCATGTAAATCCAGACTATAAAATGTACGCCCGTTGTTTTGTTGTAGACAGATGGTTTTGTTTAGACCTGACAGGTTTTTATGCCAGCCAATGGAGACAACATACGTAAACAGTATTACCGTTACATAATAAGATGTTACCGACGCACAATTTATTACTGATTCTACAACCCTAAGCCTAATAAAGATATGTAGAAATTGAGCTTACCGTGTTCATCTTCATCACCATTTTGAGATGTAAAAAATGGGGTGAGGTAGTTTCTATCTATTTCAGTAAACGATGCAGCGCTGCAAGAACAACAGTGTAGAAACCAAGAAAAAGTTGAGATGCAAAATGGGAGGAAAAAAAAAATGAAAAATAGTAATCTGGGAATCATATTTCATTACCTCTCACGAAGCTCTTTCAGTTTCATCTTAAAACGGTTTCCAGATGACGGCTCCCCTTCGTATCTAGGAGCTCTGTATGTATTGTTTGTCTCCAGACTCTGAAGGGGAAACAAGAATAATTGTGATTGGTAAAATACACAACAAAAATGATGCATTAAAACACCACTGGATATGGAATAAACATAAAATCCTATAAAAAATCAACAAGTGAAGCAAGGACTTTTAGTCCTTTCTTTTTCAAAACAGTCACAATGTAAAGTAAATTTGGATTATAACATTACAATTCTCAATCAATGAACAAGTTTAACTAGTATCTCCACACGCTACCACTTTTCCAAAATGGACCAGAGTGAAAGAGGACAGAACATTGAAAGAACTTAACTTCAGATATCCAAAAATCTTGATTCAGGGAAAGTATTTCAAAATCTCAGAAACACATATAACATGATACTAATCTATCCATATCAAAATAAATAAATAAACAAAACACGAATGCACTAGAGAAATGACACCATGAGGCATAATTCTCATTATTTTAGATTACTTTTGGCGAGATGAAATACTGTATTAACACGTTATGGACAAGGAAACTATATGCCGATCCACTAGAAATGTATACAAGGTGACAAGAGCAGACATACTTCACCTAATGGGCCATCATGGTCATCACCCACAACTTCCAGTGCTTCCAACATGGTTCCAGTTGATCCACCTATCAACAAGACCTAAAAGTTTCCCACCACCATAAAAAATGTTAAAATATCTCAAGAGAAAGTCGACAAAGTACAATATTAACATTAAGTTATTCTAGTATTACAAAAACAAAAAAAAAAAAAAAAAAAAAAAAAACAGAATAATTGAGGAACCCGTATTGTTGCATAGCCCATGTAATCCAAGCAAGCAGATACTATTTATGTAGTATTAGACACCCCAACATTGTAAGTATAAAATATTTTTTGGACAAAAAGAAAAACTAACTATACACCACCACGATTCTTGACCAACTATTATGATAACAATGCCAAAATATGGTTAAACTTGGATTTTCCAAGACGGGCGCATATGTGATCCAGCCTGGGTGTACATACAAAACTGGCATTTCAATCTAAACTAATATAGCTTGACAATGCACTTGCTTGTGCATTAATGCAACACCAAAAATTCTCTCACCGTCAAAACAACTATTGAAGTAGTGGCGGTGAAGATTGTCTGACCGTGTCCTTCTGGAAGATCATGAATTGATTGCAGCGCTAATGCAAAAGCCATTGCCCCTCGAAGCCCTGTTATGGAAATTGCAGGGTTTCCGCTGTCAGTAAAAGCCCATCTTATGCATGAAATTGCTAGGTGCAATGAAGTAACTTGAATAGAAATATATAACTGCATACCACTATACCAAAGTGCTTTCTGATGCTTCATTGGTATTTTTCGATGTGCAGGTCGAACCAAATTCACCAAATATGCACACGAGAACACATTTGCAGCTCTTCATAGTATAATAGAGCAAGGGTCAATAGTTGTTTCTCATTCAAAATATTTAATTGTCCCAAAAACAGTTTAGGTAAAAAATTTGGGGTTAACAATAATCCTTTTCCAAAAATGGTCATAGCAAGGATTGATAAGATATAATCAATTCCATCAAATACAATTGCAATGAAGGTGAAAATGCATACCTTGCAACTCCAATGAATAGCTTTGATATAGGCCAAGTTAAGGAAAATGAGAAACACTCTCCTCAGAAAACTAAACAACAGATACTCATTCAAAAATTGCATAATGAAAGGATACAATTGAGAAAAATATAAAGCCAACATGAGACCAGCTGTGTTTTTCCATAGCAATGTCAAATCCCATGTAGATAAATCTAGAAGTAAGAGAAAAGTAAGAAACATGGGCATTCATATAATTGAAGGAGGTTATAAATTGGAAGATTGCTCACACAAAGGTCTCTGCCAGCGATGATATCAAATGGAAAAATGCAGAAACAAATTTCTGAGAATTCTCAGATAAGTTTGAGAAACTGTAGTGCTTCATCACCTAAGAAAAATATAAACAAAAAGTTTATAAGTACCCACTATCAAACTAAAGATAAGGACAAGGCAAAATTTACACCATTTTTCACTTACTATTCCTGTGAATAATATTGATACGATACCCGAGAGACCAAGACCTTCAGCAAGCATGTATCTGAATATATTTGCAGTTGGAAAAACAAAAAATGAAAAAAAAAGCTATTTAACTAATATAAATTCCATAAGCAAAAATAAAAGGCTCAATAGTGTCTTACGAGAAATATGGAAAAAGAACAAACAGACAGCACTCCAGGTTTTGCAGGCTGTACAAGATAGAAAAAGGAATTATAATATATAAATACCAAGGATCAATTTTGGATTAAAATGGGGAACAAGAAACAGCATAAACCAGTTACGTACTTGTCAATATCCAGACCAGCATACTTGAAAAGGTACTGAGAGTTAAGGCTTGACAGATGTGTTATGAATTTAGAGCCACTAACAGATCTCTGGGCATGAATTTCAAACCATTATAAAAGGATATCAAAGCAGAAATGAACCCAACTCCAACTCCTGTAATTTAGAAATAAATGGGCCTTATGAGGTTCAATAAATGGTGTCTCAATGCAACATATAACATAAGTATTTGGGAATAGGAGTAAGTAAACAAAGTGAAAGCATGTTTTCATCTTCAATGTGACAACAGGTGAAAAACAATTCAGGAAAAATAATAACTTTACAAGATGTTTAATTAAAACTTGAGACTATCTAGTATCAATTTTGTATAGTCAGCAAAATAGGAATTGCATGCATAACTCATTAGTGGTAAGAACACCACAACATTTACAAACAAAAGTTGGCGCAGATAACACTACTTATAAATCTCAACTCAACACTTTAGCTAGAATCAACAATTAAAAACTAATTTAAAAAGATATGTAGACAACAGATACCTGAGAAGATGATGGTTATCAAACTATTTTAATCAAGAGGGCAGGAAAAGCAACATATGAGAAGGGAGAATATTGTGGTTTCCTAAGCTAAAGTTTAGTAAAGGCTTAATCTTTATAATTCATATGATTATCATCGAATATCTAAACTAAAACTTGAATTGCAGAATTTATTCAGAATGCAATAAATGATTGAATTACTGTCTGGTAGTAAGTTTACAAACCTGCAGACAATGAGCCAACAAAAGTCTCAAGAAATCTGACCACAACCATGAAATAGCTTTGATCAGATGACATATGGCTCCTCACCATTGACATAGTCCTGCAAAGGTATACCAAGGCTATAAATAACTGCTCAAACCTACACTTGTTGAGAGATAAAAGCTATAATATGACTCACCTGTATAAAGAAATTGCCATCTTCAAACAGCATAAAACACAACCAGGCAGCCAAGTCATGCGTTAGAGAATGATTAGATAAATATGCATGTTCTTTAAACAGGTATCCTCTATCAGATAAACCAGCAGAAATGCAGAACTTACTGCATCATTTAGTACAGATTCACCGAAGACCAAGGCATAGAGATTCACATCCGTGCCAAGCTCCTATAAACATCAAATCACTTTTGTCATCTCAGATATTTTGTAAGAAGACATAAACTGAATTGAGCCATTTTACAGAACAAAATTTTTTGAACCGTAACTGCACATTAGCTCGCTAGTAAAGGAACAGGAAATCGTTCTATTCCAATTTTTTATTATAAAAAATGTTATAGAATAATAGAATAGTCAGCATTGGAAAAATCAACCAGGTTTCTGGTACATAAATTGCAGCTTTTTCAATGAACATTCTACCCAGACAGTCATGTGGCAAAAAAATGTGATAATACCAAAATCAAAAGATTAATTTGCTTATAGGCCCAATTATGATTCAAAGTAGATTTAATTTGACCTGAATGGATCTATAGTAAGAATTAATAAGCCAATGAGTGATAAACATAGCCATACAAACCTGTAGCAAGACCTTGTTACCTGAAATATAGAAAGAACAGTGACGGGATCGGTAGCTGAGATGAGAGCACCAAACATCAGACACTCAACAAAAGGAAGTTTGTAGATGAGATATGTTATTCCACCAAGATATCTACAAAAATAAACAATAAAATCATGAATCAGTACATAAAATATATCATCTAGAAGACTTAGAATTATAAGAAAATTTGACGAGTTTAAGAGAAATGGTACCCACACCAAAATTCCTGTGACAACAGAAGCAACAAAAGTTCCAAAAATTGCAAATGTGACTATGGCCCCAAAGTTAGAAAAGAATGGCTTCTGCAAAAATAAAAGATTCAGGGTAAAGGTTGTGATGCTTTCAGTTTTTGAGACAATATGATACGCATGAAAGCCAAAAGAAAGAAAGGTCTTTTTTGTAGCTAAGTTTGACTATATCTTCCAGGGTCTTACCCTACACCCTTATCCAGAGAGAAACAATATATGCATAATTAATCATCTATCAGACTTAAATGTGATATAACCCTATAATAAGAATTTAATATATAGCATCAATCTCACCAGGAAAATCTAATGATTCAAAGTTAAGTCAACTTGATATAGAGTATCAAATGGGGAGTCTATCTCTCTAACATCAAGGAACAAATAATCTCAAAGAAAACAGATCAATTGCACAAATATAGGACCAACTTACAGGTTGAAGGCTGAACCCAGATTGAGTGAGCACAAATACGAAGTTAAGGAAATCGTTCCCATTGAAAACAAGTAAAATAGTGAAATATTCCAATAACCATTCATAATAGATATAAATTCAAATTAACACGCAAGGATATAATATAATCGGCGGCAGCAGAAACAAGAAGAAAAACTCCTCGTGGAAATTGAACCACGCCCTGCAGTACCAAAACAACTCAAAATGTAAAAAACAGTGAAATTATCACACAACTAAACATATGAAGAAATAAATACGATATATATGGTCTCAGAAAACCTGATGCTATTCTCCGTATTAGAAATGTTCGCCAAACCTCCCACGATCAACCCTGCGCCATGTATTCAGTTCCATTAAGATAGAGAAATCGCCAATTAAACAATATAGCAAATGATCACTTGCACCCAAAAATTTAAAAATAAATGGAGCCACTACAAGTTAGAAATCAAGAAGGGGGAAACTTACCAATTAATAGGGACGCACTAGCTTCCGGGAGGTAGTAGAACCGATGGCGGCGTAGAACGTGGCCGAGAACGAAGGACAGCACGAGCATCATAATCTGAAGAAGAATTCCCACACCAGCAGCCTGCTGGTCTTTCGCCGGACTTCCCCTAGGATCGGCCGGAGAAATTTTCAACTCGTCCATGCCGTTCCTCGGGAATTTAGTGCTTCGAGGCTCTCTACAAACCAGTATACGTCCCGAATACGATACTACATCAATCGAATCGACGAATCACGGATAAATTCCTAGAGCCGCAGAATGCTGGTAATTGTTGGTAGTTTATGGCAGACTTTTCGTGTCCTTTCTCGTTTGATCTTCGGGAGTTTTGCTTTTTCCGCTTGGGTTTACTGTGAATTCACGCCTTCCGAGCTTCTCTTCTAGTCTAGGTTAAATATAGTCTCATTTTTTTCGTGTATGTTTTTTTCAGGAAATGCTGGTCAACTCGAGCTGCTGTATTTTCATTTTTACTCCTTGTATTTGCACAATTGCGCGATGCAGTCCTTTATTAGTATAAGAGTTTCTTATCTTGTTATTTAAAATAAAAATTAATTTTATTTAATTTTAAATGATTTTAAACTATAAATAAACAAACTTAAATTTGTATTATATATCGTGAATTGATGTAATGTCCTGAATAATTGTTTTTTAAGTGTTAATTGTATGATATAAAACAGAAAGGAAAAAAAAAAAATGTTAAAATAACAAGATCTTAAATTTACAACCACTCTAAACATTTTATTAATTAATTGATAGCAATAATAACATATTTTATTCCATTTTGATTATACCTGGATGTCATTATCAAGTTTTAATTAGAATTAGCATATTATAAACTTCATTCAATTTATTTTAATAGATTTGAGATTATCATTGCATTGTGTTGAAAATAACCTATGGATTGAAATAAACATTCAATTTAGGAATTTAATTCAACCTTTATATTAATTATTATTCAGCCCAGGTCAAAATTGCAAATATATATATATATATATATATATATTGACAAAAGAAAGTGAAGGTTGCGTTTAATTGCAAATTGAGAAGTGTAACTGAAATTTTGATATTAGCATCGAATACGGTTCCTTACTATATGAAAAACATTATAAAGAATGGTTCGTGTGTAACATATGTATATTGCAGGCCCCACATATAATCGTTACACACAAATAATGAATGTTAGAATAACATCAAAGAGACAATTTTCAACCATACTTAAATGACTAAAATAATATAAAATGCTATTTTTCACAGTGAAAAATTGTTAGATGATTTAAACGACAATCTATTATGATACAATATCATTTGGATATTTAATTATTTATCTACAAACACGAATCAATCAATACGTTTCTTAACTAAACTTGTTCGTGGACAACCACAAATGGAGGTCGAACTTGAAACCTAAAGCTCTGTACTATATTAGATGATTTAAATGATTAGAATACCACATCGTTTACTTATTTATCTACAAACGAAAATCAAACAACATGCGAATAAGAGGATAAACACCACCAAACAAAACTTGCCCGTGGACAATGACAAATGGAAGACGGTGGACTCGAACTCCCCTAAAAGCTTACAACAACATAGTTGTGGATCTCGATTTCGAATCATTTGGGGTGATTTTAGAGCCAAGAATTCATCATACACAACCACCATTAGCTCGAAATTAAGCTAAGCCATTCGTTATCGAGCATCATTTGATGAGCATTGAGTTGCATATCTAAGTGCTAATGCTTCCCTTAACTAATTTCAAGTGATTAATCAAAACCATTATTGAATCAAACGTTAGGAACTTAAGTTCAGCAACTCTGCAAATTTTAACCCAGTGATGTTTCAAAATTCAAACTAAGAACTATAAACATATTCTAGAGGTCCACAGGTTAAAATTTAGTATTGAAAACAGCACCTCAACATGAAGAAAACCCTTCTGGACTAACAGATAGATATCAAAAGATCAATAAAACTCTTTAACACCAATTTATGAAGTAATCCTTGTTAACTTATGATTGAAATTTTCATGCCTCTAATTTGTGTTTCTGAAAAAAGGAATGATCAAAATATACATATGAACAGCTGAAAAGATGACTAGCCTATGAAGGAGTTTCTGTTCAAATCAAAGGACTTGCCTATCAGCAGCCTCAGCTACAAGGGGCAACCTGGGAAGCTGACCCAGCAAGCAAGAAGAGGAGCCATAGATCAGGCAAACCAAGAGGAACAAGAACACGGTGCTATCCAGGCTCATCATCAATTCTAACCCTAATCCATCTCTTGCGTTGAAAGTCCTCTCCAGAAGGTCAGGAAATATTAGCAGCACATCGAGAACAATAGCTTGCATAGTATTGAACCTCACATACCTACTGAAATTGGAGTTCCTGACAACAACAAAGTAAAGCGTCAGGAAAACGAGGAAACCGTTGAAGGGGAAGCTCTTGAAGACCCTAATTGCCGGAAGCAAAGGCTGGATGAAAGCCTGGAATGGGGAAAATTGGGTAATCACGTATTTCCCGTACTGGACGCCGTCGAAGAAGGGGTAGAAGTAAACTATTGCTGAGATCAAACGGTCAGGAGCGTCGGCGGAATTGCTGCCCTTCGACTGCGCAACGACGCTGGCCGTCCTGCTAATTCTTCCAGGTCGTTTTGAGAGTAGAATGGGAGGTCTTGGATAGACGGTTTGGATTGAGTGTTTGGTTGGTAGAATTGAAGGGATGGAGATGGAGATGGAGAGATGATAGTTCATGGCCATCCCTCTCTCCCTGTAGGCTGTAGGTAGAGTCTGTGGATGGGCAAGAAAATCTTCGAAATAAGGATTGAAGTAGGAACGGTTGAGTGGGAAGAAGAACTGAAGTCTGAAGATATGCTGTGGTGCTGTCCGCCATTGGCCATTGCAATTTGCAGGTGAGGTGTTGGGTTGCTTAGATCCATTCACTGTCGGCCCTAATTGCAAAGGCAAAGCCCACTTTAAGCGACCCAAGTTATATTTCACCCGAAACGGTAACTTATATCGTTATTTTTATTTTTGGTAACGAGTTTTCCACTTTTTTACAAAATTATTTTTATTTTTTCACAATAATTAGATAAAATATGGATCAATTATCAGTATAATACCATTATTCATCCAAATGTCGATATTGTTTTGGGACCAATAGAATTGTCAAATGAGCGGGTTAGCCTCGGACTCAGTCTTAATAGGACGGATTCCGGTCTAAGAAATTTGGTTGAGTTATAGATTTTGAGTTTTAGACCCGGACGGATTTGAGACAAGTTACGGATTTTACTAAAAACCAGTTTTTTCCCAACCCAGACCTGAATCCGGATATTTTATTCATTATTATAATTTATTTATATTTTTATACAATATAAATTATGTAGTATTATTTATTTATTAAAAAAATAAACATAAAATAAAAAATTAATTCTAAATCAAAATTGTCTTTATGTTTATCCAGTAATTCTCTTTATAATCTAGATTATTGTGAGCCATAGTGTTCTTATTTTTAGAACTATATATATATATATTTTTTGTACTTTGACACATATTTTTTTAGTATTAAATTATTTTCTTAAAAATTATATTTTATTCTTAAAAAAAAAAGGATTTATCAGATTGGCCCCGAATCCAACGAGATGGGTAATGGGCCAGGTTGAAGTGGATCGGATCTTGGGTCCTAGTATTTTTTAGCGGACAGGTTTTGGATTCTGTAGAACCGTCTCGAACATGCTTTATTGACATTCCTGAAAAAAAAAAAAAAATCATTTAAATATAAAAAATTAATAGATTTTATCAATAATATAGATTTTAATAATAATAAAAAAATTGATATATGATATTACTTTCATATATATATATATATACAATTTTGTTTTTTATATTTTTTTATATATAAAAAAAATCTTAAATAGATCAAGATATCAAGAAAATGAATAAAAAAATATACTAATTTATAAGTTAATTGATGTTAAAAATAGTATTTAACATTCTCATAAATAATTTGTATATATATTATATGTTACAATCAAATTATAATAATAAAAAATAAGTTATTTATAATTGTAAATCAATAGCATATAGTTGTAATCTATTTAAAATTGATTTTATATAGATTTACTATTTTTTTTTTCAACTTATATTTTTAAAAAAAAGGTTAAGATAATAATGTTTTAATTTATTGTTTACTATTTAAATTAGATATGTCAAAACGGGTTAACGGGACGGATTGGCCCACAACCCATCATAACTCGCAGATAGGCGGGTTGTTTGCGGGCCAATTCGCGGCGGGGCAAATCAGAATTTCATCAACCCAATTCAACTCACCGGCGGGTGACGAGTTAAGCGGGCTAGCATACAGACTTTTTTTTTTAAAAAATAATATTATAAATATTTTTCGTAATTAATATTTAAAAATAGCTAAAAATAATTTTATTGTAAAATCTAAATAATAAATATTTTAAAATAAATAAAAAAATATAAAATTTTTTTAATTCTAAATAGTATTAGTTAGTGTGTTTAAAAAAATTAATAATATGAAATATTTTACATTGGTTTTCAAAATATTTTGAAAAGTCTCTTTTAACTGTGAATCCAACTCTTCGATCATAAAAAAATAGGCTTCGGCGTTGCCTGGTGAAATCCGTTGAGGCTCGATAAAATCCAGCGATATTGCTCTTAAATATATAAATAGTTATTTCAAAATAATTCAAATAAAAAGTTACTCCATAAAAGCCGAAGAGTATTTCCAAACCCTAAATTAAAACTGTTCCAGAAACGGGTCCAACCAATTTGAGGCTCAACTATCCATCTCGAAAAATTTCTAATGTAATTCGGGTAGGAGCGACCATACCCGAATTCTGCTGGTGCCAGACCAGCAGTTGATATTATTATTATTATTATTATTATTATTATTCTCCTTATTATTATCATCTTTTACAGGCTGCTATTTAGGGCTTCAACGCCTTTCTTCATCTGCGGGGACACGGGAAGGATTTTCATGGCGAACCACCTCTACAGCTACACCTCAAGCACATACGGTGCCGGAGGTAGTTCCGCGGCCAGTCTATACAGTTCTAGGTCTATTGGGGATTCATATCTGTCTGACACTTCATTGCTAGGTTCTTCGTCGAGGTATTTGGCCGCGGACTCATTACCCTCCGCCCTGTCTTCTTCGTCAATGCTGTACGATCCAGATAGCTACTCCACTGGATTCCCTGGTATGTCGTCGCACGTCTATGCCCCCCCTGGTGTGGATGTTGGGTCCTCAATGGTCACATCTGACTCCATTTACACTGGGCTGAAGCGTAATACATCTGAATGTAAGAAACTTTGCCATTTTTTTTTAAAAATCTATTTTATTTTTTGTTGAAGTTTACTAATTCTTGATGATTGCTTGCAAAACCTTGTATGGGTCGCTTGAACTTCAAGCTGATGTGTATTTGCTTAATACGCATTTCTGGTATGTGCTGTGTTTGAATCTGTGACACAAATCAGTTACGTTTTAGGACTCCCTTAAACCCATAGAGAGTGGTGAAACATATTATACTGATTTTTATTGGTTTGTTTTAACTGTTTCTTAGATGTTTCCAATTATTGTGTTATTCATTGGAAATAGTTGGGATCCTGAAAAGTGGAGGAGGTTAGAGTTTCTTTTTGCGAAGGAGCTAGGTTATAGATGTTGCATAATTAATTTTTAAAAGTAAAGTTTCTTTTATTCAATGTTGCTGGCAATGCAAAACAGCTACTACAGCTATATAGATAACATACATTTTTTTGACACAAGAAGACATACATATCTCATAATTGTATAGAGTGAATACATTCCTATTATAATGGCATGATATATATTTCACTGTACATCTCCATTGTTGTGTTGAATCCATGGAAAACTCATGATTGTTAAGAGCATTGTCCTGTTGTGGTTTTTGAAATTTATTTTAGGCTGGAGTGTCAATGGCACTTCTAGGTACATTCTCCATGTTAGTTTTTATGTCATAAACAATTATATTTATCTAGCTTAGTATTGCTGCCACTACTTTCAATGTTGAATATTACTCAAGTGAATGAATAGAAAAGTTGAAACCATTATTTTCTTATATTATTAAGTTAGAACATTTTCTCTTTTAAATAATATAGATGTCATCCCTATATTTGTGTGACATCTAGCCTAAAGGTTGAAGTAAACATTGATAATCATGTAGGAGAAGATATAATTTACTGCATCACTTGCACAATATTTGCTTCCATGCCAATTTCACTACCAAATACTTTCAGCCATTAAGCAGTATATTAGGAATCTTGTCTAATATGTTTAAACTGTATAAATTCACTACTATCTTACTTTGGTAACCTAATACTTATGTGTAATTAGCTTAAAGATTTAGGGTATCTATATACTTATATATATGTATATATTTTGCCTATCCAAAGTTTATGGTTTCTGATATTTTACTTATTAAAAAATGTACTTGGACTTAAAACAAGCCTAGGAGCTAATATTTTACTTGGTCTAAATATATATATATATCCTATTTGTATAGTAACTACGGCGGGTTTTCTTGTTATATGTGTCTACTATCTATCTAGCACTCTATTATCAGACTCTTTTGGGTATCCATAACAAGATTGGGCAAACTGAAGCTTGGTATTCGGCATACCCTTTAGCCAAGCGTTCTAGGTATGAGAGTACGAGCCATTTGCCCATTTACCCCCAGAGGCTTGGAGAGAAGGATTGTGCCTATTATATGCAAACAAGAACCTGTAAATTTGGAGATAGCTGCAAGTTTGACCATCCTATTTGGGTTCCAGAAGGGGGAATCCCAGATTGGAAAGAGGTGATCTTTTAAATTACTTTATCATCTAGTAATATTTTATTCAGTTACTACCAAAACTTCTAGTTGAGTTTATGTGGATATTATTTATTAGTTAATTTATGATTAAAAATGTTCACAAATTTTATTACTGAATCTTATTACTGTAACTCTTGGTTCAATGCTATTTGGCACAGTTGTTATTTTCATACATCCATTGATAATATCCTATTTTAATATTTATTTCCCCTAAACACTCAACTTTTTATATAATAACATAGTGTTATTATCTTATAAAGCAATACAAAATGAGGTATTATTTATTAGTTAATTCTATGATTATTATCATTTACAAATTTTATTGCTGAATCTTATTACTGTAACGGTTGGTTATTTGGCGCCGTTTTTATTTTCATAAGTCCATTAATAATACCCTATTTTAATATTTACTTTCGCTAAACACTCAACTTTTTATATGATAACACAACGTTCTTATCTTATAAAGCAATACAACATGATGTTGCAGTACAGTACATAAAAAAGCCACAAATAATACCTCTAGGGTTGTTCTTAATATATATTTTTCTACCTTTACTTAAAGAATCTGTATAAAGAGCCTACATATTTGTTCACTAGAAAGTTTAATATTATTTAGATTGGGCTATAGGATATATTGTTAATTCTTTTCTATCCTTTCCTATGTGAGTTCTTTTACAAGTCCTTTTTGATTTTGGGACGATAGTTAGATAATATATTGGCTAACTCATTATTGAGAGTCCAGGGCCTTACTATCTACCTATTTCTCTCTCATTATGATTTACAGCGGTTCTGTTTTTACACATTATTGATAGCATCAGTGATGAACATATTGGAGGTTTCCTTCTATACTATCTATTATATGCTATTTTTAAGTAGATCTCATAATGGTGGCTTACTGCAGGAAATTAGGAACTTGTCTTCTTTTGTTTAATGTACTTTCAGAAGTTCAATTAGGTTCGTTAGATCTTGTACCTTCCATGCTATGTTTAAATCAATTATTTAGGTTGGAAAGTACAAGTTTTCTTCAGTAGGTAAAGTTATGATAATTCATATGTAAAAGAATTTAATATTTTAAAATTATTCTCCTAGAAGTTTATTTGTGTAATGTAATCTGTCTTTCCTGAATCAGGCATATAAGTATGATAAGCTTTCCATTCAAGGAGGAAGTCCTGTTTGATTGATATATTTAACTTTTTAATTTGTATTTATTATTCAAAAAAGCATTGTTTGCTGCTTTTCTGTTGAAACATCTCACTGGTGCTGTTTAAGCTTTTGAAAAATTTCTAATAAAAGCTTATAGCTGTACAAATGCATCTGAGACAACTTTCAGATAAACAAATTACGTACCTCAGGAAAGCTATAATAGCTATGCCCTCAAAAGGTTGATAATGCATTGTGAAAATCTTGATGGTTCTAGTTGAATATGCACTTTTTTGAAGCGTAGATTAAAACTTCCCATTCCTGTTGCATATTAGCTTATGTCTTCTCACTAACAGACATCCATGTTATTGGTATTTCATAATTTTAATTTGTGGTTACTTTCTTTTCTAAAACCTTATATTGTACTCCTTGTTACTTTCTTATAATTATCTCTCTCATCAATTTTGACTTCACATCCATCTGTTTATTGACCATTGAAAATTTTGGCTTGTATTCAGATTCCACCTGTACCTAGTGAATCTCTTCCTGAGAGACCGGGGGAACCAGATTGCCCTGTAAGCTGGATTCAAAGCATTTGCCCTCTTGTATAGGATGAGATGTTCTGAGTTGAACTTCATTATTTATGTATTTTGATGATATGTTTCAGTATTATCTGAAGACTCAGAAGTGCAAGTTTGGGATTAGGTGCAAATTCAACCACCCAAAAGATAGAATTGCTGCTCTGGTTAGTCTTAATAGTTCAATCTATTGCTAATATTTGTATACTTAACAACCCATGTTCACTCTTTCCAACTGCTATTATTGACTCAATATTAGGGTGCTACTTTGGAAGCTGATCCCTCTATCTTACCTGAGAGGCCATCAGAGCCGCCATGTGCTGTATGACACTTATCCCATTCAGGCCATTTCTCATTAATATCTTTCCACTTAACAATTTAATTTGTACCTTTAATCAGTTCTACATGAAGACTGGAAAATGTAAATTTGGCTCAGCTTGCAAATTTCACCACCCCAAAGATGTGCTCATACAGTTAGCTGGCGGAGAAAACCCAATGCCTGGAGATGCAAAACCAGTGCAGCCAACTTCTACTCCAGCATCGCTGCACAATTCAAAAGGCCTTCCAATCAGACCTGTATGCATACTTCAAAGAAACTTTAACTATATTCTTTGGTGATCATATATCGTGCTGAAAAATGATAAAATGATATAAGTTGAATGAAATGAAAAACACTGATGCATTCTTCCTGTCACATAGTACCTTACCATTTGCTGCTTTGTTATTTGTTTACCAACTTTGAGTCTTTCCACTCTGAATTATCTGAGCTTTATTGTCTATTCACTGTACTTAATCTGTGTTGAGAGGACAGTGAGAATGAATGAATGAATTTTGAGAATTTTGTATTTTTTTGCCAATGTTTGTACTCTTCCGTTGGGTTGCATTTTTTTTAGTTTTGTTAGATGTCTTCTCTTACTGATTACAATCGACAGGGTGAAGAAGATTGTCCGTTCTACATTAAAACTGGAAGGTTAGTACATCCTTCTGTCCTTATTCTATTAAAACATCTTCCATGGTTAGGTTATGTGTTTGCCAGATATGGCAGGATTAATATTGTTATATATAAACATATATATATTTATTTATATTTTCTGTCAGCTGCAAGTATGGGGCCACATGTCGCTACAATCATCCAGACAGATATGGCAAGTGACTTATTTACCTCATAATTTTGTTTTTGCGCTTACTGGTTATTGCTGACAGACTCAAGTGTTGTGCATCCATAAATTTCGCAGCTGTTGGTGTTGCACCTACTCTTCTAACGTCTCCCTCAACACACTACAATATTGGTGTTGTTGCTCCGACAGCATCCCTGCTGCCAACTTTTGATCCAAGGCTAACTCAGACCACGGTACAGTTGATTCTCTAAGCTCTCTGCAATCCTGCTGGTATTGATGCATATGATTTGTATACACAAAAAAGGAATATTTAAATTAGTTTCCATTCAGATTATAGAAAAACTGTATTGAAATGTCTTCTACTTTTTGTTATTATTGTCCTTTTCCTATTATGGATGAGAGCAGAAAACCTAGCCTAATAGCATGTTTCTAGTTCTATTTTAATCTAGCTATATTATTAAGTTGCTGTTTTCCTATTTTTACTTTCTCATGGATTTTCATTATTTATGGTTGCAGCTTGGTTTGGGTGCCGCTATTTATCCTCAACGACCTGGGCAGACAGAGTGTGATGTGCGTATCAATTTTTTTTCCGTCATGTTGCTGTTATAGATGAAAACAAATTTCTAATTCTTTGCTAGTGCTCTTTTCAACTTAGGTGTTTGCATGTTTCATTTTATTCATGTTATATGCTGCTTAGACTGCTTAATTGTAACTTATTTGTCCACTTTGATGTCTTAATGTAAAGTAATGGTGTTTCTCCTTGGATCAAGTATATATATTATTTTGGGAAGTAGCACCATCATCCAAAACTAATTGTGGTTCACTATTGATGGAATGCAGGTTGCATGATTAGTCTTGGCAATTTCTCTTATTATATGAACTAACTATTAAACTGTTTATCTACACTTAATAGAATTTTGTTGCTCTAGATTGGCTCCGTTTTGCTCTCTAGCTTAAATATACCATTGCATTAAATACTTCCATTTTCTCTTCTGCTGTACTAATGTATCACTTGGCTTTGTGGTTCTAGTATTACATGAAAACTGGTATATGCAAGTTTGGAACTACTTGCAAGTTTCACCACCCTGTTGATCGTTCCACACCAACTGCATCAGCTACAGAATCTCAGCAGCAGAATGTGAAACTGAGTCTTGCTGGCCTGCCAAGAAGAGAGGTACATTAAATGTTTGATATAGCCTCATCCTTGAATTTTTTAATGTTTTGCTTGAAAGGCAGAATTTGTTTCCCTTATTTAATCTTTCTAAGATTGAAAATTTCATTTCAATTCCTATTTGGGACCTGAAATTTTGTGGTTGGCAATAATTATCTTGCTTGACTAGATCAATTTATTATTATATGTCTTACAATCTCTTTCCTTGATGGGTGGTGTATTGATTTCTTTCCAACTTATTCTCTTAACTGACTGGATAAGATAGCACCTGTACTACTTATGACTCTATATTGAGGTTTTGTTATGAGCTTGTTCTAGCTCATATTTCCTGCCTGCCATGACTTACCCTCTCCGTGCGCCCCTGCGCGCCCGCGCACACACACACATATATATATATATATTAATTAGGCTGTTCATCTTGCAATATTTATAGGGTGCTATAAACTGCCCATACTATATGAAGACCGGGACATGCAAATACGGGGCCACCTGCAAGTTTGACCACCCACCGCCTGGAGAGGTTATGGCTATGGGGTCATCACCCAGTGGCGGAGAAGGAAATGAAAATGGAGCTGTTTAAACAATTATGAGAGGACACAACAACCCCAAAGTACGTTGTTACTTTTCCTTATGGAACACTGTCTGTATCATCTTTTTTTTAATTTTTGAGCTTGGACTATGTGCTGTACGAGATTGTTGGAGGTTTGATTTGCTTGTTTAGATGATAGAGGCTTGTGTGACTGCTGAAGCATTGCAATTTGGAATATTGAAGCCCTTCCATTATTATTATTAATATTGAAAAGACTTGAGTGTAGTTGATGATAATTAATCCTTGAAGGTGTTCTTGTTCGTATATGAACAAGAAGCCATTGATGTGTACGGTAGTACATCTCTAGTTGTATTTAGCTTAGGAGAATCACAACACATCAAACACAACACATACATATTTAGATTTTGGGTAAGGAAGTTAGCCGGTGCCGGAAACACCTAAATCTTTCTTTTCGTCGTCTTTTCCAGCGCCGAAAACTGGACCCCCTAAGCCGGCGGCGTCCTTCACCTTGTCTTGATTTTTGTCTACTTGAACTGCACCCTCATCCTGTTTTGAGTGAATATCCATCCGTGTCTTTTTTTCGCCGGTGGCGGCGGCTACCGACTTGTATGTGGTGGCCGTGAACGACTCCGGCGGCTGCGCTCCTTGAGCTCCTGACATTTCTTCCTTGCTATCCCAACTATATCCACTGCTTCTATTCGATTCATATATATCTTGATTTAGATATATATATATATTATATGTACATACATATTTGCATGTATGTGCACAATCACACATAGGTCTACTGCCCTTCCACGTGTATAATAATGTCTGCTACGCTGTACAGAACAAAGCATCTAGAATCTTTGGGTATATAGCTGAGCAATATCTATACATAACATAAAATTAGTTTAGATGATGAAAACAAAGCCCCAAATCGCCTACTATACCTACTGTCTTTGTACAAAATTACAGTTAAGAGGAGCAAGAATGTCGTCTCTACTGTACATCCCACCCAACCCAACCCAATAAAGAAAAGACAAGTCTAGTCTAGTCTAGTCTAGCCTAGAAATACTCGAACACAACGTAAGAAGAGTCATTAGAGCTGCTGGTCTTATGGTTATCCTGCCCCATTTCTGGCAACTTCTTGTCCGAATCTTTACTCATATACTGCTTGAAGTCAAATGGCTGTGGAACATATGGAGGTGTGGCACTTCTCACAAGTGCCCAATTCACCCCCTCAAAGAAAGGATGCTGCTTTATTTCAGTAGCACCTCTGGTGTATGCAATCCTCTTGTGTGGCTCCTTCACCAGCAGCCCCTTTATAAGATCCCTCGCCGTCGAGCTCACCTGCGGATTATCAGGGAACTTCAATGGCTGCCCCACTACATTGAACAGTGTGGCTCTGTTTCCCGACCCTTTAAAAGGAGTTATTCCATGTAGAAGCTCATACAAGAAGATCCCCAACGTCCACCAATCGACTGCGCTGCCGTGCCCCTCTCCGCGGATGATCTCCGGCGCTAAATACTCGTGTGTCCCCACAAACGACATTGATCGAACATTTGTCGGCTCCGCCATCAGTTCCGGGAGGGAGTTGGCATTGTTTCCCAATCCGAAGTCGGATTTCGACTTGCGGTTCTTCTTCGGGAGCAGCCGTGGGAAGAATGACGACGGCTGGTAGCAGCTCCGGACTGCATTCTCTTCGTCTAAGATCCCGCCGTAGCCAGAGTCGGGGTTTCCAGTGTGGACAGATGAAGACTTCACCAGCGTCGGATTAACAGAGCAGCGGAGCGAGAGATCGAAGTCGGATAGCATGATGTGCCCCTCTTCTCTCACTAGAACATTCTCAGGCTTTAGATCCCTGTAAACTATTCCGAGCATGTGTAGGTATTCGATGGCCAGCAACACCTCGGATGCATAGAACCTGTGTTCGGAAGAGATTTATGTAGTAAGAAACTGAAATGCAGCTGCCATGGATAAAGATGAGGGACTGAGAAATGAGATACCTTGCAGCTTCCTCTGTAAAATATTTGCTGGGCTGTTTCTGCCGGAGGGTGTGGAGGTTACCTCCACTGCAGAACTCCATGACCAAGCAGTAGTACTTATCGGTGTCGAAATAAGTGTACAATGTAGGTAAGAAGGGGTGATCGAGAAGGCCAAGAATTTCTCTCTCGGTTTGAGCTCTAAGTAGCTTGTTTCTGCTTGCAAGAGAGGCCTTGTCCATTACTTTCATGGCAAAGAAGGCGTGCGTCCCCTTGAGCTCAACAAGGAAGACACTCCCGATGTCGCCACGCCCGAGGCGCTTCAAGATCCTGAAATTGTTGAAGCCGAGAGGCGAGTCTTTGGAAGAAACAGAAGTGATTGCATCCCATCTGACATCTCCGCCGGTGTGTGGTTTGAGTGGCGCGCAGGTGCTATCCATGCTGTCGCTGCGGTTGCTGCTCCCGCTCGTCCATCCTTGAGATATCGTCGATATGCTGCTCTTGGCAGCATTGCTGGCCTTGGAACCTGCATCAGGTTGAAGAAGCCATTGGTGATTGGATCTTATCTATGTATGTTCATACTTGTTTTGGGGAGAAGGCAAGGGGTAGTATTGAGAGTTAAGAGTTTGGATTTGCATTACCTGACATTGCCTCGTTGCTTGTCATTGCACTTGTTTTTGCTGTCTGATCTGATTTCGTTGTCGTCGTCGTATCGTGATGAGATACATTAGACATTGTTGAGGTAGAACTCTTGTCGTCCAGCTCCGTCCCGCCTTGTTCAATGGCATTTTCTTCTGCTGGAATGCGATCCATCTGATTTGGAACCAGAAACAAAAACCAGACCCCAAAAAAAGACAAAGAAAAAGAACTGATTCATGTTTTCATACCATTACGGATATAATCAACAATGCCACAAATGGATGAATTATGCCAGAATCCATAATATTCGAATGACTGTAACAGAATAAAATTCGTATGCCATAATTGCTGCAGCTACACAACAAACTCCTGTTTCTTCGCATTTCTAATCGTTCCTAGATCCAGAACAATAATTAAAGAATTCCGATTCTTATTTATTGTTTCCTCTAGCTATGAATCATGAATGCCTTTCCAATTTCATGATTGATTGCAGCGATCTATCCCTCACAATATTATATTATCGGATAAGTTCATCTGCTGAATTTTCGAAACCGATTTGCCAAAATTCTAGCTACATAAACGCATAGATAAACGACCAATTGCCTTTGCATGCAAGCTAATGGACATCCAGATCATCAATACATTGTATAAAAACATCGTAATGTTGTAAACGAGATATCCTTGAATAACTTACGCGAACTTGTTCTCTCCTGGATCCAAATTTCTCTGCCGATCTTGCAGATCATTGGTTGGATAGGTCTTTAAATTGCGTCAGGAAAATTGTTATGAACAGCAAGGAACAGGGATCCTCGATGGAATCTCTGCCAATTCCATTGTGAATATAGGTTTGGTAGAGATGCGTTGGGAATGGGATAAAAGCTTATGAGGAGGAGCGCAAGAGAAGAAGAGATGGCGGAAAATAAATCAACAAAAATAAAATAAAATAAACAAATTATTATATGATCATTCCTATCTATAAATACACATAGATAATATTTTACACATTACCTATTTTAGCAACAATATGTAAATTCCATAATTATTTATTGCGATATTATGGTGCTGACTCTACGGGGATTAAACGTCAGTTTTCATTATTATGAATCAATAATCTATATATTAATATATTTTTTAAAAAAATTAAATAATATTGCATAAATTTTTAACATTTTATTTCGTGAGTTATCAAAACGACGTCGTTGCAAGTGGAGTAAGTAATCCATTGCCGGCTGGCTGCTCCTGCTACTATAAATACTGATTTTTTTTACTGTCTTCCCCACCTTATCCCTCTCTGCAATACAGTCGAGCCCTGTAGGTTGCCTTTATATATTAGCATATATGTCTGTCCCTCGACCTCTGCCCTGGAAAAATGGTCCCCCTTTTCAGCGCAACCCGAGGACGCCCTTTGCCTTTCTTCCCTGAAATCGAAACATAACCAGTTTCCACCTTTCTCCTCCCTACTCTCTTTCTGTTTCTTTGCGGTGGCGGTGGCGGTGGCTATGGTAGAAATGTGTAGCGACCAGAGGGCCCTCCTTTTCCACGTCCTCACCATCCTATTCATCACTGTCGTCTCTGTGCAACAAGGGTATGGTAATGGAAGTGTGAAATTGGAGCTGATTCACCGCCATGGTAATGGTACGGGGAGGAAATGGAGTAGTTTCCCTCTCCGGCAACTGCTCCACAGAGACGCCATTCGTTTGGCTGCAATTTCGGAGAAATTATCTATGGCGAAAACTGAGTCAATCGCTGCAACTACAAGCAGGAGGCGAATCCAGGAGAGCAATGCGTATTATTTTTCAGCCTGCAAAAATGGCACAGTGTCGGGCCAATTGCCAATGCACTCCGGCGCCGACGCCGGCGCCGGGCAGTACTTTGTGCATTTCAGGGTTGGATCTCCGGCGCAGAGAGTGGTGCTTGTTGCAGACACTGGGAGCGATTTAACCTGGATGAATTGCAAATACAGTTGCCATGGAGTTCGATGCAGGAGGAGGAAGAAGAAGAAGGAAAGGGATTTCAGAAAGAGGAGGGTGTTCCTTGCAGACCACTCGTCTTCTTTCAGGACTCTGCCATGCTCGTCCGCCATGTGCAAGGTTGATCTTGCCAATCTCTTCTCTCTGGCAAGGTGTCCTTCTCCCATGGATCCATGTGCCTATGATTACAGGTAAATCAATTTGCAAATCTCCATCTTATCTTCGTTTACAATTACAGCCTTAATCCATTACAAAGCAGCTTTGGATTCCATAGACAATAATGGCTTAAGCATTTGTTAGCAAAAAAGAGAAAGGGATTGTGATTTTTGATTTGTGAATACTGCTGCTGCATCATCTGTATTCACATAAAGTATCCAATGCCCCTCCACACATTTTCTTGGTTCTGTCAGGTTTTCAGCCATTGTAATGTCCCTACATCCATCCAAGTTGGGATCAACATTACTTTGCAAGATCATCCTCTAAAACTGCCACTAAACGACGCCGGGGTTAGGATATTTTGTCGGCCCCTTCCTATTTCAGCATTGGTTGTTTCTTCCATTAGCGGAATCATCAATTCATGTTCACCAAAACTTATAGATGAGAAGAATCTTGGTTCTCATTTAGGTTGTCTTCTTTAAAGTTGCCAGATGGAAAAGGAGGGAAGCTTCCAACTTAATGTCCAACACCATTAAATGCTTGGTGGACAAATCTGTGTGAGAAGGGAAGGCCACCATTCCTGCTGGTGTAGTAGTCATTACAGCTCTTACCTACATCCCACACAGCAGTAATGACCCCTTCTTGGTAGTAGATTGGGTCACATGACTCACATCCCCCTGCACCTTGCTCTTTCCCCTGTTTGGTCGACTTATTACTAATTATCGACGTGACAACTGGCTTGTCCGATCCGAACAAGTCCCACATTCCCCCCATCTTTATTGCATACGCCTAGGCCTAAAGATCGATGTTTTAGCTCTATCATTCATATTCGATTGTCTTTTTTACTTCTGATTAGGTACTCAGATGGATCAGCTGCCGTAGGCCTTTTTGCGAACGAGACAGTCACTTTTCGCCTCACAACCGGGAGGAAGCTAAAGCTCCACAATGTGTTGGTTGGTTGCAGCGAGTCTTCACGCGGGGAGAGTTTCCAGGGCGCCGACGGTGTGATGGGCCTGGCATACAGCAACCATTCGTTTGCAGTGACGGCGGCAGCAAGATTCAGGGGGAAATTCTCGTACTGCCTCGTCGATCATTTAAGCCCGAAGAACGTATCAAGCTACCTCATATTTGGGTCACATGACGAGTCGCGCGTAACACTTGGCAGAATGCGATACACGGAGCTTGTCCTCGGCGTGCTCTCGTCGTTCTACGCCGTGAACCTCAGAGGCATCTCCGTTGGCGGATCGATGCTCGACATCCCTACCGAAACATGGGATGTGAACGGCGTAGGTGGACTGATCATCGATTCGGGCTCGAGCCTTACGTCGTTGGTTCAACCTGCGTATCAGCCGGTAATGGCTGCGATAAGGCTGACGTTGCTGAACTTCGCGAACTTGAACCTGGATATAGGTCCGCTCGAGTACTGCTTCAACTCGACAGGGTTCGATGAATCTGCGGTGCCAAGATTGGCGTTTCACTTTGCTGATGGGGCGAGGTTCGAGCCGCATGTTAAGAGCTATGTCATCGACGCGGCTCCGGGCGTGAAGTGTCTGGGATTTGTGCCTGCAGCTTGGCCCGGTTCGTCGGTTATTGGAAACATTATGCAGCAAAATCACCTCTGGGAATTCGACATCGTCAATCGTAGACTCGGCTTCGCCGCATCTTCTTGCAGCACCTGAATGGCTCCGTCCATCGTTTGTCGTCTTCATCTTCATCATTATCTCTGTAATTTCAGTCTTTCTTATTCCTATTCTTCAATCTGTATACACCACAAAAGTTGGAGATTGTCTTCTGCTTTGTTTTTTAACTAACTCACAGTGAAGTGAAGAGATCAGTATTGTTTACAGCTGCAAACTTTTATAAGTATTTTCATTTTCTGGTAAAAGAGAAGTGCAATGCCGACATAGAGTGGAACCATCAATGGCAGCCATTAATAACGAACGACAGGCTATGTGTTTGGATCGAATCTTCTTCCCAAGGATTAGCTCTAGTTCATATATATATATATAGAAACCTTCACTGGATTACCTCACCATCCTCACATGTTACTCAAATTACTCATTTAAATAGAGCACATCACAGCACAGCACAGTACCAGGTGTAGACATGGAGGCATGTCATCTAGTGCTCATCACGTTTATCTTTTTTCCCAAAGACTCCATTTTTATAAATCACTAATAATCATTTGAATTCAACCACAAATCTAGCTACTCAGATCTGCAAACTTGGCGTACACCAAACTGTATTATGAACTGGTTTTTACTAACTGCTGTTTTGCTCAATGCTCATCTGGCAGCTTCTTCCTCCTTGGCCGCGAAACAGCCGCCGCCTGCAAGACAACTCCCTCCGGCTGCGTATCTTAAAACAACATATTACCAGAAATCATGCCCCAATCTTGAATCCATCATTCATCGGAGAATAAGCTATTGGGTCAAGAGAGATTACACCCTCGCAGCTGCCATTATCCGCCTGCATTTCCACGACTGCGCCGTCAGGGTAAACCGTAAAGGTTCTCCTTTTATTACAGATTTTGATCAGAGTTTTTAATCAGTTGAGTATTATGATTAATGTCTTGCCAGGGCTGCGATGCATCTGTCCTGCTGAATCATTCCGGCAGCGAGAGGGCAGCCGAGGCCAGCAAGACACTCCGGGGATTCGATGTGATCAACGACATCAAACGAGCGGTGGAGAAGCAGTGCCCCAGGACTGTCTCCTGCGCGGACATTCTAACCGCCGCCGCCCGCGACGCCACTCTGTTCGTTGGAGGTCCTTTCTGGGAAGTGCCGTTCGGGAGAAAGGACGGTCGGATTTCAGGGGCGAAGGAAGCTGAGGCCGTGCCACAGGGCTACGAGAACGTCACGTCATTGCTCAATTTCTTCGACAAATTAGGACTCACATTCGTCGACATGGTCGTCCTGTCGGGAGCCCACACAATTGGCAGATGCACCTGCCATGCCATCAAGCGCAGGCTGTATAACTTCACCGGAAACGGGAAGCCCGATCCTTCCATGAACGTCAATTACCTGAAGTTGCTGAGGGATCAGTGCAAATCGGACAGGAATTTCGTGAATTTAGATGCGACAACTCCTAGGGTTTTCGACGTCGACTATTACAGGAACCTGTGGAAGAAGATGGGGCTGCTGTCGACCGATCAGCAGCTGTTTTCGAATCCTGGGACCGGCGGCCTGGTCGACGTCCTGGCGCGGCAGCCGGAGTTCTTCCTCAGCCAGTTTGCGGTGTCGATGGTGAAGTTGGGGAATGCCAACGTGCTGGTAGGACAAAACCAGGGCGAAGTCAGATTGAAGTGTGACTATGTCAACTATTGATCGTCCGCCGCCATTGCCAATGCTCCTCCATCTTCGTGGCGACATGGAATGACCTTCCATACTTCGTTTCCATTTATTTGTCTGTTTTATTGCATTTATTAAAGCTGTATTTTATGGCTAAAGGATATACTATATTTTTTCGGATGTAAATTTGTCAATATTTTGTCAAACCCAAACATTTGACTACAACCCACCATTAACGCTTCACCATTAACACTCCACCAATGTCTGAAAAGAAAATGAAAAGTATTAATCGCTGGCTCCACGTCGGGATGCCGACAGTATGTATTAAATATTCAAAAGCCATCGCTTTCGTTTCGTCTTCGCTCTTTAATCAAGTTTGAGATTTGGGTTTAGTTTTTTGCCATCTGTTGCCGAAAGGTTTCCCTAATCTTGATTAGGAAAGCGAGATTTTCAGTTTCAGTTTCAGCCTCACCCAAACCCTACTTATTTTAAAACTAGATCACTCACTGCGTTGTGCCCCACGACCACAAAACAGAGTAAAGTGAATATTCGAGAACAAGGTTCTGATCTGTTGAAGCTATGGCGAAAAAGGCTGTGCTAATCGGGGTCAATTATCCAGGGACGAAGGCGGAGCTGAAGGGATGCATCAACGATGTTCGACGGATGTACGCTAGCCTGGTGGAGCGTTTCGGTTTCGCGGAGGAGGATATTACGGTGCTGATAGACACCGACGATTCATACACCCAGCCTACTGGCCGGAACGTCCGCGCCGCGCTGGCGAATCTGGTGGAATCCGCCCAGCCCGGAGACATTCTCTTCGTTCACTACAGCGGCCACGGAACGCGCCTTCCGGCGGAGACCGGCGAGGAGGATGATACCGGGTACGATGAGTGCATTGTTCCTTGTGACATGAACCTCATCACTGGTGAGCTCCATTTCCCCCTTGTATGTATCTTTTTGGTGATTCTGATCGTGTTGAATTTGTTCGATCTATTTGAATTTGGTGTGAATTGTGGATTAGGTTTAAGATCAAAGTCATAGACCATTAGAACTTCAATTGCGTTATCACAGAACAAATAGGTTTCTGCAGTTTGACTTTGAATAGATTTGGACTGATTGGTGGTTGATGCTTTGACTGTCGGGGCAGATGATGATTTCAGAGAATTGGTTGACAAAGTGCCAGAAGGATGCCAGCTGACGATCGTGTCCGATTCTTGCCACAGCGGAGGCCTGATCGATGAGGCCAAGGAGCAGATTGGGGAGAGCACTAAACAGGGCAAGGAAGAAGGCGAAGATTCTGGGTTTGGCTTCAAGAAATTCCTCCGAAGAAGCGTCGAAGATGCAATTGAGTCACGCGGCATTCACATACCTTCCGAATTGAAATTCGGGCATCGCGACAGGCGCCACGATGAACAAGAGGAAGAAGAACAATCTGGAGAGGGTTATCAAGGGGATGTCCATGTTAAAAACAAATCCTTGCCCTTATCAACTCTCATCGAGCTGCTCAAACAGAAGACAGGAAAGGATGACATCGATGTTGGTAAAATCCGGCCGACTCTTTTTGATGCATTCGGGGATGATGCCAGCCCTAAAGTCAAGAAATTCATGAATGTTATCTTCAACAAACTAAAAGGCCATGGTGAGGGCCAGGGTGAAGGGGGTGGGTTTATGGGCATGGTAGGGAGCTTGGCTCAGCAATTTCTCGAGCAAAAGCTCAACGACAACGATGAAGGATACGCAAAGCCTGCATTGGACACCCATGTTGGAAGCAAAACCGAAGCTTACGCTGGATCTGGCAAAAGAGGACTTCCTGATAGCGGAATTCTTGTCAGCGGCTGCCAGACAGATCAAACATCTGCAGATGCCAATCCTAACCCATCCGGCGACGGCAGTGGAGCTTATGGCGCGCTGAGCAATGCCATTCAGACTATAATTGCAGAATCGGATGGGCGAATTACCAACAGGGAAGTGGTACTTAAAGCCAGAGAGCTGTTGAAGAGACAGGGCTTTACTCAGCGCCCGGGGCTCTACTGCAGCGACAATCATGCCGAAGCTCCTTTCATTTGCTGATGCAACTGAACTAAAGTATCCTATGTTTGGGATTGATTCGATGAGAATTTTGTTTGGTAAGTATGTTTTGTGTGGTGTGCTTGTTTATGTGTTGTCTTGAAACTTGTCCTTTGCTCCCCTTTTATGGGATTACTTGGAATGTACAATAAATTATACCCTACAGCAATCAGCTCTCTGTACTTTGAAATTGTGGGATGAGCGCGAGGATTTTGTGATATTTGTTTCAGTTTGTCATTCAGATCAATGGTGTGAAGTTTTTGTGAATTACTATATAATACTACATGTATTGAAAAATCTACTGCTGTAGAAAATGAAAGCACAAATTTCGAGGTGTCAATTGCAGAGGGAATCATGCAGGTAAGCTGCTTCGTTGCAACTGCTCATTAAAGTCGAGATTAGATGATGAGTCCGCAAGGAAGGAATCACATTCCTCCGACACCCGGCAATTGGGCGTCAATTCTGCAAAATAAATTGTACTTCCAGATGCTCGACGCAATTTCCTCGTAACTGCAACGGCAATTTGCGTTGTTTCCTTTTCTCAATCCGCTGTGGATAGTTGTGGTTGATAGCGTGTATAAATTACGCGGAGGAGGAATTGAAGAAATGTTATGGGAAATCTGCTGTTTCGGTCCAGCAAGCGCAGTCGCGATGATGGCAGCTCGGTTGGAGGAAGGAGCTCTGTAATTGCTCGTTTGCCAAGGTTAGTCTTATCTTCCATCGCTGATAAACCGTTTCGAAATCGGGGCACAGAAGTCGGGGACAATAATCGATTTCCTTCTGCTACTTTTGTTGACGACAGTGTGACCAGGAGTGCTGCTGGTAGGGCAGGTGCCATGGGTTCCAGCAGCGCTGGCGTTGATAAGATGAAAAAGTACGCATACATCCCTGATAATTTCACCTCCATCAACCAGGTTCCTCTCTGCTTGCCCTAATTTATCGCTTTCCTGTAACCTAATTAAGCTTCTTCATTTTCTTCCCCCGTGTTTTTACAGAACTACCTGCATCTTGTATATGCTTAGTTTCTTTATAACTCAACTAAAATATTCCCTGCCATTTCGCCGTTCAACCCTTAAATTATGCAGCCTAGATATTCATTCATGATCTTGATGGTAGAGTTGCAGAGAAGTCGATGAAGTGTAACTGGTGTTTTGTGTTTTTTTCTCAACTAAGGTTGACTTAACCTGAGCAATGACTTGGTTTAGAGCTTCAAGTCAACTCAATGTTTCTATCATTCAATCAATATATTAATTATTTCAGACATTCTGTATAAGACTTTACACATATCTCATCAAGGCATCATAGTTGGTGGCTCCCCCACTATTCCGCTTGCAGATAGGTAGATGCTGAGGTATTATCCATAACAACCACTCCAATAGTTAAAGAAAAAAAACCGACTTAGACTTTTGTCGTCTTCATTTGATCGGTTCCTCCTTCATGTGGGAAAAGAAGGTAGTAAAGCAGTTCCTGGTTGATCTTTTTTTTTTTATCTCAAGGAAAAAGTTGGGAAGCAATTAAGCAAAGCAAACCTTGCCTAATCTCTTGTTTGTGTGTGGATCATCATCATCAGCATGATAAATAGCCTGTTTTTAGTTTCATAAAGGTCCAATTATTCCGCCCATGCAGAGATGCATGGGCATTAACTAGCAATAGACTTGCCCAAATGGCGAGGGAACGACAATGGTTAAGAATGTAACCAAAATCAAACCTTTTAGGTTGAATTTTGTTTCATATCTTTTAAAATCAAACCTTTTAGGTTCAAATTGTTGATTTTTCATCTCATATGCATCGCTCAATTTGTTTGCTCAATTTTCTTATTATTACTGGATGCAAGTCTGAGTGTTTTGTTTTTTTGTAATTTTTCTAATGTTGGGTTATATCATACTTATATTTGAATCATCAATGGACTTTGCGCATACAAGTTGCAAAGTAAGTTTCAGAAGTATAATGAATTGTAACTTGAAAACAACTATTAATGAGTTTTTGAATTCAATTTTAATCATTATTTTACTTGCAATTTTCGAATTCCGCTGTATTATATAATCAATTTGTTAAAGAAAATATATTTATATATAAACACAAACTAGTGGTTTTAAACTAGAAAAATAAAATAAAATAAAATTGTAAATTTGTTCACTTTTCAATTATTTTAACATTTAACAGTATTCAGTCCTCATTATTATCTATAAAAATACACAATTTTTTCTTAAAAAACATGACATTCAAACCTTCAAATAGAAAAACTAAAACTAAAATCCAAAGAAATTACCAACAATTAAAAGCAACCGAAACCAACCAAATCTTTGATCACTTCTTTGGTTAGATACTTTGACCAGTCGAAATCAGCTGTTAAAATCATCTGAGTAAGTCTAATTCGAAGGGTTGCATTTCCATTTGTCGAAGATTTCTGTAAGGAAGAAATACTAAGGAATGCCTAAAATGAAATACTAGCAATTATCACTGCTACTATGTATTCTCACATAATTAATCAGTACTGTTTATGTATTTGTAGCAAAAGTTTATGTTAAAAACTGGAATTTTCAGGTGACAACAGCCTTGAGAGAAGCTGGTCTAGAGTCATCCAATCTGATTATTGGTATTGATTTTACAAAAAGTAACGAATGGACAGGTTTGTATAAAATACATAGTTAAATAAATGTCTGGAAGATTCATTTGAAAGATGGGATGAAAATGCACATTTGGGACCTCTGCAATTGAATGTATGTTAATGCTAAGTGTTTCAATTAGCTTCTGATTTTGGCTGTGCTGCTTAAATATTAACTTATTTATCTTCCTTTTATAGTTTAGATGACACTCCCTAGTTTAGACAAACACATTCTTTTTTTCTTTAATTTTTTTAAACAACGGATGGCATGCTGTTTGGCATTTCAAAAATCTTTTGCTGCATTCTTGTGCATATGGTTTGAATTTCCAGTGCAATGATGCTCTGTTAGTTTCCATGTTTAGAATTCTGATCTCAAATGCGAATCCAATTTAAGTATGATAGAAAGAGAATATTTTTGTTTTTCAATCATGCAATTATTTTTGTTTTAACATTTTATAAGTGTGTTTGCGTATCAAATTTTTTTGCCAATATAGTCTTTGCATTATGTGTTGGATTAGGTGTTATATGGTGTTCTGTAATGTAATTATCTTTCCACTGAAGGCAAAGTTTCATTCAACAATCGAAGCCTTCATGCTATTGGCAGTGTCCCTAATCCTTATGAAAAAGCAATAACTGTGATTGGAAAGACTTTGGCCCCATTTGATGAAGACAATTTAATTCCTTGTTTCGGGTTCGGTGATGGTTAGTTTTTTAAAGATTTTAATCAACAATTCTGAGTGTTGATATTTTAGCTGACTCATTGTTTAAGAATAAATTTATGATAACTTATTTGTATTGTTTTTTTTCTACCTTGCAGCAACTACTCATGATCAGGAAGTATTTAGCTTTCACAGTGACCACACTCCTTGCCATGGCTTTGAAGAAGTTTTGGCCTGCTATAAAAAAATAGTTCCAAATTTACGATTATCTGGTAAGATGAATTATTTGTTTTTGCATCACAATTTTCCAAGCCAACTCCATATTTATCAGTAAACATCACCAGAAGTTGTTATTGGGGACATAAAACATGTTGCTAAATTACATGTCTCTGATTGTTTCTATCTTCTGTTTTTCTTGGTTTCAAGGTCCGACCTCTTATGGACCAGCAGTGGATGCTGCAGTAGATATAGTGGAGAAAAGTGGTGGACAGTACCATGTTTTGGTGATCATAGCTGATGGCCAGGTGACCTGCCTCTCTCATTCAAGTAAAAGTTTATATATCTATCCATGCATTATCTCAGCAATAAATTACTTAACCAAATGAAGGTTACAAGAAGTGTCGATACAAGTGATGCTGAACTCACCCCACAAGAAGAGAAAACAATTAAATCCATCGTGAATGCAAGGTGCAAAATTGCTACATGAGTTTGCCTAGGGAATTAATAGCTTGGAACTGGCTCTGTGTAAGAATTTAATCTACTGGAACATTGTATAAGGTTAAAAACTGACGATTTGAAAAGTTGATTAAACATCTGTCCTGCATAAATTTATAGTTAAAAGAACTTAGATGAGAATTACAGAAACTCTTTCCCCTTTTCCATCAACCAACTTGAATAGGGCACAGTTACACTTAGAATCTAGTTTTAATCTCCAGTCTTTTGTCTTCTGACCTTAACATCTAGCACTTGCGCATGAACAAGGATATGACAGGAATGGATTATAAGGGATCACACCAAACCTCAAGTTTTCTTCAAGTTAGAATGAATATATTGAATTACAGTGTGTGCTGTTTGTTCATTTATTGTTATCAGTCAGCATCCTCTCTCAATTGTTCTTGTTGGCGTTGGTGATGGGCCCTGGGAAGATATGCAAAAATTTGATGACAAGATCCCTGCTCGTAAATTTGACAACTTTCAGGTATTGCTCTCAATAAATTGCTTTATAGAAAACAAGAATACACCTCTAATAGTGTGGCTAATTTTACTGTGTTTGCAGTTTGTTAATTTTACTTCTATCATGTCAAGAAACATTTCATCTTCTGAAAAAGAGGCTGCCTTTGCTCTTGCTGCTCTCATGGAGATTCCAATTCAATATAAAGCAGCAAGAGAATTTGGTCTGCTGGGGTAAGTTAACAGATTAAAATTGTTTCTATGACCTTTCCATACAATGTGAAGATTATGCTGAATCTCCCTCCCCACATTCTCCTACTGAACCGAAGACGGGTGACTGGCAAAGCCAAGAAAACAGTACCTAGGCCCCCGCCAGTACCATACTCTAGCCTGTCAAGATTTCCATCACGAGAGCCTAGCAACGTTTCACCAGCAGCCCAAGATGATCGAAATCAGGTAATGATCACTGCAGCTTACTTGTGTGTATAAAAATAATCTATTGCCATACAATTTTGCTGCACATTACCAAGTGGCAGCATAACATATACAATCTGCAACTAATAGTCGGCTAGATGGAATGAATTGGTTTGTTCTTGGATATACTTACTAAACCAATTCGGCTGCAGGTCTGTCCAGTTTGCTTAACCAATGCAAAGGATTTGGCATTCAACTGTGGACACATGGTGAGTTCTACCATTACAAGTTTTTAGTTCCTTCAGCAGGAGAAGGAAGACACAACATAACCTGTTCATTGCAGACTTGCAGAGATTGCAGCTCAAGGTTGTCCGAGTGCCCCATCTGTCGGCAGCGCATCACAAGCCGTCTCAGGCTATATGCTTAATCGTTGCTGCAAATTCCGCGCAAGATTCAGCTTGTAAGGTTCTGTTAGTAAGACTGAATTTCATAAAAGCTTGAAGCCATCTCTCCTGCAATGGTGACTATATGCCCCACCAGTTTACTCTAGTAAGTTAGTGTTGATCTTGAATCAGTTTGGATCTACTGTAAATATACATATATGTATATATGTGTGTGCTTGCTACTCTACTTTGGTTAAATGTACATATTTTGCTGGTACTGCCTCAAGACAAATTAATTTCCTTGCATCATTATAATGTGTACTAGAGCCATCTCTCCTGTAATGGCATTTGTGATCAAGAAAAATAAAAATTTAGACTGTGAAATAATAATTTGATATAATATAAATAAGTGGTTGCAATTTTAATTTGGACTTAGGACAAAGATTTAGCTAAGATCCTACTTTAATTATATTAACTCGGTAATTAGGATGCGATTCAAGAGTAATCCACTGAGAACCTAATAGAATATTTTGAAAGAGTAATCTACTAAAAACCTAATTGAATATTTTAAAAATTTTGAAATCTGATCCATACATTTGAAAATAAAATAATTATATTGCTTAATACGAAGATTTTACCCTAATAATTGTCGGATAACCTGAAACGTTAGGAGGTTTGAACCCAATATATAATTTTTTTTTTTTTTTTAGAATTACTACGATTAATGCGTGGGACCAATTTGAATTGAGAGTGAGACGTCACGTCCAGTCAGCAATTTGCTTTTGTCTCATCTGTGCTACGTCGTGTGAATAGAGTTAGTGCTGAATTCTTGACTGGACTGCCTTTTCCTTCCACCAAACCGTATTTAGAATTTGAACAAAAAGATGACACCACCGCTGTTACTGAAATAGAAATCTTTTGCATTTAAAGAATTTTTTTACAAAATTAAGATTAAATTCAATCTATAATATCCAAATGAAGAAAATTAATTAAGTGGGCGGTGTGCTAGAGAAGATGAATCAAAGGGTCTTTCTTTCGGCAAATAAAATCAATCACTTGTGTGTTTGTGAATGCAGGAGAATATTACACTTATTATTAGAGATTAATACCAATTTGTCAACACAACCCATTGATGTACATATTTTCTTACCAAAAACATATATATATATTTTGTAAATTGGGTGCCACGTAGACCATAGATGTATATATATATATATGTTGTAGTGTGGGGTTATTCAATTCTACAATAAAGTGTGCAAAAGGAAAGGAGGAATGAAAGATGAAGGCAGTCAAAGATAGGGTAAATGTAATGATTGTGGAGTTTGTTAATTTGTTGGTATTTATATATGTGGGCTTATAAAAAAGGATAATAGAAATTATAAGGAAAGGGGAGTTGAAAGAAGGAGATGAAAAACACATTAAAAAAAAGAAAAAGCACATGAGACATTTTAATGGTGGTGGACAAGGACTACTGCTACTACTTGTACTATACAAGAGGAAAAATCAAATAAAATCATTTTAATGTAAATGCAATTAAATAAATAAAATCCTATTAATTAAAAGCATCCCCAAATCAAAGAGTGACAGGTCAGGGTAGCCATTGATTGCCACCTAATGAGTTAATGATCAAAGTGTGTTTTTCCCCTCAGCCCCCTTTGGGATAAACTGTAAAGTTTGATGGGCCCTTCCTAGTTAAAATTAATTAATTTTATTAATATATCTAATTAGATATGACGACTAAGCCCAGTCTTTGTTTATTATAACTAATTGGGTTTTTGTTTTATGTGATGACAGATTTTCTTTAGAGGCTGATTTTTTGTTGTTAGAAAGAATCACAAGAGGGGCCGGGCCGGGCCTCCATGTTCGCTCTCACTTAGGGCTCTCCAACGGTCATGCACTGCACACATCATATTTCATATTTATATATGACTTCATAAATCGACAACTAGTTAATTAACAAATATCACAGATTGGATCTCTCATGATCAGTATAATATAATTGTGATAAATTGATTAATTGGAAGAGGTAACTAACTGGTTTATTGGAACAACGTAAAAATAAGTTAACACAAATGAGGGATGGAATGTATAATGATTGGATCTGACATCTGAGACAGAGAGGATTAAATATTTAAATAATTATTATAATAAAATAAAATAAAGGTAAGTGAGAATGAAAATTTATTTATTTAATTAAAATTAATGAAGGAATAGCGTGTTGTGGGGGTGGGTCGGCCGTCGGTGGGTGGCCCAGCAGCCTTTTCATGGGTCCCTTTCTCTTTTTGCTTCTTTTCTGACAATCAAAGCACTTCTTCTTCTATTTCTAATTCTAATTCTACTGTTGATTGATTACATTATTCATTAATCTTCTACCCTTTAAATAAATTAATGAACTACCCATCTGTTAAATTAATTTATAACACCATTAATTAATGAATTAGATGAGATTAGATCTCTATCCTCTTAATTACATCATCCACTGATCCCCATGTCCCCCAGGCCACTTTAACTGTCTGCATCCTATATATGCTATAATAATCATATATCTTGGACATTCTTCTTGGATTTCTACATGCATTATTATCTTATTCACATCTGCTGCTACCAGTTAGGAAACTGAGGCTTTTATCGTCGTTTTGATCTGATGCAAGAAATTAAAGACCACACTTAATTACAAGTACACTGCAAGAACAATAGCTAGCTATATATATAATCTGTGTTCATTCATTCAGTCAGGATATATCTATCACATTGTGGTGTGAACTTATCTGATAAAGTGTGAACTCACAAGTAGATAAAAACATAAAGAAATTAAAAAATATTAACTGCTGATGCAGAAAAGACAGGAGATGATGAGGACCACTTTAATGTCTTCTCATCCCCACATCTCCCTCTCTCTCTCTCTCTCTCTCTCTCTCTCTATATATATATATATATATCTCCCTCTATCTCTCTCTCTCTCTCTCTTATATATATAGGAATGATCGAGCAAGCTGTTGTGGGCGACAATATCACTTTTCCAAACCCTAAATAAATATATATATATATATATCGAATTTGAGTAACTTTAGGAGTGGATTGATTGATCTGCAGGTAGAGGTAGATGGGGGCGATGACTCTTCCTCCAGGTTTCCGATTCCATCCGACGGACGAGGAGCTCGTTGCCTACTATCTTGATCGGAAAATCAACGGCGGAACCATCGAGCTCCAAGTAATTCCCGAAGTTGATCTCTACAAATGTGAACCCTGGGATTTACCTGGTAATATAATTTAATTAATTAATCGATTCAAGTAAATTCTTCTTCGTTGTAGTAATGTTCTCTGATCCATGTCCACTGTAATTTGAAAACACAGATAAATCTTTCCTGCCAAGCAAGGATATGGAGTGGTATTTCTACAGTCCCCGCGACCGGAAATACCCGAACGGTTCGAGGACGAACCGGGCCACCCGGTCCGGCTACTGGAAAGCGACCGGAAAAGATCGGCCGGTGACGTCGCATAAACGGCCGGTGGGGATGAAGAAGACGTTGGTTTATTACAGAGGGAGAGCGCCGCACGGCATCAGAACCGATTGGGTAATGCACGAATATCGCCTCCTTGAATCCGATTCATCCGCCATTGGATCAAATCTCAAGGTACTACTATTAAACTTCTGGTTAATTTGTTAAATTAGGGTTTCCAAAATGTCCATTGATTAAAAGAGTTTTTACAATTGGGATCATCTTCTCATATCCCAACATTCTTTCCGGAAAATTCCACACCTTTTTTTAATTTCAATCACGCATTCTGCAGGATTCGTATGCACTCTGCAGAGTTTTCAAGAAGAACATTGTCATACAGCACAAGAACACAACTGCCAAGCAGTCACCGGCAGGGGCCGCCGTCGATCAAGCCCTTTGGGACGACGACAGCCCGGAGACATCTCGGGATCACCGAGACGCCGCCGGCGAGGACGAAAGCACACTAAAAACTTCGAAAAACAATCTGGCGGAGGCATCGTCGTCAGATCTCACACAAGGGACGATAACACCATTGCCGTTGGGATCTAAGGAGGGTTTAAGTGCAGCAGTGATCGCATCATCGGACGAAGTAAACAGCTCCTACGACTGCTACGATCATACCCAAAACATCTCGAATTTGTTTCACCAGGTACGAGAATCGATTAATTTCATTAATCAATAATTACAGCATTGCACGCAGTTCGAGAGAATTGATGGTCCCAGGAATGATCGTAGTGGGGACTCAATGGGTTCCTCTTTTTATTGAAAAAAAATTTGCAAAAAAAGAAAAGCTCACTAAAGTAGCAGATAGGGAAGCCATGAACGAACTCATCAAAGATCAAAGATCGCATCTTTAATTTCTCTAAAGCAGGAAAATAAGTATCTCCCGACTGACTGATGGCTTTTCTCACCATTTCCCATAAATTCTTTTGACTGACCAAAATCATGTCTTTCCCCCCTCACCGATCCACCCACAAATTTAAAAATTTTAATTAATTACTTCGAATCTCAGCAGGATGATTACAGTTACACAGCCGCCGGCGTATTTTATGAACCGCCGGCGGCCGGCTGGTGTCCACTGGGAACGGAGGATTTCCCACAAATCGGAGACGATCTGATAGATGCAAAACTCGCCGGCGATTGGGACCACAGATTCAGCGAGTGCCTGAATGGAACTGCAACGCTGGAAGAGCTTTATTCTCTGTACTGTTCTTCCCGCGACACCATTAACAACGCCCAAACTTTCACAGGAATCAACTGAAGTTAAATCTTATATATATATATTTCAACTGAAATGAATTAAATCTTATATTTTGACATACAGGTTTCTTGTAATCAGATTAGCTTAACTGCTAATGCTGAGGTAATAGATGCATCATATTATATATATATATATATATATATACGTGGATGTATTTATAATTTGTTGATTAGTTTTTCGAGTTCTGTTTTTGATGGTGAAAGGAGTGAGTCCTAATTTTTAACATATACTGTAGCAAAAGTGTATTCTATTTTATTCATTGTTGTGGAATTTTATAAGTTTTTTGAGTTTGCTTTCAAATTAAAATAAAAGCCAGCTGAGATGATATTCTTTCATTTCCTCAATTAATCCTCAGAAAATATTAAATAATTCATTTACATTTATTCGATAATTAGCATATTGTCCCTAGTGATTTCCAGATGTTTCTTCCCAATTTTAAGAGTTTTGACCAGAAGAAAGGATATGTTTTGAAGTATTTTACAGGATTTTAAAAATAATATTTTATGACATACACTTTACACTTAATATTTTGATTTTTTGGTTATATATATAAAAAAAAGGAAATTGAAATAATTTTTTATAAAAAAGAGAAAATTGGTTATGGAGTTTATAGTGCCAAAATAGAAGAAAATCCAAATCTGTAACACATATATATTAGAACCATTTTTAAGTTGAAAGTTGGGTAAGGGTGTGTTTGTTTGGCGTGTTTAGTTGTAAGATTATGATTTATGGTTGTTTTTGTTGGACTGGGTTAACTCAACAGTATGATATTGTCCGTTTTGGGCTGAACCCGCACGGATTTATTTTTGGATATCCTCACCACAACCAATGTCCAATGCCACCCAGTCTACTTCACTATTTAACCGGGCTCTGATACCAGAGTTAGGACTAGTTCAACTCAATACTAGTACAATATTTTCTGCTTTGGGCTAAGCCCGCACTTGGATATTCTCCAAAAGACCTCGTTCTCGTTCTATTGTAATTCACTTGGGACTTGTAAGGTATGCAATTTTCTTCACAACTTCGACGTGGGACTTGGGTTTGCACCCCAACAGTTTTGAATTGAAATAGTGTTTGATGTTTGATATAAATATAAATTTACGTGATATTTTGAATATAAAATTAAATTTTAGTGTAATAAAATAAATAAAATATAATTTTTGATTTGATTTGTTTGAAGAGAAAATAAAGTTGTAATACTAAAATTAGGATAAAATCTCAGAAGTAAACAAAACCTAGTGTGTTTTATTTATTATTATCACTTTTTTTCAAGATACGAAGAATTGTATTATTAATATAAAAAATAATATTGTACCGAATATTATTATTATTATTATTATTATTATTATTTAAAAAGAATAGAATATGTATTAAAAATTATATCAGTAAAAAATGATTTGGATGAATAATCTAAATTAATTATGTTTTAAGATAATATCTTCTAGCTTGTTCTCATGACTTGGGCTAGCCGAAAAGTTAGCAAAGTCGGTAAGATAATAAGATAACATAAATCAAATTTCCATATATAAATAATTAATTAGTACCATAAATAAATCGATCAATAATTACATATGACCTTCGGTGTGGATCATATGCCCAAAAAATTCATTTAGCATAGGTGCTGCTGATAACATAAAATTTAATTACTCTAGTTTATATAATTAAATAATTAATAAATATATTTAGAGATAATATATTTTTAAACATCAGCAAAAGTGTTGAATAAATTCCTGAATTTTATTCGGCACCTGATCTACGCTGTATGAACTTACACAAACATAACTATCACATTTAGCAAGATATAATTGTATAGTTTATTTTTCGTAGCTAGTAAATGATTTAAAGGCCATTGATAAGTTTTTGTTAATATTATACTCGTTCAATTCATTTAGAAGGTTAATATTTACATGCACAAAATTTAATAAATATTGTATTTTAATGATAATTTGTATGTAAAAATTATCTTACCTCTATAATGTATAAAGTTAACATGAGAGTATTGATGTAACTTTACGGTCACCAATCTATTTTTACGGGACATGTACTTCTTAATTCAATCAATAATATATTGTACATGAGTTTTTCAAAGAAACGTGTATATTTGTTGACAATGTTAACACATTTATAGTTTTGGATGATACTATGTCAAGGCCAGTCGAATGACCTACATCATCACTCTACGCTCAGAAATTGACTTTGTTGAAAGTCAAAACAAATTTTATCTCATGATTCTATGACCGAATCATGAGGTTAATTGGAAGAATAACCATTTTTAATTAGAAGAGTAAAATTGAATTTAATTAAAATTGTTATTTGGAAGTGATCTCAACAAAATAACCACTCCCAAAGTTGTTACAAAAGCAATTAGTTCATTCAGCTAGGTAAGAGAGACTGTGTAGTTGAGAGCATTAGAGACAGAATTTTTCAAGAACTTCTACACGAAAAGAGAGAGGGCTGCAGGAATTTGGTTATAATTTCTGGAAAATTATTTCGTGATAGCAGATACCTTCCGTGAAAAAGACAGACTGAATGCAAATATATAGTTCGTAATCCGATTGTAGAACATATCACACAGACAAAATAGAACAGTAAGAGAGTCTTGTAGTCGAATTATATTCCGTTTGAGATTCTTTGCTGGTGATTCAAAAGACACCGGCGAAGAAATTTACATCATACAAAGTTGAGAATACTTATATGTTTGTGTTCTTGATAGATATCATTGGGAGATAGTCATTGAGATGTATAATTCGACCGATTTATAGTGGATTGGAGCCTAGGTTGGAACCCTATTTTTATTTGATCCAACTGAGTAAACAAACTTTTGTGTTTTTCTGTTTACATGTTCAGAACAAAACTACTCGTTATCATGTTCAGTAGATTATATTTTCAGAACAAAACTATTCTGTTGTGTGTTAAATCTAACTCTGAATTTATTAAAATGTGCACATAGTTGATTTTCGGGACAACAATCTTCTATTAAAAAAAAAAAATGAAACAGCAAAATAATACTTAGTAAAATTCTACACTTATGAATAAAAAGGGAAAATAATCAATTTCTTTCCTTTGGAAAATCAATTTATTGAATACAGTAGGTAAAGTCAATACTCATTCTTTCGTTCCTCATGTATTGTTCCCTGCGGAAATATTATAATGTGTGGGGGATAATGATACTGTTACGGCCTTCGTGAATATGACAAATGAAGAAGAAGAAGATGTGGATAGAGTTTAATTTGTGGGCAACAGATAAGTAATGCTTAGGATTGCCTGTGTCGTGTCCAGCCACCTATCAATGGCCGTCTGCCTCCTTTTTAATTAATTTTATGTACTATGATAATTGATGTGTTCAGATCAAGCATGGCCATGGCCGCCGCAATATATGTATATATAATTATATACGTACTATGGTTTTGCAATTAATGAATTAAGATATTAATTAATTAACATATAATTAACATGTACGGAACAGAACTACTGTAACGACGGACTTTCAGACGCAGTATATTCCGGCGGCCGCCGCCGCATCCTTCCGCTCTTCTTCCTCCATTGTATCGCAGGTGATTCTGCCTCTCGTTTCCGGCAGGCACGCCACGAACAGCCCGCACGTCGATATTGTCACCCCGAAAACGCCGAACGACAGCAGCCCGTTTTTTCTGCCGGCGGCGACCAGCACCGGACTGAAAACCCCGCCGAGCACCAGCGCCTGCCGTACCATCGACACCGCCGAGTTCCTCACCGTTGTCGGAAAAAGCTCGAGCGTGTAAATCATCACGACGTCGAACGCCGTGCAGGCGCAGAAGAACGACACGAGCTCCAGCACGATTTGGGTGCCCTTCCACGTCACCAACACGCAGCCGACGCTGCAAATTCCGGCGAGCAACGACAATCCCAACACCGACTTCTTCCTGTCCAATCTTCCGATCAGGACATACGTCAGAAACGACGCCGGGAATTCCGACAGGGCGTTCAATACAGTGCTTAGGTAAAGATTTATCGACAGGTTCCCCAGCCCCAACGGCATTCCGTAGTATATCATCCCGATGCCGAATCCCACCACCATCACCGCCGCCAGCCGTCGCAAGGACCACCCCTTCGACACCAATGTTTTCAGGGCGGCGAAGACGTCGGGCTCCTCCGACGTCTCCTCCCACGGCGTGCACCTCCCGAAGAAGCTTTGGGTTAAGCTGCTCTGGTTCGCCGGCGACGCGATGCTTCTCAATGTATCTGCGAATTCGTCTTTCCGGCCTTTGATGAACAGCCATCTCGGCGATTCTCGGACAAGGAAAAGCACCGACAACGAGTACAGCACCGACGGGACACATGTCCAGAGGTAAATTAACCTCCACGACGAGCCCTGGAGGAAAAACGCAATAATCGGCAGAGACAGGAATCCGAGAGTGAAACAAATGAATCCGACGATCCCGATGTTCTCCCTCCATCTTTTTCCGACGAGCTCCGTCGACAAAACCAGAGCGCAAGTGCCGACCGTCGCCCGCCCAAATCCGGCGACGAATCGCAAGGCGGAGTACATCCATATATTCGTTGAAAACGCCGTCATCACGCCGGTTAACGACATAATCATGCTCGACAGGACCAGCATGTTCTTCCGGCCGAGAGACGAGTCTGCCAGTCCGGCGAGGGCAAACCCTCCGATGAGGCACCCCAAGAAGAACGACGACGCCGGTAGGCCTGTTACAATTGACCCGGCGCACTGAAGCGACCAATCCGATAAAATCGACATACTCGCCGGCGAGTCCCACGACCACGACTCCCGGGGGATCTCACAGATGTTGCTGCCGGCGCTGCACGTCGCCGAATCGGTACAACTCCATTTAAGCTCTGCATCCGTAAACACGCTGATAAACGTCTGCTGCGCGTCGAAGAACCAGGCGAAGCTGACGAGCGTCGCCTGTAGAATTTGGGTCCACCCGAAGTCTCCGATGCAGTGCTCGATGGTGTCGTCGAGAGATGTCCGGCACCGCGCCGCTTTCCCCGCCGGCTCCATCAACGGCGGCAGATCGTCCGACGATAGTAGTGGATTCGGATCCGCCATATAAATTTATATATCTATACAATTGGCTCTGGGCCTATCTACGAGTAAGGAGGGTAAGGTCTAATTCTCGCAATAAATTCGCTGTGTAGAACTCAGAGAAATTGGGGATTTTATATATAGCCGTTTCCGGAATCACCTCCGCCCGCGTTCGTACACTTTGTTGAGATTTAAAAATTATCGGATTACTGTGGGTATGATATGATATATCCATGACGTGTAATAACAATAAACAAATATTTAATTATCCGATCCAAAAAAAAATAAAATAACAATAATAAACAAATATTAATTATATATATATATAAATAAAATACAGATAGATAGACACATACCGACTGCTACAGTATTGCGGCTGACAGTGCGTTGACTGAGAGTGATGGGAAGTCCAGGTCCCCAGCACCTGGTAAATCGACGCCATGGATATTCCATGGACCACAACAATGATTACATCTGATGTTACAATCCACGTAGTCCCTGCCATTGAACAATGTCCTAATTAACAACTTGCAGGGCAGAGATAAGAGTGGAAAATATAATATAATAAAATAAAATGGATGATATATTATTGGTGAATCAAGCTAGAATGATCGTCTGATAATAGTTTTAAAATATGGGAATCAATATTCAACTATATCCCGTCGCATTCACACCGCGTTTTGGGCAGCTGGAATGTTACACTTGTGTGTTGTTTGTGGGATACAACTCATGAATTAATTGTCATGTCTTTCGTCTACGTACAATAATCAATAAATTATACTACTATATACTTACTATATGTAACGAAATTAATAAACTATCAACAGTAAATAGCTCTGATTACCCTAGCAGAATCGTCTAGGTCAATTATCCTATAATTCAATATATAATTCTGACACATATTTATATCACATTATACAATTATTTCAATTCAAAAATTTTACTATTCAATCACTCTAATTTCTACTTATGCTATTAGAGTTCTTCTATTTATAATTCTGATTTTTCTTCTTGATTAAAGTTCCTAATAGCTTCTACCTCCATAGAATATTTTGATCATCATTATTTTCAAGTTATATTGCTTGCTTTCAATTTCATTTGGAAAAACTTAAGCTGTTCTCTTTTAGACCACTTGAATTTTAGGAGATGTAATATATATTTAATATATCTAAATCCAACCCAAACCTTTAAATCGAAATAAAAGTTTAATATTGTATTTTGAACAAAAACAATAATTGATTTAATATTATATATATCTTCAATCAAAAATATTTTTAGGTGAATTATTTTTCGTGAGAAAGCGAAAGGACAACTCAAGCTGGACAAAGGAGGAAGACCAGGTTCCACGTCAGACACACGCAAGCCTAGAAATCATTGTAGCTGCCACTCATATAATAAAGCAACTTATTATAGAGGATTTTGGCGGGAAAATTACAAATTTGCAATGGTAATAAATTCTTAATAAATCTGGCACTGCTAAAACAGACAGAATGGTTAACAATGGAGTACTAACAGTAAGTAACAAGGACAAGACGTGGAAGAAGAATGTAGTAGGAATCACGTAGGGTCAACGGACAAATTAAAAATTGAATGCAGGGGTGGGTGCGAATGTGTTGGCAGTGACGCATTTCCACGTCAACTTCGATTCATTATTAAATAATATTATAATAAATAAATAGTATTTCTACGACGGATCCAAGTTGGGCTAATCATGCATGCAAATTGCAATGGAGACCATCTGACGTGGCACCACGTGGAAAAACAAAAACAAAAAAAAGAAAAGAAAAACATAGACGTAGGCATATTCTTGTGTCCGTCCATCCTTACAATCGGAATTTCAATAAAATTCAATTTTTTAAATAAATCTGCTCTATTTAATTTTATTTAGAGTATGCACCAAATTAATAAATAATTGTGGTAGCGGTGGCCGCCAATCGAAATGTAATATAAGGGAGTGTTACATGATTTTATTTAATTATTAAATAGATTGATTTCTTTGTTTTTTTCTTGGGAAGGATTCTTGTGGATCCGTACGAACCAGTCATTCATTGATTCTTTTATTTAAAATTGAAATAATTATCAACAATCTTTTTTCTACCATTTTATTTTATTATAATCATTGTAAATAAACTTAATTAATAATTAATGCTTGTTTCTAAATACACACGCTCTAAGTACGTACATTATTACAGAAGTAAAAAATAGATTAATAAATAAAATCAAGTGTAAGGATGTTTTTATTTATTTTAATATTTCCCATAATTTTAAGTATTTTTCTCTATTTTTTAAAACGAAAAATTTTAAGATCGTTGACCGTAAATGTAATTAATGAAATCCATATCCGTCGGTTTGACTTATCATGTTGACCTGGTGGTAAAAAAGGTTAAAAAATAGTCCGGTTGTAGCTTGGAGGGCAGTAGTTTTACATTTAAAAATCTTTAGGTTGTGTTTTGTTTTTTTTTTTTTTAGGTTCTATTAGATAGTTTTACATTTAAACTATTACTTCAACTTCTATTTATATCACGTCAAACAATTATTAAAATTCAATTTTTTACAATTCAAAAATCAAAATCTAAATCGAAATTAAAACCTACAAACAAACACACCCTTAAAATTTACTATCAAGTGTTTTATGATTTTTAAAATATAATACTCCCTCCATCCCGGTGTAAGGTTGTTGTCTACTTTTTACACGTAGATTTTTTAATATTAATATTATAATAGGTTGTAGTGAAAAAGACGAAAATATCCCTGTTAATATTGTGTAATATAAAAGTAATAGTATTTATATAATATAGTGTAAATTAGAAGAGTATTTATTATGTTAGGTACGTAGTACAATTACTAAATTAAAAAATAATAACATTGTTTTGGAACGGACAAAAACAGAAAATAACACGGAAGGGTACAAGAAATATAATATATAAATATAATAAAAGTAAATAAAATATGTAAATATTAATAAAAACAAGCAAAATATATATTTTTTATAATTCTTTATACATCAGAGTAGAAATATTAAGAACTAAAATCTATTATCAAAACATATATATATTATACAAAATATTGACATAAAAGTAATAAAAAATAAAATAAAACGAAAAACATCTTTTAAAATAATACTTTCATAATTTTTCATAAAACTATAAATACTAAAAATAAACATACTCAAACTCTTAAGAATTCTTTGATAGCATAATTTCATGTTTTAATTCATCTAATATTGTATTGATGTAAATTAATTTTAAAGTATCGTCCGTTTATTTTGTAAGATAATTTAAATGAGTAATTTTTTTTTTATATAAAAGATAAGAAATTGTGTAAAAAATATAAAAATAATAAATAAATATATATATATATAATATTAATATCTTTGACAAATTATGTGTATATTTTTTTAATTATTTTTTTATTTTGCTAAAACAAACACACCCAATAATTATTAATTTATAAAATGGCAGCACATCAATGAAATAATTAATTATTGATATTAGCGACGGTCCGAGGCATACCAACGGGTTAGGCGACGGAGGTGGTATTTGACAACATTTTATTTTTTAAATATTCTTATTCTTACCTTTTTGTTAATTTTAAATTTTAAGATATACTCGCATGTTATAAATTAAGTAGCACTTGGCTTGTTTTTAGTTTTAATATATTATTATTAGTCTGATTTAGATGTATAGCTATTGTTTTGTAGCGTAAGTTGGTGATTTAGTTCCAACTAATATACACCTATTTTTTAAAAAAGAAAAAAAAAATTTGAGTGTATTTTTTATGGGTTTTGTTTTATTTTACATTTTGAAGTTATGTTCATTTCAACTTAAAGTACTATTTTTACTATTTTCGTTTATTTCACTCCATAGTATTCATTTTATATTTTAATAAAATTAATCATAAATCAATATGAAAGTATCTTTAATTTTGACCTAAATTACAAAAATATTATTACATATGTAATTACACAAAAAAAATCATTAGAAACTTTTTTTTTTTAGCAAACTTTAGTCTTTTTTTTTTTGTAAATTTACAAAAAAAAAAAAAAAAAAAAAAAGCAAGAAGGGAGTAATAAACTTTAGGGGTGTGTTTGTTTGAAGGATTTTGGAGGATTTCCACTATTCATCCAATTTTTTTTTCCCAAAAACATCAAATCAAACACATATTTTTCATTTTTTATATTATACTAAAAAACAATTTTACATTCAAAACATCACATCAACACCTATTTATATCACATCATACAACTATTCAAATTCAAAACTTTTACTATTCAAATCTCAATCCAAAATCCAAACCCCCAAACAAACACACCCCTAGATGTCTTCTTGTACAAAAAAAATAAAAAAATAAAAAATTGACACGCTTCTTAATTTATGTTACAAATAAATACTCCATCCGCTCCTAATTAAAAAGGGTTTTTTAAAATTTTGTAATATATTTAAAAACAATAGTATTTTATTAGTCGGTGAAAGTATATGAGAGTTTTTGATATTTTTGTGTTTTGACTTTATATATAAAGTAATTGTACGTGTAATGGTATATTTGTAATTTACAGGTATTTTTATATTAATATATATTTTTAAAAAAAATAAAATATGAATATTTTGAAGTAAACACACAAAAATGATAAAAATAGTATGTACAATATTTTTCACATAAACACCACAATTACACCGTTTGTTATAGAATTATCATCAAGTTTCTCTATTATAATTATTAAATAATCCCTCCGTCCCAATACAACAGTCTTATTTACTATTTTTATTCGTCTTAAAACAATAGTCTCTGTTTCCATAAATAACCATATCACTATAAAATTACCCTTATTTTTTCATTATTATTACACAATTACCACTACTTTTTATACTAACACACTTACGAGGGCAAATAAGTTTTTTACCCAAATTAGTTTTAAAGCGTGTGGATTATATGATGCTTGAGGTCAAAATGAATAATTTGTTTGTGCTTTCTAAGTGATATATTCATATATATAATCATGGCAATAATTTAAAATAATGATGTTTCAAAATTTGGACAGGTTCGTTTAACCTACAATATGGGCCTTCTTTGGTCCAATAACTTCTTGTTATAGCCCAACAGTGTCTAAAAGTGTGGGCAATTTCCCATTTATGAGAAATTAGCTTGTTTTGATAGAAGTTTTGAACTTTTTTGTAATAGTAAAAAAAAAAAAAAAAAACAACTGTAAATAGTATAAAAATTGTAAAAATAAATGTAAATAGAAGATGAATACGTACAAGAAAATTAAGTTATGGAAGACATGAAAAAATATGAAGGGTTGGCTTAAAAGTACAGCTACGGAGTCATATTCAACCTGTAATTAAGTTGGCTATCACACCATCGATGCAGACTCTCCACCTCCATGTTTGAATCTTGAATGTAATAGTATATTTAATAATTAAATAAAACTAATATTCAAGTGCTTCATTGTTATTTGTGAATGGAGTGTGTAAGGGGGCCACGTGATTTCATCTATTTGTTTATTGATGAGGGTAGTAGAAGTAGGGACATATTAGGATGCCTATTATAGGTAGATGGATGGATGGATGGATCTGAATAAACAAGTTAGTAATATATATACATATGGATCTGGTGGATGAAAGATCTGTCCTACTTAGTACCAGAATTGATTGACTAACCTAATTTTGTCTTACATGCAAAAGACACACACCTAAGTTATGGCCTGCATTTGTAAGTCTCAGAATTGCAACTATTTATTTATTTATAAGCACTAATGAAAATGCAATGCAGTGGAAGGAAGACTGGTTCTTGAAATGAATTAATGTTGTCAAGAAACGAAATGGATTTTAATGGAGAGAAGTAAATAAAGAAAGAGACGTGTTGATTCAAATGTAGCCCCTCATTTGGAGTGGCTCAAGAGAATAAATGTGTTGCAGAGACGACAAGTGCTGTCCCCAAAGATATCCACATTTCTTCAATCCCCAAAACACACACACACACACACACCCCAGTACCCCACCATCCAATATCTACTCTCTCTCCCTCTCTCTCTCTCTCATTCTCTCTCTCTGCAGTTGGGCAGAGCAGATGGGCTGTCCCTTTTCAGCTCCCTTCTTATCCCCAAAGCTACTGCCATTTCTTGCTCTCTAAAACAATACTCATTCGATCATCCATCCATCCATCCATCCCCAATTAGACAACTACCCAACCCAATCCCACTTGCCTAGCTGACCCTGACCCTGACCTTGACCTGCACTGTGTCTGTAATTCAATTTGGTTATAATTTCTGTGTTTTTCTTGTTGTTGTGGGTGGGGGGATGACAATGGCGTCCAGGAGTAGTAGGAGGCAGCAGAGATGGAGTCCTCAGCCATTGACGCCTCTCATGGAGGGTCCCGACCTGGGAATGGAGGATCACGAAGGGACCAGGAAGGAGAGCTCCTGGGAACTCATCAGGGAGTGGTTCAGATTACAGAGAAGTAGTAGTTTCCAGCAGCACCATCCAGGGACTAGCTTTTCTTCTTCTTCTTCATCAATGGCGTTGTACGGACCCGCCAAGAGGCAGGATTTGAGGCTCCTCCTCGGCGTCCTCGGCTGCCCTCTCGCCCCAATTCCCACCTCCGACAACCCTTTTTCCGATCTCCACATCAAGGACATCCCCCTGGTAATTAACATTCTAATTTGTTTGTAATTTGTTGGAAGCTCTGATGAATATGAACTAATTGAGTAATCTGGATTTGCAGGAGACGTCGACAGCTTATTACATTATAAAGCAGTACTTAGCGGCGGCTGGGTGCACGAAGCAGCAGTGCGCCGCCAAGAACATGTACTCGTCGGGGACGGTGAAGCTCATACGGTGCGAGACGGAGATTTCGACAGGGAAGAGCGTCAGGACCATGGGGTCCCGGAGTGGCGAGAGCGGCTGCTTCGTGCTCTGGCAGATGTCGCCCCGAATGTGGTCCCTCGAGCTCGCCGTCGCCGGCAACAAAGTCGTCGCCGGAAGCGACGGCAAGATTGTCTGGCGGCACACTCCCTGGCTCGGCACCCACGCTGCCAAAGGCCCCCAACGCCCCCTCCGCCGCATCATCCAGGTAATTAATCCATTAATTAATTCATTCATTCATAAATCTGTCAATTACAAAAAGAAAAAGGCTAAAGTGTGCCTTGATTTTGAGATTTTCTTGAATTCAATAAAAGGGTTTTAAGACCATAGTGCTTTAGCTACTTGCAGTAGTCTAAAGTGCCATGTTTCCTTATAATAAGGAAATAATGACCAAAATTATCTCCACACTTTATCGAAGTTTACAGAGAGAGAGAGAGAGAGAGAGAGAGATCATAATACTGTATTTCAACAAACGGGGCCGATTTTTGTTAGAGAGGGAATTGAATGAATTAGAGTGATGGATACGGAAACTGACAGTGTCCCCTGCTTTACCCAACACTTATCTTTGGACACACTCTGATTTTAGCAAAACAGGGCACGTGATTTACTACTGCTTCTGCCCCTGTCCTGACGTTTACTCTAAATTTCTCTTCCTCCATCTTCTTGGGATTGCCAACACCAACATTTAAAGTGCTCCTCGTCTCTCTTTCTTTTTTTCAATTTTTTGTTTTTTGGTTTTTGTGCTTTTGGGTCCTTTTGCTTTGTTGAATGTAGCTTCCTACCTGCTCCTGTTTTTCTCCCCTGTTTTAGAATTTTCTTGTTGAAAAAAAGCTGAGGTAAAGATTCTTGATCGCTAGAAACTTCGAATTTTAAATTTCAGTGTAACATTAGTTTCTTTTTTAGAATGGATAGAATAACCATGATGGAAGGAAGAATCGAAGGTTTCAATCATTGGGCTGTCACTTATTACACATTTGGATGGAAAAAGTATTGTTAATTGGAATCAGAACTATTTACATGATGACCCGAAACGACGTCGTCGTTGAAGAGAATGAATTAATGAATGGCGTACGCAGGGGCTGGATCCTCGGAGCACGGCGAGCCTATTCGCCAAGGCTCAGTGCCTGGGCGAGAAGCGGATCGGAGACGACGACTGCTTCGTGCTGAAAGTGGCGGCGGACCGGGCGGCGGTGATGGAGAGGAACGAAGGTCCGGCGGAGGTGATCCGGCACGTGCTGTACGGATACTTCAGCCAGAAGAGTGGTCTCCTGATCTACATGGAGGACTCCCACCTCACCAGAGTCCACTCCTCCTCGCCGGAAAACGACACCGTTTACTGGGAAACCACCATCGGGAGCAGCATCGGAGACTACAGGGACGTCGACGGCGTCATGATCGCCCACCAGGGGAGGACGGTGGCCACTGTTTTCCGATTCGGGGAGACGTCGATGCAGCACTCGAGGACCAGAATGGAAGAGCTATGGACCATACACGACGTCGTTTTCAACGTCCCGGGCCTCTCCGGCGACTCCTTCATCCCTCCGGCCGACATATTCGACACTACGGCGACTGTGTCTCCCTAACCAAACCCTCCTTTAATTACCTCTAATTAATCAATAATTGTCTTCTTCAATTTATTTTTTATTTACGTCTATAAAATTAGATCTTCATTGTACAACGTCGTATCCTTCCTACACAAAAACACACTCGCCTGTACATATATTATATCACTATTTTTGTTTTCTTGTTTAATTTTGAGATCTCCATAACTATACCTTTTTCAATTACTATCCCAGACCAATCTATCTCGCAGAAAATCTGAGTATGGGCCTGTTAAAGACTGGTTTCTTATTTTATTATTTTTAATAGGCTCTTCAGCCCATAAACGGTAAGTTAACAATTTTTTGATAAACTGGAAACTGCTTATAAACATTTCTGGGCGTGTTTTGATATATCTTGATTAATTCTTATATAAGCTTGTCGAAAATCGGTTATTTAGTTGATTTAATCTTATCGATAATGAGGACTTTAATTTGTAAAGTGAAGGTAGTAAAAAGAGAAAAGATTTGTGTGTGCATACCTGTGAGAGACGATGATCGAACAGCAGAAGGAGACGAGGTTTCTTGTGTACTTTAATTTGTTGAAGACGAGAATCCTCAAAGCACACACACAACAATGTAAAAGTTTTCATGACAAGAAGCCAGAATCCAATGTGTGCGGCGTACATATATGATGAGATGTATCTGTCGTGAAATAGAAGGTGTAAACTTGCATGAAAGTACGTGCATTTGGGTAGAATGCTGATATAGATGTATATATTGTGGTAAAGATGGAAGCTTCATCGATATTTGGAAGCATGAGAGTGCGTTTTATTCCTCATCCCACCCTCCTTTAGTTTGCCTTTACCCCCTCCCCACCCCACCACCACACACATAAACCTGCTGTATATATGTATATGTATATATTCTCTTCCCCAACCAAGCATGAAGTAATAAGATAGTAGGGTTTTGTCTTCATTCTGCTGGTAAAGTAGATTCTAATCAAAACCCGTATATATATATATATATATATATATATAATATAATGGATTCAACAAATCCAATCCTTCTTCTAAGTTAATTAAATTGAAGATCTAATGACGTCTCCATAGCTCAAATTAAGGGGACTTTGGTTGATTTCATTTTCCCTAATTCGTTTACAGGCGATATAATGTGTGTATGTAATATGTATGTATTGTGTGTAGAAGAATGTGAATCTCTCCTGTATATACATGTCAATAAATAAATAAATCTTGATTTGGGCCATGCTACTCAGTCAGTCTCCCAATGATTACAATCATGAGCTGTGTGATTGTGTTTGTGAATGTATGTATTGTGTGTGTATATATATATATATAGATTGTGTAATGATGGGTAGTTTTTAACTAACTTGATAGCAACTAACTTAAAAAAGTAGGATTGGTCAGAAAAGCAGATTTCATTGATTAATGAAATGCATATATCCTAATTAGGTTAATTATGTGACTCCACCATCATCCAATTCCAATCTATTTATAAAGTAGGAACACAGCAAACTCTGAAACCTTAATTAGATTACAAACCTCCAAGAAATTTTAAGGATATATATATGATTCCACTGCAAATGCAAATTATAGCTTCAATAATATAATAAAAGGCTTTAATTCAAATCTCCCTCCTCCTTGATCATCTACTGTATTCCTTTAAAAACAGTGACTATAACCAAAAATATTAATTCAAACAAAATCTGATCTGCAAATTAAACATCCATAACCCCCCAAAAAATATAAACTCAATGAGAAGAGAGCATGCTAGGAGTTATTTTAATTAAAATAAAGTTGGTCACATATATATAATTAAGCAGAAAAAATGGCTAAAACATGCCATTTTTGGTGCTACTCATTCTTTCTCTAAGGTTAAAAATCCAAACCCTCTATTAGAAGCATTAATCATCCTAATTCCATATATAAAGAGTGTTAATTAATTAAAATATTGTTGCTCACCCAAACGGCGACGCTCGACCGCCGGCGCTGATGGTGGATTGGCTCATACGATCAGCCACCGGCGTCCGGCGAGGGGAAGGCCTCTCCAGCTTTGCCGAAGAATCGAATTTCTTGTCCCCAATGGACTGATCTCCAGAAAGAATAGGCTTGCTTTCATAAATATCGGTCACGGAATCGACATCACTGCCTCTATCCATCGACAAAGGGGCGAGCTGAATGTGGTGATCATCCAGGCACGATCCAGCTGCTGCTGCACTTCCTAATTCTTGCAGCCTCAGATCGTCAGGCCAGAGCAAGGGGCTCTTCCCGGCAGTGCTATTGTTGTTGTTGGTGTATGGATTTGGGCGTTTTTTGGTTGTCAGGAAGCTGTCGTTGCTGCTCGCCATGAAAGCATCCATGGATGAAGATCTTTCCATGGTCTGGTGATGGAGATCGAGCTGATCTGTGGGGCCGTAGATGTTGAGATCTTGAAGAGATGGGAAGTTCATGGATGCAGCAGGTCCGAATTCTTTGATTCCTGAGATTTCCGGCCCCATTGGGGGTTTGTTGTAGCCGCCGGCGGCTAATGCCATGTTTTCTCCGGCGAGGGTCTGACAGGCCTTTTCCAGAATTGTCTGCATATATTTGCCTTGAGCTTCGATTCGTAGCTGCAGGTGCCTTTGAACCTGAAAATTTTGATTAATTTTTGTTGTGTATATCGATTTGATTAAGATCAATTGATCGATGATTTTTTTATTTTGATTTAATTAAATTACCTCCAGTTGTTCATGGAGTCTTCTGTTGACCTCCATTTGCATCCTAATTGCATCAGTTATTTGAACATTACTGCCGCAGATGATGATAAAATCACACCCCACCATACATTTCCAGGAAGAAATAAATAAAAAGGAATCGAATAAACCCTTTTTTAAAAATTAAAAAAGACCTGTTATTTTGAATGAAGAGATCAGGTTTTTTAGCTCGATATTATTTAAACACTGTTTTTTGGACACACACAGTTGTAATATAAATGAACTTACTCATTCATGTTGCGGCTGAGCATTCCTGATGATGATGCGTTGTTTCTCTGAAGATCTAAAGACGACGACGCTGTACAAATTGAAAGATTCCGACATAAAATATAGTAAGAATTTGAAGTAAATTATTGATATCAATATATAAATAAGAATTAATACAGTAGTGAATTGTTGTTGATATATATGATCTTACTTACCATCCTTGATGGAGTTATGATCGTTGAAATCCTTGTGTGGCTGCTTCCCCAGCCTGAATTTCTGCATATTAATCAATTAACACTACACAATCAGAAAAGTGAATATATAATTCATTGAGAAAACCCATAATATCTTCAGCCTGGAAAGATTATTGGAATTCAATAAAGAGAAAAATTCAAAAATTAAAAATTAAAGAGAGGGAACCTGAAGATGGCTCTTGAGATGGTACAGCGTCAGACCCTTCACCCCCATAACTCTCATGATCGTCTTCGGAGTCGCCTCTACACACACACATATATACAATAATTAACAAATTGAAACCAGCTATCTATCTATGGATATATATATATATATATGCATATACGCACTGTCAGGGCCGCCGAGCTGAGTGACGGCGTCGACGAACCGTTCATGGAGTTCGACGGTCCACCGGAGACGGGGCTTGGGATCGGTGGTGAGGACGAGACCGGAGTCGCCTTGAACGCACATGGGGCGCTCGTGGTGGTGATGATGATGAGAATTCATAGTTGATAGCTTCTTGGAAGCTGGGTGGAACATTCCCTTTCTCACTCTTCTGTGGTGTGGTGTGGTGTGAGAGAAGAAGAGAATACCAGAGAGATTCAAGAACAAATGCTGTGCATATAAAGAGAGAATAGGGTGCGCCCTCCTCTGAATTTTATTTAGTTAATTAATTAAATTACAGATTAGCATTACCCTCAAGTTAACTAATTGAGAAATTGTATATAAAGAAACCGGCCATGCATTCAAAAGATATATATATATGTGTGTGTGTGCACTTGTGTTACCAACAAGCTAAATATACTTTTTATTTATTTATTTGCAAAGGGTTTTAGTTAATTAATTTCAATGTTTCCCCTTTCCCCATGGAAATTAAAGTGGGGACATCAGACATGTATGTATACACATCTAGTAAAAAAGAAGGGTCTTTGAATTTCTAACTGTAACTTTATTTTTAATTGATGAATATTGATTTGGTTAATCTATTTAGATCTATATAACAGTGACTATATAAGTTAAAAGAAGTTTAAGTCACTACTGTTATATATACATATATGATGCAATAGATAACAGTACCTTCATTCAAATTAAAGGAAATGAAACAGCAACACATTACAGCTAATCTATTTTTGTATATATACATTGTGTTGGAAAAGAAGATTAAAGATGCAATGGAATGGTTGTCCATCTCTCTCTCTCTCTCTCTCTCTCTCTCTCTCTCTATATATATATATATATATATAGGCCTTTAATCTCTTTATGTAAAGCCTCCTCCCATGGCTCTTTATTTAGTAGTAGAGAGTATGTAATTATGGTGTGTTATGTTGATGAAATCTTAATTGCCTTCCATATATATATATATATATCTAAATATGTAATTAATTGTAATGTGAATGTTGAGACTTTGGATCAAGATTAATTAATTAACAAGCTGTTATTAGTTAAATGAACATTAACCCAATAATAGTATGTACGTATATTGTGGGATTAATGGGAATGATCGATGAGAAAAGGGGAGGGAGATTGAGTTGAGGCACATCATTACCAGAAGCTTGTTCATATTCCTTTACCACTCTCTAAATTAAACCACCATCCCTAATCCCTAATCCCTAATTATATATATATATATATACAAAAACACACTCTAATCAATTCATCATTACGTACGTTTTCAAGTGGGAAGCTTTTGCATGCAATGATGACTGACATGAGATATATATATATATATATATATATAGAGAGAGAGAGAGAGAGAGAGAGGAATTCTGCACTTTAAGCTTCCATGTTAAATAAACACATATTATTTTATAAGCTTAATTAATTAATTAATTAGCCTTAGGAAGCAATAATATTGGGAATGTGAATGTATAAAATATATATAATGGTCAATAAAAGTTTGGAGGACGTGAACATCGATGCATATTATTGTGTATATATATTATATTGTATTGTATATATATCTTAAGGGTAGTGAATCTCTCTCTCTCTCTCTCTCTCTCTCTCTCTCTAGTGCTTTTGTGGCATAGAAGATTGTCATGCATGTGTTGTTTTGTGTTGCCTGTTCTTTCGCTTCCAAAACCCTTTTCATAGAGATATATACATTATATTATTTATCTACACAATCATCAATATAATAATTTTCTACTAATTAATTAGAGAAGTAATCATCCATGTAGGGTGCAACCCAAGCAGAACATGCATGCAGTTTATACACACACAAGGATAATAACAAATATACACACATAAATAATTAAATCGTGACATATATACATAGATTATTATTATTATTATTATTATTATTATATGCATGGCAGCCATCTCATCTCATCTCATCCTTTGTCCACCAGGAATAAATTCTTCCTTAGTTGAGAATTAAAGCAGATATTCTCTCCCATGCACATATATAAATATATATATACACATACATATACTTATACGTATATACAGATACATGTCTTTGTTTCTACCACAAATTAGTTATTCAGTTGGAATTTATGCAAACCATTTATGCTGTTATTAAGATACAAGTGAAAAAATAATTTCAATCTTGCCTAAATGTGGCTTCTTGGTGTCCACATCCTAATTTTCTTTTTTCATTAAATTTAGTGAAAGTGATATAACTGTGTGTGTGTGTGTGTATGAGAGAGAGAGCAATTCATTAATAATCACAAGTAGATAATTAGTTATTATTAATAGTAGAAGAGCTGTCCCATTAGAAAAGCATATACACTCAAAAGTTGAGATTTAACCTTTAGTAGTTTGATTTTGTATTTAAACCAATACATACACACATAACACACTAATTTAAAAAAGCTCGACATATATATATATATATATATATGCTTGCTTAAATTTTAAGCATCTTAATATTCTTCTCCCCTTATTTACATTGAATGAATATATTCCCTTTTGACATGACCTCCATTTTCTTTTTTCAATTGAATTATACATCAAGACCACCCTAAAACCCAAATCAACACAACCCCACAACGCAACTTATTCAGGATAAAAATGAAATATATATAGAGAGATAAATGTGTGTGTGTTTTGTTTGGATCTAAATCTTAAAATGCAGCAACTTCTTTTCAGTTTCCTTTTGACATATATAAGTAAAAGGAGCAGTGAGTCGAGTGGGAGGGAGAAGAATCTGATTCGTGAAGGACCATAATGCATATACATATGTATATGCAAATCCATCCATCCATTCATCTCAAAAGCACAGATTAAATCACAATCGTTATTCACACATCTATTTCATTACACACACTTATCTCATAACAAAGATTTTATGCACAAACACACTATGCATGTAGACAAGAGGGAGTTTTATTAATATATATATATATATATGTGTGTGTATGTATATTTGTGCTGAATTTTGTATTCTGCAAATTCAATGAAGTAGATAGTATAAAAGTTGAAGGGGACTCTCACTTTAATTCAAAATTCAGAAGATAAAAACAAGGGTAAAGAACATTTGTCTTCAAGGAACAGAACAAACAGGCTCTTATTTAGATAGCCATGGAGCCTGGAGTTTTTGAGACTTGTGTACCACCATACCATACATGGCTGCCTGGCTCTACCCATATTTTGATTGTAGCAACAAACAACCTGTTTTTTCTTTTTCACTATATAGCCATGGGGCACATTTGAAGAAGCAAACTACCAACCGACCGGAGGGGCAAGGATTTCAAACCCAAAACTGCAGCTTAGTTCATGTTTCCCAAACACACATACTTGATCTGGAATAAAATGAAAAGAATTAGTGTCACTATCATGGTTGTCTCTAGTCAAGAGTAAGAAAATGAGCATGCTTGATAAGTTCTATATCTTTGAAGTCTAAATTAAGGTCACATTGGGAATTTCAAAATGAGCATGCTTCAAAACAGTTTAGTTGAGAAGGAACAGGGAGTAGAAAAAGGAATTTTTAACTTTAAAAACAATTTAGAAATATATGGATTGCATGAAGTTGATGGATTGTGAACTCCAAAAATGAGAGGGCAATATGCAGTAGAAATCGAAGTGTACGTACTTCAAGATATTCGTCCATGCCATACTTTGATCCTTCACGGCCAAGACCAGATTGTTTCATGCCACCAAATGGAGCAACCTACATGGAAGAGAAGCATTAGTGAAGACATAATTGTTTATTTGTTATTATTATATGATTATTCAGTCTCAGAAACAAGATGATAAAATCAACCTCAGTAGAAATTATTCCTTCATTTACTCCAACTAGCCCATATTCAAGGGCTTCAGAGACACGCCACGAACGTTGGATGCTTGATGTGAAGATGTAAGCAGCCAAACCTTAAGAACAAGATAAGTTTTAGCATTAGTAAGAGGCACCATCTTTCAGTTTTACTTCCATTCTGTATTCATCACAATCTCAGATTCGATTTAATTATACACTATTCACATGGGTTCGTTTTCTGGTAAGGAACAGAAGTTTGAATGATCAACTGCACCAGTGAGTTCAAACAGCACACCTGCATTGGTGTCGTTGGCCATGCGGATAGCATCTTCCTCGGTCTTAAATTTCAGAAGAGGTGCAACTGGCCCAAATACTTCCTCCCTGAAAGCAGCAATGCAGTAATTCACGATAAAAACATTCAAAATTCACAAGAAAGTCTTATAGAAAGCTCAAGTTAACAAGCATAAAAGGACAAATACGAAAGAGATGAATCTGATGCCACTTTTTTTAGACATATACACAATGAAGACGAGTACAAATAAGAATTGTAAACAGGATCCCGCTACATGGAGGCAAGAGAACTAAATCATTTGAATGGCATTGCCTCAAGAAGGAAAAGATAACAAGTATCTGTCACCACTATCACTGAAGATTTTTGTTCGAAAATAACCGACTGCATACAAGCACAACGATACCTATCAAACAACTTAAGAGTATCACACAAGCAACAATTTGGTAACAAGCATCTAGTTTTGCATCCAATTTCAACACATTACAAAATAGAACAGTTCAGTGGAAAATTATTAAGTTTTTGTAATAATTTGTAAAGCTAAATGTGAATGAATTAGTCATTTCAGCACATACTTTGTTCCAAATCAAGTGCTTGAATACATATAAAAGATTACACACTGGTCTCCATACGCAAAATGATTTGGATTTCCTCAGGTTGTGGGCATACCTTGATAAAAGCATCTCACTTTTGACATCTGCGATCACAGTGGGCTCATAAAATGTCATTCCAAGACTATGTTTCTTGCCACCAATAAGGACTTTAGCCCCCTTGAACCAGAAAAGGTATTGATTAATACAAGAATGCAGCTGCCTTGATATCTCATTTTCCACTAATATTGGCAGATTACAAGAACTTCATATAAGACAGTAAACAAACCTTAGATATAGCATCTTCCACAAAAGATTCAACCTGTGAGACAATACAAAGTGGGGTCGATTGCAACAATGCAGCACCATCTGAACCTTAATTGAATATGAAAGAAACAACTGACCTTGCGCACAGCGGCATCATTAATCAGAGGTCCCTGAATGAAAGGGATGCCGTTCAGTTACTTCTTGTAACAAAAAGCAAACTACTATTTTTATTGTAAGTGACCTAATGGCAAAGCCAGTCACAACAATGTGCAAGCTATATGACTGAACTAAATAGGGTACACAACTACCTGCCCCACACCTTCCCCAAAACCATCCCCAACTTTCATATCCTCAACCGCTTTAGAGAAAGCACTAGCAAACTTGTCATAAATCCCTGCAGCAGCATAAAGATATATCATAGCAAGAATCAAGTTTGGGGGTAGAAAATAAAAGCCAACATTCATCAGTTACCTTCCTGCACAAGTACCCTATTTGCACAAACACAAGTTTGGCCACTGTTTCGGAACTTAGTTGCTAGCTGCAATTGCATAATTACATTGGAAGGATGTCTTCAAATAGAGTAATGAAATAAAAACCCGCAAAAAGTAAAATCTCAAGCAGTTGAGTTCTTAAAAGCCAAGGTAATCAGCTGCACACAAGTCAAGAATCTAATATATATTTGAAATTTTCAACTTCCATCTGCTTCACATGCCAGTAATAAACGTTGGCAGAGCTGCATGAAATCATCTCAATCTAGTTTGAAGCTAGGGTTCCCCTTTTTGCTTAAACCATGAATGCAAAAAGAAAGTTTGAAGAAAGAATGTGATGCCTCCTTCAGTATCCTTGAACTAATTATTGCAGTTATGTTAAATGAATCATCTAGGGCACTAAGATCAATAACTATATACTGACGCTCTCAAGAATCAAAGAGAATCACACAGTTTAGTTGCATGCTTTGATTATCAAATAGGAACAGTTAATGCTTGGGCAATTAAAATTTCTACCTAGTAGAAGCTGATTACGGAATATTCTACCATGATGCAGGTATATTAGTATATCCATACTTGATCATGTCAGTTTGCAAATGTGTATTACTGATGTTATGTGGTAAGCAACAGAAGAAACATGATATCCGTTTACCCAAAAACATATGATTTCCAAAACACCACTGATTGCCTTGTTCCCCAAACACTGGCAGTACAATAATTAGTTAAGCAGAAATTGAGATTGTTCTTACAGTTCCTTTCAGAGCAACGTCAAGGTCTGCGTCATCAAAAATTATGCAAGGTGCATTGCCACCAAGTTCAAGGGACACCTACACATGAGAATCTGAATTAGCAACAGCAAGAATAATTGTGAGAATGCAATCATATTCACCACTTACCTTTTTCACAGTCCCCGCGGCACCTGCCATCAACTTTTTCCCAACAGCTGTTGATCCTGTGAATGTGATCTTCCTCACCTAAAAAGGTTTATTCAAATTAACATCTACTTATTCCAGAGTAAGTTCAATCATACTTTCATTCTAAAAGGTAGTACATAAAACCTGGGGACTTGCAAGTAATGCGTCGCCAATATCAGATGCATTTCCCATTACGACATTCACAGCACCCTATCTTGCAGAAAGATGCTCGCAATCAAAATGAATGGAACAAGAGCAGAAGCTTTGAACAATCCAGTGCACAGATTGTCTAGATTAGCAATGCTAACACCAGAATCAAGAAGAAACTCATGGAAAAACTAGAGAAATGAAAAAAAAAAAAAAAAAAAAAAAAAGAAAAGAAAAATTGAATGTTTTTTATAATACATGTCAACATGGGTGTGAGAAGTACCCCAAGCTGTTGAAATTGCCAAAAAGTATCATTCCTTCTGGTTCACAATATATTCTTTCAGATTTTAATTATGATCTTACTATAATCTAACCAAGACTTTTTTCCACCTTCAGCTTCAGAAATAATTATAACGCTTAGTAGTCTTGGCCACTATGAGATAATTACATCAATGTGAGAATATCATTCTGTTCTTTTAGTTACTTTTAATTTTGGCAGTTATGGAGGAACTAGCTATGGAACTCTGGTGTTGAGAAACATAAAACACGGTTCACTAAAGAGATACGGCTTAGTATTTTCTACTGTCAACTGGATCATTGCAGTAATTTTCAATAGTAACTTTTCTCTCTATAATGTAAATTACACATAGTAATGTAAGCTTTGATGGTTAAAGTCATAATTACCGGTGGAATCCCAGCTTGAATGGAGAGTTCAGCTGCTGCTAATGCAGTCAGGGGAGTTAGTTCAGAGGGTTTTACAACAACAGTGCATCCACAAGCAAGGGCAGGGGCAACCTGATACAAGACAATCAATTCATTAATTATCTGATACTGGGACAGGCCACTGCCACAATTAACTAAAAAGTAGATATAATTAAACTACAGTAGGTAAGTCCCACCCACCTTCCGGGTAATCATAGCCAAGGGAAAATTCCAGGGTGTGATTGCACCTACAACACCAACTGGCTGCACCAGAAGCAACAGGCAAGCACAAATACACAGAAGTAATAAAAGAGATATTCAAGAACAAGGAGACAAGGTACTTGACACTAGTAAGGCATAGTTGCATAGACGTTTGAAATCAAATCAAGAATACCATGTTGTAGTACTCTCTTTTTTTAATCATTAAGGTAGCCTACAAGCCATAATGCATATTAAAACCTTCCATTTCAGCATCAGATACTTTTTACACTGAAAATTATATATAATTTTGAATTATCACTAGATATTAAAAGAAAATTTATTAATGGAGAATTTTGTATTGTTCCTCTCACAAAGAAGAAGATCAAGAAAAAAAGGCCCCCTAAGTTCTGGAACAATTATTGCATGCCAGAGAGTATTTCTTAGAAATTAAGAATAAGGAACTCAATCTCAGAGCAAACATTAACCTGCTTCAAAACAAACAGCCGGCGATCTGACATTGCTGCTGGAATTATGTCACCATAAACTCTTTTAGCCTCTTCAGCATAGAATTCTATGAAGCTCGCACCATAACTAACCTGCGAATCGCCCGTTCAGAAATTCTCCACAAAACAAAAACATAGTTTGAACTACTATAGAAAAAATTTTCAATACCTCACCAATAGCTTCTTTCAAAGGTTTTCCTTGCTCTAATGTCATAAGTTGCCCAAGCTCATCTTTGTGATCCATTATCAATTCATACCATTTTCTTAGACGCTTGCTTCTTTCAGCAGCAGTGAGCTTGCTCCAAGCTTTAAACAAAACCCATGTGTAAGATTATTTGTAATATATACCAAATCACTTGTTATGGAACGCGCATATAGAAGACCACTCTCAGGAATATACAGTCAGTAAGCCTCCACCCATAAAGTAGTGGCAGTTGTGAAGGCAGTAGTAGAAGTAATTTTGTAGACAAGGAGGTGAACAATTATTACTAGAGAGAAATATGCAGCAAAATATATTAATTTAACCATTCAACAAAATGAAAGAGAGTTAGAAATTCTCCACACAGAGTGGATGCCCGTCCAAAACTACTAAATGACATTCTGATACTAAACGAAGAGATTTATGTTGTTGACTTGCAACTTAAGGTCTCAGGGGCACCTTGGTACCTCACTACTGATGCAAGCACACAAAAAGAATGGCCTTCAAATTTTAATTCTAATGAAAGGGTTGAACGTGAGAGAAATAGAAACAGCACATCAGACAAATAAGCCTGGACATACTCACATAAAAATGTCTCATGTGCTGAAGCAATTGCATCATTTGTCTCCCTTCCACCCATGCATGAAACATTTGTTATGACCCCACCTGTTGCAGGATTGCAAACCTGACATAGCACATAGATTTAGCAACATCACTCCCCTTTCTTTGTTTCTTAGTTGGATGTTTGTTACAGATTCTATGCAATTTTTTAATAACTCAGTTAAGACCATCCAACCTCAATGGTCTTCCCATCATAGGCATCAGTCCATTTCCCTCCTATGAATCCCTGACTCCTAATGAATCCTGCACTGTTTAGACGTGCAGCAACACTTTCGGCATTTGTGCTCATCTGCCATAATCAACAGCTTCTCATTGCCATATTAAAAGTTCAACCGCAAAATTTATAACCAATGGGAAAACATAAAATCATAAATTTGCAGGTCATGACACACAGTTCTTGAAGAAGCAAACATAAAATTTTGAATTAATTCGATTTCTAACAAATGAGAGGGCATAAAAGATGATTATAAGCACTGAAACAATAAACCATGGAATCCAAGCCCCTATATTTGTTTACAAATAGGGACCTCGCATAAACAAGGACTCAAGATTTATTCACTCGAAATCACTCAAAAATCATGATTGCCAACACTAAAGCCAATTATTTGTCGCCGCTGACTCAATGAAACAGAAACTTCTTCCTACGAAGGAAAGACACTTAGAACCGCTGATTCCGGAAACCGATGAGATGCAAGTTCGAATCGATGACACTGGAGTACCTGGTGACTAAACATTACGGCAGATGTAAAGCGCGGTTGATGGCAGGCACCGAAGCGCATAGACAAAAAGCTAGGTGAGCAGCGACGAAACGCAATGCCTATACCTCCCAACCCCATGGACCTCGCAAGTGTCCAGCCTTCCACCCCGAACCTTCTGCTGCTGGGATTTTATCGAATCTTCTTCCGCCCAAACTCCGCCACGCTCGGCTGCGTTGTCCTTCGCCGAATACTGCTAAACACATCACTGTCTTATAGCTTAAAATTAGAGGTTCGTGACTCATGGTCGTGTTTTACATTTTATTTTATCAGATTTTATTTTTTATATTATATTTAAAATATTAAATCAACATTTATATCAGTTGAGTTTAAAAATTTTGATTATTCAAATTTCAATAAAAATAATTCAATTTTTTAATTAAATAAAAAACACATCTATTCGGACTAAAAAAATAAATACCCTTTTCAATTCCAAAATAATTTGATTGTCTTATCTTTTTTTTTTTTTTTTTCTTTTCAAAAATATCATATTTAATAATTATTTTTTTTCTATATTATAGTATAAATTATGATAATCTATTTTTATGTGATAATGTTGCTATGAGCGAGTAGCTTTTCGGCAAGGATAGAAATTTTTTATGAGTTAAAAGAATCTTGAATTTTGGATAAAATATAGAATTAGATGAAAATGATGTTATTGTAAACCCTAAAATGCTACTCTCTTTGTTTCGGCTACGGTATCCTTTAAACTAATTAGCTATTGTAAAAATAATTTTAAAATAATATTTAAATAACTAATTAGTTTAATTAAAATTAAAATAATTAAAAATAAAAAATTTAAAATGAGATTAAAATATATAATTTTTTTTTAAAAAAAATGACAGAATAAATAGGATAGAAGAAAATAGAAATATGAATACGGTAAGTAGGACGGGGGATTATATCATAATTGATTTTATACTATTTAATTGATAGTTTCTAGATCGAATACAAAAATTTTAAGTCAAAAAATTAAATCAAGAAATATTTATTGAGTTTGGCTAATTCGGGAAAGCAATAAAGAGTGGCTCGCTCGCAAGCGAACCAAAAGCAATAAAGTGCAAGAATGTAAATAAAGTAGTAAAAGTGAGCAGATAGTGAGAACGAGCGGAGCGGCGGGTGTCGTGAGTGTGCTGGTGAGCGAACGGTAAGGGTGACATATGAGCGGTATACATATACATATACATAAGTTATGACTGGCGAGCGGCGTAAGATAATGAAAGCGAGTAAATGAGTGGTATAATAACAACGATAAATTTGTGTTTGATCTGTGCATTTCAAAATAGCTAGATTTTCATTGATGAAATGAGAAGATGATGAAAATGAAATAGCGAAGCATATATATAAATGAAATGACAAAAGTAATGAATATGATTATGCTTATATATTTAAACCAGATTCTTGATTCCTGGTAATTGACCTTAAGGAATTTATAAGAAGACTTTAATGACATTCAAACTCAAAACATTATAACAACAAAAATTACTGTCACTAGCCATTTTTTTAAACCCCATAGACAAGTGCTTATGTCAAATTAATTATTCTGAAATTTGTTTCATTAGTAGTTTTACCTTCTCATACATCTATTTAATCAAAATTGAATCAACATGTAATTAAGCAAGTCGATAAGACTCCGCATATTTAACTATTGAACTAACTAAAATTTGTTAATGAATACGATGCGAGATTAGACATTGATAATCAATTCTTTTGAAGAACTTTCCACGGCGAGTAAAATTACATATTTAAACAATTAAATACAAATTTGAAATTGAGGATGAATTTGCAAATGAAGAAATCTTGATATTGAATTAACATTAGGAAAATTGTAAATCTTCGTTACAAAAGCAATAACAAAGCAGTAAAATGAAAACTGGAAATCTGCTTAAAAGGTAACTAAAACTGGACGATCAGGGGAGGAGGAATCTCTACTCCTACGACCTCCTATTTAACTAAGAGAACTCTCTTACATGTCTGAAGCTCTTAAGAAATCAACAGAGTAAAAACAAGAGGTTTATCGTAAAGTATATGATATATAATACAAATAAAATTTGACCCTATTTATAGAGGTTTGGAAACGGCAGTTAGCACCAGTAGGCAGTTGCCGCAGTTAGTTGGGTTGATTGGTTGAAACTGTCATAACTTTCAACTTGCTCGCTCATCTGCGGAACTGTATTGGTTGGACACAGATCTTCCTTGCTCGCCTTACTGGACTTGGCTTAGCTAGAGGGCATTGGCACAGCTCAAGCGAGGCTATCCTCGCTGGCCGGGTACTGGATGGCTGATTGCTGAAAGATTCACACTTAATTATTTCTTGGAACTTTTGGATCATCGCTTGTCAGCAATGGACATCTGGCTAACTGGCTCGGGCGCAAGTGGAAAGAGCATCGCTTGCTATAGTTGGCTTCATTTTCGTTCGTCTTATTATACTTAGGCATTTATGAGCCAGAAAGTCGCTTAAAAAGACTAAAACCATCAATATCTTCATAAGCGCGCTTTGGGTCATATCAAGCTAAACAAATCAATAAAATATACACAATTTTATAAAGCCGTAAATATACTATTTTTGTAATATTTTGTGCCCGTTAAATTATTGTTGCATTTGTTTCGATCTCCTCCCTCTTCTAACTTTGTGTTTATTTTGTTCATTTGTGTATTTGGATTGTTTGGTGTTAAAACTCAACTGATTTCTCCATTTGTCAATGTTGCCTGGTTTCAACGACTTAAGAGTAATTGGTGTACGAGGGAGTTGTAATGTGAATTGACGATAGATAGTAATTTTTAAATATTTAGTTAAAATAGTTTCTTGTCGTATTGAGATATATATATATATATATTTTTGTGTGATTATTATTATGATTTTATTTATTTATCTTCAAATTTATTCATTTTGTTTAAAATTATTTGATTATATGAACTCTATAAAAATATATTAACAATTGATTTATTCAATATATTAACATACAATAACGTGAATTATATTAACAATATAAAAATATTATATTTAACCTATAATATAGTCACACATAATATACTTTACAATTAATTTCATAACGAACTTAATTTTTATTGTTTTAATTTTTGTTAGAAAAAAAAAATTTCTTCTACTCTATTGTTGCATAAGAAAAACGGGTAGATCCCTATTGCATTGGTCCCAACCCAAATAGTTTGGATCCGAATCCAGAACCACAAATTGGACCATCTTGACACTGCCATGGAAACTTCGCACCTCCTTCGTCGTCTCGCCTTGACTTTCTAGATTCGGACAAGCTTTCAGCGCCTGCCTCCACAACTATACAAAGGTTTGATGAATTCTTCCTTGTTATTGTTGCACTCAGAAAAGACGCGTCGCAGAATTTATTGTATTTTTTTGTTCAATCTTGTCCGGGTGAACTCGGGGAAGAATATTCAAAGTCAAAGAAGAACGGTTGTGAAGAAGAAACAGGAGGATCCCCCACTTTCTCACCCTTCTTATTATACCAAACCCTACTTAATTATCTTCTTCCCAACCCCTTGTTTGGTGTCATAATTTTTTTTTTTAATTTTTTTTTCTGAATATTGAAGTGCCTGATCTCCAAAATTTGTGATTCCGAAGTTTCTGTGCATCTGAATTTGGATTAGGTGTTCCCTGTTTTCAAAATTGTTTCGCTCAGCTGGCTTTGATTTTGTTGGGATAATAAGAGGCGCATTTTCAAGGAGGTGGAGAAGGAGGTAGGAGTCTCAGGTGAAGTGATGAACTCGACTACTCCTTCATCTAGCGCTGCAGGACCTGGATCCTCCGAGACGACTGCTCCGAGGAGGAATTCCAAGAGGCCAAAGTGTATATTTCTTTACCTAAGCCCCACTTTTCCTATGCTTGCTTTGGGCTTCTTGAATTATGGTGTTTTGGCTTCAAGTAGGGTAAATATGAATGATTTAGGTACCTGTTCAAATCTTATTTCCATTCTTGGAATTCAAGGGATGGGATATTTGAGGCTCTCAAAATACACCACCGATGAATTTTCTAATCTATCCATGAACATAACCACTACGTTCATCTTTAATTTTTTGGGAGCCTGGGATTTTGATTATTTGAATATTTGACATATGGCTAGACAAGATTCATCTTACTGGAGATAATATGACATTAGAATGATGTAAGATTATTAATCAGTTTGATCAGCTATATTCTGACGTCCACTGTTGATAGAAAGGGTTACTGATTTTTTTAGGTTGTCAAGCCTGGCTACTATGCCTCCTCTCAGTCCGTTTATATTTAACTTTCTAAATCTATTAGGGAAATTCTTTTTGAGAAACACTATGTTCAAGAATATCTTTTGTGAAGTTATGTGACGCACAAATTTTATAAAAACCTGTTGTCCATGTTTTTTTTTAAGTTGCCAAAGAGTACTGGGATTTAAGATATGTTGGTAGGAAGCAAGAATACATGCAAGGAAGGGGGTTCATGCATTCTTTTTAGCCCGATTTTTGTCGCCTTTTCAATTTTGTATAACCTGAAGTGTTACTACTGAATATTTTGGTGTGGAGATTGAGTATCCAATGCCATAACATATGTGGAGGGATCACTCCTACTTAGTCCTGTATCTCAAATTGAAAGAGAAACTAACTATTAGTGAGCTGGAAGTTTATAAAGTTGTGATCAACGTGAATCCCATAATGCTGTCTTGCTGATCTCTAGAATATGTAATGGTGTAACCATTTTGCTTTAATTCCACCGAATGGGTAATGTGACTAGTTCTTTCAGCTTCTTAGCACATGTTAAAGTATTCTGTTTTTTTACCTTTTGTGTTCTTCAGATTCAAGATTCACACAACAGGAGCTTCCTGCATGCAAACCTATACTTACTCCTAAATGGGTATATTTTAAGCTTCTGTGTATTCAAAATCCCCCTCTTAGAAAATTTTAACCTCCTAATATTTGGCTCCTCACACTTGTGACACTTTGATGCAGGTGATCTCAACTTTCTTGCTTGTTAGTGTTGTCTTCATCCCCATTGGAATTGTCTCACTCTATGCTTCTCGAGATGTATGTTTCCATCTTTTCACCATGGAGTACTATAGCATCTGTTTATTTTCCAAGTGCTTTACTGAATGAAGATTCTTCTATATTCGTTAGGTTGTTGAGATTGTTGATAGATATGAGACTGATTGCATTCCTCCAGAGTTTGCAAAAGATAAGATTGGGTTTATTCAGAGCACTCAAGATAAAGTCTGCATTAGAAACCTTACGGTGAGCCTAGCATTTTCTGACTGTTGCAATGGCTGTTGCATCTCGTCATTATGGCTGTGTACAGTATATAATAATTTTTTTGTTGACTAATGACGACTCATTGTTAGGTACCAAAACGCATGAAAGCTCCAATATATGTGTATTACCAGCTCGACAATTTCTATCAAAATCATCGCAGGTAATAATTATAATAATGTGCCTTCTTGTTTCAGTGTTAGTGATATTGTTGCGAAGATATTTCTTATGGACACCTTCTATTTTTTTCTGGGATGAAAATCAGTGTTTTTTTTCCATGAGATGCTTTTAGTATCATGTGCCGATAACACTTGCACGCTCTCTGCATGAGTTTGAATTCAAGATGTCATACATCAAAGACTGTATGACATTATTTATATTAGCACATTGGGCTGATGTTGTTCAGTCGTTAGATTGAGAATTAAGAATTGAGAATTGAAATTTTACTAATAGAAAATTAGATATGGGTATCTATAGAGCTAATATGTTGTGATTTATTGGAGAATCACTGTCTTTCTTTCATCTCGTATTAGATATGTGAAGAGCCGAAGTGATCAGCAGCTAAGGAAAAATGGAAGTGCAGCTGATATTGATCCCTGCAAACCTGAGGGAACCACAAAGGACGGGTTGCCCATTGTTCCTTGTGGTCTAATAGCTTGGAGTCTCTTTAATGATACTTATCAGTTTACACGCAATAATCAGCCGTTGAACATCAACAAGCATGGCATCTCATGGAAAAGTGATAGGGATCATAAATTTGGGAAGAATGTATTCCCCACAAACTTTCAAAATGGTAGTCTGAGAGGTGGTGCTACACTTGATCCATCAAAACCAGTAAGCTGTTAGCCCTTCATGTTAACACATTAAATCTTACTCACTAACAAATAGCTTTTCATTCATGTAATTCTACTGAATTTCTATTTTAATTGAAAACCAACACCTATATTGCTGATGATTTGGTGGGAGAAATTATTGCTGTCTGGCTTAGGCTCCATTTTATATGCATTGTGTAGTTTCACACTTATTAGCTTTTTTTTTTGTGGGCATTATCTTGGTTTTTGGTCAGGCATCAATTAATTTTGTGTTTTGAGTCTATATTAGGACATTATTTGCATACAAGATAGTAACTGAAATTTCCACTGTTACTATTCATAACCTGCTGCATTTTAAGTAATTCTAAGAGCGAAATTCATGTAGTTATTTTTGTTACCATTTTTAATAATTTACAAGTTCAAGCTTTTTAAACAAAACCGGCTAAAAGATATTTGTTGCCTAATCACTGCTGGAAAAGATGTTTCACTTTATGTGTCACTAAGTCATTTACTAATTTTCATTTCTTAATTATTGGCATATTAGTTTCAATTGCTTTTGAGATTAATCTGACACTTGTCAATGTTGCCATGTAACAGTTGAGCCAGCAGGAGGACCTCATTGTGTGGATGCGAACTGCTGCTCTTCCAACATTTAGAAAGTTGTATGGGAAAATAGAAGTTGATCTTCTACAAAATGAAGTGATCAATGTGACATTGGAGAACAATTATAATACTTACAGTTTCAATGGCAAGAAGAAACTGGTTCTTTCTACTGCCAGCTGGCTAGGAGGGAAGAACGACTTTGTAGGCATTGCATACCTCACAGTGGGTGGATTGTGCTTCTTCTTGGCGATAGTTTTCATGCTTATTTACCTGATAAAACCAAGGTATGGTCTTTTGTGACGTTTATAAATTCACACACAAATGTTTGCTCTTTATGGTATAGCTGTGCTAAATTTAAATCTCTTTTTTATTTTTTTCTCAAGTAGCGAAAAATCTAGGTTCGGATTAGATATGATTTGGAGGACATTCCGAATTATGAAATTTTTAGGCAATAGGTGCATGTTTCTTAAGGCAACATGTTAAAATGATTTGTGTTGTTTGATGGTAACCAAATTGTTTTCTGGTTGCTTCAGGCAACTTGGAGATCCATCTTACTTGTCCTGGAATCGGAATCCAGGCGGTCACTAATGCTAGGTCACGAAGTGTTGTTTGTGTGATTGCGATCTTGACATGTGCCGTATTACAAGTGGACGCAAGCTTGTATTTGTGTGTATAAATACCGACTACTCCACTGCCTTCTGGCCTACTTTGAATCTGAATGTGTATTTGATGCAATGCAGCGGGATGTACTTCTTGTATATTACCTTAACGCTATTTACCAATCGAACTATGAAGCATATATTTACCCCAATTTTCGATACTAACAGTTACTTTTTTCACTTGTAATTTGGTGAAATATGGTAGCTAGTGATTGGATGGTTACTTGTTTGAATCGTATCGATGTTTTCTTTTTTTTTTTTTTTTTGTATTTTATTACAAGATATTTATGATTACATGTTTTTCGCATCAATAAACATATATTATGATCTTTACTGATGGACATAATATTTACAATTATAAGTACATTAAATGAAGTGCTGGTCATTGTTAGTGCAAAGTGAAAAAATCGCCCTAGTCTCAAACTTAGAGTATGTCAGCCAATATGGACAGAGAAGAATATCTCCTAATACTGTGTGATGTTGAAACCAAATATAAAATAATTTTGATTTAAATATAACCAAATATGTTGCAGGGAAATGCTTGCTTCTTCCGATATTCAGAAACTAGTAGGAAAAATTGGAGTAACAAAATGATTAGGGCCATGACCCCAAACCCCAAATATGAGCTGTTTTTTGTCATAAATTGGCACATTGAATTGCTTCATAGCACTCTAACTAAAACATTGGAGAGGTACTTACCTTCCGGATAAGATGGATCGATAGGATGATCGCCGGCTGCTCCAGCTTCACGTATTACAGTAATCTTCCTACTAGCCATGGATGCAGCACCCTAGAACAGGAAAGCAAGGACCATCGTTTGTCTATGTTAGTAAGCTGATCTTAGCTGCAAAAAGGTAAAATCCCGGGCCACCACCACAAGTTTGATGCAGCAACAGTTGGGTTAAACCTTGGATTTATATTTATTCTTTTCCATTGATAAATTTTTGTGTGTGCAGGGCCAAATGAATAGAAACAAAAAACTTGCTTACTGCTTTAAAATACCCTTCAGCAGATAGAGACAATACTTGCCTGAAGAATGCGCAGGAACGTCCCACTTTGGGTCATAGCACCAGAACAGGAGCAGGTCATTAACAATCCACCTCTTCTTGTTACTTGCATGGCCAAGGAGTTTAAGTTCCTATACATGCCGGATGCGCTGTGCAACACCTAAACATGTAAAAATTGGCACTTAGGGTGGGGAAAATAAACATAAATAGGTAGAATATAATGCATGCATGATAAGATTTTTTGTTTGCTGTCACCAAATGTAAGAGAAAGTCTCACCTAGGATGACCACAAGGGATGTCATGTAATACAAAAGTTTAGGCTGGGTATAAACCAACAATGTATAATACCTAGAATGTACCACATGCCTACAACAAGAGGAAATGGAAATTTTTTAAGTTACTTTGGATTATGACTCTCTTGCACGTGCAAGATGTAAGATACTTCTATATTTGATCATTTGTTATAATGAGGGAATAATCCTATAATTGTATGTGTGTATATATATATATATATATATACAACTACAACGAAAAAGAGAATCATTTGTATTAACCCTGGAACATTTCTTTCTATATTTTAGTCCTCCAGAAATTAATTGCCATAAACTTTTAGCAGGAAGAAAAAAGCCTCAAAGCATGAAGCTGCATGCTTACCTTTCTATTGGGAGCTAATTTTGGTGGATCCAGAATAACTATATCCCATGAATCACCCTTTGAGATTGCACTCTTCATAAAATGTGTAGCATCTTGTCGATGAAACGATATTAATCCAGAATCAAGATTGTTGAGAATGATGTTATCTCTGGCAATGTCCAAAGCAGGAGAAGATGAATCAACACCTTCCAGCCATGAAAAAAAAAAGGTTAAATGTAAAATACTGGGGAAACAAAAGAAGCACAAAAAGAACACTGATGCACAATTATTACGAACATCATTCACTCCAAATAATTTGATTGATATGGTGTGGTTAGTTTAACATACCTTCACAACATATCCCCATTTAATTCAAAACTAAATGCTGGATTAACCAGTATTTGCTTTCTGCTACACGGTTACCACAAGGATTATCGATTACTATTCTTCAAGTCCAATACAACAGTTACACATTATCAGTTTCTCTAAATAGTCCATCACAATGTGTAAAATTTATTACAGGGAAGCTTTCTAGAAATCAACTTCAATAAGAGTTAAGATAAAACAGAAGTGAGTGTACCAGTAACACTACGAGCACCGCCATGCGCTGCATTTAGTGCAAAACCACCAGTATAGCAGCAAATATCAAGTACTTTCCGTCCAGCAGAAATTGATGATATGTACTGGCGATTTTCACGCTGATCAGCGTAGAATCCAGTCTTTTGCCCCTCCAAGGACACTAAATACGAGATGCCATTTTCTATAGCCTGGCTGAAACACATGTATAAGCATAATAAGAACATTATAATAAAGATTGTCATCTAATAGTTGCTAAAAGCTCTCTCCAATGCCAATCCTCTCAAGGACCACAATTTTCAAGACAAGGATTTCTGGCAGTGGTCTATGGATAAATTCATGATGATTGAGGGTAAGATCTTATATTAACTGCTACACGTCATTTTCACACCCCATTGTACATTAGTTCTTATTGAGATTTGGGTAACAATAGGCTCAGCCTTATGCCTTTACACTTGCATATGTTCTTGTTAACAGATGGTACCAGGATGGAAGAGAAAATTAAACTATGAAACAATTTGTATTAGCATTGTTGCAAAACTATCATGTGGAAATGAGTTTCACCTTTGCCATTTTGGGAGAATCAGATCCCTCTCCTGAATCAGACAGATCCAACCCTTCCTCTTTCAGGGTTTCAATAGATGGTCTCCAGGTTATATGACGGATGCTGCTAAGTCTGCTTATGCAAGCCTTTATTTGTTGTTTGTACTTTTCAACCCAAGCTGCAGAGGAAGCAATCACTGCTTCATCACCAAAAATATCAACTATGAGGCCAGACAACCTGTGTTAAAAACCAATATTTAGAATGTTAAAGCTATTTCTTAAAATGATCTTCAAGAAATGGCTAGTTCCTTAACAAAGCCGTAGCAGTTTATCTCTTGTTGATAAATTCAACACTGTAATTGTTACACGGTCATTTTATTTACCAGAATGGTAATCCAGAAATATGAAATTACAGTGTATTTGAAGATTGAATATAGAAGTAATACCGATCTCCTTCACTGTTTACAAGACGGTAAGCATTTGTCTTGGCTGAAGGAAGCCCGAGAAGCCCTCGTAACTCAACAGCATCATTGATTCTAGTTTCAAGCAGTCTGTCCATGTCTAGCACGGAACAAGGATCTCTGTTCCATAGCTATTACTAACACAATCAGATATTGATATTTGAAACGTAAATAGCACGATAATGTGATTCAATGAACGTATACCGTGCGGCTTCGTCTTCCAGTTGCATAAGTCGAACACAAAACATTGAAACTGAATTGTACAAGCCCCAACCAATTGGTTTCTCTTTCCCATCAGCAACCAGGACGACATCTCCAGTTACTGGGGGTGGTCTACCAATGATCCGATCAACAGCACCACTATATACCATTGGGCTGCCATCTTTAAACAACTGAGTCTTTCCCTTTTTCAGTACAACTTTTGCAACGCCTACAAATTAATCTCTTAATCAACAAAATGCAATATGTCGAGAGAGTTCTCCTACTCGATGGAATTCTGAATCGTAATATGAGAATGAGAATATCATAAACCACCAAATTATCATGCGATGCTACAAAACTCAATAACTCGAATTACACGACAGGCATCAAATGCTCTGAGAAATTACATAATCAATTAGCTACCGAGTTAGTGAATCTACCTTTGGGGTTAGAAGACGCAATTTCCTGAAGTGAGGCAACGGGCTGCGCGGAGGCCAGAGAGAAACTTCTTGCCATCAGGAAGCGGCTCGAAGACATCATTCAGTTTTCCGTCTCGGACGATGCCGTGATGTTTGAACGCGTCGGAAGAGAAACTAGCAGCTCTAGTTGCCATTCACCTCCATGTCCATGGTTGCTCGCTCTGGGCAGTCGACCATCAGCAAATTATAGTTTCTTCATTTGCATCTCTCTTTATCCATTTGGAGGGAAACGAACGATTACTGGGCTGGGCCCATTAATTGAATTATTATATTAAATGGCCCTGTATTTGATTCTCATTCGGCCCAAATACGGCCCATTTCAATTCATGCAGCGTTTAGTTTCATTTTGGCTTATTTTAATAATATTCAGAATTCTGCTCTGAAATATTTTGGTATTTTGATGTGTTTTGGAACAGAAAAATATAATGGGTCATTTAATATGAATAGTCATAGTATTACAGTCTTTGCAATGCAATAAAGTTACCAGAGAAAGCCAATTCACTATACGAAATGAAGCAGCTGCTAGCACGTGATGGCGAATACTATCGTATAGTTGATATCATCTTTTCTGAGTGTTAAAACGGTAGATTTTGAATTGACCAATGCCGATTCGATCATGAAAATCACTTTCTCAAAGAAAGTCAAGTATGTGCTCCAAAATTACGAAGGCATTGAAGGTCGGCAAAAAGCAAGCTAATTCGGGGGTCCAAGCAGGATCCGAAGTATCGGCCTTATTGGGTAGTTGATTGTATCTCTAATTTTGTTCATAAGTCTGAATTTTCCACGGAAGCCGGCTCGAAATATTTGATCTGCAGATTTCACCCTATCTACACCCGGAGCCACGGACGTTTATACGGTTTAGGGCTAGTGAGTTACTATACGTTCGTGAAGGCAGACCCTGTTCAGGAAGACCATCTAATTCTCCGGAAAGGATCAATTCTCTTCTCTCTTTCCTTTCTGAGTTATTCCAACTTCTTTATGATTTCAAAGAGGGAGTTCCCCGGCTGGTACCAATAGATAGAGCGCATCAGGGGTTTGGGGAAATTTCCCATGACAAGGAGGTGAGAAGGGCCCTTACTCCGTCCCACACAGTGTATTACTATCGGTCCTAATTATAAATACATATTTAATGCAATATTTTGAATAAAAATTTTTTAATTGTATTTAAATATTAAATAAAAATTGATATCTTGTTTTCTTCGACTACATAATTGTTGCATCAAATTCTGTTTTGGCCTTAGTTCGATTTTTGTTAATGTACTCTTCTTCTAATTGCTTATGTTCATTAAATTATATAACAAACTCAAACAACACTACGTACGTAAGACATGTCATTAAAAAAACATATAAAAGAATTGATAGCACGAAAGGGAAATACTAATGAATTCAGAAAAGGTCGGCTTATTGGCACTACTATCACTACCCAACAACTACTCTTTAGTTTTACTTATGTATGTAGACATTACTCGAGGATCTAAATATAAATATAAAATAGGCAAAACAAAATTAAATAAAGAAAAAAAAAAACTTAAAAAAAGTATATCAAGAAAATGATATACTCCTGTACACATTTATTTTATTGATTTCCTCAAATTTTTTTTTTTTTTTTTTTGATTATTCCTCATTAGATGTAATTTGATTAGACTATAATTCTCCCTATCTAAGTTCATTGATATATATATTTTTTAATTTAAATTCATGTGTATCTTTTTCTTTTTTTTTTTTTTTTAACTAAATGTGATGTTTTATGGAGTATATTGAAAAATTAATACTTTTTTCGTCCATAATTAGGTATTCAGTTGCTTTTTGTATGTAGTTTTAGAAATATTAGCATAATATTAGAATATAGTAAGAATAAAGTAGAAATGACTAAAATAATCTTATTAATACAGTGTGATATAAAAGGAATTATATTTGTTTAATATATTTTGTAAGTTAAGGATATTTGTAATGTTAGGTACATAATATAATTATTAAAAAAAATACCTTTTGGACAGACTAAAATAGAAAAATGAATACTCTAAAATAATATTTTATTAGAGAATCACAATTGTGTAAGAACAAAGCCTATATGTATATTGTTTTCACATAACACTCTAAAATAATATTTTAATAAAAATGATTATTATTTTTTTTTGAAGAAAAAAATAAAACTTTAATAAAAAAAAAAAAAAAAGAGAGTTAAACAAATTGTTTATTATATTATGAATTTATTTTATTTTATGTTTTTTTAAAAAATCATCATATACGTAAAAAATTACAATTAATATATAATTTTATTTAAAATACTAGTTTCTCTATTAATAAATAAATCCAATACATCCCCATCATGCTATAACAAAGCTCTAACTTTGAGCCAAAACATTTGTGATTTTGTCCTCACTATTTAATATTTTTATAGAAAAACAAAAACAAAAACAAAAACAAAAAACAAAAAATGGCATTGGGGGTGGGTGGGGGTGGGGGTGCGCCATTGCATACATAAGAGTGAGAGATCAGAGAAAGAGAGAGAATCTTAAAAGGCCACCGAACTTGAGTGGGCAGAGCATCTCGAAAGTCGAAGTTTAGCAGCATGGGGAACGAGCTCCATCAATGGAGTCCATTGGGGGAGCTTCATCACACACCGTCGCGGTGCTGCACTACAATCAGACTCACATTCAGTGCATATCTATCCATCTATATATGTATATGTGTGTACGTATCCGTCCGATTCACGAAAGCATATGAAGGCTCATTGATTCTCCTCCTCCTCCTCCATTTCTGTCCAAGGTGGAGACAGGGACCCATCCCATCCTGCATTCACTATTTTAATATCCATTATGCTTTTTAATTTTTCCTGCTTTCTGATAAAATTGGTTCTCATGCGGATCGTATTTTCCTCTTTTTTGGTTTTAGTTATTCGGTGAAGCGGCTGGTCGTCAGGGTGGTGGATTCTGAGTGGATAGTCATCACGGCGCCGTAATCGCCATGTCTCTTCAGCTCTCAGCTTCTGTTTGTTTTGGCCGCAAGGAGACGCATTACCGCTCCTGCTTTTCTCGCGTTTCAGGTACAGATTTTCGAATCTTTCCATGTGCCTGGAGTTGGAGTGGAACTCATTGTTTGTTGCTTTTTAGCTTCTCGTCCACTTCGCTTTTTCACGATCACCGACCTATGGCTATGAGTGTGTGAGTGAGTGAATTGATAAAGCATGTGATCGTATATCTGCTTTTTTTGCAGATCAGTTTGTGTAGATATTTCAGGAACACGGAAAATATATGTGGTTATCATTGTTATTATTACTATTAGTATTATCATTACCTGGTGCGCTCATCTGCGTTTCTTCTTTCATGTTTTGAGTTTGTAGCTTTCCTCGAGCTCTGTTCTGAAATTTGGATTGCGCAGGGAAGAACTTCATAATATGTTTCTACTTTTGGGATAAAATAATCATCAGTTCAGATACACATATATACATATATATATGATCTCTGGTACTTGAGGCATATTAAGAAACCTTACCGTAGTGAACACCTGGTAAACAGAGTTAGCAAATTCAGCTTCAGTGCTGTTTTTATTTTATTTTATTTATTTTATTTTATTTTTCTATTGTTCGGGGGTTTTGTGACGTGCTCTGAAGCCACCGAGCAGTGACAAATTGCTTCATTTTCTTGAAAACAGCATCTCTGGAAATTGAAGTTAGATCATCGCCTAAAGTTGCTGCACCGGTAAATCTGAACGTGTCATCTCTTAGTATATTCCATGTTTTAGAATTATCATGCAGCTGTGAAAATTAAATCATGATTTAGTTTTCGAATGATATTTTAAACAGTATTTTGAGAAGACGAAAGAAAGAATAGCTACGCTGCTGAATAAGGCTGAGGTATCTGTTTCAACATATGACACAGCATGGGTTGCTATGGTCCCTTCTCCACATTCATCACTGGAACCTTGTTTCCCGGATTCTCTCAAATGGTTGCTGGAAAACCAGTGCCCAGATGGTTCTTGGGCTCGCCCCCATCATCATCATTTGCTGCAAAAGGATGTTCTTTCTTCTACTTTAGCATGTGTTCTCGCACTAAAAAAATGGGGGACTGGTGAAGAACATATTAACAGGGGTATGTTTTCTTAGAATATCAATTGCCTGTTTCAATAGGTTCAATCTGATTGAGGCTTCTCTCTTGCAGGTCTTCATTATCTAGAGTCCAATTTTGCTTCAGCTATGGAGAAGAACCAGTTTTCTCCGCTTGGATTCGACATTATATTCCCAACTATGGTTGAATATGCCAGGGACATGTTTTTGAATCTCAACTTGGAGCCAACCACATTGAATGCTTTGATCTATAAAAGAAGTTTGCAGCTTGAGAGGTAACTATGGTTTTCTCTACCGTTCTGGAGATGAAATTTGGAGCATATTGATGTAAACAGTTTGAATTCAAAAAGAGGTCTGAACTATCAAGACTGTGTTAAGAAGGTTTTTACCATCCTTTGATTGATATTGATTTCCTGCCATGTAGATGCAAACAAAGTCGATCATTGGACAGGGATGCATACATGGGATACATCTCAGAAGGAATGGGAAAATTACAGAACTGGGAATCAATCATGAAATATCAACGAAAGAATGGATCTCTTTTCAACTCTCCCTCGGCAACAGCAGCTGCTTTTATAGGACTTCCCAACGATGGGTGCCTTCGTTACCTTCGGTCTGCATTGAAAGAGTTTGGGAATGCAGGTATCTTTGTTGCATTTTTTTTTTTTCACATGCCAACTTTACAAGCCTTGAAGTCTCAGAATCTTTATGTTTGCTGCAGTTCCTGCAGTTTATCCTCTAGATATATATTTGAAGCTGTGCGTAGTTGATAATCTTGACAAGCAGGGGATCAGCTGCCATTTTACAAAGGATATTCAAGGCGTGCTCGATGAAACGTACAGGTATTCTCTCTGTTGATTCTTAATCAGAGTGAAGATTGAGATAAGAAATGTTTAGGAAGTTGTTCTGAAATATGAGCATATTTTCCTGTTATATTTTTCTTGACTGTATCCCTTGAAAGATTATGGTTGCAGGGCAACGAGGATATATTCCTGGATGCTTCAACTTGTGCTTTAGCATTTCGATTACTGCGAAAGAATGGATACGATATAACTTCAGGTCAACTTAAAACCACAAACACACAACTTATTGTGTTCATTTCATCACACCCCGTTGCTATTTATCTTGTAATTTATGAACTTATTAATATAACATGCAGATCGGATAACAAAAATCCTAAAAGAATACCACTCAAGTGGATACATGAAAGACACATACACAACTGTTGAACTATATAAAGCTTCAGAATATGTAATGAATCCAGATGAAAGGGATCTTGATGAACAATACTTCATTCTGAAAGGTTTACTTGAGGTGGAACTTTCGAGCGGTTTCATTTATTCGAATCAGCTTGGAAGAAATATTGACCTAGAGGTATCCACTCTTCCCCTGTTTCTAATCAAATATATACTTTTAAGACTTCATGTGCAGCTGAATTAGATGAGTTGTGGTCGATGTTTTTTCAGGTAAGCCATGCTCTTAAGCATCCCTTTTATGCAACTTTAGACCGGATGGAAAAACTGAGAAATATAGAGCATTATAACCCCAATAGTACGAGAATTGCGAAAACTTCATTTTGGTAATTTCCTGTACAGGCTTTACTAAATGCATGATCTTATTCTGCTCTTTTAACTCATCACATTGCTTTTGTCTCATCGATCCAGTTCACCATGTTTTGGAAACTCGGATTTCCTCTCTCTGTCAACAGAAGACTTCAACAAATGTCAAGCTATACAACGCAAGGAGCTGAAAGAGCTTGAAAGGTATTTGCTCCATTGATTTGTCCATAATCATCAGAACTAATATCTTCTGACATCTGTGATAATATGAGAGATATAACTATATACTTATGACCCAACTTGATTGCAAATATATTCTGTAGATGGGTAGTGGAGAACAGGTTAGAAGAGTTGAAGTTTGCAAGGCAAAAGGCTGCATACTGTTATTTTTCTGCAGCAGCAACTCTTCCAGACCCGAAATTATCGGATGCCCGAATGTCATGGGCAAAAAATGGTGTTCTGACAACAGTGGTAGACGATTTTTTCGACGTTGGAGGTTCTCTTGACGAACTAAAACAGCTAATTTGGTTGATTGAAGAGATGTAAACATCCTAACAATTCTTTACTTCACCCAAATACTCTTGACGTTGACCTGGTAACAAATGTGATTGCACTGTTTGCAGATGGGATGCTGATTCTATCCCTGTACAGTTTGCTTCGTCCAATGTCCAGATAATATATACTGCACTGAAGCACACAATCTGTGAGATTGGGGACAAAGGATTCATAATACAAGGATACAACGTGAAGAACCATGTAGCAGAGATTGTAAGATTCCACACCTTTCTAGTCCTACAGCATGATATGTTGCTGCAAAGATCTTAACATTCTTGTATCAAATTTCAGTGGCTTGATCTTCTGAAATCGATGATGAAAGAAACCGAATGGACCAAAGACAAAACCATCCCATCAGTCGAGGAATACATGAGCAATGCCTATGTGTCGTTCGCTTTGGGGCCAATTGTCCTTCCCGCTCTTTACCTTGTAGGACCTAAGCTCTCGGAGGAGATGGTGCAGCATTCTGAGTACCATAAGCTATTCAAACTGATGAGCACCTGTGGTCGCCTTTTAAATGACATCCGGGGCTGCGAGGTAATGCAGCACAACTTCTTCTCTGTCTCTCAAATATCGAAACATTTGCTCTACATGCTGCCAATCTTACAAATTCACATTATCCGCAGAGAGAAATGAACGAAGGAAAGCTAAATGCAGTGCCATTATACGTGCGAAATAGCGGCGGAAAGACAACCAAAGAGGAAGCTATTTTCAAGGTGAAATGCCTGATTGACAGCAATAGGAGAGAACTACTGAAACTAGTTTTGGATGCGAAGAACAGTGTAATACCAAAGCCTTGCAAGGACTTGTTTTGGCATATGTGCACGGTTGTGCATCTGTTCTACAGTAAAGACGACGGATTCACCTCTCCGGACTTGATCAAGGAAGTTAAAGCAGTTCTTTTTAGTGAGCTTTCCTCTAAGGACAACCCTGTTTCTGTGGTAAGATAAGCAAGCAAGCATTTGTATTCTCTTAAGTTTCTGTACTGTGTACAGTTGATGAGGCTATGGATATGGCTACGGCCTGTTTATGATGTGCATTATGGTTATGAATCATAATAATAATTACTGGTTGCTTCCTCAGTTTGATATAAATACCAATCCAGAAGTTAACTTGTACAGATCCAATGCAACAAGATAATCATCTCAAATAGACGACAAGACGTAACAGGGAACCGTTCGAAAATTGATTAAAACGATCTCTTTTCATACGAGACTAACCCATGAATTCCACCTTCAACTTGAGCTGCTCCTGTTCTAACCTGGAATGTTAGAATGGATCATTCAATTAGTGCGATTTACAACCAAGAGCTAATTATTCGACATAGCTATAAAATGTTTTAAGGATAACGTCAAAACATTGTAAGCAGAGGAGTGAAGAAGAAGATGCAAACCTCCAACCGTAGGACGCCTGATCTTAGGAGGTCATGGGCAGATTGCAGGGACGAGGCGCCGAGGTCCTGGAATCCTTGCTTTACAGCTTGTATTGTGTAGGGTAAGAATTTCAATACAGAGCCTTTATCAGCCACGGCACCAACCACACCCTGAGCAATTTTCAGCTTAGCTTTATCACCCAAGTATCTTGCGTCGCTCCCTTTGGTCATTGCTTCTAGGGACCCCATTCCTCTATATTTTTTTACCCGGCGATCACCCTGGCGCCACAAAGTTTCACGACTTGTTAACAAATGCACAATCAGCCCATTCGACCTAAAAAGTACACGCCTTAACCAAGACAAATGCATATGCTAGCAAGCAATGGCATCTCGAAATAAAAGTTTAAAAAACCAATCTATGGCCAATAAAGCGTATGAGGGAACTTCTATTGCATAGTCGACAAGGCAGAGAGTGTAAATATGTAAAGGTTAAAATGTAGGGTGTGGTAGAACCTGATATTCATACACACCAGGAGCCTCAGTACTTCCAGCCAAGAAACTTCCCATCATTACAGTTGATGCACCTAAAGTTAGAGCTTTCACAATTTGGCCGGAATATGATATCCCCCCATCAGCTATCACAGGCACACCACTCTCGGATGCAATCGTCGAAACCTTGTAAACAGCAGTTGCCTGAAAAATGCATTAGAACTCTTGCTTAGTTGCAACCAATATAAAAAATCACACAAACACCATCACAAAAGGAAACACATAAGAGAAGCCAAGATAAGCTCGATAATTAAAATATACAACATCCCAATCTGTGCAGTTACAACTAAGGCTTAATGTATCATTGCAAACAGCATTAATCTAACCAGAAAAGAGCTGAGAATGGTTAACCTGTCCTCGACCAACGGCGCAAACTTCTTGGGTGGTGCAAATGGAACCCGATCCCATCCCTACTCTGAGGCCGTCGACTCCTGCCTGAATCAAGTTCTGCGCCTGGTATGTAGTCACCACATTTCCACCAATCAAATCCAAATCTGGATATGTCTTCTTTGCATACTTAATCATGTCAATCTGATAGCTTGAATTCCCCTGAGAACTGTCGACAATCACTGCATTCACACCGGCTTTAACCAAATGCTCCAGCCTCTCTTTGTCGGATTCCCGAGTCCCTATTGCAGCCCCCACAAGAAACTTCCCGTCAGGCCCCAAAGATGGCATCCCCAATTTGGGAAATCCCTCTATCCTCTCCACATCATCACGAGTCACAAAATTCACGACTTCATCTCCATCTGCAGAGTCATCTCTCACCAGCGGCACGAAATCGAGGTGTTCTTTGGCTAAATAACCGGCCACGTCCTCAAAGCTGTTGGTTGCCGGAAGCGCCGCCGGCGACTTTACCATGTACTTGGAAACAGTGATTTCCTTATCGTCTAATTTCTCCCAATCAGATTTCTTCACGATGCCTAAAAGTTTGGATTTACCACTCCCCGACTCGGTGACAAAAACGCAGGGAGCGGAAGAGAATTCGTCGGGAGACAGAATCGAATCTGAGGGAGATTTATAGACGATTTCATGAGAGAATGGGATTTTATGCGACTTGGCGAGGTGGATTAGAGCAGCCTGCGTCGAAGCCGGGATGTTGGAGTGGATAAATCCGATGGCGCCGAGAGAAGCCATAGCCGCCGACATGGATGCTTCGGTGACAGTGTCCATAGGAGAAGACACGCACGGCGTCGCGAGCGCGATGCGGCGGCTGAGCTTGGTGGACAGCGACACCGCGTCGGTGGGGAAATCGATGTAGCCAGGTAGGAAGATCACATCGTCGTACGTGTAGGAGTACCCCTGGCTGAACAATCTCGCCGCCGGGAAGCCATCCTCCAGTATCGGAGCTCCGTCCATCGCCGTCGTAATTTGGGTTTATTGAAAGAAAGTAGGGTTTCTTCTGAATAAAGTCCGCCGCCGGTGTTATTATTTTTCTTTCAACTCAATTACAAATACATAAAATCTTTTATTAAAATTATTTATTAGTAAAATTAAATTATTTTAAAAATATATAAATATAACTTTCAATAAAATAAAAAAAAAAAAATACACATTTCTTGAGTGCATTGCAGAAATACCAAAACCAAAAAAACATTATTTTTAGCTGAGTTGGATTCTATCTAAAAGCCTCTTATGGTCACAAGTTTATCCACTGCACAGTCGTGTATGGACGAGATAATGCTCATTTAGGAATCTTTGCATAGATTGGAGTGTTTTGGAAACCTTTTTTGACAAGTATAAATTTTTTGGTAAGACTTTTTTATAATTATTTTGATTTGGCAAATATATTTTTTCTTACCTATTTTGATTGATACGATTTTTTTATATGTATATATATTTTATTTTTATAAAAATTATATGTAATACTTTTTTTATTTACTTAAGTAAATTTTTTATTTGATTTTTGTATAAAATAAATTAATATTTTACAGATATGTAATATAATAGAATAATATATTGTTTATTTCATTTTAAAAAGCAATGTAAAAAATAAAAATATAAAAATATTTTAATATTTAATTGAGATTTATCTATTTTTAAAAGAGTAAAATTTTTTGTATTTTGTATAAAAGAATATAGTATTAAATTAAAATATTAAACAAACATAATGTTACAATTTCAGATGTATTTATTTAAAAAAAAAAAATAATCTACAGTGATGTTTGAATGAATTTTGAATGAAAGTATTATTGGGACAAAGCATAGGAACAAAAATAAAGGAATTAGCCGCTAATTTTCAATTATCTAAAAAAATAATTTTACTATTCAAAAATTGTAATTTAAAATTAATTTGAAGCAAAAAAATATATATATATATTTTAAAAAATTATATAAAAATAAATTTTATTTTAATTTCAAATTAAAAGAACAAGTCCAAATTTACGCACACAAAAACAATATTCAACTTTTACTCATCACAACGAAAATTACACATATAAATGGGCAAATTGAATTAATTCCCACACCCACCAGAAGAGTCCATATAGATTACAAAATCGTGGCCGATATGAACACCGAATTAAATAAGCTATGCCTAACTAATCGCAGCAGCCAAACCCTAATATTATTCTTCCCCCCCTCCACCCTGCCTTCAACCATAGATAAAATGGCACCCATCATAACCTGCACCCAGACAAAATCGAAAAAAAAACAAAATGGGCACCGTGAATATCGATCAATTTCCCCAATCAAATAAAACAAAACAAAATCAAATCAGAGCAGAGCAGCAAGAATCAACAACAAAAAAGTAAAATTACTTGGATCGACGGTGACAAGAATCGCAGTTCCTCCAAAGTCACAGGTGCCGCCGGCCGTTTTCGTTCTTTGCCAGTAGCTGTTGAAGGCATAGGACGCGTGTGCAAACAATGTGTCCGGCTGAAAGCAAGATCCGCTCGGAAGAATCTGGTCGCAGTCAGCTCCCGATCCGCAGGCATAGTTCATGGCTTCTTGGATGATCGGACCAGGCACGGAAGCCTTCGCCACGCACCACTGTGCCAATACCGGCGCTCGGTGGGGCGGCGGCGGCACCGCCGGGGGCGGGAACACAATGGGCGGCAAGAATCTTGGGCTCGGGTTGGACCCGGAAGGCGACGGGAAGTTGTAAGGTGGGGTCGGCGCCGACGACCCCGGGCCGGGCCCTGGCGGGCTGGGCTCATAATAAGGTGGGCTTAAAGATGGGCTTGGTGGACCCGGCGGGCCTGGGCCTATCATCGGTGAGCCCGGAGTAGGTAATGTGGGCTCGAAGGCTCCCGGAGGCGACGGCGGGTTGTACCCACCGCCTCCGCTTCCACCTCCGCCACCGCCACCGCCTCCGCCACCGCCACCGCCACCGCCACCGCCACCGCCACCTCCACCGCCGGCGGATGGGGTTGGGATTGTGGCGGGTGGGAAGATGCAATAGGGAGGGGCATTTTGGGGCAAGGGAAAAGGAGGAAGGGACTCGAATGGTGGTAAGGAGAAGGGAGAGCTTACATAAGGGTCTGTGTTGGATGAATCCAGAGGCATGTCTGCATCCAAGTTCTTGAATGCATAAAATTTTCTTGATAATTTGGGGATAGATGATGGCCTTTCTTGATCACTTCTTGTTGTTTCTGAGAAACACAGAAAAGCAAACGAGTGAGTGGTAACTGGTAAAAGTGACAGTAACACACTTAAGGAACAAAGAATATTTAAACTCACCACAATGCAGGAGGCAAAGCAGAAGCAGATAGACAAATCCAGTTGCAATTCCATGCCCCTTCATTTGCAGGATGGAAACCAAACCAAACCAATTCTAATGCACCACAGAATCAAATGGCAAGGGTATATATAGCAACAGGAATGAAATAAACAGAGCTGAAACAAGACAGAGGTCAGCAGACCAAAAGATGATTCTTGAGCAGAAGCCCACTTTGTACTATCTAAGAAATGTGTACCTGAAGAAATGTAAAAGAGTGGAAAAAAGTAGTGTCCCAAGTGCATATAGGGGAGGAAGCGTACAGTGCTCTGCTCAAGTGCGTGTGTGTGTGTGTGTATATGGGCATATATGCTTGCCTTCACATCCTAAATAAACCAAAAGTTTCTAGTTTTAATCTAAGGCTTCCCTAACTTTTCTCTTGCTTGCTTTCTACTCAAAGACCTTCTCCTTCTTCTCCATTCTCGACGCATAATGACCAAACAGTCGACAACAAGGCACCCTAAGGGAAAACACAGATTTTGTTTGGTATCAAACTACAACTGAAAGATGATTGATATTTAGAATTGTGTAGCTCAAAGTACCTGAATTCTGCTCCATGGCTTTCCTCTCTTTCCACCTGTATATTTACATCATCCTAAGCTTTATTACTGTACCTGGAAATCTGTTTACAAGCCGTGGATTTTGTTTAGACCCTTTGTGTGTATCATCTCCTGTGCTATGAAGAGGCAGCTGGACAAAAGTTCCGAGGGGGCGTCTCATCCTTTTGATCCAAAGTTACCTTTACTGCCCTGTAAAGCTCAATCCAGGAACTGGAATGATCCTCCACCACAGGTCCCCATGAAAATGTGGGGTTGGGACTGGGAGGGGGGCCTGGAACCAAGTCCATCACAGTGGCTGCTGCAGGCTTCAATGGCTCTGGAAAATTGATTGCCAAATTATCAACTGTGTGCTCGTATATCTTACCATTTCTATCCAGTTTATACCGGGAGGTGCCCTGGAATTCCCCCTCGGCCTCCCAAGGGACTCGGGGCACGCCCCTCAGGTTCCATCTGATCAGAATCATAGTCTCGGACAGCTGCCAAACTCTTGCAACTTCTAGTGCTATGTCCTTGAACAAAACTCTGCCGTGTAATCTCAGTGCCCAGAATATCAGTTTGTATTTCTGGATTCCATGGAACGTGTTTATAGGATCCTTGAATGTTATATTATCCCTGCTTTGCAACCAAACCACAACAAAAAGAGCAGTGAACATTCATTTTTCCATAAGTTCAACAGCAGGCATAGAATTCGATATTAATCTTAAACCTCAAGGATGCTGACAAGATTAGAAAACTGGCCTGTAAATGCTGTAGTCGAGATCCTTGGAGAATGCCATAGGAAGGTCTTCACGGAGTATCCTTACAGCCGAGCCTAAATTGACATAGAAATCATCTCTTCGGTCCTGCTGCTTATCCTGCACACTGGTAAAAGTCCGATTGACCTGTGCGGCACTGCAAGGCAGAGTAGAGGGATCGAGCTTCGTCTGAACCCAATTGGGAGCAGATGAGAGTGGTGGAACAATGGGGAAGAGCTTGTCTTTGGCCTGCAGAAGAGATGGAGAAAGTTTTGGCAGAATATAGGCCATTTATTTTTTATGATACAGTCTCAAACTTACATCCTGTTTTTGTGTTGTGGATGGAAAAGAAAAGGGACTTAAAAGTAGCTAGTGGGTTCTAATTGAAATGTGGCTGTGAAAACAGCCAGAGTCAGGACAAGAACAAGATTTCCATTCACATTCTCAAGTGTTCCAGTTCCCTGTAATAACATGCTTTTGTCGTACACGAACCAAATGAATTTTTTTCCTTTTTCCCAATAATACAGTCAGCAATAGATGTCGTGCCATCATTTTGATCACTTAAGCCAAGAATTGGGAGGTCTAACTCACTCTTCACCAAGAATCATACTTTGCTGTTGTGTTCTGGTCTGTGAGTGAATTCGAAATCTATATGAACGAAAGCCCTCTCGACCTCCGGAAGTTGCTCGAGTTTTTCTTGTAGCTTTTCGCCGATATTATGGGCCCGGCTCAGCAGCATGTCTTCCGGCAGCACGATGTCGACCTCCACGAAGTAATGAGAACCGAAAGTGTATGCTCTCACCGTGTCGATGTGCTGGATGTCTTGGTGGTGGTTCCATATGAGATAAGTTAGTTTTGTGAGGAATTCTGGGGGAGCTGTTCTTCCTATTAGGGACCACACATTTTCAACTACTGTTTTCGCCCATGTGTTGATTGTATATATTGCTATCTGCAACAGAATCAAGATTTAAGGATTGAAAAACATAAAAGATGAAATCTTCCGAAGATATGGGAACTTAGACTTACGATTATGGCACCTGTAGGATCAATCCACCAATAAAACCGAACTGCTAAGACAGCAGTGACTAATCCAATCGAGTTAGTGATGACATCAAAAAAATGATCTTGGGCATAAGCTCTGACTATTTCATTCTTAAATCTGCGGCAATAAACCATAAGCAGGAACTTGATAACAGTTACAGATACCATGATCCCAATTATCCACTTCTCCTTCTCATGGTTCATTTCAGGACCAGACTGCCAACAGGACAGAATTATCAGAAGACACACTTGATGCAGCCACAATTTAATAGCACGGGGAATTAGAATCAGCGGTGAAGAATGACATACCTTTGCGATGAGCTGCCGGACGGACTCCAGTATGATTTGTAACCCAAGAGTTGCCATTACAGATGCAAAGACAATAATCCCCTGTGAACGAAAGAACATAAGCAGCAAATTAAGTTCAAGTGTACATTCATGAGTTGCTTTTTCTGGTCATCTTGTCAAATTTTCTAAAATGATATAATGCATCAGAAGACCACCATTTCACTGTCAATTGTTCCTTGACAACATATTATAGAGACAACTCTAGCGATTTGCAGTTTATGAATGCATAAGAAGACACATGAACTTACTACTGGCTGCATTCTTTTCTTTCCAATGGGATAGTGATAATGGTTTGGATTTTTCATGGCATACGAAGTAAACCAGAGAATCAGCCCAGATAATAGGTCGAGGAAGGAATCCATTGTTGATGCAATGACCGCCAAAGATCTGCTCTGAACAGAAGCATAAACTTTTGCTACAAAAAGGACAAGATTAGCAGCATTTGACACATTGATAGCCATCCTTTCACTCTTGGCAAGCTGTTTAACTTCATCCTGATAAATATTTGGCAGAAGAAATGGATAAAGATACAAGCAGGTGTTGTGAACTGCAAATTTGCTTCAAAGAATTATGTTTGGTACGTTGCCGTGATAGTCTTCAAGCATAAGTTAGAGGCCAAACGAAGAGTGCTCGAGGAAATAAGCGATATTAGCCAAGAAAGACAGTTTCAAAGCTATATACACTTCATCAACCAAATCAGTCTGCTTTTCTTTAGAGAAAAAAGTTCAATTAGAGATGCTTGTTCTAGCCACAGTTCCAAATGAAATATGCAGAGCATTAACTAATCTACTCTGAAAAATGAGAACAGTTACCCAAATCTCCAAAACAAACCTCAGTAAGAGTATCTGGTAAAGCACCATACTCATGAATAGTTTCCATTTCATTGAATCCTTTCAAGAGTTTCTCCTGCTTTTTGTAGTACTCAGCAACCTTTTGCTGTTTCCCTGAAAAACATAATACAATAAAAACTTCAAGGAACTTGAGACTGTAATTAATAATTTATTTACCGAAATCATGTGCACATAGAGGTATATCGGGTAGAGAATTTTACCACCACAGAATTACTAGCTTTAAAGAGCATCCTTCCACAAACCATTTCTAAATCAGGCAATCGAATCAAGCAATATGAAAGTACTATTTGCCGCATGAAGGAAAAATAAATATAAAATACGAAGCATCCGTTATTCAAATCTTCAACACCGACCTCTTGCAGAAACTTTGATAATGAAATCTATGTTCGAATCTTTTCTTTATTTTATAATCTGTACGAACACCGTATCTCAAAGAAACTACTACTATTATTCTTTCCTCTTATCTGGACAGATTAACTAATCAGATTGAGTTCACAGCCATGAGCATCTAAAAGTAGTTAAATCATCCACAACCCTAAGAGAAAACACACAACAGAAATACCAAAACAATCAACTTATGCTACGTCCTATACACAGAGACACGCAGAAGAAGGCAACGTACTTTTATTGCGCAGGAGACGTCGGAGATTGAAGGCCTGATGACGATGATCCGAGCCTCGCTCCGGCAACTGGAACTCATTTATGTTGAGTCTCCAAGACGAATCACCGGTAGAGATCTCCGCCGTTTCTCCGAGCAAGTCCCTCCGACTTTCTCCGATGACTCCGCCACCGCCCTCCATTCTACGAATGCAATTTCCCTCGATCGAATACTCCCTCCTGCGTCCGTACTCAATGCAGATGCACGACAGGTTTCTTCTGGCGGTGCCCCCCGCCCCATATAAGCACGAGAGTTACGCGGGCGTCAGAAGGAATTAACGACACGTGGCGTACTTTCATTAGTCCACTTTTGCGACCTGTCACACCACTATTGGTTCACTTGTATTTCAGTCTAACTCCCAGAATCTCAGACCAATTTTTGTCCTCAGCCTAAAACTGAATTTTCTTTGACGTTCTGGTCGTGAATAATATATATTTTTTGGTTTATACATTATTTTAAAATATTTCGTTTTTGAAATTAAAATTATATATTAATTAAATTATTCTTTTTACGGTAACTGTAGTTGTAATAACCTATTCTATTAGATACGTATGATTGCCTAAATAAAATTGGGGACCTATTCTTCTCCCAAAGTCCCCAACCAAAAGAATAATAACAATAGTCACTAACAAAAAATAATAAATAATAACAATAATGAATATTGGTGTCTAATCACGACATGGTTGGCTGATTCAGCAATATTCAGATTTTAGCATGGTTCATGATGTCAGAAATAACAAATATTAATAACTGTTAGGTTAAAGGAAAAAATTGATTTACTATCGTTAATCAATTATTCGAACGTGAATTAAGATCCTTTTCCTATTAACCACTGATGTAAGAAAATTGATAAATTGCCCATCAATTAAAAAATAAAAAATAAAATTAAAGTTATTATTAATAAACTATAAAGGTATGCGATGGGACAGAAGGAAACAGTGGAGGCACTATCAGCATTATGTTACAGTAACAAATGAAAAGAAAATAATAATAATAATAATAGTGTTAATTTAATTTTGGGTACTTTAAATATAAAATTATTTTATTGAAAAGTATATTCTATATAAAATATTTTGAATAAATACAAATATTTCAAAAATAACAATATTGTTAATTGAATATAATAAACAAATCAAATTGTATAATTGTACTAATTTTTATATTACCTCAATGTCTTTAAATGGGTATTACAAATAAAAAGGCAAACAAAGGATAGACATGATAAAATTGTTTAAATTATACTATAAATAAAGTATAGTATTTTAAAATTAAAGACACTAATTAATAGTTATTGTGCATTGTACGTAAGTGCTTTGAATGGGAAGTGGAAACCACAATCATAATACAGTCGGTGAAATTCAAAGTGGAGTAGATAGGACGAGATAAAGCATATTAATTAATCATTTTTTTATTATTATGTATTAAAAAATCAATTATTTTAAATTTAATTGATGTAACAGTTATAATAGAGTGATATTTATTTAATGTTTTATTAATAAAATAGATATATATTAATTCATTTTGGTCGCAAATATTTTTTATATTTGAATAAATTATTGATATAATAATTTGTAACAATTCCATAACTAAAAATGTGTGTATAAATTTAAAATTATTGTCTGATTTACTGTAAATACAAAAATCTATAAAATTTATAATTATTAAATAATTCAAAAGTATATTACTAAGAATTAGTTATTGTATAATATAAAAAATTATAAATTAATAATTTGTTTGTTTAGAATTTTAATTTAATTTTTTTTATACAAAATATAAAAAAATAATATATTATATAGAGCGTTGAATTTTATAAAAAAAATAAATTATATATTAAAAATTGTATGGAGAAAAATCTTGAACAAACAAACTCCAATAATTAAAATAACTAAAATTATAAAATACAAAAAATAGTGCATAATTATTTTTTAGAAAAAAAATAGACAAATTATATAGGACTTACCGAAATAAAAAATGTAAATAATTTATGCATGATATATGAAATATTATTTAAGATATTAAAATTTAAATTATTTTTAATCAAATGTAATTAAAAATAAATTGTTAAAATGATTATGAGTAAAAGAATTAAATAAATAAATTTGATTAATTAGATTTTAATTGTTTACTATACTATTTGAATGAGAAAATATTCAAAGATGACATATTTTATTGGTAAAAACCAGAAGGGTTTGTCAACTTTCTATTTTTTAAGGATATAACTATATATATATATATATATATATTAAATTATTATGTATGGTTTGAATCATGGTACGTATGGTTTGAATATTAATTATAATATAAAAAGGTAATATAAATAAAAAAGAAAAATAACAAAAATATTTTTCATTAGGGTAAATACTAAATATAATAATAATATTGGTACAAAAATTTATATAAATATAAAAATATTTTAATATTAAATATAATAACGTGAAATATAAATTGATGGATTGACAGTGATAAAGAAAATATATAAAATGTCTATAAAAAAATTGCAAATAAAAAATTTAAAAAATTTATAATAATAATCAAATAGTATTAAATTTTAAAAATTTGGATTCAAAGTTGACATGTTTTATTGGTATAAAAGTTTGAAATTAAAAAATTCCATAAAATTAGTATTTGTTGTTGTTTACTAAAGTGTAATTATTTAACTTTATTTTTTATTTTAGTAGAAAATTGTTAGACTAAAGTATAATTATTTTAATTATTAGACTAGACTTTGAATAATAAAAGTTTAAATTTGAAATATTCGTAAAATATGATATAAATAAATATAGATATAATATTTTAAATATAAAATTAATTAATTAATTATTAATTAATTTAATATTTAATATTAATTTAATATTTAATATTTAATTTTAATATATATAATATATATTATATATAAATATAGCACAAGTCATTGTAATTCGTGCTTTCTCATAATTTTGAAATTTTTTTTATTTTTTAAATAATAAGTTTAGATAATTAGTTAAATATTATTAGGATAACCACTAATCTAACAAAATTCAGATTTATGGAGATAATAAATAACAAAATATGTCTAAAATTAGAGTTTTATATATCTATATTAAACCCAAAATCGCCCTAACAAAAATTATTATGAGATTTTCGTTCAATACTGCGCAGTTCGGAAAAACGGCGATCCGGACCAATAAGAAATTTTCAAGAAATGTTCATAATTCGTTGCGTTTTCAAACGTTGGGATTATTGGTTGGATACATGTAGTTCGACCAGAATGACAAAAGTTTTAGGTTTGTTTTTTTTATTTTTACTTTTCTTAAATACGTTATTTTTGTTGGTTGATTTAATTGTTTACATGTATTCTTAAAAACTTTCATTATTGTGATTTGGTTTGGACAACACATCATTTTTTTTATTTTATTTTAGTTTGATTTTCACGTTTCGTATTTTCATATAATTTGTTATCGTTCAAAAGAAGTAAATAATTTTTCACATGAAAAAATATCATTATTTCTTTTATATATTATTTATGCATATAAATTTTTATCATTCCTTTTATATAGCGAAAATTTTATAATAAATTTGTTTTCTTTGACTTATAAATTTTAAATTATATGAATTTTTTTACTAATCAATTTTTTATCTATTTCTATAATGCAAAAAAAAAATGTTAAAAAAAAAGAAAGAAAAAAAGAATGTATGCATATAAATTTTTATCATTAGTGAAAATTTTATAATAAATTTATTTTCTTTTGACTTATAAATTTTAAATTATATGAAAATTTTTACTAATAATTTTTTTTATCCATTCTATAATGCAAAAAAAAAAAATCTTAAATAAAAAAAATAAAGAAAAAAAGAATGAGAAAGAAAAAAAATAGAAAAGAAAGAAGAGAATTAGAAAGAAAAAAATAAAAATTAGGTATTGTATTTTTTATCTTTTTATTTATTCATTTTATTTTATTATGTATAATAATTTTAATTTTCTACTAATAGATTCTTTTTATTGTTATTATATATTTAATTACTAATTTATTTAGTTTCGAGTATAATATTTTAATACTTTATTATTATGGTATACGTATTTTTTTAGATTATCTGTTATGTTATCTTATTTTCTACTAATATTTTTTTTTATCTCTATTATGTTTGAGTTTAAATTGTAATATATATTTATGAAATTTTGATTCGTTTATTTAATATTTTTTATTTGATTTAATAAATTAATATCATAAATTTTATAATTATCCGTGCATAACACTGATAAATGACTAGTTTTTAATATAATAAAAAAATCATAGTAAATAATCAAATTCAATTCCAACCATTTCAAGCTCTTTAAAAAAAAACACAGTCCTACAAGGGATGACCTGTTGTGTAAGGGTTGGACTTGTGACGGTGAGATCTAAAACCCCCGAAGCCTCAGGTCACCTGCCACACATGATTCGCCTAGTGTGACTTTCCGGGCCTGATTTGCAGGGTATTATAAAATAATAAATTATATTTTCTGTTAACTTCTATCCATATCAGTTAGCTCTGATTTAATCAAATCAAACTTATCAAATAACCAAACCAGCATCCTAAACCCTAACGCCGGCCACATCCATGAGATTTATTTTGATTTAATTTTCAAAATTACATTTTTATTGGTTAATTAGCACCTATAATTGTGAAAATAAACTCGATTTTCTAACCACACAACATTATCGATTTCAATTACGAAGTTTCAACAATGGCGTCAAGTTCTTCCTACCAATCCATTCTCAATGAAATTCCTGACGACATAGCCAAGATCATATTGGAGAAACTATGGACATTCGATCGAATTTTCCTAAGAACCGTCTCCAAGGCATGGAATGCTGCCCTGCGCCAATTACACGGCGCACGCCCGGCGTCGGAGCTGCCATGGAAGATCCTCTCGAAAAGCTTTGATCAAGGAATTAACCCCAAGGAAATCAAACTTTTAAGCCCAAGCAAAAAAGTATACAGTTTCAAGTATCCGAGCAACGGCCAATGCTGCTGCGGATCTTCTCAGGGTTGGCTGTTCATCGGCGGCGGCGGCGACAGTGTCGAGCAAATTGCGAACGTGCTGCTGTGGAATCCATTGTCCGGAGAAGTTAGGAATCTTCCATCTCTATCGTCACTGCAATTTTTCGCTGACTTTGTCAACAACGGATTAGGGTTTGGGCTACGTTTCTTATCTTCATTCGTTACGAGAGTTCATGTCTTCTCCACCACTTCCGGCGAGCTCGCGGCGGCGATGATTGTCGGTTGTCTCGTCCTACCTAGCTACTGGCGGGTGATCATCTGCACGCCGGACGATCCGCAGTGGACGGTCGTGGATTTGGAAGTCAGCGATGGGAACCCGATGGACGTCCTCTTTCATAGAGGGAAGCTGATTGTCTACTGTACTAAGTGGACTTTATCCGATTCCGACGAAGTTATCGGACATGGCTGCCGCACTGTCAATCTAATAAACGGCGGCGAGGTGGAGGTGGAGGTTGTAACTATGGTGTACGGAAGATCACGTTCATACTCTCCGAACAGAGAAGTTTCTAGAGACGATTGTTTGGTAGCGGCGACGGCAGCATCCGGCGAGATTTCCGGCGAAATTCTGGTGGTGAGCGTTACGATGGATTGGCACGCAAGTAGAAACGAGCGATTTCCGTCCTCCACGTGGTTACAAATCGGAGGTTTTGAGGTGCAACGGATTGATATTGGCGGCGGCTCGCCGGAGAAGCTTAGGAGCATCGGGCGGCAGGCTTTATTCGTTGGTGGAGGTTGCGATGCGGTGTCGACAGCGGTGGATGATATCGACGGCGGTGATTTTTCGAATGATTCCGTATATTTTGAGGTGAATGGTTTTTGGAAGATTTGGTACGGTGAGAATCACATCCTCGAGGAAAACTATAGAGTTCACCAAAGAGTAAGATTCAACTTACGAAACAACGTTGTTTCAGTAGATGCCATATCGTATGATCGGACTAACTCCAAACTTGTTGGATGGTTTATGCCGAAAATATAGAAAATAGTACAGGACAAACATCTGTGATTTATTATTACTATACATATTTTTGCTGATATGTTGAAAATTCCTCTTGTAAGTTTTGATTTAAAATTGAGGTTTTGAGTGGAGTTTTGATTTAAATAATATTTTAACGTGATATTTTTATTTTTATTTTTTTAAAATAATATATTTATTGAAAGTTCTACATATTTGATAGTGATGATTTTAATTTGAAATACAAACGGTACCAATACCAACACATGGATGTTGATTGTAAGGACAGGGATCGCCTAGTGACGTGCGAAGTGAATTTGTAATCGTGAGGTCAAAAATAAAATATTGTACTACTTTTGTACCATATAAGAAGCTTTTATATCTAGAAATTTTTATACAATGGAGTTCGAATTCTTGTAGCTGCCAATTTATGCATGCTTATATTATTGGTTGGTGGTAAAATATTTGAATAACATATATTGGATCTATGTTTATCGGTCACGATGATCTTAGACTTGATATTAATTGAATTTGTTCATTCAGTCCCAACTCCCAAACTAATACTACAATACATCATTTTGTAGTAATTCCAGCCAATTTTTACATTATAATCATACTAAGTTTAGAGACCCTAGAATTAATTAATTAATTTATCAATGGATTAATTCCCTAATGGAGTATCATTTTATATATATTTGGCCGCCAAATAATATTGTATTCTTATTTGGCCGATGGAGGCCCGCACGGAGGCTTTGGAGATGGAGGCGTCGGGCAGGGAGACGGAGGTTTAGGGCAGGGCGGCTTCGGAGATGGAGGCGTTGGGCATGGAGGTTTCGGGCAGGGGCCGCCACCACTTCCGCCACCGCCACCGCCGCGGCCGCCGCCGCCACAGTCTTTGTAGCAGATGCATTTCGTCCAATCGCACTTGCCGGAAAGAAAGCCTTCGGACTCGCAAATCTGTCCACAGTTTTTGTCGTTGAAGCACGGCCCATGAAACTTCTTGCTCTCCGATTTGCAAAGTGCTGCTTCAGCCTGCCATAAAACCATATCCTCTGCACACACCAAAATCCAAATTATAATATATTATCTACTTAATTAATTTATGAATTAATTAACAGATGGAGGAACTGGATCGAAGCTTACGAGAGATTAGAAGATGCAGCAGAAGAAGCACCACTCCCACCATCATTTTCCCCATCTCAACAAATTAATTAATCAGATCTCTCTCTCTCTCTCTCTCTATGTGATCTTTTGTAATTGCATATATATATATATATATATATATATCCTACAATGTCTGTTTTGATCCCTTATATAGAACCCCCTAATGACTGTGGGGATAAAAAAGCAAATCTGCAATTTGGGTTGGGGATGAGTTTTGGTGAATTAATTAATTAATAAAAGTAGACATTGTCTTAGCAGCAGCAGCTTGTGGATAATCAAATCTGACCAACCTTAGCCATTGATGGTTTTGGAGAAGACTGGATGAGAACTCCAACCACTGAAAACAGTATTCACTTGTTTCTTCAACTAATAATCTGTTGATAATATTATGGTTTGGAGATGAAACAACCCATGTACTTATCTTCAACAGTTTTTGAGCAGTTGCAATGCAGTCATATCATATATGAAGAACCCTCGATCTCCTATATTATATTAATTTAACTCTAATATTTTTCTTCTATGGGTCTGATTGTGTTTTTAAAATAATAGAAGATGGAGGGTAATAAGTATGTTAAATAAATTTAATAATTATAAAAAATTAAATGAAGAAAATCATATTTAAAGATAACATTTTTTGCTAAAAAATTCATGAGCAATACATATAAAATAAACACTCATATATTATTAATTAATAATATACAATGGATATATTCATGGCTAATAATATTTATATGATTAAAATATAAAAATAAATACTTTAAAAGGAAATGACTAACTTGATGGATTACTAATAACTACAAGGTTTGTATGGATGGCCTATTGTCACTATTTATATTTTTTTTTGACTTTTGAGTCATGAAATTTTGAGTTTTTTTTTCTCAATAATTTGTCCTAACATTTTTTTGTTAGAACGATTCTTTATGAATATTATTTTTAAAAAATATATAATTTATATATATATTAACATAATATATATTATAGTATATTTTATTCATTCATACAAAATTAATAATTTAATATAAAATATTATTTTTTATATTAATTATATAATTTCACATATTCAATGTAAAAAATACACCCTCTGAAAAACACAAAGTGAACAAGTTCATTAATTCTTTTAGTCTAATAATTTTTTTTTATCTAGTTACAAGTCTTCAATTTTTTTTTTTTTTTTTTCTAATTATCTAAAAAATACATATGTAAGTATGAGTAAAAACCAATTATACATCTCAATAATTTTTAATATTCAAAATGTATGAGTAAAAACCAAATGATTATTATTTGTTAAAAATATTTATAGATTTTGATAAGTAAATTATAGGCATACATGCCAAAATTTTCACATAATATTGTTGTATTGTGTTTTATTTTTTTAATCAATAAAGAGAAATCCTCAAAATTTGTAATGTGTGTAGAGGGTATTTATATATATATATATATATATATGCAATAAACAAAAAACACATATTCAATGCATTGAATGCATGTGTTTAGATGAAATACATTTTCTTCAATATTTTGCATATTTTTACATTAAAATTTCAATTATAATTTTTATGGTTTGATTACAAGTATTCAGTATATATTAATTTAAATTTTGAATCACTTATATAAGTTAAGTGAGATTAATTTAATACTAATAAAGATTAAAGAAAAGGGATAAAAGATGATTTATAATATACTTTCACTTAATGGAATATCATTTCAATGACTGAGCTGACGAATATAAGACAAGAATTAGTCACGATTAAAGAATTTAATAACAATATAAATATGTACTAAAATTGACTATAACAAAAAGCTCAACAGGCACTACCAAAAAAACTGTTTTCTATTACGGCCGGAAAATCGTAACAAAAAGCCACATTTCGTGCAATTTGCGTATTTGCTACGCCTTTGTTACGACTTTTTTCCGTAATGTGTACTCGCGTAACGAATGTTTTTTGCCACGCCACTTTTCGTAACTATTACGATCGGTCAACGCTCCCTGAAGTATGGTATTTGTTACGATGTTTGTTACGAATTTTCTCTCGTAACGAAAGGTAGATCCTTCCGCGCGTGTGGCAGGACTTTTAGTTACGGTATTTGTTACGGAAGTTCCTCGCGTTACAAGTGTTTTCCATTGACCGGTTGTCAGAACTTGGTTTTTGTTACGACTATTTGTAACGGCATTGAACCCCGTAAAAAAAATATTACCTACTTATAGTCACGAAACCGTCTGTAACAACAAATATCCAAAGACCACTTTTTGTAACGATTTTCTGGCCTTTTGTTACGGAAAAATAGCGTATTGTGAAAAACAGGGGGTACGCTGCAATTGAAATTGTTCGTAACAAATGGACCTGCTGTGATGCGTATGATACGAAAATAAATTACGAATACAAAGATTGCTATAAACATCATCATCATTACGCCCCGCGCAAACATTAATTCATATTAAAATCTGAATTCCATACCTACCAACAAAGTAAAGCAACCCATAGAACAAGCCTACTAGTATCTACACATCAACAACCTGTTCCGCAAAACGTGCTTAACAGTTCAAACAGAAGTAAACAACGCAATAAGAAAATACGGTTATCCATCAATCCCATTAGGCACATTTTTCACCAAACGAATTCAAACCACAAAGGTCTACGCATCAATTCCAGACATAGTTCAACAAAAACTCAACACAATCCATCCAAAGACAGGTTCGACATTCAATCCATATGACAAACGGGGCAATTAACATGGGTGTATCGGTACCAACATTTCAAGCCCGGCGCATGAGCTGCAATTGCCAACACAGAGATTACTTTAAGTCATACTTCTTATAAATTTCGGAAGGCAATACAAGAAAGGTATTAAAGTAGATCCTTACGTCGTTGTAGCTCCACTCAATAGGATCTTCGCCGACGACATCGCGAAGGGTAGTCGCCCCAGAAATGGTCGGCAAAATAAGGGGTGTGTCCGGGACTGACGCGGATGTCACGAAGACCTTGACCAAGGAAAGTGTGTCACCTACAGCATTCACAAGAGCAATTTTTGATTACATTCAAGCATATATATCAACAGACGTTCGAACTGTATATATAACATGTCATAACACAGACATTATAAGTGTAATACTTTGGAACTAGAACAAGAGGAGTACGTACATTCAGACATGTCGTACAGTACATGGTATTACATTCATGAGTTAGGTAGCGAAGCACATTATACCCTAATTTCCTATGTAATTGCAGCTTGATCTTTAAACCAAACATCCTTCAATAAACATGGGTCGTCATAATAGCAGTTATTTTACCACCCCTCTGCAACAACTTTTTTCTCACCGGTGCGGGATAATAGAAGCACATGTGTGCCGACCTACAACAGACAGGGCATATGAGTTGGATAAGGTAGTACGCAGTCAAGAGTAGCCTAAATTAGACACTGCACTGATTTCTAAGAAACTCCAGGGCGTCACGGAATCATACCGTCATGCTTGGCTCGGACACAGGCCTGGGAATCTCAGGGACTGAATCAATACGAGATGTGCCCTATCATATAACATGCCGAGGATGGTAAATTCCTTCGCCATCCAAATCTCATGGGATACTCATACCAAACAGGTCAGGGATTATGAATACTTACTGCCTGGCCAGTAACCGCTCCGGAGTTTCTGTGCATGAATGCATACACATCAGCCTTGATGGTTTTGAACTCATCCATCATTGCCTTCAGCTCCTCTATTCCATTCTGTAGTTGTTCCCACCCATGCTGGAATGCTACACTGTCTGTTAAACCAGATGACTCGCTGCGGGGATGAGCTGAAGTTGCCGCACTGTCGACCTTTGACCGCTTCTTAATCTTTCCCCCAAGGGCCCGTCGGTACAGAGTCTCCCGAACAGAGGGAGTCCGCCCTTCAGGGGGAACCTTGTTTAGCTCATTCTGTAAATAAGTCTACAGGAAAGATTTAAGTGAGGCCGAACTTGCTCTTGTTGTTAGAGATGTAAATACTGACTGAAATGTAACTAAGTTGGGAACGAATTTATTCTACCAATATCTCCTCGGTTTCTTGGTCATCCTTTCCCTTGCGTTGTGTGCGACTGGAAATCCAAATCTCCAGATTGTCGGGGTCCTTCCCCTTTGCCTTGATCTGCAGCAATACAAGGCCTTCTGTCATCGAAAACATAATGAAATACAGGAGAGGAAAATAGGGGGATGGAGCATGACATGAGTAATTACTTAATTGTAATAAAAGGTACCTCCTCTGCCAGAGTCGTGAATGACTTCCGCCCAGTACGATGTGGAAAGCTTCTTTTCGCTACGTTCGACGCATTTTTCTTGGATTGAAGCTACGTCAATCAAAGTTATTTAGTTCTCAGTCCATGCCCGTGCAGATTTAACGTATATTAATTTGGCATGTCCCTATGCGTACCTTCACCTTCTCGTCGCGCCAATACTCAACCAACTTCGGCCACTGATCGGGCACAATCCTGCTTGAGGGAACCTTCTTCAGTGCTTCTTCATCGTCCTCGATCGGATTGAAGTAAGTTGATTTGATGTTGTATTTCCAGTGCCTCCAAACTTCCCTTAGGTCAGCCAAGACCACTTTCTCCGCTGAGTCTGGTAATCCGCTGTTACTCTGGAATGCCGTTTCACACGGTTTCCACCAGGTCCGGAGAAGATGGTAGGGCCATATATAAGAATCTATATGAAATAAAAGAACTTTCAATTTAATGAAGTTTGCATCACCTGAACCTCCATCCATGCACCCTGTCTCTTCGTCTCCGGTATCTCAGCGAACGTGGGGTAATGTAGAGGAAGTCGAGCTCCGTTGCGTGCAATGACCCCAATGGCTGTCTTGTACTCGTTTACGTCGGGTCCGACGATGCTTTTACCTTCCGGCGATGTGAATACAAGCATCCTGTGATCTTTTCCCCATCCACGCGGCATTCGTGCCGCCCCTCTCCCCTGCTTTTTCTTTGACGAACCAGCTGACACAAACAGGAGATTACATGTTCTAATAAGGATATTACATGCAAAATATGAAGTCACTAAATGTAATCGGTAATCTTTGAAGGCTAATTTCCAAACCGTCGTGCGATGTCATCTCGTCCAATGGTGCCATATTGCCCGCCTCTGTTCCTGTCATCAGAGTGGGGTCGGAGCCTGGCCCTTCATCCAAGAGTGGCATATCACTCTCTGCAGTCTCGCTGGAGCAGTGGCGAGACCCGAGATCCCTTCCGTTTTGTCACTTTCTTTGTGGGATTGCGGATGGGCGATGGATTCCTGCTTGCGGGATGAGTTGCCTCTAGGGGGCTGTTACGTGCGGATGCCCGGGTAAAACGTCTTGCGGGAGAGACTGCCGGATCCTGTGACCCTCCAACGGCAGCACGTTGAGATTTGCCCATAACCTGCAAGACACCAGTGTTAGAACCTTTTAAAATCACAACATTAAGGCCCATGGTTTAAAATCAGCCATTATCTCCACTTTAGAACCTTTTATGGATGCCATTTAATGAGAATTAAATGATGTCTACGCTCCGCCAAAAATTCTGAGCGTCATCTCTAGATACTAGAGCAGCAAGAATTATCCATACCCTACTTGGGTCAAGAAAAATTTCCTACTATTCTAAATTTTTCCTTGCCCTTTTGTACGAATATGAAAAAAATGCTCAAATCTGATGTCTAAAGAGTAAAGCAGGTTTGTGGGAATGCACATAACACTTAACTACACCACCACTCGAGAAAACATAGAACACTTAGAAGCTTTGCACTGTGGAAATGCATTAAAAAGAAATCCGACCTTCCGTTAAACTCAATGTTGCTTATCCTGAATTCACACTGCACACTTTTGTCTCCACAATTTAGTATCCTGTAAAAAAACACAAGTTAAATATGCACTCATTTTCAGTTAAAATAGCCCAAATGGTGTTGCTTCCGACAAATCGACGCATACAACCAAGTTACAAAAAAAATGGTATTGGTTCCGACAAAGGAAATTCATTAAGCATGCACTTTGAGTTAATTGTCAATGCACAAATGTGTTTTGAAATAATGAAATTGAATATGTTATTCAGTTGGTGCAGATCGATGAAGAGAGTTTCCCGTGCTGTAGGATAGAATTCATAGTGATGATGTTTTTCAATCATGCCGACAAGGAACCTGGGTCCTCTATATGTTGATTACACCTCTAGTAGAAACCCTTTAAAACAAATATGAAATAATTCTGAAATCTGATGGGAAAAAAATATTTTAGATTCGTAGGAATGCACTTAACACTTCATTGCACCACCCACCCAATAAACATACATCACAGAAAAGTTGCTACACAGTGGCATAGCATAAAAAATAAAGCAGACCTTTTGTTAAACTCAAAGCTAGGTATCCTGAATGAGCACAGCACGCCTGCGTTGACATACGTTCACTTCCTATAAAAAAACATAAGTTAAACATGCACTAATTTTCAATGAAAAATGCGCAAAGTACTACATTAATTAAACATGCACTAATTCACAATATGCATTCCCTCTTTTAGGATTGAATTAGAACCATATATACCACTTTTAGTATTATGTGATGATGGAGGGGCTGAAACTGTATAACACCCTAAGGAAAACCTACAGCAGATCAGACCCCCTCCCCTGCTTTCTTCTTTATTTTCAAAATGGGCTTTCAATTCTCTACTCAATTATACAACCTAAAAGAGTGAGTTAATCAATCAATCAATCAATCGTTGCAACCAAGCAAGCACAGGTGGAGATTATATGCCGCCGAGGAGTGTGCAAAGCATCTATCTTTTCATCTTTAGTCCTAATCGAACAAATCTATTTAAGGAGAGCAGAGCAGAGCACGCAACAAACATGGAATCTAGCAGTGTAGCCAGCTGAGATCCACAATCTTCCGAATTGAAGATCCCACGCACAAGTGCATACAGATGCCGAAAACCAATGAAGCAGTGCCGTGCAGAGACCTCCACAGAAAATCGAAATCAGTGAGGTTTAGAAGAAAATGAAGAAGGCAAGAAGCAATCTATTAAGATCCATATCATATGCAGCACGACTGTACAGTTCAATGCATCTCTTTTCTATGAACCAAAAAAAGAAAAACAAGCACAGACAGATAAGGTAAGGATAGAGTGTCACAACCTCAGTAGAGGAAAGACAAGCAAATCCCGAGTTGAAGCAGAGGGCGTGGCCTTGCGTACATAGCAGCGCTAGTTAAGTCCATGCACAGTAAACACATAATCCAAAGGAACTTTTGTATAGATTTGAAAATACTAATAAATTCTCAAAGTTCAGCTTCTGCTCTGGCTCATGGTTCTGCGCCTTTCCCTAATGTCATCGCTGCATAGTAGAAACAAATGCAAAAATAAGTGGAATGCTAGTAACATAATCATGGATGCATCAAACATGATGGCAGTTTAGCAATCGATCATTGGGTACATAGAAGATTTCATGGAACCAGTAACTAGCAGTAATGTAAGATATGACAATTTAACATATCAAATCGGTGCTATCGAAATTTCTTATAAGTCAATCGTTCACATAGTAAGCAAAGATAGCAAATAGCACCTACTTATGACTATTCTACAGGTTTCGACACAACCCTACTGTTGTTTATGCAACTCCAGATTGAAGTCCATTACACCACCACCCGAGAAAACATAGAAAAATTAGAAGCTTTGCACAGTGGAAATGCATTAAAAAGAAATCAGACCTTTCATTAAACTCAAGTATGCTTATCCTGAATTCACACTGCACGCCTTTGTCTCCACAATTTAGTATCCTGTAAAAAAAAAATACAAGTTAAATATGCACTCATTTTCAGTAAAAATAGCACAAACTACTACAAAAGTTAAACATGCACTACGTTACAATATCCATTACTTATTGTAGGATTGAATTGGTACATATATATATCACTTTTAGTATTATATGATGGCAGGATTAACATTTGAAGTACATAAAACTAAAAGAAAGGATTACAAGTGTGAAATGCTATTATTCTGATGGGAATGAAGCTGACGAATTGACGACTAACCAAGCAAGGAACAACATAATTAAACTAGCCTAAGTATCATGACAACAGTAGATTATATTAACTATCTAATGTACCACAGACATAGTAAGAAATTAAATTTAACCTAAACAATCTGAACTGACTGAGCCTATTACAATTACAACGAGATTGATTAACACGATAGGCTAGAACTACTTAAATTTGCAGCAACAACTAAGATATACACATTACAAACACTGTTGGCTCACTAAATTAATCTAGCACACATCAAACTAAATTAGTTTACAGCAGTTAAGCAAATTATCCAATGAACAGCTCGCCTAATTTAACTTAAGCCCACAACATTAGCAATATCTGGAAGCAACTTAATATTAATGAATGCAACAACAATAAATACAAAGCTTTTTCAAAGACGGACAAACAAACAATGAGAAGAAGATGATAATGCATGTCATGTGCATGTGTATGCATATATTCATGGAATGAATTAGATAGAGTTAGTTACGAAACCCATTTGTTTGTTTTCCTTCTCCATTCCACACATACATCATCTTTATCATACTATTCAGCAACTGATTCACTGCTTCAAAAATGATTTTGTTTCCAAAACACTTATTGAATGGTAGAATTTTACTAAAGAAACTTGGGTAGTATGAATAGCACCATTTACAGTTTCACCCTTTTCGAATATGATGCTTAATCAATTCAACAATTTCTGGTCTTCGCACTATTAATCCTTAATTCACAAGCCGGTGGCTTTTTAAGTTCATTTTGTGCAGTTGTCAATATTTTATTTTTTTGATTTCATACATATACATTTATTTATTTATTTTATTTCAAAATCATATTTGAAAATGTGGTGATAAAAGATATTAAATTATCTTCGTTATGAGGCTGAGTTATTAATGAAGACACACATTAAGAATCACTTTGATAACAGTCTTATCTTAAATCTAGAATAAAAAAAAGTAAATTGCACAAGGGGCAGGGCAGCCCGGCACTGCAAGCTCAAATATGAAAAATAAAACAAAATATAGTTGAAAATCCACCCCCACACCTTTGTGAAATGTGAGAGTTAGCGCAAGATATCATGAAAGAACAATATATACCCAGAAAGAAAAATCAAAATTGGGCTCAATACCTATGTTCACACACAAATTGTAACGATGAGGAAGAAATCTTTCGGTACCTAAAGATACTCCCTAAAGCAGAGCTTCGTATCAACCTGAGGAAGAAGCTGAATATTAATACTCCCTAATTCGATTTTTCCTTATAGGAAGAGATGAAGAACTGCGAATCGACAACAAATAATACTGGAGAAAACTTTAAAACATTACTTGGACGCTAGCGCCGGACTACCTATTCAATTCCACAACTATGCGCGTCGCGTCGGCGAAAGAAAGAAGGGAGTCGTCGATCGTTGGAGGGGACGAAATACTATGCCCTCAATTTGTCTGATTTTTCTAAGTATGGGAAAGTGAAATCTTTTTGCCCTAGATCTCTACAAGCGTGTTTATTTTGTCGAAAGCGCAGATGCGTTTTTACCTTTTTCTTCTTTTTTTTTTAATTTATTTATTGCAAAAATTTTTTTAATTAATATTATTTAACCAGTTGTTACGAAAAACTATCATAACAAATCTTATTTTGACTAAAGTCTACAATCTCCGTATTTGTTACATTTTTTTTGCGTAACTAATAAACTTGAAACGTTGACCAAGAGGAAATTTTTTTGTCACGGATACTCACGTAACTAAAACCACTATTTGTTACGATGTTATTGTTACGAACTCTCGGGCCGTGGTGAAAGGCCGTTTTTTTGGTAGTGAGGCCAATCAATAAATAAGAAATTTTTATAAAATATAAACACAAATTAATAAAAACTTTTGTAAATTTGGTTTGGAATTCCATTTGTGAGCAGAGAATTTGAAGAGATTCTAAGGATAAAAATCCAGCAACAACATCCTACAAATAGGGGTGGAAATAGGCCAGGCGGCCTGTCAGGGGCCTATGACCTGGCCTACATCAAGCCTGGCCTGGCCTGTTCTATTTATTAGAAAGGCCAGGTTCAGATTTTTGTTAAAGCCTGTTTATATATACAGAATAGGCTTAGGCTTATGAAAAAGCCTATTTACTAAACAGGCCGGCCTGTTTAATAATAATATTATTATTATA